AGCAGCACCTAGCAGCACCTAGCAGCACCTAGCAGCACCTGGCAGGACCTAGCAGCACCTAGCAGCACCTAGCAGCACCTAGCAGCACCTAGCAGCACCTAGCAGCACCTAGCAGCACCTGGGAGCAACAAGCAGCACCTGGCAGCACCTAGCAGCACCTAGCAGCACCTAGCAGCACCTAGCAGCACCTAGCAGCACCTAGCAGCACCTAGCAGCACCTAGCAGCACCTGGCAGGCAGCACCTAGCAGCACCTAGCAGCACCTAGCAGCACCTAGCAGCACCTGGCAGGACCTAGCAGCACCTAGCAGCACCTAGCAGCACCTAGCAGCACCTAGCAGCACCTAGCAGCACCTGGCAGGACCTGGCAGCACCTAGCAGCACCTAGCAGCAATGGCAGCACCTAGCAGCACCTAGCAGCACCTAGCAGCACCTAGCAGCACCTAGCAGCACCTAGCAGCACCTAGCAGCACCTAGCAGCACCTGGCAGGACCTGGCAGCACCTAGTAGCACCTAGCAGCACCTAGCAGCACCTAGCAGCACCTAGCAGCACCTAGCAGCACCTAGCAGCACCTAGCAGCACCTAGCAGCACCTAGCAGCACCTAGCAGCACCTAGCAGCACCTGGCAGGACCTGGCAGAACCTAGCAGCACCTAGCAGCACCTAGCAGCACCTGGCAGGACCTGGCAGCACCTAGCAGCACCTAGCAGCACCTAGCAGCACCTAGCAGCACCTAGCAGCACCTAGCAGCACCTAGCAGCACCTAGCAGCACCTAGCAGCACCTAGCAGCACCTAGCAGCACCTAGCAGCACCTAGCAGCACCTAGCAGCACCTAGCAGCACCTAGCAGCACCTAGCAGCACCTAGCAGCACCTAGCAGCACCTAGCAGCACCTAGCAGCACCTAGCAGCACCTGGCAGGACCTGGCAGCACCTAGCAGCACCTAGCAGCACCTAGCAGCACCTAGCAGCACCTGGGAGCACCAAGCAGCACCTGGCAGCACCTAGCAGCACCTTGCAGCACCTAGCAGCACCTAGCAGCACCTAGCAGCACCTAGCAGCACCTAGCAGCACCTAGCAGCACCTAGCAGCACCTAGCAGCACCTAGCAGCACCTGGGAGCACCAAGCAGCACCTAGCAGCACCTAGCAGCACCTAGCAGCACCTAGCAGCACCTAGCAGCACCTGGCAGGACCTAGCAGCACCTGGCAGCACCTGGCAGCACCTGGCAGGACCTGGCAGCACCTAGCAGCACCTAGCAGCACCTAGCAGCACCTAGCAGCACCTAGCAGCACCTGGGAGCACCAAGCAGCACCTGGCAGCACCTAGCAGCACCTAGCAGCACCTAGCAGCACCTAGCAGCACCTAGCAGCACCTAGCAGCACCTGGTAGCACCTGGCAGCACCTGGCAGCACCTGTGAGCACCAAGCAGCACCTGGCAGCACCTAGCAGCACCTAGCTCCAGAACCTGAGCTCCAGAACCTGAGCTCCAGAACCTGAGCTCCAGAACCTGAGCTCCAGAACCTGAGCTCCAGAACCTGAGCTCCAGAACCTGAGCTCCAGAACCTGAGCTCCAGAACCTGAGCTCCAGAACCTGAGCTCCAGAACCTGAGCTCCAGAACCTGAGCTCCAGAACCTGAGCTCCAGAACCTGAGCTCCAGAACCTGAGCTCCAGAACCTGAGCTCCAGAACCTGAGCTCCAGAACCTGAGCTCCAGAACCTGAGCTCCAGAACCTGAGCTCCAGAACCTGAGCTCAAGAACGTGAGCTCCAGAACCTGAGCTCCAGAACCTGAGCTCCAGAACCTGAGCTCCAGAACCTGAGCTCCAGAACCTGAGCTCCAGAACCTGAGCTCCAGAACCTGAGCTCCAGAACCTGAGCTCCAGAACCTGAGCTCCAGAACCTGAGCTCCAGAACCTGAGCTCCAGAACCTGAGCTCCAGAACCTGAGCTCCAGAACCTGAGCTCCAGAACCTGAGCTCCAGAACCTGAGCTCCAGAACCTGAGCTCCAGAACCTGAGCTCCAGAACCTGAGCTCCAGAACCTGAGCTCCAGAACCTGAGCTCCAGAACCTGAGCTCCAGAACCTGAGCTCCAGAACCTGAGCTCCAGATCGTGAGCTCCAGAACGTGAGCTCCAGAACCTGGGCTCCTGAACCTGGGCTCCTGAACCTGAGCTCCAGAACCTGAGCTCCAGAACCTGAGCTCCAGAACCTGAGCTCCAGAACCTGAGCTCCAGAACCTGAGCTCCAGAACCTGAGCTCCAGAACCTGAGCTCCAGAACCTGAGCTCCAGAACCTGAGCTCCAGAACCTGAGCTCCAGAACCTGAGCTCCAGAACCTGAGCTCCAGAACCTGAGCTCCAGAACCTGAGCTCCAGAACCTGAGCTCCAGAACCTGAGCTCCAGAACCTGAGCTCCAGAACCTGAGCTCCAGAACCTGAGCTCCAGAACCTGAGCTAAAGAACCTGAGCTCCAGAACCTGAGCTCCAGAACCTGAGCTCCAGAACCTGAGCTCCAGAACCTGAGCTCCAGAACCTGAGCTCCAGAACCTGAGCTCCAGAACCTGAGCTCCAGAACCTGAGCTCCAGAACCTGAGCTCCAGAACCTGAGCTCCAGAACCTGAGCTCCAGAACCTGAGCTCCAGAACCTGAGCTCCAGAACCTGAGCTCCAGAACCTGAGCTCCAGAACCTGAGCTCCAGAACCTGAGCTCCAGAACCTGAGCTCCAGAACCTGAGCTCCAGAACCTGAGCTCCAGAACCTGAGCTCCTGAACGTGAGCTCCAGAACCTGAGCTCCAGAACCTGAGCTCCAGAACCTGAGCTCCAGAACCTGAGCTCCAGAACCTGAGCTCCAGAACCTGAGCTCCAGAACCTGAGCTCCAGAACCTGAGCTCCTGAACGTGAGCTCCAGAACCTGAGCTCCAGAACCTGAGCTCCAGAACCTGAGCTCCAGAACCTGAGCTCCAGAACCTGAGCTCCAGAACCTGAGCTCCAGAACCTGAGCTCCAGAACCTGAGCTCCAGAACCTGAGCTCCAGAACCTGAGCTCCAGAACCTGAGCTCCAGAACCTGAGCTCCAGAACCTGAGCTCCAGAACCTGAGCTCCAGAACCTAACCAGAACCTGAGCTCCAGAACCTGAGCTCCAGAACCTGAGCTCCAGAACCTGAGCTCCAGAACCTGAGCTCCAGAACCTGAGCTCCAGAACCTGAGCTCCAGAACCTGAGCTCCAGAACCTGAGCTCCAGAACCTGAGCTCCAGAACCTGAGCTCCAGAACCTGAGCTCCAGAACCTGAGCTCCAGAACCTGAGCTCCAGAACCTGAGCTCCAGAACCTGAGCTCCAGAACCTGAGCTCCAGAACCTGAGCTCCAGAACCTGAGCTCCAGAACCTGAGCTCCAGAACCTGAGCTCCAGAACCTGAGCTCCAGAACCTGAGCTCCAGAACCTGAGCTCCAGAACCTGAGCTCAAGAACGTGAGCTCCAGAACCTGAGCTCTAGAACCTGGGCTCCAGAACATGAGCTCCAGAACCTGAGCTCCAGAACCTGAGCTCCAGAACCTGAGCTCCAGAACCTGAGCTCCAGAACCTGAGCTCCAGAACCTGAGCTCCAGAACCTGAGCTCCAGAACCTGAGCGACAGAACCTGAGCTCCAGAACCTGAGCTCCAGAACCTGAGCTCCAGAACCTGAGCTCCAGAACCTGAGCTCCAGAACCTGAGCTCCTGAACGTGAGCTCCACAACGTGAGCTCCAGAACCTGAGCTCCAGAACCTGAGCTCCAGAACCTGAGCTCCAGAACCTGAGCTCCAGAACCTGAGCTCCAGAACCTGAGCTCCAGAACCTGAGCTCCAGAACCTGAGCTCCAGAACCTGAGCTCCAGAACCTGAGCTCCAGAACCTGAGCTCCAGAACCTGAGCTCCAGAACCTGAGCTCCAGAACCTGAGCTCCAGAACCTGAGCTCCAGAACCTGAGCTCCAGAACCTGAGCTCCAGAACCTGAGCTCCAGAACGCGAGCTTCAGAACCTGAGCTCCAGAACCTGAGCTCCAGAACCTGAGCTCCAGAACCTGAGCTCCAGAACCTGAGCTCCAGAACCTGAGCTCGCAAGGTACCACACACTCCAGGTAGCGTTCCTTTGGGGTGACTCGGGCACTTGGTGTCACGGGTTTTTCCACACTGGAGTGGGTGTGGAGGGTCCTCTCCCCTTGGTGCCGTTTGAATCTTACGCCACGCGCCAAACAGCCGTTTCTCAAAGCCGTGATGCTGAGGAGGAGGGGGTGAAGGAGTGGGGAAGCTGCTGTTAAAGGAGGAGGGAAGCTGCTAAGGGCTGTTAACGAAGCTTCTAAGGAAGCCGCTAAAGAAGCTGATAAAGGCTTCTAAGGAAGCTGCAGAGGAAGCTGCAAAGGGCCGCTGTTAAGGAAAGTGTCTCTGGGGAGAAGCGGTGAAGCAGCATATAAGCTGTAAGGAAGCTACTTGGGAAGCCGCCAAGGGGTGCTAAGGAAACTGATAAAGCCTTCTAAGAAAGCTGCAAAGGGCTGCTGCCAAGGAAAGTTCCTAAGGGGAGAGAGGTGAAGCAGCAGAGAAGCTGCAAAGGGCCGCTGCCAAGGAAAGTTTCTAAGGGGAGAAGCGTTGAAGCAGCAGAGAAGCTGTAAGGAAGCTACTAGGGAGGCCGCCAAGGGGTGCTAAGAAAGCTGCTAAGGTATCTGATAAAACCTTCTAAGGAAGCTGCAAAGGGCTGCTGCAAGGAAGCTTCTAATGAAGCCTCTAAGGGGTGCTAAGGAAGCTGTTTATGAAGGTCTTAGGGCTTTTAAGAAAGCTGCAGAGGAAGCTGTAAAGGGCCCTGTTAAGGAAAGTGCCTAAGGGGAGAAGCGGTGAAGCAGCAGAGAAGGGTAAGGAAGCCATTTGGGAAGCCGCCAAGGGGTGCTAAGGAAACTGATAAAGCCTTCTAAGGGAGCTGCTAAGGGCCGCGGCAAGGAAGCTTCTAATGAAGCCACTAAGGGGTGCTAAGGAAGCTGTTTATGAAGGTCTTAGGGCTTCTAAGACAGCTGCAAAGGGCCGCTGCCAAGGAAAGTTTCTAAGGGGAGAAGAGGTGAAGCAGCAGAGAAGGGGAGAAGCGGCAGAGAAGGGGAGAAGCGGCAGAGAAGGGGGAAGCGGCAGAGAAGGGGGAAGCGGCAGAGAAGGGGAGAAGCGGCAGAGAAGGGGGAAGCGGCAGAGAAGGGGGGAAGAAGAGAAGGGGGTGAGAAGAGAAGGGGGTGAGAAGAGAAGGGGGTGAGAAGAGAAGGGGGTATGAAGAGGAGGGGGTAAGAAGAGGAGGGGGTAAGAAGAGGAGGGGGTAAGAAGAGGAGGGGGTAAGAAGAGGAGGGGGTAAGTAGAGGAGGGGGTAAGAAGAGAAGGGGGAAGAAGAGGAAAGATGCAGAGAAGGGGTGTGAAGGAGAGATGCAGAGAAGGGGTGTGAAGGAGAGATGCAGAGAACGGGTGTGAAGAAGATATGCAGAGAAGGGGTGTGAAGGAGAGATGCAGAGAAGGGGTGTGAAGGAGAGATGCAGAGAAGGGGTGTGAAGGAGAGATGCAGAGAAGGGGTGTGAAGGAGAGATGCAGAGAAGGGGTGTGAAGGAGAGATGCAGAGAAGGGGTGTGAAAGAGAGATGCAGAGAAGGGGTGTGAAGGAGAGATGCAGAGAAGGGGTGTGAAGGAGAGATGCAGAGAAGGGGTGTGAAGGAGAAATGCAGAGAAGGGGGTAAGCAGAGGAGGGGGTACGAAGAGAAGGGGGGAAAGCAGAGAAGGGGGGAATAACAGAAGGGGGGAAGAAGAGGAGAGATGCAGAGAAGGGGTGTGAAGGAGAGGAGCAGAGAAGGGGTGTGAAGGAGAGGAGCATAGAAGGGGTGTGAAGGAGAGGAGCAGAGAAGGGGTGTGAAGGAGAGGAGCAGAGAAGGGGTGTGAAGGAGAGGAGCAGAGAAGGGGTGTGAAGGAGAGGAGCAGAGAAGGGGTGTGAAGGAGAGGAGCAGAGAAGGGGTGTGAAGGAGAGGAGCAGAGAAGGGGTGAAGGAGAGGAGCAGAGAAGGGGTGTGAAGGAGAGGAGCAGAGAAGGGGTGATGCAGTGTATGTCAAAAGCAGTGAATGTCTGAAGCAGTAGCGGATGACGCTAACTGAGGTGATGGGTGGAAAATCGAATCAAGCCATACTGGCGCGTACATTAGAATGTGTAGTTGCCGGTGATGCACATGCCTTGCTTTGTATCAGTGAATTATTGGTATCTGGAATGGCAATGTACATATTTTCAATGAAGATTCTTGCTTTTGCATGCAAAAAGCACATTCTGTGGGGTCTAAAAGCAATGCAACAGGTTGCTAGCAGTACCAGACATGAGAAAACCCTCATGGGATTTGCTGGGTAAACCAGTGCCTTTCAGTCTTGTTTTGGTCTAATCCGATAAGATATCTCCTTGTGCCACGAAATTGCATCACACTTTATTGCATCTCCTCGTCTCCGCGCCCTTGGTGATATCCGCGTATAATTTGCACTCTCGAAATCTTCCAGCAGTCTCCTGCTAGTTCAGATCACATGTTCATTTTAGCCCTGGGCTTTCAGCTGTCTAGCGCGCCAAGCACGGCTATAATATGCTAATCCGCATTGAGACATTAATAATTAGCCATGGACGCGCTTTAACATACTAAATTCCCGCGTCGCCCTTGACGGTATTAGCGTATCTTTTGTACATTGCGCAGAAATTTGAAAAGCTTTCAGGTAGCCGTTATTACAGACAGAAATATACCGTGGTTTTTATTGGAATTTCTTTTTATCTTCGCGTCCGCGTGGATATGGAGTTTCTGCGCTCGTCGTTGCGTCTCGCACGCCAAGCACGAGTTGCGCGAAAGCGCTTCGTCGTTCCCGCATCCGTGGCGGACGATTTCGCTGTATCAGCGCCGAGACTGATAACCACCGCGACTGATTTCGCAGTATCGGCGACATTTACGAATGCGGTTACCATTCCCGCGGACGTTGCTTCTCAAAGCACCCGCCACGCGGCAACCCACCACGGGTCGAATCCGCATCAAGACTCGAATCGGCGCGCAGCGAGCAATGCGTCGCGGGAACAGCGGACGTCCGCGTTTGAGTCGTCCCGAAGAAAGGTTGCGCTGTGGGGGAACGGGGATCACGGACGGCTGGGGCTGGGGAGCGAGATGGGGGGGAGTAGCGGGGAGAATGGCGGAGGCGGAGGGTGGTGGGGGTGGGGGAGAGTCGGGAGGGAAACTGGCGGAGCAGAAGCGGATAGGAATGAGGATGGGGGATCTGTGAATGTCCCACGAGTTTGCGCGGCATTGGAGGATAAGGACGTGTGCCACGTGGGATGTGGTGGTGCTCACACGGTCGTGCTGACAGGTACAGATGACGTTTCAGTTGTTGCTGCTGTATCAAGGAGCGTCATTAGCGTCGATAACGTGTCTAGAACGGCGAATCTGACGGCGCACATGCGAAATCTGACGGCGTACATGCGAATCCGACGGCGTACATGCGAATCCGACGGCGTACATGCGAATCTGATTGCGGCCATGCAAATCTGAATGCTCTCCCATGCTCATGCATGATGCATCCATCCAGCCGTTGGTAGGGTGTTCAGGATGGTTCCATCAGCCAGCAATGCGTGCACATACTCTTACCCCATGCGTCTGAGCGGATGGCAGGGTGTTTAGCACAGGACTCAACGACCAACATTGCTTACATGCCCCATGCGTGTATGCACATGCATGATGCATGATGCATGATGCATCCCCTCAGCGGATGGCAGGGTGTACAGCATGGGACTCAACGACCAGGGGCAGCTGGGCTTGGGTGAATCCAGGGCTCCACCACTTGTCACTGTGAGTGCTTGCTGCTTTAGATCCGTTATTCTACGCATTCCTGCCCTTCCACCTGCTTTGCTTTCGGTTCAGCAATTCCAGTCGTTTGTACTATGTGAGTGCATTTGCTTTCGGTTCAAGCTTACCCAACGTCGAAACAGTCCTTTCACTCAACCCATCACGTGGACGCAATGTCTTACACTCAACCATCTCTTCCACCCCTGCCCAATTCCTTCCCGTTTCATGCGGTGCTTGTTTCCTGCAGTCGCCAAAGAGGTGGTCGGCTGGCCATCGCAGCTGCTGGCTTCCATTCAGCAGCCATAAATGGTAATTGATCATTTGTGGCTGATGGTCATTCACACACTGATGGTCATTCACACACTGATGGTCATTCACCAAGCATCTATGGATAATGACCAGATCTATGAGAGTTCCACTCATTCTGGTCCATTTTCCCGCTCTGCATCCGTTATTTATCATGCTATTCTCTTCTCCTCCCCTGTCTGTTTGTACTTCTCCGTTATCCTCCCCCCCTGTCCATCAGAGGTCGGTCAGATGTATCTGTGGGGCGGCAATGCCGCCCACCAGCTTGGACTCGGCTCACGTGAGTCGTCCTGTCTGATTGCAACTGCACTTATTCCTTTGTCCGTTCTCCCTCGCTCCCACCGCTACCGCACTTCTCCAATATTCCACTCACCTGTTTCAATGAATCTTGGTGCCTCCACTCCTCTTCAGACCCTCCGCTCCTACCCAAGGTGCATTCACACTGTGTCCCAGAAGGCACTGGGAGGAGTGAGCATCCCACACATTCCTTCTCTACTCTACATATCCCAGAAACGCCCCTTATCCCTTCCCCTCTCCTTTGCTCCATCTAATCCCAGGCGCTCCGTCCAAGGTGCATTCACCCCGTGTGTCAGAGGCGCTGGTGGGGGTGAGCATTCAACACATGGCCCTGGGGGGACAGCACACCCTCGCTGTCACAGGTAGGCTCGTTTGTGCGCATGCTGCCATGCTCCCCGTGTATCAGAGGCGCTGGTGGGGGTGAGCATCCGGCACATAGCCCTTGGGAGTCACACACCCTTGCTGTCACAGGATAACTCGTATGTGCCCATGCTCCCCTTCCCCCATGCTGCCATGCTCCCCTTCCCCCATGCTGCCATTCTCCCCTTCCCCCATGCTGCCATGCTGCCATGCTCCCCTTGCCCCGTGCTGCCAGTCTCCTATGCTCCATCCTCCGTTTCCTTTACCACGCCCCTTCTCCTTCCCCTTCCCCTGCCACCTCCCCACTCCACCTCCCTCTCAGCCGTCAGTCAGCTGCTCTTACGGGGAAATGGCCTGCTCGGCCGTGGCCCATTTTCTCGGCACAACCTCCCTTTTCTTTATCACTCCTTTGAAGCAGAAAAGGGTTGAAGCAGATAAGAGGTTTGAGGCAGGGAAAGGGAGCAGCAGTAACAAGGTGTCGTTGACAAGGAGGAATGACGCTGCAGTACTCATCCGAGACACTACGTTGCACTGCCCAGTCAAGGCAGTTGGTCGCAGTGCCCAGCCAAGGCAGTTGGATGCTGTGCTGCCGAGTACTATACTTGCAATAGTATGTTACGCTGGTGGTTGCTTGTTGGATACATTGATCAGTTTTGTTATTGGATGTTTACATATGAAATTTCAACATACGTACTGTACCTTTGTGAATTCAAGTGTGATCACCCTTCTGGAGGAGCTGCAGTGCAAACAGGAAGTATACACTCGCATTGTGTTTGCTATGGGTATTGTTGGGAACACACAAACTCACAATCTATTCCCCCAATTGCATTGTTGCTGCTGGGAACTCTTAAAGCGACGGGCAACTTTTGGCAGTGTTGGGTTCAGAAGTTTTTTTTTTGAACCAGGCTTGCCAGCGCGAAAGTGTTGGCTGGCGAAAACCAGGATTTCGTGCAGACACTTTTCATCTGCAGTAACAGTTCGCCAGGGTTCTGGGTTTTGGGTGGCAAATGTGCACCGTCGCTTTAAACTTAATCTATCCTGAACAGAGAGGATGGAGTGAGGAGGGCCTTCATGTTTGTGGGGAGCAGATTCACGAGCATGCTCTGCTAACTCTTAGGTATTTCCATCTGCTGCTTGACACAAGCCAAGGGCACCCAAACGGCACCCACCAAGCAACACACCGGTCAGGAACGCCACTACTCCACCCGCACATCATCCCCACATGCTGCTCTCCCTTGCTGCACATCTGCGAGGCCTCTCAGCTTCCTGAGCAGTCCTCTCACCTCATGGTCCGCCCTCACCCCTTTCACCCTCATCTCCTCCTCTACCTCCCTCGCCGCCTCCTCCCACCTCGCCTTACTGCTACCCTCTCCATCTCCTCCCTCTCCCTTCCCTGCGTGCACCCCAGTGCGTCGCAGCATGGCCCCTAAGAGCAACTTGTACCAGGCCACCTCACAGCAGCCCCACATGGCCTCGCCTGCCCGCATCGCCTGCCTCACGCCCTCCACGTGCCCCTCTGCTTTGAGTGCCTCCATCAACCCCCGCAGCGTGCGCCGCTTGATGGTTGGCGGGGGTGTGGGGGGCTGTGAGCCGTGGTGGCGAGGGGGGCGGTGGGAGGGAAGGGCGTCACGAGGAGAAGCGGGAGGAGACATGCACCGAAGCACAGACTCAGGCAGGGGTTTGGGATGAAGAGGTGTGCTTGGTGGGTTGGTAGTGGCAGGAGGAGGAGGATCAACGGTTACAGGGGTCTCAGGAGTGGTGACGAGTTGAGAGAGGAGGGCGGTGGCGTGGGAGAGGCGGTGGGAGCGAGAGAGGCAGGAGAGGAGGAGGGAGAGAGTGGCTGTGCCGCACGGAATGCTCGCCCTACGCATGTCATCGACCAATCGCAGCGCAGCATCTGGCATGTTAGCTCGCGTGTACCCCTTGAGAAGCGCGTTACAGACATCCCGGTCAAGGCGACGGATGCAGGCATGCAGGGAAGCAAACGCCTCTTCTGCCATGGCTATGTCACCAGCCGCCACATGCGCTGCTATCCGTGCCACATGCATGGGTCGAGTCACCTTCACCCGCATCCCGCCCACCCTCCTCCACATCTGCTCCACCTCCCCCCCACGCCCCCCCTTCCCCGCCCGTCCCATGGCCACCCAGAGGGCAGCACAAGCAGCAGGGGACGGTGCTAAACCATCCTCCAGCATGGCGTGGAAAGTTTTTTCTGCCCGGGGCAGCTGCCTGGTGTGAATGAAGAGGCGGAGGAGGATGGAGTGGGTTTGGGCGGAGGGGAGCAGGCGGTGGTGGTGGTGCATGGCGTGTAGGAGGGCGTTGAGGCGGTGGGGGGTGGACGTGGGTGCGTGAGGGGGGTGGTGGAGGCAGTGGCGTAGGAGAATGTGGAAGGTGAAGAGGGAAGGGGCGATGCCCTGCAGACACACAGGAATGTGCATGGGATAGAGACGAGGATTGGGAGGTGGGAGGAGGTGAGACTGAGAAAAAGGGTCCCCATATGGAGAAGCCATATGTGAGATGAGAGAGGCTGCAGTTAGCAAGGAACCATAATTCACGGCCATCAGCACTGACCAGCGTTGACCAGCATTGACCCAGCCCTTCCAACCTGTTCTTCCCATCCCCATCTTCAATCGCCCTCACCTCTCCCCTCATAATCCCCAATGCCCGCTCTCATCCCATCCCCCACCAACCACTCGTCTCACCTTCGCATTCATCTCTTCCATAACCTCATCCATCCTCTGTGTCACCGAATCAGCCGAAGCTAGCCGCGACGGCAGGGAGGAGAGGGCGAGCAGGCGCGCGTTGAAGGCGCTCACACCCACCGCCGCCCCTGCTGTGCCGTGCAGCCACTGCAGCTCCTCCTGCAACCTGCTGTGCTGCCCCGTGCGTGCCAGCTGGTACAACACTCCGCTGTATGCCTGATGAGGATCAACAGCAGGGAGAGGAAAGGTGAATAAAAAAGGGAGATGAGAAGCCAGAAGGCTGTGCTGCCCCGTGCGCGCCAGCTGGTACAACACTCCACTGTACGCCTGACGATGATCAACAAGAGGGAGAGAGAAAGCATGAGCAGGGATTTGTGAATGAAAGTGCAATGGGCATGATCAGAATGGCATGTGATGAATTGAACGAACACGCACAACAGCAGCACCACAGTGAGGGCATGCGAAGCACCTTGTGAGAGCGGGCGTGGCATGGCAGGGCAAGAAAAGCATCCCTGGCATCGCTCCATCGGCCGCAGCGAGCCAACCCGTCCATCAGCTCACACGCCTCCCACTCCGAGTCCTCCCTCTCCCTGCCCCTGTGCCTTGACTCGCTCCCCTGCTCATGCTCATGCGGACTGTGTGGCGAGCCGTGCGAAGAGAGGCGGGCCATGTGCCATTGCAGCAGCTGATGGGGGAAGTTGGGAGAAAGAGGAACAAAGGGGGAGAGGTGAGGAGGTGATTTAGGGAAAATGAGGGGCAGAAATGATATGCGAGGTGCAAAAGTCATGATCAGATACGACGTGGTGATATGCATCAGTGCGTTTGGTGCATGGCATCTGGGTGCATGGGCATGCACACTGACATCACCTCGAGAGCATGCTGATGTCGGTGCCTCTCCTTCAATCGCCGCACCAGCAGCATCACTAGACGCCGGTCCAACACTGCACCACCAGTGCCGTTGATGCTACTGCTGCTGCTGCTGCTGCTGCTGCTGCTGCAATCTCTCCCGTGGCTTGCTTGGACAGTCATGGTGGGAGCAGTGAGATGCGCGCGAAATGTGGGAGGGCGGTGGTGCGGTGTAAGGCGCCAGGAGAGGAGGCGAGGCATGAGGGGGAGAGAGGGAGGATGGTGGCGGATGAATGACCACACGCGCTCCAGCCTCTCCGCTTCCTCCCTGCTCACACTCCCTCTGCCAAAGCGGCTCATTTCTTGCCCTATCTCTTCATCATGCTCCCAGTCAACACTGCTACAGTCACTGTCACTGGCGTCATCACCCATCTGCCCAACTGATTGTGCAAGTGCCAGTTCAGGACCACGCCCTGGCTCCCACCTTCCCACCCTCTGCTGCAAAGCTATTGTCGTATCAGTCACTGCTTCTGCCCTCCTTGCACCCCCTCTCACTCTCCCTTCCTCCAATCGCTTAACACACTCTCCCTCGCGTCCGTCTCCTGGAAACTCCCGTGGCTGTGAGGCATCCATGAGCTTGTTGTGCGTGTGATGTGAGTGGAAGCGTACAAGGCTAGGCGAAGAAAGGGTGGGCGAGTGAGGCGGGGGAAGGCTGGCTGCGGGTGAGGATATTGACGACATTGAGGACAAGGCACGATGAGGGATAAGGAGTGAGTGCTTATTGAGGAAGTGAGGGGGCGGGAGGAAGAAGCTGTGAGGCAGGAATGGTGGCTTACTGGGAGCAGGAAGCAGAGGGCTGGAGGCAAGGAAGAGGAGGGGGTGAGTGAGGGAACCGGGGAGAGTGGGGTGGAAGGAGATGGGCGACCAGGGACTGCTGTGAAGGGAATCAAACCCATCAGGGGAATCGTCGTCGTCTGATGCGGGCGAGGCACGAGAAGACGCACTGCAGCCTGGCATGGGGGCGGTGGAGGCTCGTCTGAAGGCACCAGTTCCGCCGCCATTTCGCCCGTGGTTGCACCAGTGGGGAAACATTTCTCCCCACGCGCACGACAGCCATATGCTGCATATAAAAGAGGGGTCCACACAAGGTAAGATTAGCAGGAATGGTGAGGAGAGGAGGGAGTAAGAACCAAGTCTTGAAATAAAACGCCTGATTGGGAGAATTCATTAGCGTAAATTGACTTCTGTAAGACTGCAATCGCTTCAATATCACACAGCTTCAAAGAATGTTGCTGCAGCTCGCTTCACAAGCACCAAAAGAAACCTTCAAAAAGCTTCGGGTTTTGAAATATATATGACAGCTTCGGATTTATATATTGTCCTATAGCTCCTAATGGTTCAACTTGACAGGTTTCTCAAGTTAAAAAAGCATGGAGTTACGTCGAATAGAGCCTTATAAGAGGGCGTAAAAGGTGGTCGAGGCGCACCTTCTCAGTTGTTGCCAGTGAGCGGGCCACGCGCGACACAGCACCCGCCATCGCACCACCGTCGCTGCGGCTGCAGCACCTGTCGCCACCGCAGAGACTGGTGAGGCTCCCGCTGACGGACGAGAGAGCGACGAGTTGTCATAAGAATCGTTCAGACGTGACGCATCTGGTGAAGGCGAGACGGTACATGAATCGAACGGCTGGAAATCCGCTTCGGGAAGGCCATGGAAGCGCCTCTCACTGGCGTGATCACATTGTGCGGCATCGCGTAGAGTGACTTTCGGATCGCTGGATAACCGATCGATACGGGAATGACCGCCATGGAAGACAGTATTCTGATAGACTTCTGTCATCGTGGAAACGATGTGAGAACTTTGTAAGGCCAGTGATTGTGACCCGTTTACCTCATGCAGCATAACCTCGCCAAGTCACACAACCTCGCTAAAAGCTCGTCTCAGTGACAACGGAACGCCATGATTTCACACTTCGGCCACCCCATAACCTACTGGAAGATTGTAGCGGTGTTCGGGGAATTATTTACCCACTAACATGAAGACAAGTTTTGCAATTCCACTACTTACAGGCACAAAAGCAGCAAAATTTAGGCAATCACACCCAACTAGAGACTGCAACAGGCGTGTCTGAAGCAGGAGTATACAAATTTGTTAAAATTGCACCGTTTAATATCTTGGCTTGTTTCTCCTTTCCCTGCACATCATTGCAGAATACAGAGACTTGTGAGGCAGCAGAACAAGATGGAGAGACAATCAGGTGAGCAAGTGTTCTCAGCCTTATATTCCAACCAGCTCACACTCTTTCCAGCCCTATACCACCCCTTTCTCCTCTCCTCCCCTTCCTCCTGTCCCATTCCCCCCCCCCCCCCCCCCCCCCCCCCCCCCCCCCCCCCCCCCCCCCCCAAACAACACTGACCTTCTCCCACCGTGCTTCCCCCGTGGTCCCGTGGTGAAGGCCCAGTTGACAGCGATGGGTTGGGTGAGCAGCTCTGCGCCGTTGAGATTCTCTATGGCCGCTGTCGCCTCCTGCCTGCTCTCATACTCCACCAGTGCGTAGCCCTGGCGGTGGCGAGATTTGAGGGAGGGGATGCGGGGTTGGAAGAGAGGTAGAGGATGGCGGCAGGGAGTAAGGAAGAGAGTGTGGTCGAAAGCAAGGGAAGGGATGAAGAAAGGAAGCGATAGAGAGGGAAAGAGCACACGAGCAAGAAAGCTAAGAAAAGATAGGGCGGGGCCAGAGGGGAGGGGGGGGGAGGCCGAGGGAGAGGAGGGGGGGAAAACGAATTGCCTCGACTGCAAAACAAGTAGAACAAAAAAACGCGATGATGGGTCAGGGAGAGGGACGAATGCGACAAGAACCTGAACAAGCTTTGTGCGGGCATACCTTAACGAACCCTGTGCGTCGATCGAGGTTGAGGTGCAGGTTCTTGATCTCCCCAAACTCGGCAAACATTTCATGCACGTCGTCCTCCTGTGCCTCCTCGTGCACCCCCGTCACCAGCACGATCCACCCCTCCACCGCTGCTCACACAAAACACAAGAGGACGGAGAATGATGGAGTTCAGGAGCAACTCACACGCTGCTACAAACCTAACTTGCGTCTCCATCCCCTATCAGCTTAATATCACGGATGCAGTACCCTTTTGTTCACCACACACACATTCCCGGACCTAACCCATCCCTCCAATTCCCCTCCCCCTCCCCAACGTCCTCCCCATCCCATCCTTCCACCTTTCCTCCATTTCCCTGTCCCCGCCACCCGCAAGACGCACATCGCTGGGGCCCCGGTCCTCCAGAGGCGTCGAGCGACTCGAACGCGCGTCCCCCCACGCGGTCGCCGCCGTCGCGCTCCACGTCCATGGCCTCGCGGAACCCGCGCCCCTTCGTCCGCCGCGCCTCCGCCGCCGCTGCTGCCGCGGCCGCTGTTCCGCCAGCAATCGTGGATCTGCGATGGGTACGATGGGTACGGAGAAGTACGCGGGGAGGGGGAAGAGGGACGACGGGAGGACAGGGGGAGGAGAATGGAGAGGGAAGGGGGTTGGAAGAGGAGGTGATGGACATGGTATGCTCCTTCCACGGTACGCCCGCATGTGCTACGCGTGGAGGAGGAAGCCACGAGATGCGTATTGGCATGTTCAACTCGAGCGGACTGGCGCTGCGCGATGTTTTTGAACCGCTGCCGATTATCAATACTCTCATATGGTAGTAGTCCTACGCGGCCAGATAAATCAACAGAGAAGCGAGGAGAGAAAAATGATTGTTGTGTTTGGGATGAACCTAAGCTTAGGCGCAGGCGCCGCGGCGACGGGAGCGGCTCCGGCGTCGTCCTCTTCCATGGCGAGCTCGAGATCGTCATCGTCCGCGCCGTAGTCTACCTGGTCCACGTCAGCATGCGCCATGATGAATATCTAACGTCGGATCCGCGCGTACACAGATGGTAAAGCTTGATGAATCGTAATCAGCACGCTAACATAGGCTCGTGTGGGTGGAGCTGCGTAAGCGGGGGTGCAAGAAATGAGTGAGGAAGGGCGAGAAACAATATGGTTGCCCTAAATAAGGACAGCTGACAGCTTGCTTTGAACCCTGCGCTATGGTCATCCTCGTGAATAGTTAGTGATTATGCCGTCAATTGCTAATTGATCGTGGCTACATTTTATCCCCACTGGGAAACTACGATGCAGCACTGAACAGTGTTGCTCTTGTAAATTGCCAAGCTCAGAGGATATGGTAACAGCGGATTCTTCCTTTCAATAGCCAAGCCTTCAGACTTAGTGGTCTTATTACAAGAGATGTTTACAGGTTCAAATCAGACCATCCATCTTCGAGCAGCACAATGACCATTTCAAACAAATAAAAGAAAGCCAAAAGAAACTAGGAAGGGCTTGAATTGAATGTAACCCTTGCACAAGAAGCCCTTCGCACAGTCTAAAAGATTGCTTTCACAGGAGACTGCTGCTCACACAAGCACAACCTCCCGGTTGAACACCCAGCTAAACTTGCCCGTTTTCGGCCCCGCCTTCTTGAGCTTGTCCGCTGATCGCTCCGCCAGCTTGCGGATGCGCGGCGGCAGCTTGCACACATACTCCTGTGCCCTGCGACCATCAGCGTCGAGCCCCTCGATCTTCTCAACGTTCCATCTGGCAATGAGGTGCTCAATGATGCTCACGTAGTCATTGGCCGTGTACACGCCCGTGCGCTGCGCCACCATGGTGAAGGCGTCAAAGAGCTTGTCGTTCTCCCCGTCGTACATCAGGTGCGCAGGCATCACAATCTGCAGGGGAGATCACATGGGGATCAATGGCATTGGGTGGTTGGTACAGGGATTACTCACATGAGTAAGCTAACAGACCTACACCAGCATCCAGGAAGCCATTTACATGGGAGCTCCTTACCCCATCAAACACTCCTTCCTGCTAGATCCAGCCTGCCCCTCAACCACTTTCCTTCCACCATTAACATCTGAATCCCAGCATCGCCAACCCCCATGAACCACACATGCAACTCTGAGCATCACAACCCAGGGTCCTTGGGCGATTTATTTTCCCGGAATGCACTACTTTGACTCAAATACCATTCACATGACCAGTTCAGTCCACACTTGAGACGTGTCTTCATCATATGCGCTCACCAAACCAAATAGCATCCAACATCCCAACGTCACACCACTCACACCACCCAGGTTCCAACCACGCCCCACCCCATCCCACCCCGCCCCACCCCACCCCGCCCCATCCCACCTCACCCCACGCCACCCAGATCCCAATCACCACCTGATCGTACATCACCCAAATCTCAACTCCCTGACCCCACCCCACCCAGATCCTAGCCCACGCCACCTAAATCCTCCCCACTAAACCGACGACGCGAGGCGCACCTGTTTCTTCATCATGTCTTCGAAGGCGAGCATGGCGCCGTTGGGGTCGAGCTCGTACAGCTTGCCCACGATCGCCTGGTACGCGCGCTCATGCCGCTTCTCGTCCGCCGCGATCAGCCCGCAGATGCGCCCCAGGTTCTTCTCCCCCTTCTCCACCGCGTGCCGCGCCGTGTTTCCGTGCGAGATGGCCGTCGCGCGCTCCTGGAACGACGTGTAGAGGAAGCCCAGGTACGGGTTGTTCTCCGTCTTGGGGTCCTGCGGGTGGCGAGCATGGGAGAAGAAACGAGGACGTGGGGGATGGTACGGTTAGTAAAGAGGCTGAACGCAACGACGTCTTGGATGGCAAGGGCGAATTATGGTAAATTCAAGGACACAACGTTATTGGCACCGGTATGGTAAATTCCGTGGCAAAATTCGTTGCAACGCCTGCGATGAATTACGACCTGCCAGAAACTGCGAGCGAACGTACCATGCCAGATCCAATGAGGTACTGGATCGTCTTCTCCACGGCGCGCATGTTGACGCGGCCCGAGAGGTAGAGGTAGCGGTTGAGCAGATCGCCGTGGCGATTCTCTTCCGCCGTCCACTGCCGCGTCCAAATTCCCCACGGGGTCGGGCTCGCGCCCGTCTCGTCGCGCGTGCCGTCCAGCGTGTTGAGCATCGTCTGGTACGTCGGTAACGCCTCCTCCGTGATCATGTCGCCAACGAGGGAAACGAAATACTCATCGGGTAACTCCTTCGCCTGTTCGCGCAGCTTCTTGACTTCGTCGATGAAGCTCTCCTTCTCAGGTGACGGGAGGAAGTCAGACGGCTGCCACGAGGACTCGACGGGCTTGAGCAGCGGAAGGAGCGTCTCCTCCGCCCAGCCCTCGAGCGACTGCACGAGCTCGAGTCTCTCGGGGCTGATGGTGTGCGCCCGCTGATTTGTAACCATCTTGTGCTTCTTCGCATCAGTCGATGCGGACGGGCTGATAAAGGAAGGCAGCGGTGGGGGAATAAAGATGGCACAGCGGATGAGGAAAGTACAATTCACGTACTTGCAAGATGAGTATGATTCACGTACTTATAGAAATTAGCCGACATTTTTTCGGCTTACTTCATTCCGCCCTTGCGTGCGTTTTCCTGCATCTCCTACTCCACTACTAGTATTTAGGTGAAGTGTAACGACTGCGACTCACCGAGCTACAGTGGCCGTCATGGCCACCTTGCACCCATTCTGCACCACCTGCACTCTCGTCCCGCGGATGGACTGGCGCGACCCCAAGCGGGCCGCGGCATTGGCGCTGGCGACGTTAAGCGACGCCATCTCTGCAGCTAGCGAGCCAGCCATGAACTAGGATTAAGAAGGTTGATCACGCACACAGGCGAAGTAGCAAAAGCTCACTAGCTGAGGCGAGGGAACCGCAAGTGATCAAATGATGCTGGGCGAGAGGATTGCGATATTTTCAGAAGAAAAGTGACGCTGGGCCGGGGGGTCCGAAGGTCCCAATGACTGCAGGAGGCTTTCTACTGCTCCTCTCTCCCTGCCAGCCTCCCTCCCCCGATTTCCTCTTCCCTAGGCGGAGGTTCTGTTGGAGGCACTGCGCGCTTTCCGCGTTATGTGCTGGCAAGCGATCGGTGTCTCCCCCAACCGCAGTCTCCCACGTGGGAGAGGGGATCGCAGTGCGACAGCGCATAGCAATGGAGTGATCGGTCAGCGTTCCCTTGGGCTTTCCGAGACGGTCGATGAGGGAAAGATGCAGCGATCGAAACCGCTAGAAACAAGCGCGAAAATACAGAGAGCCAGCAACTTTCCAGCTCCATTTTGTGAAACCAATCAGAGGACGATCATGAGTCGAGGCCACGCAATGCAATCATCGAGGTGCAGACAATCGGGGCTCTCCTGGCCTCCCGTCCGTTCGCGTGGACAGCGCACCAGCACTGCGCCTGACGCCGAGCTCCGTCATGCTGTACACTCGATTCCTCTACTATACAATTCGCACAATTACAATCTAATGTTTATATTCACCAGTATTTACGTACATGCATACATCCACGCTTATAGCTGTAGCAGTAAGTAGTGTGATTGAGTCATCATGTCCCTTTGTTAAAAAATAAGAATTTTGAATTAAAAAAGTCCCGGGAAATCTGGTTATAACCTTTACTACTGCATGCTTCAACCATTAACTATCTGTTGTACATCCGGTTCAGAAGTATCTGTATAAGAGAATTTGTAAATAAGTGAATCTCGATTCACCATCTGTAAATGCTTCTCTCTAACGAGGTGCTATTCGCAACCACAATCGAAGATTCTGAGGAGGGCCAGTTGACTTGAGGTTTGTCCCAGCCATTCGCAACCCCACTTCAGATGGAACTCCATACGGAAGTCGTTTCACATGCGGTGGAGCAGCGGGGACACAAGATCGACTTGAGTGCAAGATCCAGCTATTCGCGCCTGCGCTGCCAAGCACTCCCCTAACGCCGAATCCTTCCCGGGGCCTGGCCACCCACGCCCCAGGTGTGCTTGATGGCTCCGATCGAACCAGTTTTCCCTGAAGCCATCACCCCCAAACACGAAACATTTACTTGCGTGTAAGGGCGGGTCCTTTTCGTTCATTTGAATACGGCTCAATGAGATGTCCCACGTTCTACATCGGTCCGATTAGTTTTCAAATTGGTCGGGATGCCATCGAGCCAAAATGAAATGAAAATGACGCGCACTCGTTTTGTACGCAGGATCGAATTGTTGCATCCTTGGATTTGGTCGCCGCAAGTCCCATCGGCCTTGTCACAGCGCCGAGCCAAACCACTGCTCCACCCAAGCCAGTCCACGCTGAGCCAAGAAAAGCTTTCCCATACCAAGCAGCACGAGCTCTTGTGGTAGGCTGGTGGTAGCTGCCCAAGCTGCCGCAAAAATGCCTTTGCGCAGCACAACTATCCCTCAATATTCCGCCATGCACCCCTGTTGCGGTGCGCCCACCAACCCCAAGGCCGCTTTACGCTTTTATTCCGCCAACCAGGCAGACTCTCCGCGCCATGCCCCGACTTTCCCACTTCCCGAACCTGCGCAGGTGGTGCGTGAGGGCCAACATTCCCCCATAATCACATTCGTTTCGCGTTCCATCCACTGCTTACAGACACTTGGCGGGCGGAACTGACCCCCCTGTCAGTTCCGCGCTCATCATTCGCACCGTCCCTCCGCGCGTCCCGACCTCCGCGCAGTCACTTCCCCTGCGATTTCTACCCAATCGCACGCATCTCCCGCACACTGGTCCTCCAGCAGGGACTTTCTGCTTGCGCTCTTTTCGTCTTTCCGTGCGACGCTTTTGAACTTCTAAACTTGCCCTCTAGTCAGCAGAGCCCCTATCAATATTCTGCGAACACATGAATTACCCACTTAGCTGTCGCGACTTTCGCATATTTCCTAGCCAATTTGAAGTTCTTGTCGGCCTTCCCGCTATAGTCCTATTCTCGCATGTGTCCGGAGCTTTTAGGGGAATTCGTAGGAGCAAAGGCGGGGGAAAGCCAGCGCGCCAGCCTGTGGGCCTCGCAGACCGCGGACCGCCAACTCGCGCCTTGTGCGGCCATGAGCGCGGCAGCTAGAGCCAACTCAACCGTCGCCTCGCACACGTCCCACAGCTCCTTATTCCCGCGGCCCTTCCACCTCCCGCAGCCCCCGCTGATCGCGCCGCCGCACATCTCCGCGCAACACTTCCTCTACCTCCAGCAGCAGCAGCGCCGCCTGCAGCTCGTGCAATCGCTACCCATCCCGCAACCCCTCCTCCACCAATCCTCTGTTTCCGCCGGCTCCGCGGCCGCCGCCGTTCCTCCTGCGGTCTCCGAAGCGCGGCTGCCGGCGCCGGCGTACGACTATGCAACGCACGGCGCGGTGATGACGCCGGAGCAGGTGGAGGCGCTGCGGCGGCAGATCGCGGTGTACAGCACCATCTGCCAGCAGCTCGTCGCCATGCACCAGGCGCTCACCGCGCAGCACGCGCACTTCACCGGTCAGTGCGCGCGCCGTTCGCCGCTCGCCGCCGTGTCCCATTTCGTTGCACCGTCTCACACCCCTCTGTACCGTCTTTTTATTGCTTTTTATTGCCTCCCGTTTCGCAAGGCGCCTCTGCTCGTCGTCGCTTTCGGTGATTTGCGTTATGATACAAACGAAAGTCACAACAAGGTTTCTTTGCAGTTGGGTCACTTTTTGCGTCTCAGACGACCGTTGTTCGTGTTGGATGACGTGGTGACTATCGGCTTTGGGTGGCGAAGTCGTTGCAAACACGTGGTTTTCTTGGCAATCACCTCTCGTTAGTAGTCGTCTATCTTTCCGTCGTTTCTCTTCAAGTCAAGATTTCACGTGTAGTCGTCGTGCGTTGAGTGCGTCAGTTCCCTTGCGAGCGCCGTCATTTGTCCGTCTTGAGTTCTCTAGCTGGGCTCAGGAGGCTTAGAGTCTTGCCTCGCTTGTACCCTTGCATACCCCTGTGTGTGTGTGCGTGTGTTTATGTGTTTTTATATGTGAATAATTTCTGTGTGCTTCTAGTCAGTGTAGGCATCCGTACGTCATTAGTCCGCTCTAATTTCTGTTCACGCTTTCGATTCCTCTTTGTTGCTAACCCGTTTTCACTTCAATCGAAGCGCGCGTTCTGTTGACGTTCTCTTAAGCCTTGGACTTGCTCCTAACTTGCACCTTCCCCACTTCTTACAAACCCATCATGCATCTCTTTTCCCGTCCACGTGTCAGCAGCAGCGGCGGCAGCGGGGGTTCTAGGCCATCTCCCCTTTCCCTACGACCACTACGGCGTCGGCTCCGCCGCCATCGCCGCTCACCCGAAGACGCGCCAGCGCTGGACGCCGCAACCCGCGCAGCTGCAGATTCTCGAAAAGTACTTTTCGCTTTCCACGGGCACGCCGAATAAGGCGCGCATTCGGGAGATAACGGCGGAGCTGCAGCAGCACGGGCCTATATCGGAGACTAACGTCTACAACTGGTTTCAGAACCGCAAGGCGCGCGCGAAGCGGAAGAACTCGAATCTCGCGAACGGGGGGAGTGGCGGAGGCGAGAAAGACGCGGGCGGGGGGGAGGCCGCGGGGGCTGTTGCTGCGCATGGGGCAGGGGGAAAGGGGAGCGCGGGGACGGGTTGGGGGAGCCAGGGGGAGAAGCGGCACAAGAGCGACTCGTCGGAGAGAGTAAAGGATGTGACTGTAGAGGGGGAAATGGTTCTCGTGCGCAGCGGCAGCGTGGCGAGTTCAGGCGGAGGTGACGTCAGCAAGGATCCGGACGGGAGGGCAACGCATGAGGCGGGCGAGGGCAGTCCCGGGGGAGTCAGCGCCGCGGGGGGGAGCGCTGGGGCGGCGGGAGGGACCTTCGCGAGCGCGGGGGAAGGCGGGGGAAACCACACCGCGGAGGGGCAGGAGCGGGGCGCAGGGTCGGGGGGGGAAGGCGCGGTGAGCATGGGCGAGGCGGCAGCGGGCGCGGGTGGCGCTTCGGGGGGTGTGTTAATGGAGACCCAGCAGGCGGCGGTCGCCGTGGGAGGCGGCGCCATGGCTGTAGGCGACGGCGCGAATGCTGCAGCGCCTGTGGCTGAAGGGAGCTTGCCACAGTACGGTGGGGAGGGGTGCGTAGCGGCCGAATTTGAGTCCGTTCAGATGGAAACGGGTTTGCTGGGGGATGCGATTGCAGCCATGCGGACTAGCGCTGCTACCGCCGCCGCCGCCTCCGCCGCCGCCGCTGCTGCCGCTGCTGCAACTGTTGCTGAGGGTGGTTTAGGGTCGGGTGATGGTGACAATGGTGCGGGCATGGATATGGGTGACAGTGCGAACCAGGGCGGATGGCAGGCCGCAGGGGAGGGTGCGCTGCAGCAGGTGGGCGCGCAGGTCCACGCGGATACACACGTGAGGCAGCAGCAGCGCCTCGATGCGCCTGGAGAGGCGGCTTCCGCAGCCCACGTGGATGCACACGTGCGCATGGACGGGTGTGGAACGATGGACATGCAGCACGCGCGGACTGGTGACGGCGCACATCTGGGGGGAAGCGGGGGCTTGACTGGCGCGCATGCGCACATGGAGGGGGAGGCGCAGAGCCACATGCGCGCGCCCAGCTGCGAGCACGTGCGCGCATGGGGCGCGCATGGCGCAGGGGAGGGGGTTGAGGCGAGGGGGCTTGGCATGGGCGGGCACGGAATGGCGGAATCTCAGGGGGTCTTGGGGGGTGAGCGGTGCGTGGAGGGGCGGAGTGCGGTGGAGGAGGGGGTTTCGAGAATAGCAGGCGATCATGTGCAGCCAGCGAGCCTGGCAGCCGCGGCAGCACCTGAAAACACGCCTGGAGAAACACCTGGGCATGGGGACTTTAACGGTGGGAGTCACTCGTTGGTGCAGGAATCTCTAAGACCACAGGGTGACGCGAGCGGGGGTATGCGGCATGAGAGTGAGGCAGGTATTGGTGAGCAGAGGGAGCTTGGGGGCGTGCCGTGTGGGCAGGCACAGGTGGTGATACAGCAGGCGGGGCAAGGGGAGAGTATGGCTGGGCAGCAGCAGGAGGTGGAGCAGCGCGCGCAGCAGGAGCAGCAGCTGCCGGGCGTGGAGCATGACAGTGTATTGGCTCCTCCGCTTGCCTGCACGCTTGCTGCTGTGCACACAGCAGAGAGCAGTGTGCATGCACAGGACGATCTGCAGCAGCAGCAGCAGCAGCAGCAGTTGGCGGGCTCGCCTCCACAAGTGATGGTGCCTGCACAGCAGCAGGGCGAGGAGGGTGGGCAGATGGAAGGGTTGGAGGCCGGTGGAGTGGTTACAGGGCAGGCAGGGCAAGATGGGCAAGAGGGGCTAAGTCCCGATGCTGCTGGGGCAGCTGCTGGTAGTGCGGGCAGTGCAGGCAGTGGCAGTGCTGGTGCCGGTGTACAGGATAACGCTGCTGCTGTTCCTGAAGCAATTGATGCTGGTGGTGGCACTGCTGCTGCTGCTGCTGGTGGCGGCGAGGCAGTGATGGATGGTGGTGAGAGTGCGGGTGCTGCGTTGGGTTTCACTGGAGTGGGTGCTGTGGGCATGGGCAGTGAGGTGGGGGCGGAGGCTCAGGAGCAGCAGCACATGCTGATCGACCAAACCATGTTCCACCCACCTCCTCGTAAGTCTGCTCTAAACCCCACCATGCACTTGCACACATCCATGAAACCCATTTTTTGTAGTGCATCCATCACCTCATGCACTCTTGAGCAACAGATTCTCTATAAATCATGCTCTCCTTACCTCCTACCCCTCTTCCATTCTTGTCGATCCAGCCCCTCCAGAGGCGACGAGTGCGATGCAGGTGATGATCAACGGCAAGCCGTGGGACGTGCCTATTGGGCTGCTGGATGTGCGCAACAGCTTTGGGGAGGGCGCCGTGATATTTGATGCACAGGGGTGTGCCGTGCCAACCAACGAGATGGGCATCACTCTTGAGCCTCTGCAGGAAGGCAGCAGCTACACTGTGCAGGGGTGAGGAAGATCAGTCTCTCTTTTCTTCCAACGATAGCCATCATGCCTCCTCTTGCATTGTGGTCAGAATCTGTTTTGCTTTCGTTAATCCATGTACTTTTACCGTTCACCCTCCCCTTTGCTGTTTCCAGGGGCGACATTGCGCTGGTCTCAGATCCCGTATCTCTGTTACCAGATGGTAAGTCGCATTGGCCATTTTCCCCTAACCCCCTCCCCCCCCATTTTTTTGAATGCTCTGCTTTTAAAAAAACGTCAGGCATCCTTTAGGTCTTGCTCATGTTTTCTGTTTGTGTGTGTGCAACAGATGACCTTGTGCCCGACTCTACATTGCTTTGAATCCTCTACACGCTTGTTTTCAAGACTGCACCTGCTGCTGGGTATGTTTGTTTGGACGCTTCCACCAGCCTTTGTCTTATCTGCATTTTGATTTCTCATCAATGAACGTTGCCGTAGGTGTAGTGATGTAGATAATTATTGCCAATTTTGCTGGGAGGAGGGAGGTTGGCGGTTTTTAAGTTTCTATATCAGGCTTGGATAATCATGCACTGTACAACTAGAACCCGATTGATGTGGGCCCCGCAAGTATGCTCCTTTACAATTGCACAGGTGACACTGTTTTAGCATCACCCTTGATCTATTATGGGGCCATAGCTCTTTAGAAGAGTCTTGCAGTGTCCATGGTGTTCAGACAGGCAGCAAGCTATCGAAGGGGACCTGTGCTGGTGGTTATGGGATGAGGATCACATCGTCTGCACGAAAGGTAAACAAGGGTTAATTTGTCAATAGAATGATCCAATCCATCACTTCATAAAAGCTTTACCAGCTTAGACAGCACCTACCAGCCTTGATCACGTTTGGGTCTTCTATGTTGTTGATTTCCAATATCGCTGTCACTGTAGTGTAGTACCTTCTTGCAATGCCATAGAGTGTGTCACCCTGCAAAGTACAACACTTGAATCACTCAGATACATACATGGTGTTTTCCACCTTGAGATGAATGCATACATCTTCGCACTAACCTGCTGAATAGTGTACAAGCGAGGAATCCACAGTGTCTGTCCTTGATGGATAGTATCCGACCGCAGATTGTTAGCCTGATAGGAAGAAAGCAGGTCGAGAGAGAAAAAGGGCTGGCATGAGATGCAAAAGTGGTATGGCGGAAAACGCTTTAATATTGCCGTCAGGAGTTCCTCACCTGTGCAATCACATCCACTGAAGACCCGAAGGCGCGAGAAATAGCGGATAACGAGTCACCTCTTTGGACAACATAGTATGAACGGCCCTCAATGTTTTCTAGTCCTGGAAATACGGAATAAACAGCCACAGTAGGTGCCGTAAGTAGGCATTGTAAACGGGAAGTGTAATGTTTCGATTTTCTGCTTTTTTGAGATATGATATCTTTTCAACAAGGATGCACACAACTTACCACCACCACCACCGAACGGCCGCGAGCGATTAGCGAGCACAAGGAGAGATGCGCCTGCGCCAGTTGCGGCAGCGCCAACGAGGTTTCGACGAGAGAAAGGCGTAGACTCTTCAGACAAGGGTTTCAAGCGGAAACGCTGGGTGTTTCGTGGAGCCAAAGGGACAGCAAATCGTGAGCCGGGGAAGTGCGGCTTTTGAAGGGAAAGCGCAAACGTGGGCATGACGGAAGGGGTGCGAGCTTGCGCGTGAAAAGAAGGGAACACGAGGACGCAGGAGGAGGAGGATGAAGCCGTCCGAAGAAGTGACAGATAACTTGACATGCAACTAGACGCCATAGTTGCCTATGACCCAAGAGAAAAAATCAGCTGTGGAGGGGTAAGCCGCACCAGCTGTGGGCAGACACCAACATTGTCCTGCTGATGAACTGAAGGACTTGCCTGGCTGGCACCCCTCGAGAATGGGAGTCACATTTGACACATTCAAACACAATATTTTCTTGAGGATCAAGACCGTCCTTTACCGAGTATAAGTTTGGAACACCGCATCGGAAGTTGTTTTTGCTTCAAACAAATGCCTAGCCACACATTCTCAACCCAGTCCCTCGATGAAAAGGGAGAACCCATTGGTTTCGTCTTCGCCTCAAGAAGGGCCGTTGGGTTTCGACTTCTCCACTCTCAGCCTCTTCCCTTCACTGCACAGCTACTTAATCCTGTGTTCGTCATCCCGTTCTTCCGTTTTTGGGCGCTGGCGCTTGGCGCATTTCAACTGTCATGGCGACGTCAGTGTTCGAAATGGCTGCAGGAGCGACGATCGGTCTGACTGTCTGTCCCAGAGCCTCTCTCGTTGCTCGTCCGAGGTAGCACCCAACAGATTTCTCGTACAGATAGCTAACGAGTCCGTTCGTACTGTGTCGATAAATTGAGCTCTTATTGTGCCATTGTCATTCACGATCGCGTCGCGTTTCCCCTTCTGTCTGCGTTGTGTGTCTTCCAGGCCAGCTGCCCACCAATGCAGCATGAAGAACCTCAAATCCACGTCATTGTGTGGTGCGTCCTTCTCAATGCGAAGCACTTCAACAGCTGGAGCTGCTGCAGTCTCTGTCGGGAAGAGAGTGTGTGTGGTTGCTGCTACAGGGTTTGGGAAGCCGGGTGGTGGTAAAGGCAAAGGAGACACAAAGGATGCGGAGAAATCCCTTAAGTCCACGATGGAGCTCGATAAGTTCATTGATCAGCTCAGAAGCGCAGGCGATAATGAGGTCCGATTCCCCTGCTTGTTGGATGCATAAATAAGTCTTCGAACCTGGAACGTCCCTGGCTTGGCGCGTTTCATAATATTCTTGCAAGCTGCAACCACCTTTCCGTTGTCTTGAATTCCCGACCCATGTCCTGTTATCGATTCTAATCCAGGCTGACGCTGCCACTCCCTGCACCGCATTGTTTTGCCATGTTTCAGCTGCCTCTTCTGGTGGCTGAAAACGTGCTTGCCTTTGATCAGAAGTTTTGGCTTCGGCTGGTCACACGTGCAGAGTCAAGCTCGTCGGTGGATGACAGGGTAATGCAGGGTGGATGACAAGCTCTCACATCCTAACACCGTATTCTCCTTTATCTCTCTCACCCAATTTTTCTTAACGCCGACTCTGTGTGCCTGTATTTGTGCTTCATAGAGGGATTTCGAGGAGCTGGCCCAGAATGTGATGGAAATTGTGGAGAAGGTGGTTAAGAAAACGCATGTAAGTTGTCCAATATTTACTGCATCTGCATATGGAAAACACCTTTCCACTTTTCATCATACACGTTCCCTTCTTTTATAATATTAGGAGTTTTTGTCACTCCAAACCCTGCCTAATAATCACTCCAGGAAAACATGGACAGCACCAGTGATGCACTGGCATCCATGCTTAGGCAGCTTGGAGATGACAATGAAGAAATCTCTTGGCCTCCTTCAGGGGAGGTCTTGGCCAAGCTGCGACAGGTTAGTAATTCTCATGCCACCTCTTTACACAATGGAGCTCCTGGTAGTATGGAGATTTCTGGTAGCATTTGCATTGCAGGCACTTGCAACCATTTTTACCCACGTGGAACACCCGTGTCTTCTGTCCTGCCAATTTTCAGGAAGTCGAGCAATGGGATGAGGATGGCCGCATTGATGAGAAGTTTCTTGCCTCAGTGTCAGCTCAATTGAGACAGGTATCTCCAGCAAGTCATGTGTTCAGTTCTTTTTCCTTGGTAGTTCATACACAAAAAAGAGTTTCACACAGGCTGTTGCTGTGTTCTATTGTGCAGGCTACAGAGGCCACAGACAAGCCTGGGCTTGTGGCCATGTTGCAGAAGGTCCTTCAGTTATACGCCTCAGCTCGTCTAGGTCGAAGGAGCTATGCAACTCGACGTATGTACTTGTACACTGTTGAAGTCATATATAATGTTTCATATAGTATTTAAGCCTGTTCAATGTTTCCCTGTCCTCTCCCATATTCTATACAGGTGATGGTACCATTGATGAGGCTGAGGAGTTTCTGGAGACACTGATACAAGGTATGAAAAGAATGTTTTTGAAAAAACAAACCATACAAAGCATAAGCAGCTACTTTGCACAGCAGCTACTTGAAAGAATGGCTGACACGGTTGAAAAAACATGCTTGCAGCTCCTGAGGAGACATGGGACTCCCTTCTTCAAACCCGCCTCACTTGCGGAGGTGGGAGTCTTCCAGAAGCTGATTTGTATACCGCCCTCGAGAAGAGGGCAGAGAGAATCTTCATGCGCACTGTAAGTAGACACTGCTCTCATCTTTCTTCAACCGCAACGTCAATGCTCCCATCCATCCATCCAGCTAATTGCCTTTCAACTGCAACGACTCTTCACCTGCAGGAGAGCGGCTCATACGAGCAGAGAATATTGGGAGAGTACTTGAAAGAACTGGAGGCACGAGCCCGAGCAGTTGCTGCTGCCTACTCCACACCTCCTCAGTTGCCATCCTGAATAGCAGACATACAAGCTTGAATCCAGGGCACTGCAAAATCTGTAGATCATTTGCTAAGAAAATCCACCCAGCGAAAGTAGGCATGAGCTGGTGATAGGCATCCTTTCCACACGCTTGAAGGGGCTTCTTGCATTGTGAGAGAATGCTGGCTGTTGCACCTCCGATCCAGAGGCTCCTCGTTTGCGATGATCAGGTACCTGGATAGAATAAATAAAGCAATCACTTCAATATCCATGTCAAGACATACGGTAGTGAAGAAGTGCGTTGCAGCAGGCTGGAACATACAGGAACATGTGTTGCGCCATGGCACTTCAATGCCTTGTCCTCCAATGCCCAAAGCCCTGAACAGCAAATCCTTTCGGCGAAATTTAGAATCGAGTTGGGCAAGAAAACACAAATGAAGCAATCAGAAGAGACATACCTGGTTGTGATGTTGCCAAGTGAGCAGTTGGCCTGTAAATCAGGGCATGATGCTGAATCAACCTTGGGTGTACCATGCTCCCAGAAAAGCACGCTAAAACAGAACCGTCTCTGACATTTTGTTTCTCTTGCACTTCACAGCCCTGGAGAAAAACGCAGGCACAACAAATATCAGATTCCGTGTAGATCAACAACTAGTCCTATGCAATTAGCCAATTTCTTACCTCCATGTAGGACTCATGTGCCATGTGCGGACTCCCAATATCGTGCAGACCATTCTGCATGCGCCTCAACTTTGCATGGCGCGGTGTGGCCTTGCCCTCTGTCCCAACAAGGAGAGGCTGCGGAGGGGCAACAAGGACACGTGACCCCTTTTGCAGCTGCACAGAGGGTGTTTGCTCCTGGTGACCAGCACTGTCGTCTGCTTGCAATTGAGTTCCTGGCAGCTTGAAGGACGGTATGCTCGAATTGATAATGAAGCTTGAGTTACCCCCATGGTCACATGGAAAGAAGTGCCATGGAGAACCTCCGCTGACAGATGGTGACTTTCCATTTACTGCACCATTTGCATGCAAACCTGCCAGAGACCAATACCAGGCTGTTAGACCAGTTACATAAAATTCCTCAAGCATCCAAATCTCAATTCAAGTACCATTATGGTTCCCTCGAGGTAGATCCTTCTTGTTAGCAAGCTTGCTAAGTCTGCGCCTGTGCTTCGCCTCCGCCCTGAGAGAGAATATGACTTGCTCAGCTGGTAGCATCTCCAAAACTGGAACCTCGTCCCCATATTCTGCACACTTCAAATTTGCTCTGTTAGAGGGGCTAATCAGGGGTACAAAAAAGGCTTTGCATAAATTTACTCTGGGGAAAGTCTATACCTGAAAGGGGAAGGTTGATTGTTGTGCATTGCCTCCCAAAAATTGAAATCGCAGCTCTGTCATGAGCTCTTGCTGCATCCTTCTCGTCGTCCCAATTTCCAAGATATCTGCGAACGACATGACAAGTTGTCAAATGAAGGACAAAGCCAGCAATCTTCTACGCAGAGTGTAAAGACAAAAGTGTACATTTTTCGCCTGGAGTTGTAGAGATAAGCTTCCCATCTGCCGCTTGGATCAGAAGACACTCCAGAGAACCTGTGCTTCTTCGTCTGATCCACCTCAAACTCCGTACTCTGAGCTGGAGTCACTGGTGCCAGTGAGTTCTCTGGAGTAAGTGTCACCCTGCAGAACATACGTTTGATTAACATGAGTGAAAACGTTTCAAACCAAACCACAGTGGCATTTTAAATGACAATTCCCGTACTTCGTAGCTCCTCCAATTGCATCCGTCTTCTCCAAATCAAGCTTCAACCTCTTGCTCGCCGGCTCCAATGTTAAGCCTGACCTTGGCAATGCAAGAGCCACGTCAGGCATACTGCTGAGTGATTCCTGAGCAGATACCATCAGAAACTTTGGGGAATTGATAGATGTTGACGTGAAGGGAGAGCCTAAAGTCAGGTTAAGCTCGTCAACGTCCATCTACAATGAGCAAGAAACTCCTAGCTTCTGCTGTAATACTAGTGCAGACGCTACAATGGTCTGAGACTTGAAATGAAGGTGGAGAAGAAGTCCTCGGAAGGGCTAAGCGGAGATCCGCGACGAGAATGAAATGCTGCTTCGCGATATGACAACCTGTGCTAGCTGGGCCTCCCATTGTAATCGACAGCCACCGCCACCAGGCTGACCGAGGGTGGGACAGACACGGCAAACGTCTCCCTGGCTCACCGAAACAAGGTCGAGGTGATGGCCATCACTCAATTGCTGAACTCATTCACTGAAGCCCACAACTGGGCGGCCGGCCTGGTATGTAAGCAGCGACAGCAGCCACCAGTTATGTAGGCGGTCGTAAAGGATGAACACTGCTCTCTTACCATTGCTGCTGTGTCCTCCAAACACCCTGATTCCAGGGCGGGCGTCCGTGATCTCGATGGGACGAATCTGACTTCTGGAAGCTAGATCTGCATTGCCTTGTCAACCCACCCTTCGTGATTGACTCAGGGGTACTACCTAGGTCTCTTGGGTCTCCGAAGGGCAAGAAGGAACCCATTTGACTGACACGTCAGGAAACGTTCAAATCCCACCGAATCAAGGAATGCAAGCTTCCTTCTCTCTAAAGCCTGCACGTGGCACCGATAAGCAGGCGCATGCCGATAAATCACGTGAGAGAAAAGCGTTAACTTCTACAGCGGGAACTGGAGGTAAGCCGCTATACGTTTCACTTTGCCCCCTCGTAGACATGGTAACTCTCCTCTCAGTCCTGCTGCTGATTGGCAATCACAGGTGGCAGTGCCAGCAAATTCTTGCTCGCCGCCTGCATGCGTAAAGCCACGCAGGTGGCTCTCAAGAATTCCTGGATAAAAGTGCGGATCTGGGCAGGTGGCCGTCAGAAGTGAAATATACTGGCGCGCATGCACGAAAATAGAGCGACTAGCGGTGCGAGCAAGCTAGTACAGAACGATTCTTGTGGGTGGCATGTGTAATGCTCTTTATTGAGTTCTCCGAGAAGCTCGAAGGAGACCAAGCATAAAATAGAAACAGTTTGTGATTAAAAGTATCCAGCAGTGAACCTGAATGCTGCTAGCGTCTTGATCATTCATAATGTCAGCTAGTCACAAGCAGATGCAGCAGTGTTGGATTATGTAACGATTTCTGTATTACGGTGCCTATTTTTTGCTGGACACAGAAATTTCTGGCACATGGTGACCTATGTTCGACTTATTCTGGTAAGTGGCCCTCTCAACGTATGGAAAAAGAACAGGTGTATTTTTCTATTTTTTTTAGAAAAGTTTCCAATAACGGATATTTTGGAGAATTGATTGTGACTTGTTCGTGAGGCTCCTGGACCCCGTGATCCAGTTTCCAATACCATTCTGCGGTAGCCATAAGTAGCCAGTGGCACGTCTTTACCGCTGCCCCATTTACGTAAGCGAAGCGACGGTAGTATCTACGATGGATGCTTTCGAGAGCTATTTCCGAGCGGCGGACATGAATGGCGACGGAGTCATTAGCGGGGCCGAGGCCGTCACCTTCTTCAGACGATCTGGCCTTCCTCAGATGACTCTCGCAAAGGCACGTCCGGCGATCATTTTACGGCTTTAACTCTGGAAAGCCTGGTTTTTTTTGTCTTTAATTGACGCAATCCTCTATAAAGGGCCTGCATCACCGTGGCACAACCTTAGGCGGTGTCCTCGTTCAATCCCCATTCGTCCAGATAACATCGCTATCGTGTGCGGTAGTCTCGTATCGTGCGCGATAGCGTCGTGTTACTTGCGATAGCGTGCGAGCATGCAAACGGCCCTTCCCGAGGGTTCATATCAGCCATTCCTTGTCATGCATCCCTGTCTCTACCCCACTCCGTCATCCGCCATCCACCACTTCTGACGTGTTACATTCACCACAGCTCCCGTCCCCCCCGACATTCCGCACTCCCCCACCCACACCCCCGCGCCTCTGCAGGTGTGGCAGTGCTCGGGTGTTGCACCACCCTTACCGCTACCTCCTGTCTGTCATTTGCCACCCTTACCACTACCACCTCCCTGCAGGTGTGTCAGTACTCCGCGGACGTGCGTCAGGCTGGCGCGCTCACCAATCTGAACATGAGTGAGATTCCATTCTCCACCACACTTACCTCTACCCCCTGTTTCTCATCTGCCACCTTACCACTCCTCCCCTCAACAGGTGTGGCAGTACTCGGACGTGCGCCAGGCTGGCTCGCTCACGCGCCCCGAGTTCTTCAACGCGCTGCGCCTCGTCACGGTAGCGCAGTCGGGTCGAGACCTCACCCCTGACCTCGTGCGCGCCGCGCTCAACGGCCCTGCCGCCTCGCAGATCCCCCCTCCGCGCATCGCTGGAGCTGCTGTTCCCACTGCTCCCCCTCCTGCCGCTGGTGCTCCTGCGGGTGGTGCTGCTGCTCCCCCTGCTGCTCGTGGGCCTGCTCCTGCTCCGTCTGCTGCTGCTGCTGCCGCTGCTGCTGCCACTGCCGCAACACCTGCAGCAGCAGCAGCAGCAGCAGCCTCAGCTGCCCCGTCGCCCGTCGCCTACTCCCACTCGTCCGGGGATGGGACCAGGCGCCGTGGCTGCCCCACAGCCTCTCTCCTCCTTCCGTACTGGCCTCAGCGTAGGCTCCGCCAGTGCAGGACTAGGCTCGGAAGGGCTGACAGCAGCAGCGGCAGCAGCAGGGCTGAAGCTGAAGCAGCCTGGCGCTTTGTCGGACGTTTTTGCTGAGTTTGGTTCGTTTGATGTCAAGTCTAAGTCTGTGCAGCCTACTAGTGCGCCTGTGAGGCGGGAGGTGCCGGGGTCGCTGCAGCAGCAGCAGCAGCAAGCGCAGATGGGGACGATTCAGCTGCAGCAGCAGATGGCTGTTAAGCAGCAGCAGGACCAGTTGCAGCAACAGCAGCAGCAGTTGCAGCAGCAGCAGCAGCTGCAGCAGCAGCAGCAACAGCAGCAGCAGTTGCAGCAGCAGCAGCAGCAGCAGCAGCAGGTGCAGCAGCAACAGCAGTTACAGCAACAACAGGCGTTCCCACCACCACAGCAGCAGCAAGCGGCAGGGGAGGAGAAGCCATCCCAAGGGCCTGCACCTGCTGCCGTTACGTCCGCCCCTGCTGCCCCTTCTGCACCTACCACTGCCGGCCCTGCTGCTGCTGACCAAAACATGTCTTCCATTGCGCAGCCTCTTCCTGCCCCTGCTCCGGCTGCTGCTCCTGCTGCAGCTCCTGCTGCGCCTGCTGCGTCCGAGCCCACAGCAGCAAGTTCAGGAGCTGGAGATACGGGTATACAGGCAGCAGCAGCAGTGCAGGATGCAGACAAGAAGGGGGCTGGTGAAATTAGCACAGGAGCAGCTGGAGCAGCAGGAGCAGCAGCAACAGCGGAGGGAGCAGGAGGGAAGGTGAAAAGGACAGCAGACGACATTGCAAAGGCATCTCTGAATGCGTTTCTTATCGGGGGCGTGTCTAACGCCATGGTGCCCAAGCAACCCCCCCCAGCCCCAGCAGCAGCAGGAGCAGGAGCAGGGGTAGGAACAGGGCAGTTCGTTACAAGTCAAGCCGTTGTGCCTGCTGCCGCCCCTGGTGCTGTTGTCGCTGCTGGGGTGGCAGCAGCAACAGCAGGGGGAGCGGCGGCAGCAGCAGGGGGGCCAGCAGGAGGGGGGTATGTGATGGTTCCGGGTGACCCTCAGCCATGGCCCCGAATCACAGTGGCAGAGGTGCAGCGCTGTGCGCAGGTGTTCAGTGCGGTTGACACGGATAGAGATGGCAAGATTACAGGGGCGCAGGCGAGGAAGCTGCTGATGAGCTACAAGGTTCCCATCGGTGAGCTCTCCTCCCGCTCTTTCCTTCTCGTCCCACTGCCTCTCTCCTACCTCCTTCCCTCCTCTTGCCCTCCCTCCCTCTTTGATTCCTCCATGTCTCTCAAATGTCGCCCATTCCCCTCTGCTCTTCCTCTCCATCTTTCTGCTCAATCCTGCTTGCCCATCCCTCGTTACAACATCCCTTCCCCCCTCAACCACGCCCCCCTCCCCTTCCCCCTTCTCCCAGACGTGCTGAAGCGGGTGTGGGACATGGCAGACCAGGACAAGGACGGCATGCTCACCCTGCGAGAGCTCTGCACCGCTCTGTACCTCATCAACCACGTGAAGGCGGGCCGGCAGCTACCGCCCACCCTGCCCCAGGGCATCCACCTGGACGAGCAGCCGCCACCCCCCGCTGCCGCTGGTGCTGCTTCTGCACCTACCGCTGCTTCAGCTGCCGTGTCAGCCAGCGCAGCTGGCCCTGCTGCTGCTGCTGCTGCTGCTGCAGGGGGGCCGGGAGGGGAGGGAGGAGGGGGTGCGGCAGGTGGGGCAGGTGCGCCGGCAGTGTCTGCTTGGAGACACCAGCCAGGTGCGTGGGGCGGTGAGGGGCAAGGGGCATGCATGGGGTCACGTGAGCCCCTGCTGTGCGTGCGCGTGTGGGCTTCAACAGGTACCTGCAATGTTCCATACGAGTGTATGCTATGCTGGCTCAGCATAAGACAGCTGCCATTTGTGCCGCGGCACTCTTTGAATCATTGTATGCTTTGGGTGGCCCCTTGTGCATAGCTTGCCTCATCTGCGCTTCCTTCTGCGAATCATATTCTTAACCACCATCTCCCATGCCGTGCCAGCAGTGAGTGCCACACCCGAGCAGCAACAGCAGCAACAGCAGCAACAGCAGCAACAGCGGCCAACAGTAGTGGTGCGTCACTTACCCCCTTTTCCTCCTTTTCATGTGCCTGTTTCATGCCTTTCTCTTTCCTTTTATTCTCTATCATGGTCCCAACCTCCTTCCCTCTCTTGCATCCCTGCTCCCCTCCCTCTCCCTTTCCCACCCCCCCTGCGTCATCATAATATTGATTTTTTTTGCTTTGCTTTGACCTTAAATTGTGATGTTGAAGCCTGTTGGTTTTCATGTAACCCATGCCCTTGCCCCACCACGCATCCCCATGCACACGCCATCAGCTGACGGGAGTGGGGCAGATGCCGGTGCCAGCAGAAGCAGGAGACGTGGATGCGTCATGGCCCGTGTACCGCTCCCAGGCGCCCGACCTGGAGAGCAAGAAGGTGGCTCCCCACAACACAACACATCCCAATCTCACATGCATGCCCGACCCATGCCCTACTTAACATGCGAACCCACATTTACCAGCTGACGGGAGTGGGGCAGATGCCGGTGCCGGCAGAAGCAGGAGATGTGGATGCATCAAGGCCCGTGTACCGCTCCCAGGCTCCTGACCTGGAGGGGGAGAAGGTGGCTCAGCTGGACGCGGAGGAGAGGGAGAAGATTGAGAGCAAGCACAAGGAGGCTGAGGAGATCGGGAAGAAAGTGAGTGAGATGTCGTGATTGGGAAAAAGGTAAGCAGGGGTGAGAGGGATGAGGATGAGGTGGGTTTGGTTGGGGGAAGGGGGGGGAAGGGAGGGCGGTGAACACATTAACGGGGAGGAACACATTGGCGAGTCCTGTGTTTTGGTGATGTGAGGCTGTGAGCTCGCTGGACGGTATGTCGAATTTTGTCTCATCTTGTTGGCCAACCTAGGGATGAGCATATGGCGAACGCGAACATGTTCGCGTTCGTTTTAGCTCGAACAGGGCTGTTCGGCGAACCGAACAAGGGTGTTCGAAGTTCGCCAAGAGAGGCGAACATTTCGTACGTTTTGGCGAACACGAACACGTTCGCCAATAACATGTTTGCGTTCGCCTTTGAGGGGTTGGCACTACAATTCTACAGAGTAAATAGAGGCTACGTTCTTAGTATTGAACATCGAAGTCACCATAATGCCTAAACGCCATACTTAACTAAGTTCAGTTTAGGGCCTATGCTACTACTAGAAGGTGAGGGTGAGGTAGGTTGTTGTGGGGTGGGCGCGCTGTTGGGAGCGCCATAGTCGACAAACTAAAAAAAATGAGCCCAAATGGTAAGGGCCGCGACCCTAAATTAGGTCGCGGCATTTTCGTCAGCGAACATTTTCGGTGTTCGTCGATGTACGTGTCGAACACGAACATGTTCGTGTTCGACGCGCCTCGGCACATCGAGGCGCACGAACAGCGAACATGTTCGCCCGAACGTCGAACATGTTCGGGACGAACATTTTTTGGCAAAAAAAAACCCCGTTCGGTTCGTCTCGAACATGTTCGAGACGAACCGAACGGGTGTTCGCCAATATGCTCATCCCTAGGCCAACCCATCCCCCATCTCCCCGCTCCGCTCCCTCCCTAGCGCTCACTCTCTCTCGCTCACTCTTCTGACACGGTTGATTTGTGTGCGTGACTGCCCTCATGTGTGCGTGACTGCCCCTGTGTGTGCGAGACTGCCCCTGTGTGTGCGAGACTGCCCCTGTGTGTGCGTGACTGCCCCTGTGTGTGCGAGACTGCCCCCGTCAACCCGTGTGTTGGTGACTGGTACCGGTATGCTTACATGCTGCCACGAGCAGGTGTGGGAGACGGAGCTACAGATAGGGGACTACAGGCGCAAGATCGACTTCTATCACGCCGCCCAACCCAACCCCCTCCCCCCTCTCCCCACTCTGTGTGTGTGACCCACCCCCGGTGTGTGCGTGACTGCCGCCCCTGTGCGTGTGTGTGCATGACGCGCGCAGGTGTGGGAGACGGAGCTACAGATAGCGGACTACAGGCGCAAGATCGACTTCTATCGTGTCAAGATGCAGGAGATCGTGAGTCCCTACCCTGCCTGCCTGCTCTCCCTCTCTTCACTCCACCCCCGCGTTGCCCTGACTATTTTGGATTCAGCCCTGCTGGTTGTGTTTTCTGCTCTTGCTTTATGCACGCAATGCAACTCGTTCTTGTCCCCCCCAGTGTGCCACCCTGACCGTATCATGCCATTCGCTCTCGCTTCATGCATGCAATGCAGTTAATTCCATCAGTCCCATTCTTTTTTATCAGTCCCACTGTCAGTTAGCTCGCATGCGTATCTCATCCCGCACTCATCCTTTTTTGTTGCATCCCTGCACCTGTGTGCTTCTTCCCATGGCCCGCCTGCCATTGTGCATGTGTGTGCTGTGCCACTGCCGTGCCACGGGTGGCATCAGATCATGTTCAAGAGCCGCTGTGACAACCGTTTGAATGACGTCACGGAGCAAGTGGCAGCGGAGAAGAGGCATGTGAGTGGCGGGGGGCGGTAACAACCGCTTGGCTAGGGGGTAAGGGGGCATGTGGGTGGCCGGGGTTGAGGGGGCATGTGAGTGGCTGGGGGGTGGGAGGCATGTGAGTGGCAGGCGAACAAGGTGCTATCTATCGTTCATATAGAACCACGAGGCGCCCCTAATGCCTCCATCGTTGCCATTGTTTTTGGTTGTGAAGCCCTCAGTTGGAGCCTTGTAGTCCCTCAGAAAGTTTTCCTGTTGGCTTTATTCCTCTATTCCCCCTCACCACCTCCGATGCACCCGTGGTGCTGTATGGTGTGGTGCGGTGTGGCATGGTGTGGCATGGTGTGGCATGGTGTGGCATGGTGTGGTGTGGTCTGATGGTGTGCCATGGCAGTACGACATGCTGTGCAAGCGCTACGACGAGCGCTTCAAGGCATCCATGCCAGGTGTCAAGTCGCGATTGGCCTACGAGGACAGCGTGCTAAAGGAGCTGCAGGTGGGCGTCTCTCGGTGTTGAATTGCTGCCCGCTGCTGCTTTGTGTTGGATCCTCTCATCCACCATGCCATGTGGTTCCATTCCATGCCAAGATATCTTCCCACGTGCCACCCTGTGTGCCAAACCATCGCCTCCCCACGTGCCTCCCCTTATGCCACCTCATTCACATGCCCCCACCACCAGGATCGCAAGGCAGCGCTGATGGAGGTGGTGTCGCGATTCCGAGCCACCACCACCGCTGACGCCTCCGACCTGCTGCAGGTGCGTGCGCGCTCGCTTGCTGCACGCCCTTGCCGTTGCCAGAGCAGAGGCCCCTTCTCTCCTCTCCAATCCTCTTCGCGCGTCGCTCCTCTCTTCTAGTCTTTCCACTCTCCTCGTCTCTCTCGTCTCCTCTCTCTTCTCCCCATCATCGCTCGTCGCCCCACCATCCCAGTGTGCCTCACATCAGCCAGCGTGCAAGGCTATTTCGCCTCATCCCTTCCACCACCCCCAGTGTATCATTGCCCCTCTCCCCAGGGCACACATGACCACCCTCTCTTCCATTCCGCCACCCCTGTCAATCCAATCCCCTCTCCCCTCTCCCCTCTCCCCTCTCCCCAGGGCCGAGCGAACAAGCTGGGCATGGACCTGGAGGACACACGGAGGTAGCTGGGACGTGCGTCACCACCCTCTCTTCCACTCCACCACCCCCGTCATCCCCTCCCCCCTCTCCCGTCTCGCCCATCCCACCAGGGCCGGGCAGACAAGCTGGGCATGGACCTGGAGGACGCACGGAGGGCCATCAACCGCCAGGCCAAGGACCTGGGGCTCAAAGTGCGGCCCCTGCTCGGCGCTGCCTCGGGGCCTGATGGTATTCGCGCTCCCTCTCACTCGCTCCCACACACTCGCTCCCACTCACGCTTGCTCCCGTTCTGATTGTGCTTCTTGCTCTCTTCTTTCTTTCCTGGTTTCATCCATGCGGATTGTGTTTCTTGAGGCATCATTCTCTTCATCCACCACCCCTGCCTGACTGTTTCTGCTTGGCTTGCCTTCCTGTTCGGCCGTGTATGCCTGCACTGCTCGCACATGCATGCATGCATGCATGTTGCTCTGGACACGCTACCATGCATCAACGCATGAATCATGCATGCATGAATGCATGTTGACCATGTTGGGTTGTGAATGCATTATGTGTGCAGCGTGGCGAGTGGCCCTGCAGGAGAACATGGCGGACTGTGATGATGACTGGGACGAGTTCATGGAGCAAGGTGAGCCCGCGCTAGGTGGGGTGAGGTGAGGGGAGGTGGAATGCGGTGGAGTGAGGTCTCTAGAGACATCTCAAATATGGCAGACTGTGATGATGACTGGGACGAATTGATGGACCAAGGTGAGCCCGGTGATGTGGTGAGGTGAGGTGAGGTGAGGTGAGGTGAGGTGAGGTGAGGTGAAAACGGGACTGCGATGATGATTGGGACGAGTTTATGGACCGAGGTGAGGTGATGCCCAGGTGAGGTGAGGTGGGCCTTTCCTCACCACCTCGTGGCCATGTGCGGTCTTGTAAGCCACTGTGGCATGACTGTCACACCTGCTCACACGTGCACCTCTCTCCATCCCGCCACTCCTCCATCCGCTAGTTCGAGATGCCTCAAAGTCACCTCCCTTCATCCTCTCACTCCCCCCCTTCACAGGCTTCTCTGTGGTGCGCTCGCACATGGTGATCTGCTGGGGGGAGACGACGACGAGTCAGTCTGATAGAGCTTGCAACCACCTCCTTCCACCCCCCACTCCCCATCCACCCACCCTCCCTCATCCTCTCATACACCCCTGCGCAGGCTTCTCTGTGGTGCGATCGCGAACAGAGGACCTGCTGGGGGGAGACGACGACGAGCCAGCGCCCCTCATCCCCCCCCGCCCCATCAACCCCTCCACCCCGCCCCCCGCCCCCTGCCCTTTGCTCCTGCTGCTGCCCCCACCCCCCCCTCGACAGGCTTCTCAGTGGTGCGATCGCGCACGGACGACCTGCTGGGGGGAGACGATGACGAGCCAGCGCCCCTCATCCCCCTCGGCCCCGTCACCCCCTCCGCTCCGGCCCTCGCCCCCGCTGCCCCACCTCCTGCTGCCGCTCCTGCTGCTGCTGCCGCTGCTGGTGAGGGTGCTGATGGTGGTGGTGCTTCTGGGGGTGCTGTGTCGGCTTGGGCCCTACTGGAGGAGGAGGAGGAGAGGAGGGCGCGGGAGGAGGTGGACGAGGAAGAGAGAGAGGAGGAAGAGGAGGAGGAAGGGAGGGAGGAGGGCAGGGGGGTTGGACAGCTGGGCGGGTGGTCTAGAGGCAGTGGGAGGGGGCGAGGGGGGATGGGCGAGGAGGAGGAGGAAGGAGGGCATGTGGTGGAGGAGGAACCTGAAACGCCTCAAGGGTAAGTTTCCCACACGCTTGAGTTAAAAAAGGAGTTCCCCACTTGTCTGCAAAAGTTTGAAATAATCTACAGGTCACATAACTGGGAAGATAGTAGCTAGTGCTTTCACTTCCTTTTGTCAGCCCATCCAGATTTGTATTCTCCCTTACTGCTCATCTCCTTCATTCCCATCAGCCGCACCTTTCTTTCTATGCTTTGCGCCGTCACCTGCTCTTACCCCTGTGTGCTCTCAGCCCATCGGCGTGGGACAACCGCTTCGGATTCACAGCCTCGGGAGTGGACTCGCCCTCGGTCTCGCAGGTCAGTCCCCCACCTCCCATCATGCCGCTGCCACTGCTTCTTCACCCCCCTCCTCTCTGCCCTTGCTTCGCATATTTCCTCTCACCTGTCCCTCTCACCCCCTTTCTACCCCACCTTCTCTGCTAGAAGTTACTAAAACTATGCATACCCCTCCCCAGAGCTTTCTTCTCCTTTCCCTGTGCACTGGTTAACCACCCTCATCTTCTTGTCCCATACATCTTGTTTTATTCCCCCCCGCCCACCCAATCACAGTCCATGGACTTCCAGCCCTCAGCCTTCGCAGGCCAAGATTTTGCCTCGGGATTCGACCATCATTTTGACGCCACAGGCTCGGGCTTCCGAGCCTCCAGCCAGTATGACTCCAACTTCCGAGCCTCAAGCGAGTTTGACTCGCACGCACAAGCACACCCAGAGGATTCAGCAAGTGCATCCGAGCAGTCAGGGCTGGGGTTTGGTCGCCCGGACGATTACGCTGAGGTGGCTTCGGGCGGCGCTGCAGGATTTGATTCTGCTGCGGGGTTTGATTCTGCGTATGGAAGTGGGAGGGGCGGCGGTGTGTCGGCGTCACGATTTGATGAGCATGTGGGGGAGGAGGATGCTTCTTCTGCAGACAACACTCCCATGGCAGGCACTGCAGGGCATTTCTCACAGCGTGGATGGGGTGCTTTCTGAACACTGCACTGCAGCCCCACTGCTTTTTATTCACAACCACCACCATGCCGTTGGGGAACTGACAGCATGGGTGGACTCTTGATGATTGTTTTAGCGGCATGTTTACTTGAGAGTGGAAGTACTGGGTACATGGATGGACACAAATTCTATGGACGTGGGTTGGAATCTTCATGTGTAATCTTCAGCACTATAACTTCCACTTCTATGTCACACAACATTGTAACATATGGAATGCTGGGTAACCCTAACTATCATTCACCAAACCACCATCACGGCACTGCCTGCCTAGCAAACGCAGGTCCCAAGTAAAACCTTCGCACCAGAGGGTCCTCCAACACCTCCTCCGGCGTGCCACATGCCACGACCCTTCCCTCATGCATCACGTATGCGCGGTCGCACACGCCCAGTGTCTCCGTCACGTTGTGATCCGTGATGAGAATGGCCATGCCGTCATGCTCCCTTAAACTGCTCAGCATGCTCTGCATCAGCTGCACCCCTATGGGGTCCACGCCTGCGAATGGTTCATCTACCATTAACAACCGCGGCGGGTTGCATTCGCTGTCCTTTACTGCCAGGGCACGAGCGACTTCCTGTGGGTCCAGAGGGGATGCGGGAGGAGGGTGGGGAAGGGGGAGGGAGATGATGGGTGGGGAGCAGCATGGGAGCAGAGCATGGGAGCAGAGCATGGGAGCAGAGCATGGGAGCAGAGCATGGGAGCAGAGCATGGGAGCAGAGCATGGGAGCAGAGCATGGGAGCAGAGCATGGGAGCAGAGCATGGGAGCAGAGCATGGGAGCAGAGCATGGGAGCAGAGCATGGGAGCAGAGCATGGGAGCAGAGCATGGGAGCAGAGCATGGGAGCAGAGCATGGGAGCAGAGCATGGGAGCAGAGCATGGGAGCAGAGCATGGGAGCAGAGCATGGGAGCAGAGCATGGGAGCAGAGCATGGGAGCAGAGCATGGGAGCAGAGCATGGGAGCAGAGCATGGGAGCAGAGCATGGGAGCAGAGCATGGGAGCAGAGCATGGGAGCAGAGCATGGGAGCAGAGCATGGGAGCAGAGCATGGGAGCAGAGCATGGGAGCAGAGCATGGGAGCAGAGCATGGGAGCAGAGCATGGGAGCAGAGCATGGGAGCAGAGCATGGGAGCAGAGCATGGGAGCAGAGCATGGGAGCAGAGCATGGGAGCAGAGCATGGGAGCAGAGCATGGGAGCAGAGCATGGGAGCAGAGCATGGGAGCAGAGCATGGGAGCAGAGCATGGGAGCAGAGCATGGGAGCAGAGCATGGGAGCAGAGCATGGGAGCAGAGCATGGGAGCAGAGCATGGGAGCAGAGCATGGGAGCAGAGCATGGGAGCAGAGCATGGGAGCAGAGCATGGGAGCAGAGCATGGGAGCAGAGCATGGGAGCAGAGCATGGGAGCAGAGCATGGGAGCAGAGCATGGGAGCAGAGCATGGGAGCAGAGCATGGGAGCAGAGCATGGGAGCAGAGCATGGGAGCAGAGCATGGGAGCAGAGCATGGGAGCAGAGCATGGGAGCAGAGCATGGGAGCAGAGCATGGGAGCAGAGCATGGGAGCAGAGCATGGGAGCAGAGCATGGGAGCAGAGCATGGGAGCAGAGCATGGGAGCAGAGCATGGGAGCAGAGCATGGGAGCAGAGCATGGGAGCAGAGCATGGGAGCAGAGCATGGGAGCAGAGCATGGGAGCAGAGCATGGGAGCAGAGCATGGGAGCAGAGCATGGGAGCAGAGCATGGGAGCAGAGCATGGGAGCAGAGCATGGGAGCAGAGCATGGGAGCAGAGCATGGGAGCAGAGCATGGGAGCAGAGCATGGGAGCAGAGCATGGGAGCAGAGCATGGGAGCAGAGCATGGGAGCAGAGCATGGGAGCAGAGCATGGGAGCAGAGCATGGGAGCAGAGCATGGGAGCAGAGCATGGGAGCAGAGCATGGGAGCAGAGCATGGGAGCAGAGCATGGGAGCAGAGCATGGGAGCAGAGCATGGGAGCAGAGCATGGGAGCAGAGCATGGGAGCAGAGCATGGGAGCAGAGCATGGGAGCAGAGCATGGGAGCAGAGCATGGGAGCAGAGCATGGGAGCAGAGCATGGGAGCAGAGCATGGGAGCAGAGCATGGGAGCAGAGCATGGGAGCAGAGCATGGGAGCAGAGCATGGGAGCAGAGCATGGGAGCAGAGCATGGGAGCAGAGCATGGGAGCAGAGCATGGGAGCAGAGCATGGGAGCAGAGCATGGGAGCAGAGCATGGGAGCAGAGCATGGGAGCAGAGCATGGGAGCAGAGCATGGGAGCAGAGCATGGGAGCAGAGCATGGGAGCAGAGCATGGGAGCAGAGCATGGGAGCAGAGCATGGGAGCAGAGCATGGGAGCAGAGCATGGGAGCAGAGCATGGGAGCAGAGCATGGGAGCAGAGCATGGGAGCAGAGCATGGGAGCAGAGCATGGGAGCAGAGCATGGGAGCAGAGCATGGGAGCAGAGCATGGGAGCAGAGCATGGGAGCAGAGCATGGGAGCAGAGCATGGGAGCAGAGCATGGGAGCAGAGCATGGGAGCAGAGCATGGGAGCAGAGCATGGGAGCAGAGCATGGGAGCAGAGCATGGGAGCAGAGCATGGGAGCAGAGCATGGGAGCAGAGCATGGGAGCAGAGCATGGGAGCAGAGCATGGGAGCAGAGCATGGGAGCAGAGCATGGGAGCAGAGCATGGGAGCAGAGCATGGGAGCAGAGCATGGGAGCAGAGCATGGGAGCAGAGCATGGGAGCAGAGCATGGGAGCAGAGCATGGGAGCAGAGCATGGGAGCAGAGCATGGGAGCAGAGCATGGGAGCAGAGCATGGGAGCAGAGCATGGGAGCAGAGCATGGGAGCAGAGCATGGGAGCAGAGCATGGGAGCAGAGCATGGGAGCAGAGCATGGGAGCAGAGCATGGGAGCAGAGCATGGGAGCAGAGCATGGGAGCAGAGCATGGGAGCAGAGCATGGGAGCAGAGCATGGGAGCAGAGCATGGGAGCAGAGCATGGGAGCAGAGCATGGGAGCAGAGCATGGGAGCAGAGCATGGGAGCAGAGCATGGGAGCAGAGCATGGGAGCAGAGCATGGGAGCAGAGCATGGGAGCAGAGCATGGGAGCAGAGCATGGGAGCAGAGCATGGGAGCAGAGCATGGGAGCAGAGCATGGGAGCAGAGCATGGGAGCAGAGCATGGGAGCAGAGCATGGGAGCAGAGCATGGGAGCAGAGCATGGGAGCAGAGCATGGGAGCAGAGCATGGGAGCAGAGCATGGGAGCAGAGCATGGGAGCAGAGCATGGGAGCAGAGCATGGGAGCAGAGCATGGGAGCAGAGCATGGGAGCAGAGCATGGGAGCAGAGCATGGGAGCAGAGCATGGGAGCAGAGCATGGGAGCAGAGCATGGGAGCAGAGCATGGGAGCAGAGCATGGGAGCAGAGCATGGGAGCAGAGCATGGGAGCAGAGCATGGGAGCAGAGCATGGGAGCAGAGCATGGGAGCAGAGCATGGGAGCAGAGCATGGGAGCAGAGCATGGGAGCAGAGCATGGGAGCAGAGCATGGGAGCAGAGCATGGGAGCAGAGCATGGGAGCAGAGCATGGGAGCAGAGCATGGGAGCAGAGCATGGGAGCAGAGCATGGGAGCAGAGCATGGGAGCAGAGCATGGGAGCAGAGCATGGGAGCAGAGCATGGGAGCAGAGCATGGGAGCAGAGCATGGGAGCAGAGCATGGGAGCAGAGCATGGGAGCAGAGCATGGGAGCAGAGCATGGGAGCAGAGCATGGGAGCAGAGCATGGGAGCAGAGCATGGGAGCAGAGCATGGGAGCAGAGCATGGGAGCAGAGCATGGGAGCAGAGCATGGGAGCAGAGCATGGGAGCAGAGCATGGGAGCAGAGCATGGGAGCAGAGCATGGGAGCAGAGCATGGGAGCAGAGCATGGGAGCAGAGCATGGGAGCAGAGCATGGGAGCAGAGCATGGGAGCAGAGCATGGGAGCAGAGCATGGGAGCAGAGCATGGGAGCAGAGCATGGGAGCAGAGCATGGGAGCAGAGCATGGGAGCAGAGCATGGGAGCAGAGCATGGGAGCAGAGCATGGGAGCAGAGCATGGGAGCAGAGCATGGGAGCAGAGCATGGGAGCAGAGCATGGGAGCAGAGCATGGGAGCAGAGCATGGGAGCAGAGCATGGGAGCAGAGCATGGGAGCAGAGCATGGGAGCAGAGCATGGGAGCAGAGCATGGGAGCAGAGCATGGGAGCAGAGCATGGGAGCAGAGCATGGGAGCAGAGCATGGGAGCAGAGCATGGGAGCAGAGCATGGGAGCAGAGCATGGGAGCAGAGCATGGGAGCAGAGCATGGGAGCAGAGCATGGGAGCAGAGCATGGGAGCAGAGCATGGGAGCAGAGCATGGGAGCAGAGCATGGGAGCAGAGCATGGGAGCAGAGCATGGGAGCAGAGCATGGGAGCAGAGCATGGGAGCAGAGCATGGGAGCAGAGCATGGGAGCAGAGCATGGGAGCAGAGCATGGGAGCAGAGCATGGGAGCAGAGCATGGGAGCAGAGCATGGGAGCAGAGCATGGGAGCAGAGCATGGGAGCAGAGCATGGGAGCAGAGCATGGGAGCAGAGCATGGGAGCAGAGCATGGGAGCAGAGCATGGGAGCAGAGCATGGGAGCAGAGCATGGGAGCAGAGCATGGGAGCAGAGCATGGGAGCAGAGCATGGGAGCAGAGCATGGGAGCAGAGCATGGGAGCAGAGCATGGGAGCAGAGCATGGGAGCAGAGCATGGGAGCAGAGCATGGGAGCAGAGCATGGGAGCAGAGCATGGGAGCAGAGCATGGGAGCAGAGCATGGGAGCAGAGCATGGGAGCAGAGCATGGGAGCAGAGCATGGGAGCAGAGCATGGGAGCAGAGCATGGGAGCAGAGCATGGGAGCAGAGCATGGGAGCAGAGCATGGGAGCAGAGCATGGGAGCAGAGCATGGGAGCAGAGCATGGGAGCAGAGCATGGGAGCAGAGCATGGGAGCAGAGCATGGGAGCAGAGCATGGGAGCAGAGCATGGGAGCAGAGCATGGGAGCAGAGCATGGGAGCAGAGCATGGGAGCAGAGCATGGGAGCAGAGCATGGGAGCAGAGCATGGGAGCAGAGCATGGGAGCAGAGCATGGGAGCAGAGCATGGGAGCAGAGCATGGGAGCAGAGCATGGGAGCAGAGCATGGGAGCAGAGCATGGGAGCAGAGCATGGGAGCAGAGCATGGGAGCAGAGCATGGGAGCAGAGCATGGGAGCAGAGCATGGGAGCAGAGCATGGGAGCAGAGCATGGGAGCAGAGCATGGGAGCAGAGCATGGGAGCAGAGCATGGGAGCAGAGCATGGGAGCAGAGCATGGGAGCAGAGCATGGGAGCAGAGCATGGGAGCAGAGCATGGGAGCAGAGCATGGGAGCAGAGCATGGGAGCAGAGCATGGGAGCAGAGCATGGGAGCAGAGCATGGGAGCAGAGCATGGGAGCAGAGCATGGGAGCAGAGCATGGGAGCAGAGCATGGGAGCAGAGCATGGGAGCAGAGCATGGGAGCAGAGCATGGGAGCAGAGCATGGGAGCAGAGCATGGGAGCAGAGCATGGGAGCAGAGCATGGGAGCAGAGCATGGGAGCAGAGCATGGGAGCAGAGCATGGGAGCAGAGCATGGGAGCAGAGCATGGGAGCAGAGCATGGGAGCAGAGCATGGGAGCAGAGCATGGGAGCAGAGCATGGGAGCAGAGCATGGGAGCAGAGCATGGGAGCAGAGCATGGGAGCAGAGCATGGGAGCAGAGCATGGGAGCAGAGCATGGGAGCAGAGCATGGGAGCAGAGCATGGGAGCAGAGCATGGGAGCAGAGCATGGGAGCAGAGCATGGGAGCAGAGCATGGGAGCAGAGCATGGGAGCAGAGCATGGGAGCAGAGCATGGGAGCAGAGCATGGGAGCAGAGCATGGGAGCAGAGCATGGGAGCAGAGCATGGGAGCAGAGCATGGGAGCAGAGCATGGGAGCAGAGCATGGGAGCAGAGCATGGGAGCAGAGCATGGGAGCAGAGCATGGGAGCAGAGCATGGGAGCAGAGCATGGGAGCAGAGCATGGGAGCAGAGCATGGGAGCAGAGCATGGGAGCAGAGCATGGGAGCAGAGCATGGGAGCAGAGCATGGGAGCAGAGCATGGGAGCAGAGCATGGGAGCAGAGCATGGGAGCAGAGCATGGGAGCAGAGCATGGGAGCAGAGCATGGGAGCAGAGCATGGGAGCAGAGCATGGGAGCAGAGCATGGGAGCAGAGCATGGGAGCAGAGCATGGGAGCAGAGCATGGGAGCAGAGCATGGGAGCAGAGCATGGGAGCAGAGCATGGGAGCAGAGCATGGGAGCAGAGCATGGGAGCAGAGCATGGGAGCAGAGCATGGGAGCAGAGCATGGGAGCAGAGCATGGGAGCAGAGCATGGGAGCAGAGCATGGGAGCAGAGCATGGGAGCAGAGCATGGGAGCAGAGCATGGGAGCAGAGCATGGGAGCAGAGCATGGGAGCAGAGCATGGGAGCAGAGCATGGGAGCAGAGCATGGGAGCAGAGCATGGGAGCAGAGCATGGGAGCAGAGCATGGGAGCAGAGCATGGGAGCAGAGCATGGGAGCAGAGCATGGGAGCAGAGCATGGGAGCAGAGCATGGGAGCAGAGCATGGGAGCAGAGCATGGGAGCAGAGCATGGGAGCAGAGCATGGGAGCAGAGCATGGGAGCAGAGCATGGGAGCAGAGCATGGGAGCAGAGCATGGGAGCAGAGCATGGGAGCAGAGCATGGGAGCAGAGCATGGGAGCAGAGCATGGGAGCAGAGCATGGGAGCAGAGCATGGGAGCAGAGCATGGGAGCAGAGCATGGGAGCAGAGCATGGGAGCAGAGCATGGGAGCAGAGCATGGGAGCAGAGCATGGGAGCAGAGCATGGGAGCAGAGCATGGGAGCAGAGCATGGGAGCAGAGCATGGGAGCAGAGCATGGGAGCAGAGCATGGGAGCAGAGCATGGGAGCAGAGCATGGGAGCAGAGCATGGGAGCAGAGCATGGGAGCAGAGCATGGGAGCAGAGCATGGGAGCAGAGCATGGGAGCAGAGCATGGGAGCAGAGCATGGGAGCAGAGCATGGGAGCAGAGCATGGGAGCAGAGCATGGGAGCAGAGCATGGGAGCAGAGCATGGGAGCAGAGCATGGGAGCAGAGCATGGGAGCAGAGCATGGGAGCAGAGCATGGGAGCAGAGCATGGGAGCAGAGCATGGGAGCAGAGCATGGGAGCAGAGCATGGGAGCAGAGCATGGGAGCAGAGCATGGGAGCAGAGCATGGGAGCAGAGCATGGGAGCAGAGCATGGGAGCAGAGCATGGGAGCAGAGCATGGGAGCAGAGCATGGGAGCAGAGCATGGGAGCAGAGCATGGGAGCAGAGCATGGGAGCAGAGCATGGGAGCAGAGCATGGGAGCAGAGCATGGGAGCAGAGCATGGGAGCAGAGCATGGGAGCAGAGCATGGGAGCAGAGCATGGGAGCAGAGCATGGGAGCAGAGCATGGGAGCAGAGCATGGGAGCAGAGCATGGGAGCAGAGCATGGGAGCAGAGCATGGGAGCAGAGCATGGGAGCAGAGCATGGGAGCAGAGCATGGGAGCAGAGCATGGGAGCAGAGCATGGGAGCAGAGCATGGGAGCAGAGCATGGGAGCAGAGCATGGGAGCAGAGCATGGGAGCAGAGCATGGGAGCAGAGCATGGGAGCAGAGCATGGGAGCAGAGCATGGGAGCAGAGCATGGGAGCAGAGCATGGGAGCAGAGCATGGGAGCAGAGCATGGGAGCAGAGCATGGGAGCAGAGCATGGGAGCAGAGCATGGGAGCAGAGCATGGGAGCAGAGCATGGGAGCAGAGCATGGGAGCAGAGCATGGGAGCAGAGCATGGGAGCAGAGCATGGGAGCAGAGCATGGGAGCAGAGCATGGGAGCAGAGCATGGGAGCAGAGCATGGGAGCAGAGCATGGGAGCAGAGCATGGGAGCAGAGCATGGGAGCAGAGCATGGGAGCAGAGCATGGGAGCAGAGCATGGGAGCAGAGCATGGGAGCAGAGCATGGGAGCAGAGCATGGGAGCAGAGCATGGGAGCAGAGCATGGGAGCAGAGCATGGGAGCAGAGCATGGGAGCAGAGCATGGGAGCAGAGCATGGGAGCAGAGCATGGGAGCAGAGCATGGGAGCAGAGCATGGGAGCAGAGCATGGGAGCAGAGCATGGGAGCAGAGCATGGGAGCAGAGCATGGGAGCAGAGCATGGGAGCAGAGCATGGGAGCAGAGCATGGGAGCAGAGCATGGGAGCAGAGCATGGGAGCAGAGCATGGGAGCAGAGCATGGGAGCAGAGCATGGGAGCAGAGCATGGGAGCAGAGCATGGGAGCAGAGCATGGGAGCAGAGCATGGGAGCAGAGCATGGGAGCAGAGCATGGGAGCAGAGCATGGGAGCAGAGCATGGGAGCAGAGCATGGGAGCAGAGCATGGGAGCAGAGCATGGGAGCAGAGCATGGGAGCAGAGCATGGGAGCAGAGCATGGGAGCAGAGCATGGGAGCAGAGCATGGGAGCAGAGCATGGGAGCAGAGCATGGGAGCAGAGCATGGGAGCAGAGCATGGGAGCAGAGCATGGGAGCAGAGCATGGGAGCAGAGCATGGGAGCAGAGCATGGGAGCAGAGCATGGGAGCAGAGCATGGGAGCAGAGCATGGGAGCAGAGCATGGGAGCAGAGCATGGGAGCAGAGCATGGGAGCAGAGCATGGGAGCAGAGCATGGGAGCAGAGCATGGGAGCAGAGCATGGGAGCAGAGCATGGGAGCAGAGCATGGGAGCAGAGCATGGGAGCAGAGCATGGGAGCAGAGCATGGGAGCAGAGCATGGGAGCAGAGCATGGGAGCAGAGCATGGGAGCAGAGCATGGGAGCAGAGCATGGGAGCAGAGCATGGGAGCAGAGCATGGGAGCAGAGCATGGGAGCAGAGCATGGGAGCAGAGCATGGGAGCAGAGCATGGGAGCAGAGCATGGGAGCAGAGCATGGGAGCAGAGCATGGGAGCAGAGCATGGGAGCAGAGCATGGGAGCAGAGCATGGGAGCAGAGCATGGGAGCAGAGCATGGGAGCAGAGCATGGGAGCAGAGCATGGGAGCAGAGCATGGGAGCAGAGCATGGGAGCAGAGCATGGGAGCAGAGCATGGGAGCAGAGCATGGGAGCAGAGCATGGGAGCAGAGCATGGGAGCAGAGCATGGGAGCAGAGCATGGGAGCAGAGCATGGGAGCAGAGCATGGGAGCAGAGCATGGGAGCAGAGCATGGGAGCAGAGCATGGGAGCAGAGCATGGGAGCAGAGCATGGGAGCAGAGCATGGGAGCAGAGCATGGGAGCAGAGCATGGGAGCAGAGCATGGGAGCAGAGCATGGGAGCAGAGCATGGGAGCAGAGCATGGGAGCAGAGCATGGGAGCAGAGCATGGGAGCAGAGCATGGGAGCAGAGCATGGGAGCAGAGCATGGGAGCAGAGCATGGGAGCAGAGCATGGGAGCAGAGCATGGGAGCAGAGCATGGGAGCAGAGCATGGGAGCAGAGCATGGGAGCAGAGCATGGGAGCAGAGCATGGGAGCAGAGCATGGGAGCAGAGCATGGGAGCAGAGCATGGGAGCAGAGCATGGGAGCAGAGCATGGGAGCAGAGCATGGGAGCAGAGCATGGGAGCAGAGCATGGGAGCAGAGCATGGGAGCAGAGCATGGGAGCAGAGCATGGGAGCAGAGCATGGGAGCAGAGCATGGGAGCAGAGCATGGGAGCAGAGCATGGGAGCAGAGCATGGGAGCAGAGCATGGGAGCAGAGCATGGGAGCAGAGCATGGGAGCAGAGCATGGGAGCAGAGCATGGGAGCAGAGCATGGGAGCAGAGCATGGGAGCAGAGCATGGGAGCAGAGCATGGGAGCAGAGCATGGGAGCAGAGCATGGGAGCAGAGCATGGGAGCAGAGCATGGGAGCAGAGCATGGGAGCAGAGCATGGGAGCAGAGCATGGGAGCAGAGCATGGGAGCAGAGCATGGGAGCAGAGCATGGGAGCAGAGCATGGGAGCAGAGCATGGGAGCAGAGCATGGGAGCAGAGCATGGGAGCAGAGCATGGGAGCAGAGCATGGGAGCAGAGCATGGGAGCAGAGCATGGGAGCAGAGCATGGGAGCAGAGCATGGGAGCAGAGCATGGGAGCAGAGCATGGGAGCAGAGCATGGGAGCAGAGCATGGGAGCAGAGCATGGGAGCAGAGCATGGGAGCAGAGCATGGGAGCAGAGCATGGGAGCAGAGCATGGGAGCAGAGCATGGGAGCAGAGCATGGGAGCAGAGCATGGGAGCAGAGCATGGGAGCAGAGCATGGGAGCAGAGCATGGGAGCAGAGCATGGGAGCAGAGCATGGGAGCAGAGCATGGGAGCAGAGCATGGGAGCAGAGCATGGGAGCAGAGCATGGGAGCAGAGCATGGGAGCAGAGCATGGGAGCAGAGCATGGGAGCAGAGCATGGGAGCAGAGCATGGGAGCAGAGCATGGGAGCAGAGCATGGGAGCAGAGCATGGGAGCAGAGCATGGGAGCAGAGCATGGGAGCAGAGCATGGGAGCAGAGCATGGGAGCAGAGCATGGGAGCAGAGCATGGGAGCAGAGCATGGGAGCAGAGCATGGGAGCAGAGCATGGGAGCAGAGCATGGGAGCAGAGCATGGGAGCAGAGCATGGGAGCAGAGCATGGGAGCAGAGCATGGGAGCAGAGCATGGGAGCAGAGCATGGGAGCAGAGCATGGGAGCAGAGCATGGGAGCAGAGCATGGGAGCAGAGCATGGGAGCAGAGCATGGGAGCAGAGCATGGGAGCAGAGCATGGGAGCAGAGCATGGGAGCAGAGCATGGGAGCAGAGCATGGGAGCAGAGCATGGGAGCAGAGCATGGGAGCAGAGCATGGGAGCAGAGCATGGGAGCAGAGCATGGGAGCAGAGCATGGGAGCAGAGCATGGGAGCAGAGCATGGGAGCAGAGCATGGGAGCAGAGCATGGGAGCAGAGCATGGGAGCAGAGCATGGGAGCAGAGCATGGGAGCAGAGCATGGGAGCAGAGCATGGGAGCAGAGCATGGGAGCAGAGCATGGGAGCAGAGCATGGGAGCAGAGCATGGGAGCAGAGCATGGGAGCAGAGCATGGGAGCAGAGCATGGGAGCAGAGCATGGGAGCAGAGCATGGGAGCAGAGCATGGGAGCAGAGCATGGGAGCAGAGCATGGGAGCAGAGCATGGGAGCAGAGCATGGGAGCAGAGCATGGGAGCAGAGCATGGGAGCAGAGCATGGGAGCAGAGCATGGGAGCAGAGCATGGGAGCAGAGCATGGGAGCAGAGCATGGGAGCAGAGCATGGGAGCAGAGCATGGGAGCAGAGCATGGGAGCAGAGCATGGGAGCAGAGCATGGGAGCAGAGCATGGGAGCAGAGCATGGGAGCAGAGCATGGGAGCAGAGCATGGGAGCAGAGCATGGGAGCAGAGCATGGGAGCAGAGCATGGGAGCAGAGCATGGGAGCAGAGCATGGGAGCAGAGCATGGGAGCAGAGCATGGGAGCAGAGCATGGGAGCAGAGCATGGGAGCAGAGCATGGGAGCAGAGCATGGGAGCAGAGCATGGGAGCAGAGCATGGGAGCAGAGCATGGGAGCAGAGCATGGGAGCAGAGCATGGGAGCAGAGCATGGGAGCAGAGCATGGGAGCAGAGCATGGGAGCAGAGCATGGGAGCAGAGCATGGGAGCAGAGCATGGGAGCAGAGCATGGGAGCAGAGCATGGGAGCAGAGCATGGGAGCAGAGCATGGGAGCAGAGCATGGGAGCAGAGCATGGGAGCAGAGCATGGGAGCAGAGCATGGGAGCAGAGCATGGGAGCAGAGCATGGGAGCAGAGCATGGGAGCAGAGCATGGGAGCAGAGCATGGGAGCAGAGCATGGGAGCAGAGCATGGGAGCAGAGCATGGGAGCAGAGCATGGGAGCAGAGCATGGGAGCAGAGCATGGGAGCAGAGCATGGGAGCAGAGCATGGGAGCAGAGCATGGGAGCAGAGCATGGGAGCAGAGCATGGGAGCAGAGCATGGGAGCAGAGCATGGGAGCAGAGCATGGGAGCAGAGCATGGGAGCAGAGCATGGGAGCAGAGCATGGGAGCAGAGCATGGGAGCAGAGCATGGGAGCAGAGCATGGGAGCAGAGCATGGGAGCAGAGCATGGGAGCAGAGCATGGGAGCAGAGCATGGGAGCAGAGCATGGGAGCAGAGCATGGGAGCAGAGCATGGGAGCAGAGCATGGGAGCAGAGCATGGGAGCAGAGCATGGGAGCAGAGCATGGGAGCAGAGCATGGGAGCAGAGCATGGGAGCAGAGCATGGGAGCAGAGCATGGGAGCAGAGCATGGGAGCAGAGCATGGGAGCAGAGCATGGGAGCAGAGCATGGGAGCAGAGCATGGGAGCAGAGCATGGGAGCAGAGCATGGGAGCAGAGCATGGGAGCAGAGCATGGGAGCAGAGCATGGGAGCAGAGCATGGGAGCAGAGCATGGGAGCAGAGCATGGGAGCAGAGCATGGGAGCAGAGCATGGGAGCAGAGCATGGGAGCAGAGCATGGGAGCAGAGCATGGGAGCAGAGCATGGGAGCAGAGCATGGGAGCAGAGCATGGGAGCAGAGCATGGGAGCAGAGCATGGGAGCAGAGCATGGGAGCAGAGCATGGGAGCAGAGCATGGGAGCAGAGCATGGGAGCAGAGCATGGGAGCAGAGCATGGGAGCAGAGCATGGGAGCAGAGCATGGGAGCAGAGCATGGGAGCAGAGCATGGGAGCAGAGCATGGGAGCAGAGCATGGGAGCAGAGCATGGGAGCAGAGCATGGGAGCAGAGCATGGGAGCAGAGCATGGGAGCAGAGCATGGGAGCAGAGCATGGGAGCAGAGCATGGGAGCAGAGCATGGGAGCAGAGCATGGGAGCAGAGCATGGGAGCAGAGCATGGGAGCAGAGCATGGGAGCAGAGCATGGGAGCAGAGCATGGGAGCAGAGCATGGGAGCAGAGCATGGGAGCAGAGCATGGGAGCAGAGCATGGGAGCAGAGCATGGGAGCAGAGCATGGGAGCAGAGCATGGGAGCAGAGCATGGGAGCAGAGCATGGGAGCAGAGCATGGGAGCAGAGCATGGGAGCAGAGCATGGGAGCAGAGCATGGGAGCAGAGCATGGGAGCAGAGCATGGGAGCAGAGCATGGGAGCAGAGCATGGGAGCAGAGCATGGGAGCAGAGCATGGGAGCAGAGCATGGGAGCAGAGCATGGGAGCAGAGCATGGGAGCAGAGCATGGGAGCAGAGCATGGGAGCAGAGCATGGGAGCAGAGCATGGGAGCAGAGCATGGGAGCAGAGCATGGGAGCAGAGCATGGGAGCAGAGCATGGGAGCAGAGCATGGGAGCAGAGCATGGGAGCAGAGCATGGGAGCAGAGCATGGGAGCAGAGCATGGGAGCAGAGCATGGGAGCAGAGCATGGGAGCAGAGCATGGGAGCAGAGCATGGGAGCAGAGCATGGGAGCAGAGCATGGGAGCAGAGCATGGGAGCAGAGCATGGGAGCAGAGCATGGGAGCAGAGCATGGGAGCAGAGCATGGGAGCAGAGCATGGGAGCAGAGCATGGGAGCAGAGCATGGGAGCAGAGCATGGGAGCAGAGCATGGGAGCAGAGCATGGGAGCAGAGCATGGGAGCAGAGCATGGGAGCAGAGCATGGGAGCAGAGCATGGGAGCAGAGCATGGGAGCAGAGCATGGGAGCAGAGCATGGGAGCAGAGCATGGGAGCAGAGCATGGGAGCAGAGCATGGGAGCAGAGCATGGGAGCAGAGCATGGGAGCAGAGCATGGGAGCAGAGCATGGGAGCAGAGCATGGGAGCAGAGCATGGGAGCAGAGCATGGGAGCAGAGCATGGGAGCAGAGCATGGGAGCAGAGCATGGGAGCAGAGCATGGGAGCAGAGCATGGGAGCAGAGCATGGGAGCAGAGCATGGGAGCAGAGCATGGGAGCAGAGCATGGGAGCAGAGCATGGGAGCAGAGCATGGGAGCAGAGCATGGGAGCAGAGCATGGGAGCAGAGCATGGGAGCAGAGCATGGGAGCAGAGCATGGGAGCAGAGCATGGGAGCAGAGCATGGGAGCAGAGCATGGGAGCAGAGCATGGGAGCAGAGCATGGGAGCAGAGCATGGGAGCAGAGCATGGGAGCAGAGCATGGGAGCAGAGCATGGGAGCAGAGCATGGGAGCAGAGCATGGGAGCAGAGCATGGGAGCAGAGCATGGGAGCAGAGCATGGGAGCAGAGCATGGGAGCAGAGCATGGGAGCAGAGCATGGGAGCAGAGCATGGGAGCAGAGCATGGGAGCAGAGCATGGGAGCAGAGCATGGGAGCAGAGCATGGGAGCAGAGCATGGGAGCAGAGCATGGGAGCAGAGCATGGGAGCAGAGCATGGGAGCAGAGCATGGGAGCAGAGCATGGGAGCAGAGCATGGGAGCAGAGCATGGGAGCAGAGCATGGGAGCAGAGCATGGGAGCAGAGCATGGGAGCAGAGCATGGGAGCAGAGCATGGGAGCAGAGCATGGGAGCAGAGCATGGGAGCAGAGCATGGGAGCAGAGCATGGGAGCAGAGCATGGGAGCAGAGCATGGGAGCAGAGCATGGGAGCAGAGCATGGGAGCAGAGCATGGGAGCAGAGCATGGGAGCAGAGCATGGGAGCAGAGCATGGGAGCAGAGCATGGGAGCAGAGCATGGGAGCAGAGCATGGGAGCAGAGCATGGGAGCAGAGCATGGGAGCAGAGCATGGGAGCAGAGCATGGGAGCAGAGCATGGGAGCAGAGCATGGGAGCAGAGCATGGGAGCAGAGCATGGGAGCAGAGCATGGGAGCAGAGCATGGGAGCAGAGCATGGGAGCAGAGCATGGGAGCAGAGCATGGGAGCAGAGCATGGGAGCAGAGCATGGGAGCAGAGCATGGGAGCAGAGCATGGGAGCAGAGCATGGGAGCAGAGCATGGGAGCAGAGCATGGGAGCAGAGCATGGGAGCAGAGCATGGGAGCAGAGCATGGGAGCAGAGCATGGGAGCAGAGCATGGGAGCAGAGCATGGGAGCAGAGCATGGGAGCAGAGCATGGGAGCAGAGCATGGGAGCAGAGCATGGGAGCAGAGCATGGGAGCAGAGCATGGGAGCAGAGCATGGGAGCAGAGCATGGGAGCAGAGCATGGGAGCAGAGCATGGGAGCAGAGCATGGGAGCAGAGCATGGGAGCAGAGCATGGGAGCAGAGCATGGGAGCAGAGCATGGGAGCAGAGCATGGGAGCAGAGCATGGGAGCAGAGCATGGGAGCAGAGCATGGGAGCAGAGCATGGGAGCAGAGCATGGGAGCAGAGCATGGGAGCAGAGCATGGGAGCAGAGCATGGGAGCAGAGCATGGGAGCAGAGCATGGGAGCAGAGCATGGGAGCAGAGCATGGGAGCAGAGCATGGGAGCAGAGCATGGGAGCAGAGCATGGGAGCAGAGCATGGGAGCAGAGCATGGGAGCAGAGCATGGGAGCAGAGCATGGGAGCAGAGCATGGGAGCAGAGCATGGGAGCAGAGCATGGGAGCAGAGCATGGGAGCAGAGCATGGGAGCAGAGCATGGGAGCAGAGCATGGGAGCAGAGCATGGGAGCAGAGCATGGGAGCAGAGCATGGGAGCAGAGCATGGGAGCAGAGCATGGGAGCAGAGCATGGGAGCAGAGCATGGGAGCAGAGCATGGGAGCAGAGCATGGGAGCAGAGCATGGGAGCAGAGCATGGGAGCAGAGCATGGGAGCAGAGCATGGGAGCAGAGCATGGGAGCAGAGCATGGGAGCAGAGCATGGGAGCAGAGCATGGGAGCAGAGCATGGGAGCAGAGCATGGGAGCAGAGCATGGGAGCAGAGCATGGGAGCAGAGCATGGGAGCAGAGCATGGGAGCAGAGCATGGGAGCAGAGCATGGGAGCAGAGCATGGGAGCAGAGCATGGGAGCAGAGCATGGGAGCAGAGCATGGGAGCAGAGCATGGGGTGGTGGGCAGAAATGCGCGATCACATGAATGCATGCAGGCCTGTCTGTGTCTCGTCCAGCATGTGCAAACCAAGACGCACATGTGCAGGCATGAGCGCATGAACACATGCACGCGCAAGCACATGGATATGTGAGTGAACGTACCGCTCTGCGCCGCTCTCCGCCTGACAGGTGGCGCCCCAGAGTGTGTGCCACGTGGACCAGGTCAAACTTGCGAAGCAGCTCCTGGGGGGGAGAGGAGAGGGGAGAGACGAGGGAAGAGGGGATGAGAGAAGAGAGTAGTGAGAGGGATAGACTATGCAAGAAGATGTTATGAGCACGCAGTGGGCATGGCAGGGGCATACATGCGCATTTCATTTGCTTTACATGGCATGTGCATGCTTGCACGCGCGCACCTCTCTCTATCCTTGCATCATGCAGGTGGTGTGGCAGCGGTCCCTCCTCCAGCACAAGCCGAATGTTATCCGCCACGCTCAGCCCGCGTAAGATGCTCGCCTCTTGCGCCAGAAACGAGCTGACTGTTGAGGCAACTCAAAAGCACGTGCGCACCTCAATGCGGGCATCATGCAGGTGGTGCGGCAGGGGCCCTTCTTCCAGCACGAGCCGGATGTTATCCGCGACGCTCAGCCCGCGGAAGATGCTCGCCTCCTGAGCCAGGAACGCCACGCCCATCCGCGCCCGCCGCTCCAGGGGAAGGCCGGTGACGTCAGCGCCGGCCAATCGCACGGAGCCAGCTGTCGGGGTCTCGCGGCCGACGGCGATGCTGAAGGTGGTGCTCTTGCCCGCGCCGTTGGGTCCCAGCAGACCCACCTGTAGAGGGGGGGGGAGCGGGGTGGTTGGTGGGATGGTCATGGTGATGTGATGGTGATCGGGATGGGAAGAGAGGAGTGATACGAGGAGGAAACGCAACAACGGTAGCAGAGGCATATCTTAACGTGGATTCCTCGCGAGGAAACATGTGTCAAGGGGATAAGAGGGGCGGAAGGAGACGCGAAGGAACGGGAAGGCAGGAAGGGAGGCAATTACGATTTCTCGCGGGTTCACGTGGAGTGACACGTCATCCAGAATCATGCGGTTGCCGAATCTCATCCCGATTCCTTGCAGATCCAAACACCGCAATTCTGCGACCTGCTTGCTTGCGCCGTCGCCGCTCGCACCGTCTCGCTCTGCGACATCGCTCGCCAAGGTGCTGCTCTGCGACAGCCAAGCAGATCGCACGCACCGCAAGACGATTAAGGAACGACTGAAAGACTGGAACTTGGAGAACGCTCTAACGACTGTGCGACGATGGGTTTACCATCTGAGAGTTCTGCCGCGCGACGAATCGCGGAACGAGAGGGAACGTCGCCTCGATCGCATGCGACCTCTGTTGCTAAACGGCGAAAGGCCTCGACATAACGTGACATCAGCGCCCGCGGAAAGAGCTATGAAGTGTCGAGTTCCCAGACCAGCCATTACCTAGCTTACTATCGTCCTTCACTGGAAGAGAGGAGAGCAAATTTACTAAAGCGCCAGAGTTGCGACGTTATGCGACAAGCGCGAGAAGACATGGGGAAGGGTGAATCGCAGGCGATTTCGCAACATAGCGAGCGACGACTGATTTGTGAAGCATCGACGCTGTTGGGCGACCAGCTCGTTTCCGAACAATGTTGGGAAAATATCAAAAAGGGGCCCCGGAGTAGCAGTAAAGTGGCCAACTTGGGGCCTCGTGAGTCGCGCCCCTACTACGAAGCCCCGAAGCAACCAACACACCTGGGCAGTAAGGCCGAGCCTGGCCTTCACCCCAGGTCACCACCTACTGGCCTGGGTTGATGGAAAGTTATATTTCTGGTCGTAACCAGTTTGGGGTATCCGTTCCTAGATGAGCACGTGCTAACCCCTTCATTGGGGCTGGCAGAACACGCCTGCACGGGGGTGGGTTCGATCCCAGGACCTCATCTATCGGAAGTGCCTCTTTCTACTGACTAGGCCACTTCAGGATGGCCTGGGTTGATGGAATTAGCTAGTGACTCGTTATCGTAAATTACCCAAAAAAACAACCGTTTCACCCAAAAAACAGCGCAATGGTACAAAAAATAAACCCCATTCGAATGGCATATAATTGGGGAAGCATCAGGTAACCCAAACACCGTGCGGCAAGATGTTCAGTGCTGAGACCCCTTCGAAAACATGACGCACGAGAGGAAAATTAATCGATTTTTAATTTTCGAGTCAAATGTTTCGATCTCGTCAAAAAAGAATTCGTCACTTTGTGTGGTCAGGTCTCACGGAGCGCGTGGATGAGGCTCGAATATGGTTGGGCATAGGTCCGGCCCAGGTTCGACTCATTGGCGATACGCAAGGCCCCAAGTTGGCGATTTTCTAGAGCTTTGGGGCCCCAATCTAATCATTTCCCAACAATGTTACGAAACAATCTCGCAAAGTACTAATTATTTTTGCCTTCGTCGCCTCTCGTCCACGTGTCCGATGGACCAGCAAGCCAGATAGGGTAACATTTCTAAATGGGCCATTTTCAACGGCATTCAACTTATGTCAGTGCGATTATGCAGATGCATATAATAGACGGTATCAAGAAACATGCACTAGAAAAATCTGCATGCATTAGATAAAAGCCGTTCCCGAATCGCGAAAAGGTTGCAGGCGTGAAAATACACAGAGCAATAAAGCACATTCACACTCGAGCCTAAAAGTCAGCTGCTAACATAGACAAAAAGTGTACGACGATCTCATGAACCACTTTAGTATTGCGCGTAGTCCTGACTGAACAGACCAACGCATTATTTTCTTTGTAGAAATACAGTCAGTACCACATATGTTTCCCTTTTAATTTATAGTACACCATTCCCCACCGCCCTATGAGGTTCTCACCTTTTGGATCTACATAATTCGACACATATAAACATTCCAAACGTGCATGGTACCTGCACTACATGCGCGTATGCCGACCAAACTGACCAGCGCATTACTTATGTTTGTAGAGACAGTTGGTACCATTTTCTTGCCAGTCTACTAGATTAGGCCTTGTACTTTAATAATACTAGGTTCTAACCTTTTCGATCCACATAATTTGGGAGATTTCAGAGCTCTAGCTACGCCTTGTACCTGCACACAAGCGTGCATACTGACCAAACCGACCAACGCATTATATTCTCTATATAAATACACTGAATACCACATATGTTTCTCTTTTCCTTTATAGTATACCATTCCCCACCCCTCTACCAGGTTCTAACCTTTTGGACCTACATAACTTGTCAGATATAGGCATTCCAAACGGCATGGTACGTGCATTACAGGCGCGCATACCGACCAAACTGACCAGCACATAACTTATGTTTGTAGAGAAAGTACGATTTTCTTGCCAATGTACTAGATTAGGCCTTGTACTGTAATAACACTAGGTTCTAAGCTTTTTCATCCACATCATTTGGGAGATTTTAGAGTTTCTGCTACTCCTTGTACCTGCACACAAGCGCTGACTGAACCGACCAACGCATTACTTTCTCTGTAGAAATACAGTGAGTACCACATATGTTCCCTTTTTATTTATAGTATAACATTCACCACCCCCCTACCAGGTTCTAACCTTTTGGATCTACATAATTTGACAGATATAGACATTCCAAACGCGAATGGTACCTGCACTACAGGCGCGCATACTGACCAAACTGACCAGCGCATAACTTATATTTGTAGAGACAATTAGTACCATTTTCTTGCCAATGTACTAGATTAGGCCTTGTACTTTAATAACAGTGGGTTCTAACATTTTCGATACACATAGTTTAAGAGATTTTTGAGTTTCAGATACGCCTTGTACCTGCACACAAGCGTGCATACTGACCAAACCGACCAGCGCATTACTTTCCCTGTAGAAATACAGTTAGTACCACATATTTTTCCCTTTTCCTTTATAGTATACCATTCCCCACCCCCCTACCAGGTTCTAACCTTTTGGATCTACATAATCCGACAGATATAAACATTCCAAATGTGCATGGTACCTGCAATACATACGCGCTTGCCGACCAAACTGACCAACGCATTACTTATGTTTGTGGAGACAGTTAGTACTATTTTTTTGCCAGTCTACTAGATTAGGCCTTGTACTTAAAAAACACAAGGTTCTAACCTTTTCGATCCACATAATTTGGGAGATTTCAGAGTTTTAGCTATGCCTTGTACCTGCTCGCATGTGTGCATACTGACCGAACCGACCAACGCATTATTTTCTCTGTAGAAATACAGTGAGTACCACATATTTTTCCCTTTTCCTTTATAGTATACCATTCCCCACCCCTCTACCACGTTCTAACCTTTAGAATCTAAACAATTTGACAGATGTAGACATTCCAAACGTGCATGGTACTTGCACTTCATGCGCGCATGCCGACCAAACTGACCAGCGCATTACTTATGTTTGTGGAGACAATTAGTACCATTTTCTTGCCAGTCTACTAGATTAGGCCTTGTACTTTAATAACAATAGGTTCTAACCTTTTCAATCCACATAATTTGGGAGATTTCAGAGTTCCAGCTACACCTTGTACCTACACATAAGCGTACATACTGACCGAACCGACCAACGCATTATTTTCTCTGTAGAAATACAGTGAGTACCACATATTTTTCCCATTTCCATTATAATATACCATTCCCCACCCCTCTACCACGTTCTAACCTTTTGAATCTAAATAATTTGACATATGTAGACATTCCAAACGTGCATGGTACCTGCACTTCATGCGCGCATGCCGACCAAACTGACCAGCGCATTACTTATGTTTGTGGAGACAATTAGTACCATTTTCTTGCCAGTCTATTAGAGTAGGCCTTTTACTTTTATAACACTAGGTTCTAACCTTTTCGATCCACATAATTTGGGAGATTTCAGAGTTTCAGCTACGCCTTGTACCTGCTCGCATGCGTGCATACTGACCGAACCGACCAACGCATTACTTTCCCTGTAGAAATGCAGTGAGTACCACATATGTTTCCCTTTTCCTTTATAGTATACCATTCCCCACCCCCCTACCAGGTTCTAACCTTTTGGATCTACATAATTCGATAGATATAGACATTCCAAACGTGCATGGTACCTGCACTTCATGCGCGCATGCCGACCAAACTGGCCAACGCATTACTTATGTTTGTGGAGACAGTTAGTACCATTTTCTTGCCATTAACTAGATTAGGCCTTGTAATTTGAAAACACGAGGTTCTAACCTTTTCGATCCACATAATTTGGGAGATTTCAGAGTTTCAGCTACGCCTTGTACCTGCTCGCAAGCGTGCATACCGACCGAACCGACCAACGCATTATTTTCTCTGTAGAAATACAGTGAGTACCACATATTTTTCCCTCTTCCATTATAGTATACCATTCCCCACCCCTCTACCACGTTCTAACCTTTTGAATCTAAATAATTTGACAGATGTAGACATTCCAAACGTGCATGGTACCTGCACTTCATGCGCGCATGCCGACCAAACAGACCAACGCATTACTTATGTTTGTGGAGACAATTAGTACCATTTTCTTGCCAGTCTACTAGATTAGGCCTTGTACTTTAATAATACTAGGTTCTAACCTTTTCGATCCACATAATTTGGGAGATTTCAGAGTTTCAGCTACGCCTTGTACCTGCTCGCATGCGTGCATACTGACCGAACCGACCAACGCATTATTTTCTCTGTAGAAATACAGTGAGTACCACACATTTTTTCCTCTTCCATTATAGTACACCATTCACCACCCCTCTACCGCGTGTTCGATGGACCAACAAGCCAGTTGGTCCGCGTGTTTGATGGACCAACAAGCCAGTTGGTCCGCGTGTTTGATGGACCAACAAGCCAGTTGGTCCGCGTGTTTGTTGGACCAACAAGCCAGTTGGTCCGCGTGTTTGATGGACCAACAAGCCAGTTGGTCCGCGTGTTTGATGGACCAACAAGCCAGTTGGTCCGCGTGTTTGATGGACCAACAAGCCAGTTGGTCCGCGTGTTTGATGGACCAACAAGCCAGTTGGTCCGCGTGTTTGATGGACCAACAAGCCAGTTGGTCCGCGTGTTTGATGGACCAACAAGCCAGTTGGTCCCCGCCAGTTGGTCCGCGCGTTCGAGGGACCAACGAGCCAGCTGGTCCGCGCGTTCGAGGGACCAACGAGCCAGCTGGTCCGCGCGTTCGAGGGACCAACGAGCCAGCTGGGCCGCGCGTTCGACGGACCAACGAGCCAGCTGGGCCGCGCGTTCGACGGACCAACGAGCCAGCTGGGCCGCGCGTTCGACGGACCAACGAGCCAGCTGGGCCGCGCGTTCGACGGACCAACGAGCCAGCTGGGCCGCGCGTTCGACGGACCAACGAGCCAGCTGGGCCGCGCGTTCGACGGACCAACGAGCCAGCTGGGCCGCGCGTTCGACGGACCAACGAGCCAGCTGGGCCGCGCGTTCGACGGACCAACGAGCCAGCTGGGCCGCGCGTTCGACGGACCAACGAGCCAGCTGGGCCGCGCGTTCGACGGACCAACGAGCCAGCTGGGCCGCGCGTTCGACGCACCAACGAGCCAGCTGGGCCGCGCGTTCGACGCACCAACGAGCCAGCTGGGCCGCGCGTTCGACGCACCAACGAGCCAGCTGGGCCGCGCGTTCGACGCACCAACGAGCCAGCTGGGCCGCGCGTTCGACGCACCAACGAGCCAGCTGGGCCGCGCGTTCGACGCACCAACGAGCCAGCTGGGCCGCGCGTTCGACGCACCAACGAGCCAGCTGGGCCGCGCGTTCGACGCACCAACGAGCCAGCTGGGCCGCGCGTTCGACGCACCAACGAGCCAGCTGGGCCGCGCGTTCGACGCACCAACGAGCCAGCTGGGCCGCGCGTTCGACGCACCAACGAGCCAGCTGGGCCGCGCGTTCGACGCACCAACGAGCCAGCTGGGCCGCGCGTTCGACGCACCAACGAGCCAGCTGGGCCGCGCGTTCGACGCACCAACGAGCCAGCTGGGCCGCGCGTTCGACGCACCAACGAGCCAGCTGGGCCGCGCGTTCGACGCACCAACGAGCCAGCTGGGCCGCGCGTTCGACGCACCAACGAGCCAGCTGGGCCGCGCGTTCGACGCACCAACGAGCCAGCTGGGCCGCGCGTTCGACGCACCAACGAGCCAGCTGGGCCGCGCGTTCGACGCACCAACGAGCCAGCTGGGCCGCGCGTTCGACGCACCAACGAGCCAGCTGGGCCGCGCGTTCGACGCACCAACGAGCCAGCTGGGCCGCGCGTTCGACGCACCAACGAGCCAGCTGGGCCGCGCGTTCGACGCACCAACGAGCCAGCTGGGCCGCGCGTTCGACGCACCAACGAGCCAGCTGGGCCGCGCGTTCGACGCACCAACGAGCCAGCTGGGCCGCGCGTTCGACGCACCAACGAGCCAGCTGGGCCGCGCGTTCGACGCACCAACGAGCCAGCTGGGCCGCGCGTTCGACGCACCAACGAGCCAGCTGGGCCGCGCGTTCGACGCACCAACGAGCCAGCTGGGCCGCGCGTTCGACGCACCAACGAGCCAGCTGGGCCGCGCGTTCGACGCACCAACGAGCCAGCTGGGCCGCGCGTTCGACGCACCAACGAGCCAGCTGGGCCGCGCGTTCGACGCACCAACGAGCCAGCTGGGCCGCGCGTTCGACGCACCAACGAGCCAGCTGGGCCGCGCGTTCGACGCACCAACGAGCCAGCTGGGCCGCGCGTTCGACGCACCAACGAGCCAGCTGGGCCGCGCGTTCGACGCACCAACGAGCCAGCTGGGCCGCGCGTTCGACGCACCAACGAGCCAGCTGGGCCGCGCGTTCGACGCACCAACGAGCCAGCTGGGCCGCGCGTTCGACGCACCAACGAGCCAGCTGGGCCGCGCGTTCGACGCACCAACGAGCCAGCTGGGCCGCGCGTTCGACGCACCAACGAGCCAGCTGGGCCGCGCGTTCGACGCACCAACGAGCCAGCTGGGCCGCGCGTTCGACGCACCAACGAGCCAGCTGGGCCGCGCGTTCGACGCACCAACGAGCCAGCTGGGCCGCGCGTTCGACGCACCAACGAGCCAGCTGGGCCGCGCGTTCGACGCACCAACGAGCCAGCTGGGCCGCGCGTTCGACGCACCAACGAGCCAGCTGGGCCGCGCGTTCGACGCACCAACGAGCCAGCTGGGCCGCGCGTTCGACGCACCAACGAGCCAGCTGGGCCGCGCGTTCGACGCACCAACGAGCCAGCTGGGCCGCGCGTTCGACGCACCAACGAGCCAGCTGGGCCGCGCGTTCGACGCACCAACGAGCCAGCTGGGCCGCGCGTTCGACGCACCAACGAGCCAGCTGGGCCGCGCGTTCGACGCACCAACGAGCCAGCTGGGCCGCGCGTTCGACGCACCAACGAGCCAGCTGGGCCGCGCGTTCGACGCACCAACGAGCCAGCTGGGCCGCGCGTTCGACGCACCAACGAGCCAGCTGGGCCGCGCGTTCGACGCACCAACGAGCCAGCTGGGCCGCGCGTTCGACGCACCAACGAGCCAGCTGGGCCGCGCGTTCGACGCACCAACGAGCCAGCTGGGCCGCGCGTTCGACGCACCAACGAGCCAGCTGGGCCGCGCGTTCGACGCACCAACGAGCCAGCTGGGCCGCGCGTTCGACGCACCAACGAGCCAGCTGGGCCGCGCGTTCGACGCACCAACGAGCCAGCTGGGCCGCGCGTTCGACGCACCAACGAGCCAGCTGGGCCGCGCGTTCGACGCACCAACGAGCCAGCTGGGCCGCGCGTTCGACGCACCAACGAGCCAGCTGGGCCGCGCGTTCGACGCACCAACGAGCCAGCTGGGCCGCGCGTTCGACGCACCAACGAGCCAGCTGGGCCGCGCGTTCGACGCACCAACGAGCCAGCTGGGCCGCGCGTTCGACGCACCAACGAGCCAGCTGGGCCGCGCGTTCGACGCACCAACGAGCCAGCTGGGCCGCGCGTTCGACGCACCAACGAGCCAGCTGGGCCGCGCGTTCGACGCACCAACGAGCCAGCTGGGCCGCGCGTTCGACGCACCAACGAGCCAGCTGGGCCGCGCGTTCGACGCACCAACGAGCCAGCTGGGCCGCGCGTTCGACGCACCAACGAGCCAGCTGGGCCGCGCGTTCGACGCACCAACGAGCCAGCTGGGCCGCGCGTTCGACGCACCAACGAGCCAGCTGGGCCGCGCGTTCGACGCACCAACGAGCCAGCTGGGCCGCGCGTTCGACGCACCAACGAGCCAGCTGGGCCGCGCGTTCGACGCACCAACGAGCCAGCTGGGCCGCGCGTTCGACGCACCAACGAGCCAGCTGGGCCGCGCGTTCGACGCACCAACGAGCCAGCTGGGCCGCGCGTTCGACGCACCAACGAGCCAGCTGGGCCGCGCGTTCGACGCACCAACGAGCCAGCTGGGCCGCGCGTTCGACGCACCAACGAGCCAGCTGGGCCGCGCGTTCGACGCACCAACGAGCCAGCTGGGCCGCGCGTTCGACGCACCAACGAGCCAGCTGGGCCGCGCGTTCGACGCACCAACGAGCCAGCTGGGCCGCGCGTTCGACGCACCAACGAGCCAGCTGGGCCGCGCGTTCGACGCACCAACGAGCCAGCTGGGCCGCGCGTTCGACGCACCAACGAGCCAGCTGGGCCGCGCGTTCGACGCACCAACGAGCCAGCTGGGCCGCGCGTTCGACGCACCAACGAGCCAGCTGGGCCGCGCGTTCGACGCACCAACGAGCCAGCTGGGCCGCGCGTTCGACGCACCAACGAGCCAGCTCGGCCGCGCGTTCGACGCACCAACGAGCCAGCTCGTCCGCGCGTTCGACGCACCAACGAGCCAGCTGGGCCGCGCGTTCGACGCACCAACGAGCCAGCTGGGCCGCGCGTTCGACGCACCAACGAGCCAGCTGGGCCGCGCGTTCGACGCACCAACGAGCCAGCTGGGCCGCGCGTTCGACGCACCAACGAGCCAGCTCGGCCGCGCGTTCGAGGGACCAACGAGCCAGCTCGGCCGCGCGTTCGAGGGACCAACGAGCCAGCTCGTCCGCGCGTTCGAGGGACCAACGAGCCAGCTCGTCCGCGCGTTCGAGGACCAACGAGCCAGCTCGTCCGCGCGTTCGATGGACCAACGAGCCAGCTCGTCCGCGCGTTCGATGGACCAACGAGCCAGCTCGTCCGCGCGTTCGATGGACCAACGAGCCAGCTCGTCCGCGCGTTCGATGGACCAACGAGCCAGCTCGTCCGCGCGTTCGATGGACCAACGAGCCAGCTCGTCCGCGCGTTCGATGGACCAACGAGCCAGCTCGTCCGCGCGTTCGATGGACCAACGAGCCAGCTCGTCCGCGCGTTCGATGGACCAACGAGCCAGCTCGTCCGCGCGTTCGATGGACCAACGAGCCAGCTCGTCCGCGCGTTCGATGGACCAACGAGCCAGCTCGTCCGCGCGTTCGATGGACCAACGAGCCAGCTCGTCCGCGCGTTCGATGGACCAACGAGCCAGCTCGTCCGCGCGTTCGATGGACCAACGAGCCAGCTCGTCCGCGCGTTCGATGGACCAACGAGCCAGCTCGTCCGCGCGTTCGATGGACCAACGAGCCAGCTCGTCCGCGCGTTCGATGGACCAACGAGCCAGCTCGTCCGCGCGTTCGATGGACCAACGAGCCAGCTCGTCCGCGCGTTCGATGGGACCAACGAGCCAGCTCGTCCGCGCGTTCGATGGACCAACGAGCCAGCTCGTCCGCGCGTTCGATGGACCAACGAGCCAGCTCGTCCGCGCGTTCGAGGGACCAACGAGCCAGCTCGTCCGCGCGTTCGAGGGACCAACGAGCCAGCTCGTCCGCGCGTTCGAGGGACCAACGAGCCAGCTCGTCCGCGCGTTCGAGGGACCAACGAGCCAGCTCGTCCGCGCGTTCGAGGGACCAACGAGCCAGCTCGTCCGCGCGTTCGAGGGACCAACGAGCCAGCTCGTCCGCGCGTTCGATGGACCAACGAGCCAGCTCGTCCGCGCGTTCGATGGACCAACGAGCCAGCTCGTCCGCGCGTTCGATGGACCAACGAGCCAGCTCGTCCGCGCGTTCGATGGACCAACGAGCCAGCTCGTCCGCGCGTTCGATGGACCAACGAGCCAGCTCGTCCGCGCGTTCGATGGACCAACGAGCCAGCTCGTCCGCGCGTTCGATGGACCAACGAGCCAGCTCGTCCGCGCGTTCGATGGACCAACGAGCCAGTTCGCCCGCGCGTTCGATGGACCAACGAGCCAGTTCGCCCGCGAGTTCGATGGACCAACGCCAGTTGGTCCGCGTTCGATGGACCAAGCCAGTTGGTCCGCGTGTTCGATGGACCAACAAGCCAGTTGGTCCGCGTGTTTGATGGACCAACAAGCCAGTTGGTCCGCGTGTTTGATGGACCAACAAGCCAGTTGGTCCGCGTGTTTGATGGACCAACAAGCCAGTTGGTCCGCGTGTTTGATGGACCAACAAGCCAGCTGGTCCGCGTGTTCGATGGACCAACAAGCCAGCTGGTCCGCGTGTTCGATGGACCAACAAGCCAGCTGGTCCGCGTGTTCGATGGACCAACAAGCCAGCTGGTCCGCGTGTTCGATGGACCAACAAGCCAGCTGGTCCGCGTGTTCGATGGACCAACAAGCCAGCTGGTCCGCGTGTTCGATGGACCAACAAGCCAGCTGGTCCGCGTGTTCGATGGACCAACAAGCCAGCTGGTCCGCGTGTTCGATGGACCAACAAGCCAGCTGGTCCGCGTGTTCGATGGACCAACAAGCCAGCTGGTCCGCGTGTTCGATGGACCAACAAGCCAGCTGGTCCGCGTGTTCGATGGACCAACAAGCCAGCTGGTCCGCGTGTTCGATGGACCAACAAGCCAGCTGGTCCGCGTGTTCGATGGACCAACAAGCCAGCTGGTCCGCGTGTTCGATGGACCAACAAGCCAGCTGGTCCGCGTGTTCGATGGACCAACAAGCCAGCTGGTCCGCGTGTTCGATGGACCAACAAGCCAGCTGGTCCGCGTGTTCGATGGACCAACAAGCCAGCTGGTCCGCGTGTTCGATGGACCAACAAGCCAGCTGGTCCGCGTGTTCGATGGACCAACAAGCCAGCTGGTCCGCGTGTTCGATGGACCAACAAGCCAGCTGGTCCGCGTGTTCGATGGACCAACAAGCCAGCTGGTCCGCGTGTTCGATGGACCAACAAGCCAGTTGGTCCGCGTGTTCGATGGAGCAACAAGCCAGTTGGCCCGCGTGTTCGATGGACAACAAGCCAGTTGGCCCGCGTGTTCGATGGAGCAACAAGCCAGTTGGCCCGCGTGTTCGTTGGACCAACAAGCCAGTTGGTCCGCGTGTTTGATGGACCAACAAGCCAGTTGGTCCGCGTGTTTGATGGACCAACAAGCCAGTTGGTCCGCGTGTTTGATGGACCAACAAGCCAGTTGGTCCGCGTGTTTGATGGACCAACAAGCCAGTTGGTCCGCGTGTTTGATGGACCAACAAGCCAGTTGGCCCGCGAGTTCGATGGACCAACAAGCCAGTTGGTCCGCGTGTTCGTTGGACCAAGTTGGTCCGCGTGTTCGACGGACCAACAAGCCAGTTGGTCCGCGTGTTCGACGGACCAACAAGCCAGTTGGTCCGCGTGCTCGACGGACCAACAAGCCAGTTGGTCCGCGTGCTCGACGGACCAACAAGCCAGTTGGTCCGCGTGCTCGACGGACCAACAAGCCAGTTGGTCCGCGTGCTCGACGGACCAACAAGCCAGTTGGTCCGCGTGCTCGACGGACCAACAAGCCAGTTGGTCCGCGTGCTCGACGGACCAACAAGCCAGTTGGTCCGCGTGCTCGACGGACCAACAAGCCAGTTGGTCCGCGTGCTCGACGGACCAACAAGCCAGTTGGTCCGCGTGCTCGACGGACCAACAAGCCAGTTGGTCCGCGTGCTCGACGGACCAACAAGCCAGTTGGTCCGCGTGCTCGACGGACCAACAAGCCAGTTGGTCCGCGTGCTCGACGGACCAACAAGCCAGTTGGTCCGCGTGCTCGACGGACCAACAAGCCAGTTGGTCCGCGTGCTCGACGGACCAACAAGCCAGTTGGTCCGCGTGCTCGACGGACCAACAAGCCAGTTGGTCCGCGTGCTCGACGGACCAACAAGCCAGTTGGTCCGCGTGCTCGACGGACCAACAAGCCAGTTGGTCCGCGTGCTCGACGGACCAACAAGCCAGTTGGTCCGCGTGCTCGACGGACCAACAAGCCAGTTGGTCCGCGTGCTCGACGGACCAACAAGCCAGTTGGTCCGCGTGCTCGACGGACCAACAAGCCAGTTGGTCCGCGTGCTCGACGGACCAACAAGCCAGTTGGTCCGCGTGCTCGACGGACCAACAGGCCAGTTGGTCCGCGTGCTCGACGGACCAACAAGCCAGTTGGTCCGCGTGCTCGACGGACCAACAAGCCAGTTGGTCCGCGTGCTCGACGGACCAACAAGCCAGTTGGTCCGCGTGCTCGACGGACCAACAAGCCAGTTGGTCCGCGTGCTCGACGGACCAACAAGCCAGTTGGTCCGCGTGCTCGACGGACCAACAAGCCAGTTGGTCCGCGTGCTCGACGGACCAACAAGCCAGTTGGTCCGCGTGCTCGACGGACCAACAAGCCAGTTGGTCCGCGTGCTCGACGGACCAACAAGCCAGTTGGTCCGCGTGCTCGATGGACCATCAAGCCAGCTGGTCCGCGTGCTCGATGGACCAACAAGCCAGTTGGTCCGCGTGTTTGATGGACCAACAAGCCAGCTGGTCCGCGTGCTGGTTGGACCAACAAGCCAGTTGGTCCGCGTGTTTGATGGACCAACAAGCCAGCTGGTCCGCGTGCTGGTTGGACCAACAAGCCAGTTGGTCCGCGTGCTGGTTGGACCAACAAGCCAGTTGGTCCGCGTGCTGGTTGGACCAACAAGCCAGCTGGTCCGCGTGCTCGGTTGGACCAACAAGCCAGTTGGTCCGCGTGCTCGTTGGACCAACAAGCCAGCTGGTCCGCGTGTTCGATGGACCAACAAGCCAGCTGGTCCGGTTGCTCGTTGGACCAACAAGCCAGCTGGTCCGCGTGTTCGATGGACCAACAAGCCAGCTGGTCCGCGTGCTCGTTGGACCAACAAGCCAGCTGGTCCGCGTGTTCGGTGGACCAACAAGCCAGCTGGTCCGCGTGTTCGGTGGACCAACAAGCCAGCTGGTCCGCGTGTTCGGTGGACCAACAAGCCAGCTGGTCCGCGTGTTCGGTGGACCAACAAGCCAGCTGGTCCGCGTGTTCGGTGGACCAACAAGCCAGCTGGTCCGCGTGTTCGGTGGACCAACAAGCCAGCTGGTCCGCGTGTTCGGTGGACCAACAAGCCTGCTGGTCCGCGTGTTCGGTGGACCAACAAGCCTGCTGGTCCGCGTGTTCGGTGGACCAACAAGCCAGCTGGTCCGCGTGTTCGGTGGACCAACAAGCCTGCTGGTCCGCGTGTTCGGTGGACCAACAAGCCTGCTGGTCCGCGTGTTCGGTGGACCAACAAGCCTGCTGGTCCGCGTGTTCGGTGGACCAACAAGCCTGCTGGTCCGCGTGTTCGGTGGACCAACAAGCCTGCTGGTCCGCGTGTTCGGTGGACCAACAAGCCTCTTGGTCCGCGTGTTCGGTGGACCAACAAGCCTCTTGGTCCGCGTGTTCGGTGGACCAACAAGCCTCTTGGTCCGCGTGTTCGGTGGACCAACAAGCCTCTTGGTCCGCGTGTTCGGTGGACCAACAAGCCTCTTGGTCCGCGTGTTCGGTGGACCAACAAGCCTCTTGGTCCGCGTGTTCGGTGGACCAACAAGCCTCTTGGTCCGCGTGTTCGATGGACCAACAAGCCTCTTGGTCCGCGTGTTCGATGGACCAACAAGCCTCTTGGTCCGCGTGTTCGATGGACCAACAAGCCTCTTGGTCCGCGTGTTCGATGCACCAACAAGCCTGTTGGTCCGCGTGTTCGATGCACCAACAAGCCTGTTGGTCCGCGTGTTCGATGGACCAACAAGCCTGTTGGTCCGCGTGTTCGATGCACCAACAAGCCCGTTGGTCCGCGTGTTCGATGCACCAACAAGCCTGTTGGTCCGCGTGTTCGATGGACCAACAAGCCTGTTGGTCCGCGTGTTCGATGCACCAACAAGCCTGTTGGTCCGCGTGTTCGATGCACCAACAAGCCTGTTGGTCCGCGTGTTCGATGCACCAACAAGCCTGTTGGTCCGCGTGTTCGATGCACCAACAAGCCTGTTGGTCCGCGTGTTCGATGCACCAACAAGCCTGTTGGTCCGCGTGTTCGATGCACCAACAAGCCTGTTGGTCCGCGTGTTCGATGCACCAACAAGCCTGTTGGTCCGCGTGTTCGATGCACCAACAAGCCTGTTGGTCCGCGTGTTCGATGCACCAACAAGCCTGTTGGTCCGCGTGTTTGTTGGACCAACAAGCCAGTTGGTCCGCGTGTTTGTTGGACCAACAAGCCAGTTGGTCCGCGTGTTTGTTGGACCAACAAGCCAGTTGGTCCGCGTGTTTGTTGGACCAACAAGCCAGTTGGTCCGCGTGTTTGATGGACCAACAAGCCAGTTGGTCCACGTGTTTGTTGGACCAACAAGCCAGTTGGTCCACGTGTTTGTTGGACCAACAAGCCAGCTGGTCCGCGTGTTTGTTGGACCAAGCAGCCAGCTGGTCCGCGTGTTTGTTGGACCAACAAGCCAGCTGGTCCGCGTGTTCGATGGACCAACAAGCCAGCTGGTCCGCGTGTTTGATGGACCAACAAGCCAGCTGGTCCGCGTGTTTGATGGACCAACAAGCCAGCTGGTCCGCGTGTTCGATGGACCAACAAGCCAGCTGGTCCGCGTGTTTGATGGACCAACAAGCCAGCTGGTCCGCGTGTTCGATGGACCAACAAGCCAGCTGGTCCGCGTGTTCGATGGACCAACAAGCCAGTTGGTCCGCGTGTTTGATGGACCAACAAGCCAGTTGGTCCGCGTGTTTGATGGACCAACAAGCCAGTTGGTCCGCGTGTTTGATGGACCAACAAGCCAGTTGGTCCGCGAGTTCGTTGGACCAACAAGCCAGTTGGTCCGCGTGTTTGATGGACCAACAAGCCAGTTGGCCCGCGAGTTCGATGGACCAACAAGCCAGTTGGTCCGCGTGTTCGTTGGACCAAGTTGGTCCCCATGTTCGATGGACCAACAAGCCAGTTGGTCCGCGTGTTTGATGGACCAACAAGCCAGTTGGTCCGCGTGTTTGATGGACCAACAAGCCAGTTGGTCCGCGTGTTTGATGGACCAACAAGCCAGTTGGTCCGCGTGTTTGATGGACCAACAAGCCAGTTGGTCCGCGTGTTTGATGGACCAACAAGCCAGTTGGTCCGCGTGTTTGATGGACCAACAAGCCAGTTGGTCCGCGTGTTTGATGGACCAACAAGCCAGTTGGTCCGCGTGTTTGATGGACCAACAAGCCAGTTGGTCCGCGTGTTTGATGGACCAACAAGCCAGTTGGTCCGCGTGTTTGATGGACCAACAAGCCAGTTGGTCCGCGTGTTTGATGGACCAACAAGCCAGTTGGTCCGCGTGTTTGATGGACCAACAAGCCAGTTGGTCCGCGTGTTTGATGGACCAACAAGCCAGTTGGTCCGCGTGTTTGATGGACCAACAAGCCAGTTGGTCCGCGTGTTTGATGGACCAACAAGCCAGTTGGTCCGCGTGTTTGATGGACCAACAAGCCAGTTGGTCCGCGTGTTTGATGGACCAACAAGCCAGTTGGTCCGCGTGTTTGATGGACCAACAAGCCAGTTGGTCCGCGTGTTTGATGGACCAACAAGCCAGTTGGTCCGCGTGTTTGATGGACCAACAAGCCAGTTGGTCCGCGTGTTTGATGGACCAACAAGCCAGTTGGTCCGCGTGTTTGATGGACCAACAAGCCAGTTGGTCCGCGTGTTTGATGGACCAACAAGCCAGTTGGTCCGCGTGTTTGATGGACCAACAAGCCAGTTGGTCCGCGTGTTTGATGGACCAACAAGCCAGCTGGTCCGCGTGTTTGTTGGACCAACAAGCCAGCTGGTCCGCGTGTTTGTTGGACCAACAAGCCGGCTGGCCCGCGTGTTCGATGGACCAACAAGCCGGCTGGCCCGCGTGTTCGATGGACCAACAAGCCGGCTGGTCCGCGTGTTCGATGGACCAACAAGCCGGCTGGTCCGCGTGTTCGATGGACCAACAAGCCGGCTGGTCCGCGTGTTCGATGGACCAACAAGCCGGCTGGTCCGCGTGTTCGATGGACCAACAAGCCGGCTGGTCCGCGTGTTCGATGGACCAACAAGCCGGTTGGTCCGCGTGTTCGATGGACCAACAAGCCGGTTGGTCCGCGTGTTCGATGGACCAACAAGCCGGTTGGTCCGCGTGTTCGATGGACCAACAAGCCAGTTGGTCCGCGAGTTCGTTGGACCAACAAGCCAGTTGGTCCGCGTGTTTGATGGACCAACAAGCCAGTTGGCCCGCGAGTTCGATGGACCAACAAGCCAGTTGGTCCGCGTGTTCGTTGGACCAAGTTGGTCCGCATGTTCGATGGACCAACAAGCCAGTTGGTCCGCGTTTTCGATGGACCAACAACTCAGTTGGTCCGCGTGTTCGATGGACCAACAAGCGAGTCGGTCTGCGTGTTCGATGGAGCAACAAGCCAGTTGGTCCGCGTGTTCCATGGAGCAACAAGCCAGTTGGTCCGCGTGTTCCATGGAGCAACAAGCCAGTTGGTCCGCGTGTTTGTTGGACCAACAAGCCAGTTGGTCCGCGTGTTTGATGGACCAACAAGCCAGTTGGTCCGCGTGTTTGATGGACCAACAAGCCAGTTGGTCCGCGTGTTTGATGGACCAACAAGCCAGTTGGTCCGCGTGTTTGTTGGACCAACAAGCCAGTTGGTCCGAGTGTCTGTTGGACCAACAAGCCAGTTGGTCCGAGTGTCTGTTGGACCAACAAGCCAGTTGGTCCGAGTGTCTGTTGGACCAACAAGCCAGTTGGTCCGCGTGTTTGATGGACCAACAAGCCAGTTGGTCCGCGTGTTTGTTGGACCAACAAGCCAGTTGGTCCGCGTGTTTGTTGGACCAACAAGCCAGTTGGTCCGCGTGTTTGTTGGACCAACAAGCCAGTTGGTCCGCGTGTTTGTTGGACCAACAAGCCAGTTGGTCCACGTGTTTGTTGGACCAACAAGCCAGCTGGTCCGCGTGTTTGTTGGACCAACAAGCCAGCTGGTCCGCGTGTTTGTTGGACCAACAAGCCAGCTGGTCCGCGTGTTTGTTGGACCAACAAGCCTCTTGGTCCGCGTATTCGATGGACCAACAAGCCTCTTGGTCCGCGTGTTCGATGGACCAACAAGCCTCTTGGTCCGCGTGTTCGATGGACCAACAAGCCTCCTGGTCCGCGTGTTCGATGGACCAGCAAGCCAGCTGGTCCGCGTGTTCGATGGACCAACAAGCCAGCTGGTCCGCGTGTTCGATGGACCAACAAGCCAGCTGGTCCGCGTGTTCGATGGACCAACAAGCCAGCTGGTCCGCGTGTTCGATGGACCAACAAGCCAGCTGGTCCGCGTGTTCGATGGACCAACAAGCCAGCTGGTCCGCGTGTTCGATGGACCAACAAGCCAGCTGGTCCGCGTGTTCGATGGACCAACAAGCCAGCTGGTCCGCGTGTTCGATGGACCAACAAGCCAGTTGGTCCGCGTGTTTGATGGACCAACAAGCCAGTTGGCCCGCGAGTTCGTTGGACCAACAAGCCAGTTGGTCCGCGTGTTTGATGGACCAACAAGCCAGTTGGCCCGCGAGTTCGATGGACCAACAAGCCAGTTGGTCCGCGTGTTCGTTGGACCAAGTTGGTCCGCATGTTCGATGGACCAACAAGCCAGTTGGTCCGCGTGTTTGATGGACCAACAAGCCAGTTGGTCCGCGTGTTTGTTGGACCAACAAGCCAGTTGGTCCGCGTGTTTGATGGACCAACAAGCCAGTTGGTCCGCGTGTTTGTTGGACCAACAAGCCAGTTGGTCCGCGTGTTTGTTGGACCAACAAGCCAGTTGGTCCGCGTGTTTGTTGGACCAACAAGCCAGTTGGTCCGCGTGTTTGATGGACCAACAAGCCAGTTGGTCCGCGTGTTTGTTGGACCAACAAGCCAGTTGGTCCGCGTGTTTGATGGACCAACAAGCCAGTTGGTCCGCGTGTTTGTTGGACCAACAAGCCAGTTGGTCCGCGTGTTTGTTGGACCAACAAGCCAGTTGGTCCGCGTGTTTGTTGGACCAACAAGCCAGTTGGTCCACGTGTTTGTTGGACCAACAAGCCAGTTGGTCCGCGTGTTTGTTGGACCAACAAGCCAGCTGGTCCGCGTGTTTGTTGGACCAACAAGCCAGCTGGTCCACGTGTTTGATGGACCAACAAGCCAGCTGGTCCACGTGTTTGATGGACCAACAAGCCAGCTGGTCCGCGTGTTCGATGGACCAACAAGCCAGCTGGTCCGCGTGTTCGATGGACCAACAAGCCAGCTGGTCCGCGTGTTCGATGGACCAACAAGCCAGCTGGTCCGCGTGTTCGATGGACCAACAAGCCAGCTGGTCCGCGTGTTCGATGGACCAACAAGCCAGCTGGTCCGCGTGTTCGATGGACCAACAAGCCAGCTGGTCCGCGTGTTTGATGGACCAACAAGCCAGCTGGTCCGCGTGTTTGATGGACCAACAAGCCAGCTGGTCCGCGTGTTTGATGGACCAACAAGCCAGCTGGTCCGCGTGTTTGATGGACCAACAAGCCAGCTGGTCCGCGTGTTTGATGGACCAACAAGCCAGCTGGTCCGCGTGTTCGATGGACCAACAAGCCAGCTGGTCCGCGTGTTCGATGGACCAACAAGCCAGCTGGTCCGCGTGTTCGATGGACCAACAAGCCAGCTGGTCCGCGTGTTCGATGGACCAACAATGTAGCAGGTCCGCGTGTTCGATAGACCAACAAGGCAGCAGGTCCGCGTGTTCGATGGACCAACAAGCCAGCTGGTCCGCGTGTTCGATGGACCAACAAGCCAGTTGGTCCGCGTGTTCGTTGGACCAACAAGCTAGTTGGTCCGCGTGTTGTTGGTCCACGTGTTCGTTGGACCAACAAGCCAGTTGGTCCGCGTGTTTGATGGACCAACAAGCCAGTTGGTCCGCGTGTTTGTGGGCCAACAAGCCAGCTGGTCCGCGTGTTCGATGGACCAACAAGCCAGTTGGTCCGCGTGTTTGTTGGACCAACAAGCCAGTTGGTCCGCGTGTTGTTGGTCCACGTGTTCGTTGGACCAACAAGCCAGTTGGTCCGCGTGTTTGTTCGTTGGGCCAACAAGCCAGTTGGTCCGCGTGTTCGTTGGGCTAACAAGCCAGCTGGTCCGCGTGTTTGTTGGACCAACAAGCCAGCTGGTCCACGTGTTTGATGGACCAACAAGCCAGCTGGTCCACGTGTTTGATGGACCAACAAGCCAGCTGGTCCACGTGTTTGATGGACCAACAAGCCAGCTGGTCCACGTGTTTGATGGACCAACAAGCCAGCTGGTCCACGTGTTTGATGGACCAACAAGCCAGCTGGTCCGCGTGTTTGATGGGCCAACAAGCCAGCTGGTCCGCGTGTTTGATGGGCCAACAAGCCAGCTGGTCCGCGTGTTTGATGGGCCAACAAGCCAGCTGGTCCGCGTGTTTGATGGGCCAACAAGCCAGCTGGTCCGCGTGTTTGATGGGCCAACAAGCCAGCTGGTCCGCGTGTTTGATGGACCAACAAGCCAGCTGGTCCGCGTGTTTGATGGACCAACAAGCCAGCTGGTCCGCGTGTTTGATGGACCAACAAGCCAGCTGGTCCGCGTGTTTGATGGACCAACAAGCCAGCTGGTCCGCGTGTTTGATGGACCAACAAGCCAGCTGGTCCGCGTGTTTGATGGTCCAACAAGCCAGCTGGTCCGCGTGTTCGATGGTCCAACAAGCCAGCTGGTCCGCGTGTTCGATGGACCAACAAGCCAGCTGGTCCGCGTGTTCGATGGACCAACAAGCCAGCTGGTCCGCGTGTTCGTTGGACCAACAAGCCAGCTGGTCCGCGTGTTTGATGGACCAACAAGCCAGCTGGTCCGCGTGTTTGATGGACCAACAAGCCAGCTGGTCCGCGTGTTCGATGGACCAACAAGCCAGCTGGTCCGCGTGTTCGATGGACCAACAAGCCAGCTGGTCCGCGTGTTTGTTGGACCAACAAGCCAGCTGGTCCGCGTGTTCGTTGGACCAACAAGCCAGCTGGTCCGCGTGTTTGATGGACCAACAAGCCAGGTGGTCCGCGTGTTTGTTGGACCAACAAGCCAGCTGGTCCGCGTGTTTGATGGACCAACAAGCCAGCTGGTCCGCGTGTTCGATGGACCAACAAGCCAGCTGGTCCGCGTGTTCGATGGACCAACAAGCCAGCTGGTCCGCGTGTTCGATGGACCAACAAGCCAGCTGGTCCGCGTGTTCGATGGACCAACAAGCCAGCTGGTCCGCGTGTTTGATGGACCAACAAGCCAGCTGGTCCGCGTGTTCGATGGACCAACAAGCCAGCTGGTCCGCGTGTTTGATGGACCAACAAGCCAGCTGGTCCGCGTGTTTGATGGACCAACAAGCCAGCTGGTCCGCGTGTTCGATGGACCCACAAGCCAGCTGGTCCGCGTGTTCGATGGACCAACAAGCCAGCTGGTCCGCGTGTTCGATGGACCAACAAGCCAGCTGGTCCGCGTGTTCGATGGACCAACAAGCCAGCTGGTCCGCGTGTTCGATGGACCAACAAGCCAGCTGGTCCGCGTGTTCGATGGACCAACAAGCCAGCTGGTCCGCGTGTTCGATGGACCAACAAGCCAGCTGGTCCGCGTGTTTGATGGACCAACAAGCCAGTTGGTCCGCGTGTTTGTTGGACCAACAAGCCAGTTGGTCCACGTGTTGTTGGTCCACGTGTTGGTTGGACCAACAAGCCAGTTAGTCCGCGTGTTTGTTGGGCCAACAAGCCAGCTGGTCCACGTGTTTGTGGGCCAACAAGCCAGCTGGTCCACGTGTTTGATGGACCAACAAGCCAGCTGGTCCACGTGTTTGATGGACCAACAAGCCAGCTGGTCCACGTGTTTGATGGACCAACAAGCCAGCTGGTCCACGTGTTTGATGGACCAACAAGCCAGCTGGTCCACGTGTTTGATGGACCAACAAGCCAGCTGGTCCACGTGTTTGATGGACCAACAAGCCAGCTGGTCCACGTGTTTGATGGACCAACAAGCCAGCTGGTCCACGTGTTTGATGGACCAACAAGCCAGCTGGTCCACGTGTTTGATGGACCAACAAGCCAGCTGGTCCACGTGTTTGATGGACCAACAAGCCAGCTGGTCCACGTGTTTGATGGACCAACAAGCCAGCTGGTCCGCGTGTTTGATGGGCCAACAAGCCAGCTGGTCCTCGTGTTTGATGGGCCAACAAGCCAGCTGGTCCGCGTGTTTGATGGGCCAACAAGCCAGCTGGTCCGCGTGTTTGATGGGCCAACAAGCCAGCTGGTCCGCGTGTTTGATGGGCCAACAAGCCAGCTGGTCCGCGTGTTTGATGGGCCAACAAGCCAGCTGGTCCGCGTGTTTGATGGACCAACAAGCCAGCTGGTCCGCGTGTTTGATGGACCAACAAGCCAGCTGGTCCGCGTGTTTGATGGACCAACAAGCCAGCTGGTCCGCGTGTTTGATGGACCAACAAGCCAGCTGGTCCGCGTGTTTGATGGACCAACAAGCCAGCTGGTCCGCGTGTTTGATGGTCCAACAAGCTTGCTGGTCCGCGTGTTTGATGGACCAACAAGCCAGCTGGTCCGCGTGTTTGATGGACCAACAAGCCAGCTGGTCCGCGTGTTTGATGGTCCAACAAGCCAGCTGGTCCGCGTGTTCGATGGACCAACAAGCCAGCTGGTCCGCGTGTTTGTTGGACCAACAAGCCAGCTGGTCCGCGTGTTCGATGGACCAACAAGCCAGCTGGTCCGCGTGTTCGATGGACCAACAAGCCAGCTGGTCCGCGTGTTCGATGGACCAACAAGCCAGCTGGTCCGCGTGTTCGATGGACCAACAAGCCAGCTGGTCCGCGTGTTCGATGGACCAACAAGCCAGCTGGTCCGCGTGTTCGTTGGACCAACAAGCCAGCTGGTCCGCGTGTTTGATGGACCAACAAGCCAGCTGGTCCGCGTGTTCGTTGGACCAACAAGCCAGCTGGTCCGCGTGTTTGATGGACCAACAAGCCAGTTGGTCCGCGTGTTTGTTGGACCAACAAGCCAGCTGGTCCGCGTGTTTGATGGACCAACAAGCCAGCTGGTCCGCGTGTTTGTTGGACCAACAAGCCAGCTGGTCCGCGTGTTTGATGGACCAACAAGCCAGCTGGTCCGCGTGTTCGATGGACCAACAAGCCAGCTGGTCCGCGTGTTCGATGGACCAACAAGCCAGCTGGTCCGCGTGTTCGATGGACCAACAAGCCAGCTGGTCCGCGTGTTCGATGGACCAACAAGCCAGCTGGTCCGCGTGTTCGATGGACCAACAAGCCAGCTGGTCCGCGTGTTCGATGGACCAACAAGCCAGCTGGTCCGCGTGTTTGATGGACCAACAAGCCAGCTGGTCCGCGTGTTCGATGGACCAACAAGCCAGCTGGTCCGCGTGTTCGATGGACCAACAAGCCAGCTGGTCCGCGTGTTCGATGGACCAACAAGCCAGCTGGTCCGCGTGTTCGATGGACCAACAAGCCAGCTGGTCCGCGTGTTCGATGGACCAACAAGCCAGCTGGTCCGCGTGTTCGATGGACCAACAAGCCAGCTGGTCCGCGTGTTTGTTGGACCAACAAGCCAGTTGGTCCGCGTGTTCGTTGGACAAACAAGCCAGTTGGTCCACGTGTTGTTGGTCCACGTGTTCGTTGGACCAACAAGCCAGTTGGTCCGCGTGTTCGTTGAGCCAACAAGCCAGCTGGTCCACGTGTTTGTGGGCCAACAAGCCAGCTGGTCCACGTGTTTGATGGACCAACAAGCCAGCTGGTCCACGTGTTTGATGGACCAACAAGCCAGCTGGTCCACGTGTTTGATGGACCAACAAGCCAGCTGGTCCACGTGTTTGATGGACCAACAAGCCAGCTGGTCCACGTGTTTGATGGACCAACAAGCCAGCTGGTCCGCGTGTTTGATGGTCCAACAAGCCACCTGGTCCGCGTGTTGGATGGTCCAACAAGCCAGCTGGTCCGCGTGTTCGATGGTCCAACAAGCCAGCTGGTCCGCGTGTTCCGGCCGGTCCGCGTGTTCCGGCCGTTCCGCGTGTTTGATGGACCAACAAGCCAGCTGGTCCGCGTGTTTGTTGGACCAACAAGCCAGCTGGTCCGCGTGTTTGTTGGACCAACAAGCCAGCTGGTCCGCGTGTTTGTTGGACCAACAAGCCAGCTGGTCCGCGTGTTTGTTGGACCAACAAGCCAGCTGGTCCGCGTGTTTGTTGGACCAACAAGCCAGCTGGTCCGCGTGTTTGTTGGACCAACAAGCCAGCTGGTCCGCGTGTTTGTTGGACCAACAAGCCAGTTGGTCCGCGTGTTTGATGGACCAACAAGCCAGCTGGTCCGCGTGTTTGTTGGACCAACAAGCCAGCTGGTCCGCGTGTTTGTTGGACCAACAAGCCAGTTGGTCCGCGTGTTTGATGGACCAACAAGCCAGTTGGTCCGACGAGCCAGTCGGTCCGCGTGTTTGTTGGACCAACAAGCCAGTTGGTCCGCGTGTTTGATGGACCAACAAGCCAGTTGGTCCGCGTGTTTGTTGGGCCAACGAGCCAGTCGGTCCGCGTGTTTGTTGGGCCAACGAGCCAGTCGGTCCGCGTGTTTGTTGGGCCAACGAGCCAGTCGGTCCGCGTGTTTGTTGGGCCAACGAGCCAGTCGGTCCGCGTGTTTGTTGGGCCAACGAGCCAGTCGGTCCGCGTGTTTGTTGGGCCAACGAGCCAGTCGGTCCGCGTGTTTGTTGGGCCAACGAGCCAGTCGGTCCGCGTGTTTGTTGGGCCAACGGGCCAGTCGGTCCGCGTGTTTGTTGGGCCAACGAGCCAGTCGGTCCGCGTGTTTGTTGGGCCAACGAGCCAGTCGGTCCGCGTGTTTGTTGGGCCAACGAGCCAGTCGGTCCGCGTGTTTGTTGGGCCAACGAGCCAGTCGGTCCGCGTGTTTGTTGGCCAACGAGCCAGTCGGTCCGCGTGTTTGTTGGGCCAACGAGCCAGCCGGTCCGCGTGTTTGTTGGCCAACGAGCCAGCCGGTCCGCGTGTTTGTTGGCCAACGAGCCAGCCGGTCCGCGTGTTTGTTGGGCCAACGAGCCAGCCGATCCGCGTGTTTGTTGGGCCAACGAGCCAGCCGGTCCGCGTGTTTGTTGGCCAACGAGCCAGCCGGTCCGCGTGTTTGTTGGGCCAACGAGCCAGCCGGTCCGCGTGTTTGTTGGGCCAACGAGCCAGCCGGTCCGCGTGTTTGTTGGGCCAACGAGCCAGCTGGTCCGCGTGTTTGTTGGTCCAACGAGCTAGCTGGTCCGCGTGTTCGTTGGTCCAACGAGCCAGCCGGTCCGCGTGTTCGTTGGTCCAACGAGCCAGCCGGTCCGCGTGTTCGTTGGACCAACGAGCCAGCCGGTCCGCGTGTTCGTTGGACCAACGAGCCAGCCGGTCCGCGTGTTCGTTGGACCAACGAGCCAGCCGGTCCGCGTGTTCGTTGGACCAACGAGCCAGCTGGTCCGCGTGTTCGTTGGACCAACGAGCCAGCTGGTCCACGTGTTTGTTGGACCAACGAGCCAGTTGGTCCACGTGTTCGTTGGACCAACGAGCCAGCTGGTCCCCGTGTTCGTTGGACCAACGAGCCAGCTGGTCCCCGTGTTCGTTGGACCAACGAGCCAGCTGGTCCCCGTGTTCGTTGGACCAACGAGCCAGCTGGTCCCCGTGTTCGTTGGACCAACGAGCCAGCTGGTCCACGTGTTTGTTGGACCAACGAGCCAGTTGGTCCACGTGTTCGATGGACCAACAAGCCAGCTGGTCCACGTGTTCGATGGACCAACAAGCCAGCTGGTCCACGTGTTCGATGGACCAACAAGCCAGCTGGTCCACGTGTTTGATGGACCAACGAGCCAGTTGGTCCACGTGTTTGTTGGACCAACGAGCCAGTTGGTCCACGTGTTTGTTGGACCAACGAGCCAGTTGGTCCACGTGTTTGTTGGACCAACGAGCCAGTTGGTCCACGTGTTTGATGGACCAACGAGCCAGTTGGTCCACGTGTTTGATGGACCAACGAGCCAGTTGGTCCACGTGTTTGATGGACCAACAAGCCAGCTGGTCCACGTGTTTGATGGACCAACAAGCCAGCTGGTCCACGTGTTTGATGGACCAACAAGCCAGCTGGTCCACGTGTTTGTTGGACCAACAAGCCAGCTGGTCCACGTGTTTGATGGACCAACAAGCCAGCTGGTCCACGTGTTTGATGGACCAACAAGCCAGCTGGTCCACGTGTTTGATGGACCAACAAGCCAGCTGGTCCACGTGTTTGATGGACCAACAAGCCAGCTGGTCCACGTGTTTGTTGGATCGACAAGCCAGCTGGTCCACGTGTTTGTTGGACCAACAAGCCAGTTGGTCCACGTGTTTGATGGACCAACAAGCCAGTTGGTCCACGTGTTTGATGGACCAACAAGCCTTCGTCTCCGTGTCTCAGAGCTGATTTGCAGTTTATGGATCAATCGTAAAAGGTTTGTAGTGTAGCAATTCAAGGCGGTAAAACAGAACTTGGTTTGTGCTGCACAACATCGTACTCAACCGTTGTGTCCAAGTAGAAAGTGAGCTCCCTATCCCCGCCACCCTCCAGCAGCATCAACCACCCGCCTCGTCCATTCTGCATCGCCTTTGCGGCGCGTTGAGTCAGTAGTTTCTCGTTTTCCTTACCTAGTCCTTCGTTGCCCAGTGCCTTTTTCCTAGCCATGGCAGCTGCCGTCCCTTGACTCCTAACTCCGTCGTGTACCATTCGTAATGTCGAAATAGGTCTACTTTCTCGTTACCTGCCTTTCTGATCAATGCCTTCCACAGCGACGATTGCGACGTTTTTAGGAGACAGCTAAGGAGCGGCGTGAACCCTAGCACGCGTAGAACGCGCTTTCCTTCGTTCCCTTAGCCGCGCTCGTCATTACACGCTACCAGCCACTCAGCGTAACCGTCTATTCCTAACTGGCTCCTTCCCTCCGTTAGAAGCACCTTACTAACCTTTTTTCCAAACTCGCATTTCGCAATAACGAGTCATGGACGACTGTGACTGTATCGGAGGGCAGTGGGCCACGGACGACCTCTTAATCCGCTACCAGTACGTCTCGGACTTTTTCATAGCCCTCGCTTACTTCTCCATCCCGCTCGAATTAATCTACTTCGTAAAAAAATCCGCCGTCTTCCCCTACCGATGGGTGCTGGTCCAATTCGGCGCGTTTATAGTTCTCTGCGGCACCACGCATCTCATCAACATGTGGACCTTTCGCGAACACACGCGAACCGTCGCCTTCGTCATGACCATCGCGAAAGTCCTCACCGCCGTCGTGTCGTGCGCGACGGCGCTCATGCTCGTACACATCATTCCGGACCTCCTCTCCGTGAAGACCCGCGAGCTGTTCTTGAAGAATAAAGCGGCGGAGCTGGATCGCGAGATGGGGTTGATCCGCACGCAGGAGGAGACGGGGCGGCACGTGCGCATGCTGACGCACGAGATCCGGTCGTCGCTGGACCGCCCGACCATCCTCAACACGACGCTCGTGGAGCTGGGGCGCACGCTGCAGCTCGATGAATGCGCGCTCTGGATGCCCGCCAACCTCGCGGGTGAGCGCACTGGGGCGATGGGGGTGGGAGTGTTGGTGTTCGGTTGTCTGGTCGCTGAGTGCGTGAGCGGGGCGGTGGTTGCGTGGAAAAGAGGGGCTGGGCAGGAATTCTGGCGGGTGAGAGCACGGAGACATTGGGCTGGAAAGGGGGGAAGAGTACCTTGTGGGTTTGTAACTAGGCGTGGGAAGAATTTGGCAGGTTATAGAGCGACCGTCTTCCCACCATCCTCTCTCCCCCCCTTCCCTCCGTCTCCTCATCCCCTCCCTCCATCCCCCTCTCTGCACGCCCTTCCCCAGGCGACGAGGACAAAGACGGTGGGGGGTCCCCATCGGACCTACAGCTCATTCACACGCTGCATCAGCCCAAGCCCCCTCCCATCCTCTACCCCTTCCTCCTCTTATCATTCCCTTGCCCCCATCCCCATCCCTCACCCTCTTCTCCAGGCGATGACGAAGACGACGGCGGAGGGTCCCCATCGGACCTACAGCTCATTCACACGCTGCATCAGCCCAAGCCCCCGCCAGTCACCGTCACGCTCGCACACCCCACAGTGAAGCAGGTCTTCAGCACCAGCCGCGCCGTCGTCATCTCCCCCAACTCCCCCGTCACGGCTATCCCGGGCGGCGGGCGGGCAGCGGGTGGCAACCGCTACGTGGCCGGCGACGTGGTTGCGGTGCGCATCCCTCTGCTCCACGCCAACACCTTCACGGGCGGCGGGGCAGGCGGCGCGGGGGGCAGCGACTGGCAGGACTCGCGGGAGCGAAGCTACGCGCTGCTCGTCCTCATGCTCCCAGCCGACAGCGCGCGGCGGTGGCACGTGCACGAGTTAGAAATGGTAGAAGTGGTGGCGGATCAAGTGGCGGTCGCACTCTCACACGCAGCCATCCTAGAAGAGTCCATGCACGCCCGGGATTTACTCATGGAGCAGAACGTTGCTCTCGACCACGCGCGAGCGCAAGCGGAGAAGGCCATCCGCGCGCGAAACGATTTCTTGGCTGTTATGAACCACGAGATGCGGACGCCCATGCACGCCATTATCGCTCTCTCTACTCTGCTCCAGGAGACAGAACTGACTCCGGAGCAGCGCAGCATGGTTGACACGGTGCTAAAGTCCAGTAACCTGCTCGCCACGCTCATTCACGATGTGCTAGACCTCTCCCACCTGGAAGACGGCAGCATGCTGCTGGACGTCCGCACCTTCAACCTCCACGGCACCTTCCGCGAGGTTGCCTCGCTGGTGAAACCGGTAGCTTCGGTGAAAAAGCTGGGAGTGACGCTGAGGCTGCAGTCGGATGTGCCTGAGTTTGCGTCGGGGGATGAGAGGCGGCTGCTGCAGACAGCGCTGAATGTGGTGGGCAATGCCGTGAAGTTTACCAGGGATGGCAGTATTACGATTACTGTGTGCCTGGAGCGGCCCGAGTTTCAGCGCGATAAGAACTTTCCGAAGTTTGTGCCGGTGGTGGCGCTGGGGGATAAGCACTACTACATCCGCGTGCAGGTGAGCTGTGATTCAATGGTGCGCATGCAGGTGAGCCGTGGCAGACGGCTCTGAACGTGGTGGGGAATGCCGTGAAGTTCACCAGGGATGGCAACATCACGATTACTGTGTGCCTGGAGCGGCCCGAGTTTCAAGTTTGTGCCGGTGGTGGCGCTGGGCGACAAGCACTACTACATCCGCGTGCAGGTGAGCGGTGAGGTGCTTGCAGTCCTGGTGGCAGTGCCGTCCTTGCTCCTTTCACGTGCTGCTTGCTGCGGTGGTGGCTCTGGGGTACTACATCCGCGTGCAGGTGAGCTGTGGGGCTTCTGGTTTGTTGCACAGGGCAATGCTCAGGTTGAGGGAACTTGTGATCACCTCGATCGGTCGGTGGTGGCGCTGCGAGACCACCGCCGCCACCACTACATCCGCTTGCTCACTCAAGCGGGGCGTGTTTTCGTGCCTCAATTCCTCGTCTCCATCCCCATCCCATACCTCTCCTCTCCTCGTGGCGAGCAGGTGAAGGACACGGGCGTGGGGTTGAGGCAGGAGGACCAGAGGAAACTGTTCAGCAAGTTTGTGCAGGCAGACGCCACCACCACGCGCAACTATGGTGGCACTGGGCTGGGCCTCGCTATCTGCAAGCGGTGAGGAAGGGGGACGTGGTAGAGGTGGCAGAGGATAATGGCCGGCAAGAAGGGGAAATGGGGGATAGAGGTAGGGGGCGCCTTAGGGACCATTCACAGAAGAACTTTCTTCCATCTTTCTGAAGAAAGGAGAGCGAGGGGGCGGGCAGGGGACACCTTGTACACTCACATCCCCCCATGTCATTCCATCACCACCCATTCCTCTTCACCTTCCCCTTCCCCCTTTCCCTTCTTCCTCCTCTCCCCCCCGCCCCTTTTTTCCAGCTTCGTGAACATGATGGGAGGGCACATTTGGGTGGAGAGCGAGGGGCCGGGCAAGGATTTACTATGCATGTTCTTGTCCACCCCCTTTCCCCCTTCCCCTCTTCTGTCATCCCCACACCCCAGCTTCGTGAACATGATGGGAGGGCACATTTGGGTGGAGAGTGAGGGCCCTGGCAAGGGAACAACGGTGACGTTTGTGGTGCGGCTGGGACTGCCAGAGAAGGCCGACGACCGCACCAAGGCGGGGCCCGCGGGGCAGAAGCAGGCTGCTGGCGGCGCTGGTGGGGTGACCAAGGCCGTGGACTTCACCGGGCTGAAAGTGCTTGTCTGCGACGATAACCAGTGAGTGACAGGGGATGGTAGATATGCAATGAGTGCGGGTAGGATAGTAATCAGTGGGCAAGGCGGGGCCTATAGGGCAGGGAGTGTATGGGGAGGGAGGGCATATAGGGCATGAGGTGTAGGGCAGCTTGTTCTGGTGCCTCGTCACTGCAACATCACTGCTGGCGGCGCTGGTGGGGTGACCAAGGCCGTGGACTTTACCGGGCTCAAAGTGCTCGTGTGTGATGATAGCGAGTGAGTTGGGGAGGGGGGAGAGAGGGGGGGGTGGGGGGGAATGATAGTAACGAGTGAGTGAGTGGGAGGGAGTGAGCAGTGAGTGAGGGGCAGAAGCAGGCAGCAGGAGGGGCTGGTGGGGTGACCAAGGCTGTGGACTTCACCGGGTTCAAAGTGTTCGTATGTGATGATAGCAAGTGAGTGCAACAACAGGCAGTGCGCAGTGTGTGGATGGGATGAAGAGAGGAAGGGAGGGTGTAGCTTGTGCTGCTGCTTCCTCACTGGAACATCAGTGCATTCACGTTCTCTCTCAGTTAGACCTTTCGTCCTGTCATCCGCTTACCTGTGCTTGCCTGTGTCAGTAAGTAACGCATTCCTTCTTCCCCATCCTCTTCTTCTCCCCATTGCCCCCCGCTCCACATCCGTCCCGGTTGCAAGCACATGGTCACCGAGTGCATGGTCACACGGCTGGGTTGTGGCAATTCTTGCATGTTAGTAAAGCGTTTCTCCCCTCCCACCGCTCCCTCTCATTCCCTCTCGTCCCCCCCCCCAGTGTGAACCGCATGGTGACCAAGCGCAAGGTCACACGGCTGGGGTGCAAGGTCACTGTGGTGGGCTCAGTAACGCATTCCCCCCGTCCGTCTCGGCTGCCTCCCACTGCCACCTCCCCTCGTGCTTTGTTTCCTCTCTTCTCCTTGTCTTCCCTCTCTTCCCCCCCAGTGTGAACCGCATGGTGACCAAGCGCATGGTCACACGGCTGGGCTGCGAGGTCACCGTGGTGGGGTCAGGCCGCGAGTGCCTGGCTGCTCTTGCTGGCCCGGGCCATGGCTTTAAGGTGCGCTGGCAGGGGTTATGGGAGAGTGTGTGAGTGAGGGGCACAGCACAGGGAAGGGTGTGGGCGAGGGACGCAGGGGGGCTATGGGGTTCAGGGGAGAGGGGCATTTGAAGCGCGACAGGACGTGTATGCAAGGGCCTCGCGGCTCGGCTGTGCTGCTCTCTCCCACTTCTTACTCTCTCTTCCTTATTCCTTCTTGTCCCCTCCTATCATCTCCCTGTTATCTCATTCTCAGTTGTTTTTTTTCTTCACGCACACTCTGTTCCCTCCCCAACCCCACTATCCCCGCCAGCAGGTGCTGCTACAGGACTTGATGATGCCAGACATGGATGGCTACGAGGTGGCCAAGCTCGTCATCGACCGAATCAAGAGCCTCCTTCTCACATCCAATGATCTACACAGTCCCTGCGGTTATCTCTTTGCAAACACTTACCTTTCTCTCTCCACAATCCTCCCCTCTCACTCCAACAGGTGCTACTGCAGGATCTGATGATGCCGGACATGGACGGCTACGAGGTGGCCAAGCGGGTCATCGACCGCATCAAGAACCCTGACGAGCGCCCGCGCATAGCGGCGTTGACAGCCAACACGGACCAGGCGACCAAGGACCGGTGCCTCAGCATCGGCATGGACGGCGTCATCACCAAGCCCATCTCGCTTGAAAAGATGCGCATCGTCTTCACGGAGCTCATGACCCTCGGGAAGATCGTGTCCGATCCCAAGGCTTAGGATCCTGTGTGCAAGGGTTTGGAGGTGTGCAGTGCGGTGAGGAGGTGTGTAGGGACTGGGCATGGACGGGGTCATCACCAAGCCCATCTCTCTCGAGAAGATGCGCATTGTGTTACCCGAGCTCATGACCATTGGCAAGATCGTGTCCGATCCCAAGGCATAAAGATTCAGTTTCGGGAAATTTGTTCAGGATTCCCAGCTCGTGGGTGTGCGGTGCGGCTCGCAGGTGTCCAGGCAGTGGGCATGGATAGGATGATTGAGAAGCTTACAGTATATTTCTGGAGAAGATGCAGATTGTCCCCACAGAGAGTACCCTCTGAATATTGTGTCCAATTTCAAGTTTTAGATTTCTGCTCTTTGGATTGCAGGGCGTGTATGAGTTTGTGGTGTGCATGTATGGTCAATTGAGGTGCACAAGAAAGGGAGGCTGGTTCCCATGGCCACCCACCCCCACAATGAGACAATACAAGCAACAAGGGAGCAAAACTGGCTGAGTTCACAACAAGGTACTTGACAGACCATTCTGCATTCAAGCCACTGGTTGGCAATACTACCGTATAAGTTCATATCCCACTTTATTGATCTGGGAAGAGCAACTGCTGTTCCTAAGGCTAAGGGTGATTTAAGTCTAAATGGAGAACGGGATAGAGCCCTTTACATTTCAATCTGCCCACCAGGAGCATCAGCCCTGCAAGAGACGAAAGCCAGGGGACAAAGGCACAGGCAAGGAGAGAAAAGAGTTAATTCAACAAGCTACTGCAAAGACAACTTCCACGCAGACCTCTACCACTCATGCACACAACGCCATGCAAAACGGTCACAATCTGCCCACTCGTACTGCAACCTGTCTCGAGGCTGTTTTCTGTCTACTGAATACCGCAATCTGACCACTCAATTCCGCCTCCTAGACTCGCTTCTGCCATGTGTCCCTAAGTCTGCAGTCTAACCACATGGCAGATTGGTGGTAGGTGCAGAGCCCTAGCGCTCCACCTTCAAAAACGTCTAGCCCACATACCCAAAGCTCCAGTCACGTGGCGTCATGAGCGTACGTGTTGATGAGTAAAAGGTCAGTGGTGTCATGAGAAACGGCCACTGATGCTACCCTATACGTAACGTCCAAGAGATGGTCCGTGCTCTCAGCGGGACAATACGAAGTGTACTGCGGACACTAGTATTATTCGACATACAACCTACGTATGTACCCTGCCCTTCCACTAGTTCACACGGATTTACAGGACGTACCCGGTGTAGCCGAATTTGGCGCGGTGAATGTTGCGCTGTCGGATCCAGCAGATGCACACGCACAGGAGGCAGAACGCCATGCCGAATGTCACGCCTGAAAAAGGGCAACGGGAGCACGCGCGCGAGTCAATCAACAACAATCTCCATCATCCTTTCTCGTCTCAGGCCACCCCCTCGTACTCTTTATTGTTCACTGCCCCTCCGCTTTCTCCCCTTGATTTCCTAAGAGAACGCTGGTTACATCGCGCACGACAAGGGTGACGATCGTATGACATTGCGACGTTTCCACTTTGGATAACAAGGTTCAGAACGAACGATGTACTTTGGTTGGATGAGGATCTGATAATGACGTAAAAGCAGCGATGGTTGGTGTAAATATAACTGGCCGATAGCCAGGCGACTGGCGTGGTGGCGATGTAAAGGGTCCGAATCAACGAGTTCGAGGCTGTTTGCAACAGACTATAATCACTCACCAGCATCGTGATTTTTGCGTCAAACTCGAAAGCGGCTCGTTACGGGTTGTGATAACTCACCGAGAACAATGCCGATGATGCCTTCGGGACCAATCCCGTCGCTCTGCATCTTCGTGTACGTCCCTTGGAAATCGTACTTAGAGTAAAAGTCGCCCTCCACTGTTCCCGCCTCTTCTGAGGGCGTCAGTCCTGACGGCTCGGTAGCATCGCCGCCGACAACAGTGCCGGCCGGCATGTTCTCCATGTCCTGCGCAACCTGCTCGTCCGTCTTAGGCGGCTCGTCCGCCGGCGGCACATCGACCGGCGCTTCGTCAGCCGGCGGCTGGTCGGCGGGAATGTCTTCAGGCGGAATGTCCTGGTTGAAGGGGTCTTGCGGCACGCCTTGGTCGCCGTCTGCGGGAACGTTTGCTGGGTAGTCCCCCTCTCCCTCGCCGGCGAAACCCGCGTTTTGCGGCTCTGGCGGGTAGTCCTCATTCGCCGTTGGATCTTGCGCGTGGCATCGTGTGGACGAGAGAACTAGACAAATCAAAGACAGCAGGATAGCCAACCGAGCAAATCTCGCCATTTTGGGTTCTAAATCACCGTCGCACTGCCTCAACTCAGACCGCAACCTAAGCTTGAAGCAGCAGTTGAAACTTGATAACTAAATCTAAGCAGCTGAACTGAGAAAACAAATGCTTGGCTGGGGACTGGCATGTGCACTGATGGCCAGAAAAATGCTCCACTCTTCCCTCCCCCCCGCTTTTCTGGTGGTGTGGTCGGCTCGCTCAGCTCGGGGCAGGTTGTTGCAGTACCTAGGCGCTATATACGGACCTCGATATTTGCTCTCCTGAAAGTGGTTCGTGCGAGCCTCGAGTTCATCACGTCAAAACCGCTCGCGCCGAACCTCAAGGCGCGGCTGGGCTCGGCTGGGTCACATCCTACGTTGCGTCGCTTGGGTATCGCACACAGCTGTTATAGGTTCGCCCTATGTGCCCTGTCGTCGTCACCCCCGAAAGCGAAGGATTCGGGGCATTGGAAAGTTCCAAGAGCACGTCAAAGCGGGAAACGCAGGTTAGGAAATGTACGAAGTAGGAGGTTACCACTGCAAATAAGCGGGCTGCAAATTCTCACGCTCGCACAGGCCGACGTCGCCTGGGCAGAAACTTGTGGCGAGAGTCTGGGCTGGGGCAAGCTGGCCCATCTTGAGCGACCGCCCCTAGACCAATCACCTGAGAGAGGGAATCGCTCAACTCCAACAACCCCAACCACATGACACTGTCGCTCATACAGAGGTCTTCCACCTGCGACTCGTAACAAGTCATCCTCGATACCGCCTCATCACCAGGACCCTTCTTAAAGGTCCCAAGTGTAGCATAAATTACTAGGCAGCCATATAAGTTTCACGCGACTACACTTGAGGTTTGGTGCCGCAGTTCTGGTGTGTTTGAGAGGTAACCGTTCTCGCGCCATCTCGGACATCACATGCGTTTCGTATGTTGAGGCCTATGCCATCCAAATCAATCGAAAACTCGAACCGCGTAAACGCCCGCATCGCATCCCATAAAAAATGTGCCCAACATTTCAACATTTCGGCACACCACATATCCTTGACTGCTCCACATATCCTCCACATTTCAGCATCTCTCAACGCTTTTCACATGTCTGGCTTCCTCTCATGATCTCATCTCGTCCCGCCATTCCATTCATCAGAAGGTGCTGCTCCGTCAAGGTCACGTGCACTTCTGTGCAGCCCACACTTCCGCGCCTCAATCTCGGCACTTTCCTTTCTAATCGTGTAGTTTCCCATAGAACGCGTATTGCCTGGCTCCCCTTAGATGGAAAGCAAGGTGCCACGAGTGGGCAACGTTGTCAAGCGAGGCGCAGACGTTAGAGTAGGCAGGTACGGAGGAAACAGACACTGGAATGCAGAGGACTACTGAGGGAAACAGTGAAAGCGACACACCGTGCTACGAGCATTCACTGACCGCATCATGGACGGCCAAGATCCCGACCCTCGGAATCGCTGCACTTCATCCAACCGTTTCTTAGAACGGCGATCCTTTCCCCCGACCTTCCGCATCCTCCTCCTCTTCCCCCTCCTCCTAATATCTCTGCGACCGCCGGCGTGTCTCATTCTGCCACACGCCCATGCCGCCCTTAACACGGACCTGCCAAAGCACACGAATCCAAGTCCTCTCACTAACGGATCACGGTCGCTGCCACGTGGACAGCATTGGCCATGGAGACTGGAATCGACGGATGGGAATGACGGAGGCGGGATGGCAACGGAGAATCGGGGAACTGGGGTAAGCCTCTACCGCGTCCCTCTCTCGTTCTCTCGCGACCTTTTGCAGAGGGGTGAGAAAATTACTGGAGACTCAGCTAGAGATGATGAATCTCGTGACCGACATGCGACAGGTGACGCGAAAGACAATGTGACAACTGCGAAAGCAGCGAAGAAATTGCTGACGAGAAAGCCTTCGAGCAGGGAAGCGGAAGGGGGGAAGGCGGGTAGGGGTAAAGGAGGTTCGGTATCAGCGGCGCAGACAGGAGACGGCAAGGGGAGTGCACGGGCAGGGAAGCAAGAAAAAGACGCGGTGGTTTCCCTTCTCGTGCCGGCTCGTAATACGACCAAGCCCGCCGCTACTAGCCGTAATGCAAGTTCTAGTGCAAGTCCTAGAATGCCCGTTCCGAGTAGAAGTGATTCCATCAAGCCCCCTGACAAGCCGCCCGCACAGAATGGCAGCCGCGGGAAGCTTCCCTCTGCGTCACCGAAGGTTCCGGTAGCTGGCAAGTCAAACGCGTCCGCAGCAAGTCCGTCGGGCGGCAAAAAGTGGAGCAAGGGAACGCCGTCCGCGGGATCGAAGTCGCCGAAACAAGGCGGAACACCAGCGCAGGGCGATCCCGGTTCGCAGGCGAACGGTCCTGGAGGAGCCACGTCAGCGTCGCAACACAATGGAACCAAATCCTCCTCGCCTGCGAAAAATCCGTCGGAGACCAAACATCCGTCTACTAAGCAGCCCTCTGTCAAACAGCCGTCTGTCAAACAGCCGTCTCCCAAGCAGCCGTCTGCCAAGCAACCGGCTACCAAACCGCCACCCCGGAACAAACCATTTTCACATGCAAAGAAACCCCCGCAGACCAAACCCAATCCTGGGTCTCAGACCTCCAAACCTCCCTCCCAAACCAAATTTCCCACCCAACCCAAACCTTCTACCAGTCCCAAACCTCCTGTTCAGACCAAACCTCCTGCCCAGTCTAAGCCAGCCAATCAGACGAAGCCGCCAGCTCACTCCAAACCTCCTGCTGAAGAAAAACCCCCAAGTCAAGGCAAGCCGTCAGGCGCTCCACCAATCAGACCCAAGATTCAGCTGTTCCACGTGGCAGGCAATAATTCGTTTTGTCTTGACGGAAGGTATGACTTTGAAGGGCTGTGCTCACGTGGCATTTATATGGCTCCGCAAATCAACAAAACATTGAATGCACATTGTGCATGTGTGCAGATTTCTTCTGTGCTGGAGATTGTGTGTATGTGGGGTGATGAGGGGGGGGGGGAGGGTAGTGTGTGCTCTCTATTCATGTGGCTATTGTGTCTTTTCTGTGTATAACGTGCACTGCGTGTCTTGTGTTTATTTTGTGCGTCTGTTTTTGCGTGCGTGCATGTGTGCGAGCAGCCCGCCAGCCTACTACTACCGCCAGGGCTACGGCAACGGCTCCAACTCATGGCTTGTGTACCTACATGTGAGCTAGCCCATCTATCATGTGGAAGGGACTGGGCACAGGATCCCATTACATGTGGACGCCTTACATGGTCCTGCTTCCATACATATGAATCTTACTGTCTCTCTGATCTTCGTTCCTGTGTCTCATCTCCCCTCTTCTTCTCCCGTGTCTCTATCTCCCTCTCCTCCCTGTCAGAGTGGCGGGTGGTGCCTCAACTTCAATCACTGTGCCCTCTCGCATCACATCCCCCCCTTCCCATCTCCCGCTTCTCATCCCCCCCTTCCCATCTCCCGCTTCTCATCCCCCCCTTCGCCCCAACTCATCGCCCCCTCCAAACTCTCCCTGTTAGGGCGGGGGGTGGTGCCTCATTTTCAGCAACGGTGCCTCGAGTCTCATCTCCCCTTTCCTCATATCCACCTCCCCATCTCCCCCGTCTCTATCTCCCGTTCCCCAATCCCTCCCATGTCAGGGCCGCGGCTGGTGTCTCAACTTTATCGACTGTGCCTCGCGCCTCATCTCCCTATTCCGGGTCTCATCTCCCCCTCCCCAACCCCGTGACTCATACCCCACTCTCTCCCCACTCTCTCCCCACTCTCTCCCCACTCTCTCCCCACTCTCTCCCCACTCTCTCCCCACTCTCTCCCCACTCTCTCCCCACTCTCCGTGTCAGGGCGGGGGGTGGTGCCTCAACTTCAACGACTGTGCCCTGCGAGCCGACTCCTATCGCGGCTCCTCCCGCTACTGGCCCTCGCCCTCCTCGCCCTCCAACCTCACTCGCCTCGTATGCGCACTCCTTCCCACGTGCCCACGTGCCTACAAGTGCCCACGAGCCCACGTGCCTACATGTACACAAGCTCTCGTTCTCATGCTCGTGTTCTTGCTTCCTTTGAATTCCTCGTTCATCAGCCCCATGCCTCATCGACAGGTAAATGATTTCCTGTGCTTATCACTCGCTCCCTCCCTGCTCCTCTGCCATTCCACATTCCCACCCCCACGCACCTCTACTTCACCTCGTGTTCTAACTTGCATCTCCCCACTCTCCTTTATCCGCCATGCCACGTCAGATGGCTGGTTACCGCATGAGCTTCACAGGCATACTCAGCGGCAACGCAGCCGACAACCCCTTCTTCCACAACTGGAACATGGCGATCATCATGTACTGTGACGGAGGCGCTTATATGGGGTACAAAGGCCGCATGCAGCAGGGCTCCAAGCGAGTCTTCCTCTCAGGCCACCACATTCTCAAGAACACCCTGATTGACCTGCAGCAGCAGAGGGGCATGGGGACAGCAGCGTCGGCTCTCATCGCCGGGTGTTCGGCGGGAGGGCAGGCTGTGGCAGTGGGGTGTGACTGGATGGCCTCGTTTCTGCCACGCTCCGCTAAAGTCAAGTGCGCCACTGACGCTTCTTTCTTCCTTGGTACGACCAACCCCCCAGACCTGCTCGTATGAAGTCTCCTTCTGGCCTATTCGTTGCACTCTCGTCCCTTTCCTCCCTGTCCCCTGTCTGCTGCTTTCTCATGCTTATGTTGTTCTACATGAGAAGGCGGACGTGACACGACAGTTCAGCCGGTAAGGCGCGTCACACCATTCCCTGCTGTAACCTCCTCGCCATCTGTAACCTCCTCTCACCATTCCCTTCTGTTGTACTGACTCATCTATCGCTCATCCACCGTCCACCGGCCCCTCTGTTCAGATGAGGCGGACATCACAGGGCAGTTCACCTTCAGATCCTACATGCAGCGCATGATTGCCTCCCATTGGTCCGATCGATCTCTCAACACTGAGTGCCTCAAAGGTACACTAGTCTGGCCTTTGATTGGATAGTTCTTTAAGTGCCTCTTTTCTTTGCAATTCACATCCCCCTCCTCAATGCTTCTTGTTCACTGCGCATCAACCTGACACAAGTGACTCATAATCCCCTCGCTTACCTCCTATTGCAGCCAACACGGGGAATGGGACCTGGAAGTGCATCATGCCCCGCACAGCACTGGAGTATGGTAAAACTCCTACACTTGTTGTAAACAGCGTGTTTGATTTGACGGCACTGTACATGTCCCTGGCCCGTGGGAAGCTCCCAGGGGGTGCTGTAACACAATCAGCAACGACATGCCTCAGCTCAAACGGTTTTTCTTCCTGCCCAGCAAGCGTCCTTAAGTTCATCACATTGCATGGAAGCATGTTTCGGACTTCACTGTCATCCCTCCTGCAAGTCAAGGCGGCTGCAAAAGTCCCATTCCGTTCCTGGATATCAAATGGAACAAACCATTGCGCACTAGCGTATTCCAATTGGTCGGCAGCAAACCCAAACGGCTTGGTGCTGAGAGACGCAGTGGCTAGGTGGTTTGCTGAAAACTAGCCCAGTTCTCAATCCTTGTATTCTGGCATCTACAATAAAGGCTATATATGTCTATGTATTGCTAGGTAGCTTTATATTCTATAGTCGACTTAGCATATACTATCGGAACTGTACTGATAGCTTCTAGATTGTTTTGGGGCTTGACTTTTCCTAGGTGTTTGCAATCGGTGCCGTTGAAACCTTTCATCGAACGGTGGAAAGCAAGTCTTGGCACGGAAGTCCGCTCGCCACGGCGGCGGGCCCGCCGAGGCAATGGGCGCTTCACGCGGCACTTCGTGCGTGCACCATCCCCGCAGCAGCACAAAAAAGCGTGTCGCGCAACCGAGTCCTTGAGAATTCCCCACATATCCGCATTTGCCCCCTTCTTATCCCAATTTCTTCTCGACTTTTGCACAGCAAACCCTCCAGCTACCTCTGTAGTTCCGCCAGTCATTCCGCCCCCACGTCCTTCGTTCCCCTTCCAGCAAATCCACGCACAGCTGCTCCGAACGTGACTCCCCTCTCCCCGTCTCAGTTTCTTTCTCGCTTCCCCCTGCCTCCAGCTACTTTCCCCCCACTCTCACCTTCTCCGCTCCCCTTTGCTCCTCTCCCCCCCGTTCCTCGTCAGTCTCCGCCACTTCTCAACACCGTCAACCCCGCCGAATGCTGCGGGACTTGCGCATGGGGAACTCTCAGCAAACCCGCCTGCTCACGGGGATGAAAGTGTTTCTGAGAAAACTGAGGAACTTCAGACCTAGGTTAGTTGATCCGTGCCGTCTTCTTTAGTCAATCCGTGCCGTCCTCTTTCAGGTCGGCCTCTTTCCGCAATCTCGCATATTTTCTTCGCGTCGCACGACAAAGCCTCTTGATAATCGCTCTCTTTTTTTAAAACGCAAGGCCAGCCCAATTTCGGGCGTTCGATACCTGTCCCTGTTTCGGTCAATTCAGCGGGGTCTAGGAACAAGCATTGTTTTGCAAATAACTTCTCTAAACAACGTGTTCGTCGATCTTCCAGAAGTCACAGTTCCCAACGATTTTTTTGGCATACTGTGCGTATCGTCGCTGGCCTAAACAACGTCGGTGTTGAAGTTCAATATCAAGATAATCTAGCCTGTTCGAGTGTCTTTTCTTAGCCTACTAGAATCTGCATCTTACGCCGCCTCAGAGTTGTTAGGACCGATGGAGTCCACTCGCGACGACGTCCACACACCCAGCAAGCGGCACAAAGGCTACAACGGCTTTCCTACTCCCACAGACGGACACGATCAGCAGCCGCCGCAATCGTCGCCTACTCCTAACGCCGGACAAGCCCAGGCGCAGTATTCCGCGCAACAAGCATACGCCTCTCCGCAACAAGCGTACGCCGGCCCTCAGCAATACACCTCCCCGCAGCAGCCGTACACATCCCCTCAACAACCCTACAGCACGCCGGTCACTGCGTCGCATGCAGTCGCCCCGGCTTCCGGAAATAACGGGATAGGTAGTTCCCCTTTGACTACCGCCATGGCTCCTCCCAGCGCGCCGTCAGTCGCGCTGGAGCTAACGCATGGCGGCTCACAACCCGTCTCCGCCGCCTCTACCCCTGTCCGCGCGCATTTCGTCGACGCGTCTCAATCTACCCCTGTCCGCGCGCACCAACCGCACTCCCCCTCCCCCGGCTCCGCCGCTGCGCACACGTCTGCGGTCACGGTTGTGCAGGCATCTCCTCTTACTGTTGCGCCCAGTCCCTCCCCCTCTCCCGCTACGGGAACTCCCGGAGCCGTCGCAGCGTCGCCAGGCGGAGTAGGTGCGTCGCCGGGTGGAGTAGGACCGTCGCCAGGAGCAGTCGCAGCGTCGCCAGGGGTCGCAGGGTCAATGCACGACCCGCCGTGCGCGGCGTGCAAGTCGCTGCGGCGGAAGTGCACGCGCGAGTGCATCTTCCTGCCCTACTTCCCCCGTGACGATCCTGAGAAGTTTGCGCGCGTGCACAAGGTGTTTGGAGCCAGTAACGTGTCCAAGATGCTGCAGGTGAGCACAACTGCACGCCTTCACCCTCTCCCCCACTCCCCTACTCCCTTGCCTTGCTCGAGTGTAAATTCATCTGTTTCCTGAACTCCCTTACCTTGCTGCTGGAATCTCTTCTCTTAGAAGCCCCATTGTCTCTTTCAACGCCCCCCATCCTGTCAAGGTAACTGACTCGCGGTTTCCTATTGCTCTTTCCTCCCATCAGGAGCTGCCGCTACACCAGAGGGAGGATGCAGTGGCGAGTCTAGAGTATGAGGCGCAGGCCCGGGTGCAGGATCCAGTCTATGGCTGTGTTGGCATTCTCTGCGTGCTCCAGGTACAGTAATAATGCTGCTTGGTGTTAATGCCTATTTGCATGTAGTTTGCTGCACGGACTGACGTTCTTGTGTGGATTGTTCTGATGTGCAGCGACAAGTGGTTGCTTTGAGGGAGCAATTGGCAGCAGCCCAGTCCCAGGCGCAGATGCAGTTAGGGAATGGAGGTGTTGATGTAAATGGCCAGGCGGAAGTTCCACAACAACCATCCCCAGCAGCAAATTTAGCCGCAGGAGGAGGTTCTTGATGTATGATGACCATCTTGTCGAATGGCTGCAGAAGTTTGATGTATTAGTAGACATGTTTTGCCAATAATGTGTTATGGTTCAAGATTTTGAATTAATGGTGAGAAGGAGTTGCTTGTAATTTTGATTCTTGACGCACAAGTGATGGTGAACTAGCGTAACATGGCGAAGAACTGTAGCGTCGCTCACGAATGAACCGTTGGGCGTTTCCCCCACCACTCGGGCTCGGTCCCCTCTCGCGCTGCAGCTGGCCTGCTCTCCGCATGCGGACCCAGCATCAGTGGGAAACGTGGCAGCGCCGCGTTGGCGGACCTCGAGACTTGCGCCCTCTTCCCCCCACCATTTTGCGCCCACTTGTGCTTGGCACGGAAACCTACAGCTGTGGCTGCTTTGACCATGGGGGACCTGTGAGTGGGCATTCTCAAGCCGCGCTCCTTTAAACCAATGAGCACCCATCCGAAATTTGAGAAACCGAATCCAACCACGCAATGCAAAAACACACAGATATTCTCAAGGGGCACGATTCCTTTCGTGGCACCAGCATCCATGAAACGCATTCCCAACAAGACACATCCTGCAGGCAGCAGTTTTGTGCGATTCTTGCGTTATGTCTTCAGCTTAGGCAGAAGCTAGTTACGGCATCATCATCCTATTCAGTTCGGGAAAGAGCTCGAACGTTTATAACATATTTATGTGAAGAGGTTCACGGTCTCTCGGCTCACCGTATACGTACTCAGAGCATCCAGCATCCTTTTTTTACCACCTTGTTGAGAAAGCCTGCAGATTAGAAGAATTGCTCAGGATAAGTAAAAACTCCAGACTAAGTCGCGGCACAGGCTCGAGGCAAGATGGGGGTCCTTTCGCGGCGCGTAGTGCCGCTGTGCGCGGACGTCTTCTGCTTTCCCTGTCCGCAGATGCGCTCGCGCTCTCGCAAACCCATGAAGCGCTACAAGCAGTACCTCGCCGCCATATTCTCAGCTTCAGATGTACGTCTTAGACCCTGCTGAATTCCGTTTTAGCGACATATAACCTCCAATGGTTGCGGAGTGATAGTTTCGTCTTTCAAATTTTAACTTTTCGTTGGGTGTGTTGTTCTCCTGTTGGCGTCTCATTCTGCATTCCGTTTCCATCCCGGCGCGTCTCCCGTCTATTAATCCGTCTGGTCTGGTTGAACTTGTCCAGAAAGGAAACATTGACGAGAAGCAGATAGGAAAGCTCGCGGATTACGCGGCGGGAAACCCGGACCGCATTCCGAAGATCGTGACGAAGCTGGAGGAGCGCGCCATCCGCGAGCTGCGCGCCGAGCGGTTCAACTCGCTACCCGCCGTGGCTCGGTCGTACTCGAAACTGCTCTCCTCGTGTCAGAGCTCCCTGTGAGTGCAAATCCACTCACCAGTTTTGTGCATCGAATGACTCCCCCTGGCCTTCTGCCATAACTCCCCCCATCCCCGCCCGGGATGCTTCCGCACGTCATCCGCATCCGCGCATTGGTTTGCTACGCTTCCTCACCGCCTCCGCGCTCTCTCCTCCTCCCCGCCTCTGAACTTCTCTCGTGTCGCCCCTCTTGGGTTGTCGGCAGCGCGCTGCTGGCGTGGAGCGTGCTGAGCGTCGTGCAGAAGCTGCTGCAGAGCAAGCGGGTGGACGTGCGCGTGCTGGGCTGCGACCTGCTCGCGGATTTCGTCGACTGCCAGTCCGACGCCGCGTACGCCGCGCCCATTCAGAAGCTCTGCCCCACACTCGTCGCCATGGCGCACGAGGCCGGCTCGCAGGAAGACTCCCGGGCCGCCCGGTCGTCCGCGTTAAGAGCTATCGCCGCTGTGGTTAGTACACCGTGCACATTTGCATTGCATGCACGAGCTGCGTGGCGTTCCTCCTGCGACTCACCTCGTGCCATGCTCTGCATGCCATGTGCTTATTACGGCATGCAAAGTGTCATCGTCTATGCGTTGCCTCACCCGATGTCTTGCTGCCTGTCCGCCCCACCCCCGTCCATCCCTCCTCCCCCACTTCGACCAATGCAGATCCTCTTCGTCTCCTACTTCTCCCAGCCCTGCGACTGCCTTGACCAGGTAACCTCCCACCGCCCTCCTTCCTTCCCTTTCCTATCTGTGTCTGTGTCTCTTTTCTCTCCTTCTCAGTCCTTTTCGTCCCCTTCTCTTAGCCCTGTGCCTTGACCAGGTTCCCTTCCGCCCACCTTCCCTTCATCCCCTCCCCCCTCTCGTTCCCAAAATTTTCCTCTCCACCCTAATTTTTACCGCTCCGCCCTTGTCCCCTCAGTTGCTCGCGGCCGTGTTGGACAATTACAAGCCGCACGCGACAGGCGCAGGGGACGAGGAGGCAGCAGCAGCGGAGAAGGTGCGGGAGAGGACGCAGGAGGCTCTCAAGAAGCTGACGCTGCAGCAGCAGCAGCAGCAGCAGCAGCAGCAGCAGCAGGGGGGTGGTGGCAAGGAGAAAGAGGGGCTGCAACAGGAGAGGAAGCTGGTCACTCCATTGCCCTCCAAGTCAGTACTCTGCCTGAATTTCTAGAGCTCTACCTCTCCATCTGTTCCCACTGGGCCGACTTTGGAGGCGCCTCAAATGCACTTGGCCGCACCCTGCAGACATGTCTTTGGCCTCTAACTCTCTCCCCATTGCCCCTTTTCCCTTCTCCCACCTCCCAGGCAGGAGCTACAGCACCCGGAGGTGGCAGCGCTGGTGGCGGTGTGGGCTCTCGCGCACATGTTTGCAGCCGCGGTGTCTCTCTCCTCCCAGCAGGTGCTGGCGCATCTGCTGCTCTACCTCTCGAACGGCTCCCACTGGGCCGCGCCTGCTAGCCAAGGGGACGCAGCAGTACCAGGGACAGGGGCGGAGGCGGGGGCTGCAGGCAAGGGAGGGTTTGCAGGGCAATTGTTAGAGGACATCTGTCTCGCTCTCCGGTTCCTGGGTGAGTGCTCGCGTTACTAGCAGGTATTCGCCATACAGACTTGTCAATTTTTTGGGTCACTCACTAGGGGAGGGGTTTCAGGGTAGTTTTTAGAGGATATGTGTCTGACTCTCCGGTTCCTGGGTGGGTGCACGCGTTCCTGGCAGTTTTTTTATGGGGACTCCCCGCGCCCTCCTCCCTGCACTTCAACGTCCACTACTCAACCTTCTTCTCTTCTTTTCTCCGTCTCTCTCCCTGACTCCTCCCCCCCCAACTCCCGCTTCCCAGCCACTCGCTCTCCTTCGCCCACCAAGGAGGAGCGGCGGCTCTTGCTAGCGCTGCTAGCAGCAATAATCCGCCACGCGGATTCCTCCCCCGCCCTGCGCTCCCCCCGCATGCGCCACGACGCCCTTGCTGTCGCGGGGGGCCTGCAGCTGGCGCACCTGCTGCTGGCTGACGGGGGGAAGTGGGCGGACGGGGGAAAGGGAACTGGGGGAGAGGGCGCAGGGGGAGGGCCCGGGATTGGGGAGGAGAAACGGGAGATTAGCGCAGGGGGAGCGGGAGGGGCGGTGAGCATGAGAGGAGGGCCGGAGGCAGCGAGTGGGGTGCAGGCAGTGGGTGACTTATTACGGATACTGAAGCGTAGTATAGTGGAGGAGAAACAGGGGGGCGGCATGGACGAGAATATTATAGGGGAGGGGCAGGTGGGGGGTGGTGTGTCGTTCAGAAAAAGACAAGGCGAGCAGCCTGCTTTGCAGGAGCAAGCGCTGAAGCTGCTGGTGCTCGTGACGTCATTGCATGTGAGTTTTGCTTGTTGAACCCGTATTTGCATCCTCCTGCATCTCCGATTCGTGTGAGTCCTATCTGCTGTGCCCTCTGATCAATTTCTCAAACCCTGCACTCCCCCCCACTCCCCATCTCTCCCCTATTCCGCATTACCCCCCCCCACTCCTCACTCCCCGCCACTTCCCATCACTCCTCTCCGTTCCAACTCACTCACTCCGTTGCCCTATTCCAACTCCCCGGGCCTCCCACCAAACCACCCCACCAGGCGGAAAGGGAGCGAGCAGCGTTGCTGCTGGACGGCACAGCGGTGTTCCTCTTGTCCCTGCCGTCACTCCCTTCACTCCTCTATCTCCCTTGCTCCCTGTCTCTCCATTTTCCCCCTCCCCCCACCAGGCGGGAAGCCCCAGGGAGCGAGCTTCTCTGTTGCTGGACGACACAGCAGTGTTCCTCGAGTCCCTCCCCTCTGACCCCTGGGGCTCCTGGGCCACACTCGTCGCTGCAGAGGCTGCTGCTGCCGTTGTGGTGCTGCCTGTCGCTGTGGCCGTGGAGAGAAACGCGCAAGAGGAGGGGGAGGACGAGGGTGAAGGGGAGGACGGGAGGAGTAAGGGGTCTGGAACCTTGGTGAGTGAATCTGCTTGTTGTGCACTTTTTCTATTGCTTCTGAGATGTCTTGAGGATCCTTCTTGATCTTACCGTGCTCTTCTGTTCTTTCCTTCAATTCCACCGCCACTACCCACAAAGCAGGGAAGCTTCCCGGATGCTGCGCTCCTCAGCATCCTCCGCGCCTTCCTGCACCCGCACTCCGAGACAAGAGACGCCGCCCACCACCTGCTGCAGCTTCTCCTCCAAGGCCCAGCAGCCTTCCCACAAAACGACAGGGACTGCTATGGGCTCGTAATAGCAGCCAGTGCTGTCACCACTCCACTGACCCCCATAGAGGAAATTAAGCGCCCCCCACTGTCCCCCTCACCGTCCCAGCTGCCTCTGCTGCTCTCAGCGCTCTGGCTGCAATCCGCCATGCCCTCCACCGCCCCCAAGTCCCTCTGCGCCCTCTCCTCCACCTTCCACGCCCTCCTCCCCTGCCTCTCCGCCCCGCCTCACCCCTCCTCCTCCGCCTCCCCCTCCCCCTCCTCGCATTCGCTTTCCTCTTCGCTCCTCCAGTCTTTCCAGCTCGCCCTCTCCCTCCGCAGAAAGGCCCTCTCTCTGCCTCCCGTTGCAGCACAGGGGGCAGCTGGGGGAGGGGCAGGGGGTGCAGGGGCAGAGGTGGAGGAAGAGGGGGGAGGAGGTGGGCGGGACGCGGAGTGGGCGATTGGTCCGGTGGATCGGCGGTCGGTGTTTACTGTAGCCACTGCCATGCTCGCAGGGCTGGCCGGCAGTCTGGGCATGGAGAAGGTGGCGGCGTTTGTCCTGTCTGAAGAGGCTTCGTCAGCTGCTCTGGTGAGTGGCGGGGGGGATGCTTGGGCTTGTGGGTGTTCTCGGTTTACCCTCCCATGCTTTTCCCCACTCTTCCGCCTTCTCCCATCCGCCACCACCCCCCACACAACCCCCCTCCCTCCCCCCCGTACACCAGTCCAACCCCTTCCACGTCATCAATCCCGACGACACTCTCTCATAGCGCTGCCCACCCACCTCCCAGAGCCCATTCTGAGTCGACTCAAACACATCCCTCCCCCTCCCTCCCTCCACCCTCCCCACGCCAGTCCAACCCCTTCCACGTCGTCAATCCTGACGGCACTCTCTCAGACCGCCAACCACCCACCTCTCAGAGCGTGCTTTGAGTTGACCCCTCCCTCCCTCCTTCCCCACTCCCTACGCCAGGCCAACCCCTTCCATGTGGTCAATCCTGATGGCACGCTCTCAGAGCGCCACCCGCCCACCTCCCAGAGTGCGTTTCGAGTCGACTCAAAACACACCCCTTCCTTCCTCCCTCCCTTCCCCCCCCACCCGCCAGGCCAATCCCGACGGCACTCTCTCAGAGCGGGTTTTGAGTCGACTCAAAACCCACCTCTCCCCCTTCTTCCCTCTTTTTCCCTACGCCAGGCCAACCCCTTCCACGTCATCAATCCCGACGGCACTCTCTCAGAGCGCCGCCCGCCCACCTCCCAGAGCACATTTGGCTCGCCTGCTGACTCAGAGCGGGCGGCGGCTGAGCTGGCAGGGGCGAGTGGCAGAGAGGAGGAGGTGCAGGTGCAGCTGGGGGAGAAGATAGCTGCTGCAGTTGTAGCTGTGGTGAGTGTGGTTCAGTAGTGGGTTGAGTGCGGTGCAGTAGTGGGGTGAGTGCAGTGCACTAGAGGTTGATCGCGGTGCAGCAGTGGGGTGAGTGAGAGACTCTGTAGAGCAGGCATCACCGCTAGCAGCCTTCCACCTTTCAGACTCGCTCGCCCTCACACCTGCCTTCCCTCCCTTGCAACCCTCCCCTTCCCGAGACACTCAGTGGAGGTGGCATAGTTGCTTTCACCCTTCTACCCGTCGGACTCACTCGCCCTCACACCTTGCCTTCTTTCCCTTGCAACTCTCTTACAGTTCCCATGGCACTCAGTGGAGGTGGCATCACTGCTGGCACCCTTCCACCCGTCGGACTCGCTCGCCCTCACACCTGCAGCCGACATGCTCGCTGCTGTCGCTGCTGATTCCGCTGCTCCCATCCTACCCTCATTCGAGGTACGCTCTCCCTTTCCCTCAATCATTTTTCTTTCCCTTTTCTAAGCTCTTTTTATTTCTTATCAAATCATCCTGTAAGCCTGCCCTCTGGTTCCCACTCTCCCCCCCACCTCCCAACACCCCCCTTTCCCCTTCTTTTGGCCTACAACCCATTTGACGCCCATTGCACTCAGCCCCTTTTCCTCCAACCCCATGCTTCCCCTTTTCTCCTAACTTTCGTGCCTCCCTTTCGTCGCCTCAACCCACCTTCCAATCCTTACCAGGACTTGCCTGCTGCCATTCCTGATGAGGAACTCTTCCGAGCCTCCTCCGTCCCGGACCTTGCTAGGCCCGGCCAAGGCAGCAACGATGGGAGCAACCGAGGCTCGGACAATGCCGGTGCTGCTTTGGCGGATGATAAAGCAGGTGCAAGTGTACCGAGTGTGGAGCAGATATTGGAGTCGTTACAAGAAGACCAAGAAACTGCTGCCGACACGATAGGAGCAACTCAGGCAGGTGTAACAGGTGGTGAAGCGTCAAGTGTAGATGCTGCTCTGGCTATATTGGATGACTGATTAGAGAGAACGCTTTGGCTTGCTGCGGTGTGATAATACTCTTTTGCGTAATTTGTATCAATAGGTAGGTCTGTGGTGGCTCTTAATTATGTAACGTAGTTGCCTATCTAGATTAGGAAGGACCTTGTAAAGTATTGGTGGTATGAAAAACTGTATTCTGATGTACCTTCATGCTGGTTTCATCAAATCATGGGATAGCACTGGGGCTGCGTTCTGCGGGCGCATCAGCTCTGATGCGCCCTAGGCTCGGCCTGATCCGCACATTGACAAATTGAGGTTCGGGAATGAGGAATTTGAAATTGAAACATAGAGGTTCGGAAAATGGAGATTGAGGGCTGCGTTCGGCGGCCGCATTAGCCCGCACCAATGTACCGTATCGCCCCGGATATAGGCGCCGTCCGATTAACGGCGCCGGCGCCTCTATCTGGAGCATGGCGCCTATGGCCGGAACTCGATTATAAGCGCACCCCCTAAAATTTCTGTACTTATTATAAGCGCATCCGTTAACCTTACATTGGAGGCATTACAAAAGATTCAACTAAACCTCATTTTCCATAGCAACTAAATCATCATGTTGCTTAACTACAACTACCTAGTCTAGCCGGGGTACTTCTAGGTAACATGCATCAGCCAGTACCCCTCCTAATCTTCCTCATCGTTAGACTCGGGCTCCTGGCAGTTGTTGCCAAAGAAGCCGTCGGCGATGATGTCGTCGTCGACATCCACCTCCGCTGTCAGCTGGGTCCGCCTGTGCGCCATGGCGAGGTTGTCCTCGCTGCCGTCGAGTGCGTTGCTGATGCCACAGGTGAGGAAGGCGCGCGTGATGAGGTCGGACGGCACTGCCCGCCAGGCCTGAGATATCCACCGCAGGACGACTTCAGGTGGAGGCTTCTTCAGATTCCCTGCGAAATACAGTAACAGGAGAACGGTGGAAAGCCGTTAGTGCATAAAAAAAAGCGGGGGGGTGGGGGGGGTTGGGAACTTCATAACAAAACCGTACACACGCCGTACCAGCCGCGGTCAGCTGCGCTTGCCCCTCTGCCTCGAACCACCTCTGGTACTGCTGGCGGACCGACGCCTTAAAGCTTTTGTTGATGGAGACATCGAGCGGCTGTACCTCCGCCGTACAGCCCGACGGGATGACAGCCGGCACGCAGTTCATCTCGCGGAGCTTCTCCTTGACCTCCTCGGTGAGGTGACCGCGGTAAGAGTCCAGCACCAGCATCGAGCTCTTCGCGCATCTGCCGAACCGAGGCTTCAAGAAAGGCTTGACGCCCTCCTCAAGCCAGCGAACGACGCCCGCGGAGTCCATCCATCCGTTCTCGTGGCAAGCCACGACCACATCTGCACGAAACCCGAGCGTGTGGTTAGAAGACGCACTCAGAACAGAACGCAAATACAGACGAGGGCAATTGTTTGCTTACCGGCAGGGAAATCGCCCTTCGGCAATGTTTTGCGCTTGAAGAACACCCACGGCTTCAGCTTCCGTCCGTCAGCCGCGCACGCCAGCATCACGGTCACTCGCTGCTTCTGATACCCCGCGCTCCTGATAGGCACCGAGCGAGCACCCGTTTCCTCCACGGTGCTGGTGGCGGGCATCTCCAGCCATAGCGGCGTCTGATCCGCGTTGATGATCCACGCGGTGTCGATGCCGCGCTCTCGACGCTTGTCACGCACGAACTGCCAGAACATGCGGCACAGCTCAGCGACACCTGCACGGCGGGAGAAGAGAGGACCAGCACACACAGAGGGTGTTAGTACACAGGTACAAAACACACGTGGCACATAAACCGGGGTATCACTTACGCGCAGCGGTTTTCTGGGCAACCCGGGTCTTCATGCGGACGCTCAAATTCCAACGACGCCGGAACCGCGCCGACCACCTCTGGCTTCCTTTCCACTTCTTGTCCGGGTACAGCAGCCTCATGAACTCCCGCGACCACTCCTGCAGGCGGCCGACTGACACGGCAGTTCCCTTGCGGCGCCACTCGAGCAGCTTCTCGTACACCTTCAACTCCATCGGCCGGTACCACGACGACCGCCCGCGACCGTGCATGCGCTTCCGGGCGGAGTGAACTTCCTTGAGGAAATCCGCCGCCCGCTTCCAGTTGCTGAGGCACTTGCGGTGGATTCCGCTCTCGCGAGCCAAGGCGCGCACCGACACCGACCCATCGAGGCGACTTGCCCACTTCAACTTCTCCGCGGCGGTGTAACCTTGCCGCTTGTGCTCGGTGAGCTTGTGCCTGGGAGAGGGGGGGCGGGCATCACGGTTCTCAGAAGAGGGGTGGGGTCGCTTGCGATTAGTCGGAGGATACGTTGGTATGGGCAGTTTCTCAGGTAGCCCGTCGCGTGACCAGTACTCAACGCCGTCGTCGTCACCGTCGCCCGTAACGCCTTCTGGAAATACATCTTCAGCGGTGCCGCCGTCGGCGCCGCCTTCGGCGGAAGCCTCCGTGTCACCCTCGGCGCCGTCAAAGCCGCTCGCATCCTCAGCGTCAGCAACATCATCGTCGGCGCCGACTGCAGATTCGTCCCAAGGGCAATCTTCGGGCTGTCCCCAACGTCCTCCAGGCACGTGGTCCACTCGCACGTACACATCCGGCGCGTTGTTAGTCTCTGGTTCTGACAGGAAATCATCGAACGCCGATGGTAGCAGCGTGAGCACGGGCTGATTGGCAGCGTGTTGCGGTGACACATGACCCAGAGGCGAAGGAGGAAGAGGAGGTGCAGGAGGCGAAGGAGGAACAGGAGGCGAAGGAGGAGCAGGAGGTGCAGGAGGCGCAGGCGGCGCAGGAGGCTGTGGTGGCTCTGGTGGATCTGGCGGGATACGGGTGCACCACCCGTCAGCGTCTACTGTAAACGCGGGCCTTCGAGTAGGCTTTTTCTTGAACAAGAAGTGGGTGCCGCTGAATTCCGCCATGGCTTCCGCAGCCAGGCGGGAGTGAAGAAGAAACGGAACAAGAAACTGAGAGAAAAGGTGCACAAATGAGAGATTCAAAGGGACCCCTGCGGGTTTGCGCCTCGGGGTCCTCGTCGGGGCGAGACGGGTACCCCCTGTCTGAACCCGGAGAGGAGGGTATCGTGGCACGAACATGATGCGCTGGCAGGTCATTCCACCGCCTTCTCGATGGTTCGGGTGAAATGCAGCTGCCTGCCACCGCATGGTACCCTGATTGGACCGCATGGCAACATTCACGTCAGCGCTGGCAGATTCCCTGCTCCTGGACGGGGTTTGTGCGGTCGGGAATCGAAGCGTGGTGGTTTTCGGCGGGATTTCATGCATTACCTCACGCGCACGTTACACAAATGTGTTCGCCTTATTGCGGGCTTCGATTTGGTACTTTTCAATTACAATTTCATTTTTGACCATGATATAAGCGCCGGCGCTTATGGCCGTGACTCAATTACAAGCGCCCCCCCCTAAAAAAACCAGTTTTATTATAAGCGCACATGCGCCTATATCCGGGGTTATACGGTACATTGCACATTTATTTCGATGTTCCAGGAGCCTTCCGTGATAACCAGCCGAAAGGCTATCAAGGTTCGTGATAAGCGCTTGGCTGCCGAGGCAGACCAAGCCCGAATGCCTGCAGAACGGTCTTTTTGGCAACCACAAATTTGCATGTCGCCGCTTTCCAGGAAATACAGCGTACTAGCAATCTGACGCATCCTTGATGCGCGCATGATGCAACGCCGAGAAGACGCATGATGCGCGCATCAGCCCACATGGGGAAACTGAACAACGCCCTTGAAAAAAACAGCCGCGTCCATTTCGGCCCACTGCTGCCCCACCGTAGAACAACACAGGGCGTGAGAAACTGATCCCCTAGGGTGATCCTGGAGGTGTCGTGGGATGTTTGGTTTCCCCTGCAGCTTTTTAGGCAGCTACCCGGATAAAGTGTGGGCAGTCGGGCAGCAATGTCCATGCCGGAGGGGAAGGCGTAAGGTACATGCTTCCCTGCTTCGACGAACCCTTCAACTCGCTGGAAATCCGCAGAGAATTGAGTTCGAGATTGGGAAATTCGAAAATTGCTGTTTCGAATTTCCGATTTCCCGAACCTGCGTGTCCATTTTCCGAACCTCCATTTTCCAATTTCAATTTGGACATTACCGAGCCTCAATTTTTCAATTTGTCAATTTGCCGAGCCTAGGGCGCATCAGGCTCTGATGCGGCCGCCGAACGCAGCCGAGGTTCTGGAAATCGGAAATTGGAGATTTCGAATTTCGGGCATGTCAATTTTCGATCTCAAATTTCCGAGGCATTCCAGGGTGCTGAAGGTTCTTTGAAGCAGGGAAGCACGCACCTGACGCCTTCCCCACACCCCTAATTTCAAATTTCAATTGCCCAATTCGATTTGATGCGCGCATCATGCGCGTTCCCTGCGTTGCATCATGCGCGCATCAAAGATGCGTCAGGTTGCTAGGAAGATAAATTTCTCGGAAAGCGGCGACATGAAAATTCGTGGTTGCCAAAATGACCGTTCTGCAGGCATTCGGAATTGGTTTGCCTCGGCAGCCAAGCGCTTATCGCGAGCCTTGATAACCTTTCAGCTGGTTATCAAGGAAGGCTCCTGGAACATCGAAAAAAATGTGCAATGTACATTGATGCGGGCTAATGCGGCCGCAGAACGCAGCCTGGGTGGGACACACATTACCATACAGACCCTCCAAGTCACTGTGATGGTATACAGGCATAGCGAGAAAATCTGTAACGAGGCGCCACCCCCATGCCTCACCCACACACCTCACCACAAACCCCACAGCCTCCAACCCTCAACCCCGAAAGAATCAGCAACCTTCAAATTCGCCCCATTACTCCTTCCGCGCACAACGCAGGCCTGTCGCCGAAATTTAGACTCGAGAGTCGAAACGAACGTAGAGGTATGGCGGTGGATGGTGGGAAGGATGGGAAAAGGACGAAAGGCAAGAAACGGAGAGCGGATCCAGCCAATGAAGACGATCCACGTGTCGGAGCGTACATAGGCACAGTTGGAGAGCCTGCTACTGAGGAAGCGGTAAACACGGCGGGATACGCGGCGTCTTCTGGGAAAAGGAAGAGAGCGCGGAAGGCTAGGGGCGAGGGGAGTGACGCGGGCGCGCTTAAGGAGGGCCGAGGGGAAGAGGGAAGGTTGGCTGAGGATAGGTTGGGAGCAGGGGCGGAAGATGCGGAATTGGGGGAAGACGCGGAAGAGGAGGAAGATGCGGAATTGGGGGAAGATGCGGAAGAGGAGGAAGTGGAAGAGGGAGAAGTTCCGCAAGACGACAATGAAACACATGGGTTCGCGGAAGCGGACGCGGATCTTTCCCCGCGCGAGCTGCTTCCGCAACTAGACGCAGAGGCCGCCAGCCAGAGGCGCATGAAGGCGCACAAGCTGGTCGCGGAAGCCGCGGCGGCCGTCGCGCGGAGTGCGGCTGAGGGGAAAGGGCGCGGAAGCGGTTCCGATAAGGGCGCTAGTGAAGGGGGGACGGTGGCGGAAGCGGAAGCTGCGGCGGCGGAGTGGTTTCAGGCGCAGATGGTGGCGAATTGCGGAAGAAGCATGTCGTCTGTGGAGCGCGAACGAGTGATCCCAGGTGCGCTGCGAGGGGTTTGACACACAGGGGTTAGTCAGGGTTGTGGGGTTGGGCGCGCATGGGCGGAGAGGTTTAAGCAAGCACATGTAGTGGCGAATTGCGGCAGCTGTCTGTCGCCCATGGAGCGCGAACAAGCTGTCTGTCTCAACGCCTTGCCCCTTCCCTTCCCCTCTCCCTCACCTCTCCCCGTGCCCCCATCCAGAGTCATCCATTGCAATCTTCAACATGCACCCACCCTAGTTAACAACAGGGAGGCATCGCGTCACTCGCTCCTCACACATTCCCTCTCGTCCACTCCTCTCACCCCTCCGCTTCTCCTCCCCCCCTCGTCTCCCATCCAGCATCATCCATTGCAATCTTCAACATCCACCCAGACTCCTCGTTGCAACAGCAGCCCGCCCCCAGCACCGCCACCCAGCTGCCCGGAGCACAACCGGGCGGCAGGGGACAGGGCGGCGGGCGAGCGGGCGGCAGAGGGGCGGGCGGCAGGGGAGCAGGGAGGGGCGGTAAGGGCGGCAGCGAGTCTGCCGCCGCCCATGTGGGGCCGACCCTTGCCGACCACCTGAAGCGCACTCTGGGCGCCACGTGGCGGTCTCTGCTGCTGCCACCTGGCGAGACGCTACAGACAAGGATAAGCAGAAAGGGCAAGGGCGGAAGACAAAGGGGCAGAATCAGCAGCAAGGGCAGCAGCAGCAGCAGGGGCAGAAGGGGGGGAAGAGGAGGAGGAAGGAGAGCAATGGGAGGCGGGGAGTCCGGTGGTGCTGATAGTGTCAGCGTCGGCAGTGCGGTGTGTTGACCTGCTGAGGGCGTGCAAGGGCGTGGGGCGAGGGTGCCGCACGGCCAAGCTGTTTGCCAAACACTTGAAAGTGGAGGAGCAGATTGAGATGCTGAAAGGGCCCGTTCATATTGCTGCTGGTACTCCTAACAGGTGAGAGCTTGAACCTTGTCAATGTGCGTGGGGGCAATGGTCTGGGGCGGGTGCTGCGTGGCAAAGCTTTTCGCCAAGCACGTCGAGGTGGAGGAGCAGGTGGAGGAGCAGGTGGAGGAGCAGGTGGAGGAGCAGGTGGAGGAGCAGGTGGAGGAGCAGGTGGAGGAGCAGGTGGAGGAGCAGGTGGAGGAGCAGGTGGAGGAGCAGGTGGAGTTGCTCAAGGGGCCCGTTCTTATCGTTGCTGGTACTCCTAATAGTTGAGAGCCTGAACCTTAACAATGTGTGTGCAAGGGCGTGGGGCGTTGCCAAGCTGTTCGCCAAGCACCTCAAGGTGGAGGAGCAGATTGAGATGCTGAAGGGGCCTGTGCACATTGCTGCAACCAGGCTGGTGAAGCCACTACCTCCCTCACATGCCCCCACCCACCCTCCCACCCACCTCCCCGCCGCTGCACCATCCATGCTGCTCAAGCTCCTCTCCTCTCGTGCCCTGCGACTCGCAGCCTCTTTCACCCAAAGCCTTCACCCTCTGCTCCCCCACCTGCCTCGCATTCGCCCACCCACCCCCCTACCGATGTACCATCCAGGCTGCTCAAGCTCCTCTCGTCCGGAGCCCTGCGACTGGCCTGTCTGCGAGTGGTCGTGCTGGACATGCAACCATCCCCCAAAGCCTTCACTCTCTGCTCTTACTCACACACATTTCCCCCATATCCCCCGTGCGCCAGGCTGCTGAAACTGCTGTCATCCGGAGCCCTGCGACTGGCCTGTCTGCGAGTGGTCGTGCTGGACATGCTGCTGTCGCCCAAGGCATTCACTTAGCTCCCTCATCTTGGTGGCATGCCCCCACCCACCCTGCCCGCATCCAGGCTGCTCAAGCTCCTCTCCTCCGGTGCCCTGCGGCTCACCTGTCTGCGAGTGGTGGTTCTGGACATGCTGCCCTCCCCCAAGGCCTTCACTCTCCTCTCCATGCCTGATGTTCGGTGAGCCTCACTTTCTGTGCCATATGCCCCATGCCACATCCTCATTTCTACTGCTGCTGCCCTCCCCCAAGGCCTTCACTCTCCTCTCCATGCCTGATGTCCGGTGAGCCTCACTTTCTGTGCCTTTTGCTTCATGTCCCCATGGCATATGCATCATGCCCCATGCCTTTATGCCCTCATGCCCCATGCCACATCCCCCATTCTGACTGTTGCTGCTGGACATGTTGCCATCCCCCAAGGACTGAAGGTGCGTTGGGACTGAAGGTGCGTTGGGACTGCAGGTGCGTTGGGACTGCAGGTGCGTTGGGACTGCAGGTGCGTTGGGACTGCAGGTGCGTTGGGACTGCAGGTGCGTTGGGACTGCAGGTGCGTTGGGACTGCAGGTACGTTGGGACTGCAGGTGCGTTGGGACTGCAGGTGCGTTGGGACTGCAGGTGCGTTGGGACTGCAGGTGCGTTGGGACTGCAGGTGCGTTGGGACTGCAGGTACGTTGGGACTGCAGGTGCGTTGGGACTGCAGGTGCGTTGGGACTGCAGGTGCGTTGGGACATGATGTTCCATGCTCCAGCCGCCCCTCCCTTCTCGCTGCGCTGCCCTTCCTGTCGCTTCCCGCGTAAGAAACCCAGCTTCTGGGCCACTCCAATAACAAGTCACTGTGCCTCAACGTGCGCCCTTTCTTCAGCTCCCCCCGTTTCCGCCCCATACACCTATCTGCCCTCCCCTCTATGCAGGATCGAGTTCTGGGAGCTTTATTTGAAGCATCTGCACGAATCGGTTCTCTCCGGCTCCCCATTTCCTCCCCCCACCCCCCCTCTCTCCCACATTCCTCCTCTCCACCCCCCCGCTTACCCACAGATTCGATTTCTGAGAGCTGTATCTGAAGCATCTGCAGAAATCTTGAGTCCACTCACACATTTCCATGACCAAATCTGTCCGTCCACTCACGTCCCTACTCTCCTTCCCCACAGGGTCGAGTTCTGGGAGCTGTATCTGAAGCATCTGCACGAGTCGGTTCTCTCCGGCTCTGCTGTGCTGGCGCTCCATGATTGGTCCGGCGACACCTCGCCGCCCAAAGCAGGCGGCGGGAAGAAGCCTCCTGGCGAGCAGATGAAGGGGAGGAAGCGGGGCGGGCGGCAGCAGGCGCAGGGGCGGGCGGGCGGGGGAGGCGCAGGAGCGGACGGAGGGGGAGAAGCAGACGAAGGAGAAGGGGGGGCAGGAGACGCTGGAGACATTGCAGGAAGGGAAGAGCGGTTGCAGAAGAAGCAGAAGAAACGGAAAGCTTCAAAGGCAACTGATGCAGCTGATATGAGTGGAGCTGTGGAGGAGGAGGGGGCAGGGGGAGCGGCAGGGCATGAACGCAAGGGGAAAGGAGGGCGCGACAGGGGAAGAGGCAGAAGGGGTGGCGGTGGGGGGAGGGGTGGCGGACGAAGGGGTGGTGTGGGGGGAGGTGGTTTGGTGAGAGGTTTTGGGGGAAGAGGTAGTGGTGCAAGGGGTGGTGGGGGAAGGAGTGGAAGGGGAAGAGGCGGCGGGGGAAGGGGAGGGAGGGGACGGGGTGGTGGTGCAAGGCGCAGTGGTGATTGACAGAGGAGGGTGGGCTCAATGCTGGGTGGGGCTGATGGTGCCTGCGATGGCAGAGAGAGGGAATTGCTGGGAGGAGGGCAGCAGAGCAGCGGAGAGCAGCAGCAGAACAGCAGCAGGAGGTGGTGGTGAGGGAGGCAGGAGCATTGGTAGCGATAATAGAAGAATCCCAACAGCACTGGGGCTGGAGAGGAGGCAAGGCTGGGCCGGGCGTGCCAGGGCACTTGTCGTGTTGTGGGCGTGTAAGGATACCGTGGTTGTGGGCCGTGTTTACGGCCTATTTAAATTGAATAATGAAGAAATGTTTCTTTGTGGAGCTGATCCATAGACGAGCAAGCAGGTGGTTCTATTCCGACTCGGGCAAGCAACGTGAATGAATGATGATGTGCAGCAAGCCTGGACAGATGTGTACTTCAGCCAGCCCTCTCTCTACTCCACTCGCCTTCGCCTTCCAGTAGTCCGTTAGGAATGATTTTTACCACAGCTGCTCGTAGTTGCAGGAGCAAGAGACTGATCATATATTCCATCGATACGGCCTGTTACACGAGATGAGGCATCGGCACCAATCGGTGGTGCGGTATTTGCTAAAACAACGCCCACTCCGCTCATAGCATGAACCAATTTTACCTGCAGCTGCCGCCGCAGCAGGTCTCCATAAAAAACAAAGGCTCTATTCTATCACAAGGAGCTCGTGTCATCTAATCTCCCTGATACTCTCGGTAGAGTCACAGCAGCAGGCCGGGCGGTTCTGTCAGAATCCCAGTCACTAACCACTGGGATAAAAGGGCTTGTTTGTATAGCGGGTGAGTGCGCCCATAACCCCCCAGGCCGACATGCCTGTAACCCTTCCCTAGGATCATCGGGGATCTCCAGTGGACCTCTGACACCCCCCCGCACTGGGATGCCCGAAGTGCATACACCGGGATTCGAACCCGAGACCTTCGCTCTGATACCATGTCAGAATCCCAACCACTAACCATTGGGATAAAAGGGCTTGTTTGTGTAGCGGGTGAGTGCGCCCATAACCCCCCAGGCCGCCGTGCCTGTAACCCTTCCCTAGGATCAATCGGGGATCACCAGTGGACCTCTGACACCCCCCCGCACTGGGATGCCCGAGGTGCACACACCGGGATTCGAACCCGAGACCTTCGCTCTGATAACATGTCAGAATCCCAGTCACTAACCACTGGGATAAAAGGGCTTGTTTGTATAGCGGGTGAGTGCGCCCATAACCCCCCAGGCCGACATGCCTGTAACCCTTCCCTAGGATCATCGGGGATCTCCAGTGGACCTCTGACAGGTTCCCCATCGGAGCTGTGTGCCTTGACAGTGGTGATTGACAGGGGAGAAGGTGGGCCTGATTGCTGGATTGGGCTGATGTTGCCCGTGATAGCAGAAAGTGGGCATTTCTGGTAGAGGGCATCAGCAGGAGATGGCGGTGAGGGAGGCAGGAGCATGGTAAGATACATTAAAAGAATTGCAGCAGCACTAGGGCTGGACAGGAGGCAAGGCCAGGCCGGGCGTGCAAGGGGACCAGTGTCGTAAGGATATCGTGGTTGTGGGCCATGTTTACGGCATATTAATTAATCAAATATTTAAAAATTGTTTCTTTGTGGAGCTGTTCCGTTGACATCATTGCAAATGGTTCTATTCCAGCTTGGGCAGTTATCGTGAATGAATGATGTGCAGCAAGCCTGGACAGATGTGTTCCTCAGCCAGCTCTCTCTCTACTCCGCTCCTTGCCTCCCTCAAAACTGTAGAGAATGATTATTACCACAGCTGATCGGAGTTGCAGGAGCAAGGGACCGATCATTGTTCCATCGATACGGCCTGTTACTCCACATGAGGCATCACCAATGGGTGATGTGGTATACGATAAAACAACGCCCACTCGGCTCATAGCATCAACTAATTTTACGGTACCTGCAGCTGTCGCTGCAGCAACTCCTTATTGGGAACAATGGCTCTTTTCTACCACAAGAGCTCATGTCACCTAATTTCCCTGATGATCCCGGTAGAGTCAAAGGAGCAGGCCGGGCGGTTCCCCATCGGAGCTGTGTGCTTTGAGCTCCCAGTCTATGGGACTCGGAGTCTGATTCATTGTGGCTGATGGGCGGATAGGGGGGAGAGAGGAAAAGCAGGCAGGGAGGATGAGGACAGGAGAACAAGAGAACCAAAACAAGAGAACAAGAGCCCTTTCTTATAATCTAACCCTTCGCTAAACTAAACGAGAAGCTGTGGTCACAGCAGCAGGATAGGCGGTTCCCCATCGGAGCTGTGTGCTTTGAGCTCCCAGTCTATGGGACTCGGAGTCTGATTCATTGTGGCTGATGGATATGGTAGATGGGAGAGAGAGAGGACGAGCATGCAGGGCGCAGGGAGGATGAGCACGCGGGAAGGACGAAAGATACAGCTGATTGTGAACGTGTATGGGAGTGCACGTGTGGTTGAGAGTTGTGCACATGAGAGCATGGGGGGATGAGGGCGATTGCGCATGAGAACGGGGGCCGCACGGTGTGCACTCACCCTGGGGCAGGGCGCTGAGAGCGAGGTGGAGGAAGCAGTGCGTGTTAAGTGTGTGTGCGCATGAGAACGAGGTCTGAACGGTGTGTACCCACACCGATTGCGCATGAGAACGAGGTCTGAACGGTGTGTACCCACACCGATTGCGCATGAGAACGAGGTCTGAACGGTGTGTACCCACACCGATTGCGCATGAGAACGAGGTCTGAACGGTGTGTACCCACACCGATTGCGCATGAGAACGAGGTCTGAACGGTGTGTACCCACACCGATTGCGCATGAGAACGAGGTCTGAACGGTGTGTACCCACACCAATTGCGCATGAGAACGAGGTCTGAACGGTGTGTACCCACACCGATTGCGCATGAGAACGGGGGCCGCACGGTGTGCACTCACCCTGGGGCAGGGCACTGAGAGCGAGGTACACTGCAGGTGAGCATGTGCACTCACCCTGGGGCAGGGCGCTGAGAGCGAGGTGGAGCAGGCGGCGCTGCAGGAGAGCATGAGCGCGTGAGAGTGCATGTGCAGGAGAGCGCATGTGCAGGAGAGCGCATGTGCAGGAGAGCGCATGTGCAGGAGAGCACAAGCCAAGCATGTGTACTCACTCTGGGGCAGGGCGCTGATTGCGAGGTGGAGCAGGCGGCGCTGCAGGAGAGCAGCGACAGCGAGGAAGAGCGAACACATGAGGAACATAACCGTCATGGGGAAGGACCGCACCTGCAGGGGGGGGCGGAGGGTAGATCGAGGGGGGTGGCATTGAAGGGAGTACAGGAAACACGATGGAGGGCAACACGAAAAAGAGAAGGCGAGGAAGAGCGAGCACATGAGGAACATGGCTGTCATTGGGAAGGCTCGCACCTGCAGGGGGATGGGGCGACGGATTTACAGGAGGAGGGGTATGAAGAGATGAACTAAGGCAAAAAGCAAAAAGAGCACATGAGTTGGACGGCGAAATCAGGAGTTAGTGAGGGTACTCACATGGTAGAGCACGAGGAGACAAACACATTGAGCGGCACGCTATATGAGGAGTAGCGCCTATTAGAGGAGTGGCGCCTATTAGAGGAGTGGCGCCTATTAGAGGAGTGGCGCCTATTAGAGGAGTGGCGCCTATTAGAGGAGTGGCGCCTATTAGAGGAGTGGCGCCTATTAGAGGAGTGGCGCCTATTAGAGGAGTGGCGCCTATTAGAGGAGTGGCCGCTATTAGAGGAGTGGCGCCTATTAGAGGAGTGGCGCCTATTAGAGGAGTGGCGCATATGAGAGGAGTGGCGCCTATTAGAGGAGTGGCGCCTATTAGAGGAGTGGCGCCTATTAGAGGAGTGGCGCCTATTAGAGGAGTGGCGCCTATTAGAGGAGTGGCGCCTATTAGAGGAGTGGCGCCTATTAGAGGAGTGGCGCCTATTAGAGGAGTGGCGCCTATTAGAGGAGTGGCGCCTATTAGAGGAGTGGCGCCTATTAGAGGAGTGGCGCCTATTAGAGGAGTGGCGCCTATTAGAGGAGTGGCGCCTATTAGAGGAGTGGCGCCTATTAGAGGAGTGGCGCCTATTAGAGGAGTGGCGCCTATTAGAGGAGTGGCGCCTATTAGATTAGTGGCGCCTATTAGAGGAGTGGCGCCTATTAGAGGAGTGGCGCCTGGGAACTCACGTGGTAGAGCACGAGGCAGACAAACACGTTGAGAGGGACTCGAAAGAAGTTCATGATGGTGGAGCGGGACTCCTCAGGTAGGTACTGTGCTCGCATGGTAGAGCATGAGGCAGACTCACATCACATGGTCATGGGAACTCACGTGGTAGAGGACAAGGCAGACGAAGACGTTTAAGGGTACTCGAAAGAAGTTCATGATGGTGGAGCGGGACTCTTCAGGCAGGTACTGTGCTCGCATGCGCATGAGCGACGGCCAGAACACGCCCACACACGCCTCAAACACACAGAAGCCTGCTAGTTGAATGCGCCCGCCCGCTGTGATGCCTCCCCCTGGGGGAGGGTGGGGCTCTAGGAACCACTGGGAGGGGACGGGAATGGGAGATGGAGGGAAGAGAATGTGAATAAGAGGTCATGAGAGAGTTATTGGGCGACTTTTGAGTCGACTCAAAAGTCACCTCATTGGGCGCGCATGCACATGAGGGACGACCAGAGCACACCCACACAGACATGAATGAATCACATGCGAGGATGCAGCGCAGGAGCAGAGAGAGGGACAAGATGGGGAAGTGGGCCTAGGAGACCCTCACATTCACGATGCACGGGAGGAGCAGCGAGAGCGAGGAGTTGGCGAACACAGCCTGCATGTAGACCTCGACCTTGAGCCCCGCACGGCCATGAGACAAGAGACCAGGGAGCAGAGGGGACTCGTAGACACACAGACACAGGCGACTCACATTGACGATGCAGGGGAGGAGCAGAGAGAGCGACGAGATGGCAAAGACAGCCTGCATGTAGACCTCGACCTTGAGCCCCGCACGGCCCATGAGTCACGAAGCGAGGGAAAAGATGGAGACTTACATTCACGATGCACGGCAGGAGAAGTGACAGCGAGGAGACAGCAAACACAGCCTGCATGTAGACCTCGACCTTGAGCCCCGCACGGCCCATGAGTCGAGAGGCGAGAGACGAGCCAAGCATGGATGCGAGCATGAAGAGCGAGAAGATGAAGCCGTGCGGTATGGCCTGCTGCGAGGGGGAGAGTGCTGGCGTCCAGAGGAACACGAATGTGTACATGCTGGCTTCGAACAGCGACTGGATGGCTCCTAGAATGGCGATCTTCTCATCTGAATGGTGAGCATACAGAGAGAGGAGAGAGGGAGAGAGGAACAGGGGAGGGCTGGCGTCCAGAGGAAGACGAATGTGTACATGCTCGCCTCGAATCGAACAGCGACTGGATGGCTCCTAGAATGGCGATCTTCTCATCTGGAAGGTGGAATTGGGAGGGGAGAGAGTGGAGGAAGATGGAGAGGGAGAGGGGAAGAGGAGAGGGCTGGCGTGCAGAGGAAGACGAATGTGAACGTGCTACCTGTGAACGTGCTACCTGTGAACGTGCTACCTGTGAACGTGCTACCTGTGAACGTGCTACCTGTGAAAAGGGAAGGAAGCGCGTGGAAAAACGGCTGTGTATAGGCCAACAGCAGACATGCTTGTTGCAACAGATAGACTTTGTACCTGAGGCGATGGCATGGTAGGCGAGTTGGAACTGCAGCAGCAGCCCGTGCGACTGGTCAGAGTCCCCGTAGTTCTCACTCCATGTGCCCACTATCACCGCCATGCCCCCTGCCAGCAGCACCGACGCCGCATCAAAGGGCGCCACCGGGCCGAGGTTGAGGTCTGTCACCAACACGTTGGCCACCAGGCCTGTGTGGGGGAGAGGGGGAGGGGGAAGAGGTGTGTATGGGGTGTGTGCAGGGTGTGTGTGGGGTGTGTGCAGGGTGTGTGTGGGGTGTGTGCAGGGTGTGTGTGGGGTGTGTGCAGGGTGTGTGTGGGGTGTGTGCAGGGTGAATAGAGGTAAGGGAGGCGTTGTAGGTGGGAGGTGGGGAAGGCGAGCAAGGGGGACATGTGAATGGGAAGGTAATGAATCTTATGTGATGTATATCCTGAGCGTCATATGTGTGATGTATGTGAGCAATCAAAACACGAGTGTCAACGCCTTACCAGACAGTATCGCCACGAGCTCAAAGGTCTCACCAAACAGAATAGCCACGAGGCCACTTATGAGTCGACTCAAAAGTCACCCCGAGGAAGATGGCTTTAGAGAAGGTGATGAGAGCGAGGGGATTTCAAACCTCCGGGCCAAGTGCTCAGCGACGAGCCAGGATTCAAAGGCAGAGAAGAGCAGCGAGGTGGCAATGCCACTCGCCGCTCAACCGCCTCTAACATCTCACCTGACAGTATCGCCACAAGCCCATTCCCCAGGAAGATGGCCTTGGAGAATGTGATCGACAGCCAGGGCGGCTCGAATCCACGTGCGAAGTGCTCAGCCACGAGCCAGGACTCGAATGCGGAGAAGAGCAGCGAGGTGGCGATGCCGCCCAGCACACGACCCAGCACGAGGATGGAGAAGGCCGGGAAGTGCTTCGTGAGACAGCTCAGGATGTAGGTGATGCAGTACAGGATGCACGCCAGGCGACGACCGCTGGAAGGGTTGATAGGGGTTCAGGGTAAGGGGTTTAAGGAAAAAAACAAAGAGGAGAGGAAAGAGGGGAAGCGTTTGGTGAGGCAGCTGAGGAGGTAGGTCAAACAGTAGAGGATGCAGACCAGGCGACGACCATTGGGAGGGCAAGTTTGTGGAGAGGGTGATGCAGGGGGCAATGCAGGCAAGAAAGGGTGGGCGGAAATCACCAATGTATTCAATGTGAGGCAACTGATAGTGTGGCAGCAAGAACATTTACTGTCGGTCTGCCAGCGACCCCACGATGGTGCCAAAGACCATGGAGCCGAAGGCAGCAATAATAACCAACGCTGTGGGCATACTGTACGCATCAAGGATTGTGTAGAGCGTAAATGCACTCACTGTCGGTCGGCCAGCGACCCCACGATGGTGCCGAAGACCATGGAGCCGAAGGCAGCAATAATAACCAACGCTGTGGGCATACTGTACGCATCAAGGATTGTGTAGAGCGTAAATGCACTCACTGTCGGTCGGCCAGCGACCCCACGATGGTGCCGAAGACCATGGAGGAGCCGAAGCCAGCGATGAAGAGGCGGCCGATGTCGCCCTTGTCATAGCCGTAGTGCTGGTACAGCGCGTACACGTACGGACCCTGCAGCCAATCGCCCGCTGCCGCGTCAGCATTAGGGAGGGGTGAGTAGGGTGGGGAGCGCACGACAAAATTGAAGGGTGAGAGGCGAGAGTAGGAGTCAGGGAACGGAATGGCGCAGTGATGGCCAGGTGATATGTGTTGCATAATGTGTAGCATCGAGACATGCTGCGTACACATTACACCATATCACATCATACTCATAGTGACTCAGCATCTGTCACGTACCCATCATGAGGCAGTATACGAGCAGGTAGCTGTTCTTGAAGGCCTCGAAGGCGGGGGTGGTCTGAGCGCGGTCCCTGGATCCGCGGGAGAACTCATCCTCATTACAAGCTGACTCACTATCACGTACCCATCATGAGGCAATAGACGAGCAGGTAGTTGTTTTTGAAGGCCTCGAACGCGGGGGTGGTCTGTGCGCGGTCTTTGGATCCCCGGGAGAACTCGAGGGCCAGGCACAGCACCACCAGCACCGCGAACACCACCCAGAAATACGCCTCCATGCCTGCCGCTGATGCTGCTGCTGCTGCTAGTGCTGTGAGTGATGCTGGCGCTGCTAGTGCTACAACTAGTGCAGCTGCTGGTGGCCGCGAAAATGGAGGTTAGGTCTAGGCTGCAAGTGCTGTTGGGCTTTGGAGCACGGTGGTTTAGTTGTCTGGTGTCTAGCGGGGATACACGGGGATACTCGTTTGCTGTTGCTACGATATAATTGACGTTTAGGTTGTTTAGCGCGTGTATATCTGGTTGCTTGCGAGGTGATAATTGCTGGGCTACGGACGCATAGCAGCATGATAGGTACGCTTCGGAGACGACAGGTCTGGAAGTACTACTAATGAGCCTAACGGATGTTCACTCGAAAACCGTTGAGAGCTAAGAACGCGATAGCAACTTGGTTACGGTTGCCTCTAGAGGCGAAAAGCGCATAGGTGACATCGCAAGAGCTAGCAATGCAGAGCTGAATTCGTCAGAATTTCAAACGGAGAGGATCTTCTCAGCATTCCAGCAACCAACTATGCAGGAATGCGGAGCGGACACCTTTATACCGCCACGACGAAAGGAACGCCTCGCAAGTTACTAGACGTGAACTACAGGAACTCCTGCACCCCGTCGCTGTCAGAATGCCGACCCTCCCATGATGGTTGTTGCGATTCGCCATTTAGTCGAGCATCGGAATGACTGACTGAAGGTCTCTTAAATTCTCTCCGCTCGATATCGGCTTATTAACTGCCTGCTCGAAGCCCGCAACTACGATATCGCTGATATCGCTGCACTACTATTCATCTAGGGCTAATGTCGTCTGTACGAAGCGCATTCTCAGCTAAACGGTCATTCGCGGACCAGCAGACCATAACGAGCAGCAGCAGAGATTAGGGCGTGTTACATTTTTTCACTTCCATGGTCCGTACCGTGGGCCCCCGGACAATTGTAGGGTAACCGTTTTCGTCATGTATTGCGGAAATTTTCGTCTGCTCTCATGCGACGTCGCAGCTGTACCTACTACAGATGAAACATTTTACAATTTTCCGTGCACATAACCGTCCGAACGACTCCCGTCAGCCTGCTGGACAGTGCAACCAAACCGTCATTTGATTGGCCGACGAGAACTGTTAACGAGAAAACATTTACCCAATCCGAAGTTGCGCGACGAGGATTTTCCCTAAGCGAACCTTAGTAACCAGTAGTCATAGTTACACAAAAACATTGTTCTCGATTTCGTGAAGGAAATTTGTTCCAGAACCCCGCCCGGACTAGCCTCCGTCCGGGCGCGTCTTCCGAGCCCGTCCGAACGTGTAGTTAGTACGGTCCGCGGACCATCGTCTGGACAAAACGGTTTTAAAGAAAATGTAACACGCCCTTAGCAAAGAGAAGAACCGGGCCTAGAAGTTGTCTCTCGGGAATGAATGACGGAGTGTCCGACAGACTCGCTAAGGGTGATGTGGTTCGCAACGCAACAGAAGAATGGGGTGAACACTTTATGGAGATCACTAGAAAGATGGAATTTGTGAAATAATGGCAGCAGTGTGGTTGAAACCACATGATACTTGAAGGACACCTAATACGCTATTGCCCTGCTGAGAGGTTTTTTCAAACGCTCCGTATGACACCCGCATGGGTTCCAAAAACTCAAACTCATTTCCGAGCCCCTGCAAAAAAACCAAAACAGGAAAACCACAAGGTAAAGTAAAGCACAGCACCAATTGCACTACACTCAGGAACACAAGGCCACATCCACAGAACAAAATGCACCGCGCCCAATATTCCACGACCACCACGTACCAATTGGCCTCCAGTGGACCTTGATTCCACAGCATCTGAACCTTGGGAACCGCCCAAACCCCATGTGTACAGCTTCTTTTGAGTCGACTCAAAAGCTACAGCACGTACCAATTGGCCTCCTGTGGACCTTGATTCCACAGCATGCGATCCTTGGGAACCGCCCCAACCCCATGTGTACAGCTTCTTTTGAGTCGACTCAAAAGCTACAGCACGTACCAATTGGCCTCCTGTGGACCTTGATTCCACAGCATGCGATCCTTGGGAACCGCCCCAACCCCATGTGTACAGCTTCTTTTGAGTCGACTCAAAAGCTACAGCACGTACCAATTGGCCTCCTGTGGACCTTGATTCCACAGCATGCGATCCTTGGGAACCGCCCCAACCCCATGTGCACAGCTTCTTCTGAGTCGACTCAAAAGCTACAGCACGTACCAATTGGCCTCCTGTGGACCTTGATTCCACAGCATGCGATCCTTGGGAACCGCCCCAACCCCATGTGTACAGCTTCTTTTGAGTCGACTCAAAAGCTACAGCACGTACCAATTGGCCTCCTGTGGACCTTGATTCCACAGCATGCGATCCTTGGGAACCGCCCCAACCCCATGTGTACAGCTTCTTTTGAGTCGACTCAAAAGCTACAGCACGTACCAATTGGCCTCCTGTGGACCTTGATTCCACAGCATGCGATCCTTGGGAACCGCCCCAACCCCATGTGTACAGCTTCTTTTGAGTCGACTCAAAAGCTACAGCACGTACCAATTGGCCTCCTGTGGACCTTGATTCCACAGCATGCGATCCTTGGGAACCGCCCCAACCCCATGTGTACAGCTTCTTTTGAATCGACTCAAAAGCTACAGCACGTACCAATTGGCCTCCTGTGGACCTTGATTCCACAGCATGCGATCCTTGGGAACCGCCCCAACCCCATGTGTACAGCTTGCCGACTGTTGCTGCTCGCAATGATTGCCCTTCACCCTCATCAGCACCACCTGAATTCATTCAACAGCACGCAGCAAGAGAAAGCATTAACGACTCATGCACCATATGGCAAGGCTTGGCAGTACCATGAGCTCAGGCATAACAGTTGCAAAGAGCAACAGCCTGTGGCTTGTTTTTCTGCTGTAACAAGTCGCTGGAACAAGCAGAGCACTTACTAGCGAGAGCTGCGGTGTGCTTCCATCCACATGACACCTGCAGCACCTGCTTCCCTGCCAGCCTGCCTTCCACCCTCACTGGCACTGCTGACGAGGGCGCATGGCGAGGGCTGCGAGGAGGGGAGGAGGAGGAGGAGGAGGAGGAGGAGGAGGAGGAGGAGGAGGAGGAGGAGGAGGAGGAGGAGGAGGAGGAGGAGGAGGAGGAGGAGGAGGAGGAGGAGGAGGAGGAGGAGGAGGAGGGGTGAGGAAAGGAAGAGGAGTGAAGGGCAGAGGTAAAGGGAGGCTGGGAGGGGTGGAGAAAGGTGAGGTGACATGGCTCTCAAAAAAGGCACAACACCAGAGCTACCCTCGACCCTCGTACAAAAAAAAACAACAAATTATTCAATCTTCACCTAAAGAAAAACACAGCAACCTCTAGTCACACAGATGGGAGCAATGGAGAACCTGGCACACACCCATGGCCAAGGCAGCCATACTCGTTCGTTCCCCATGTGAATAGGTGACCCGGCCCTGTAGACATGCAGGGAAAACAATGAAACAGAATGTCAGGAAGGAGTGCTGGAAGGGAGTGTAGGAGTGGTGTACTGGAAGGGAGTGAGGGAGAGGAGTGCTGGAAGGGAGTGAGGGAGAGGAGTGCTGGAAGGGAGTGAGGGAGAGGAGTGCTGGAAGGGAGTGAGGGAGAGAGGAGTGCTGGAAGGGAGTGAGGGAGAGAGGAGTGCTAGAAGGGAGTGAGGGAGAGGAGTGCTGGAAGGGAGTGAGGGAGAGAGGAGTGCTGGAAGGGAGTGAGGGAGAGGAGCGCTGGAAGGGAGTGAGAAGAATGCGAGAGGAGAAACCAGATGAGAAAAACGCCATGGTGGCACTACCTGTGACAGCAGCAGTGTGGTAACCACCACATGCCACATCCGTTACAGCATGCTGCAGTGACATCACCTCCACCGGTTCCTCCTGATCCTTCTCATCCCCCAGCCCCTGCCATCATGCACGCATGCAATCATGCATATACAGACACATAGATCATGCATGCACGGACACTTGCCATCATGCATGCATGCATTTAGCAGTGAATAAAGTGCCACTGGTGGGATATTCTCAGGTGCAAAGGGCTCCTCCAGTCCTTGCGCTGCCAATCCCAGCAGGGCACTGATGTGGGCATGCAGCGTGGATGATGCGCTCGTGGCCCACACCCTCGCACTCGCACGTGGACTCGCACTTACACATGAACCCATACTCACACTCACAAAATCTTGCTTTCACATCTCACATTGACAATGACACTCACACAGACTCACCAGCTGGGAAAATCTGTTCCCTCCGAACATAAAGAGGCGGCCGCTGTCTGCCAGAAATACACAGCGATGCAAAAGCAGACACACGCATGGATGAGTTCACAGGGAAGCAAACAGTTAGATGAATGCACATACTTGAAGGGAGGCCCAGTAAGACACTTGTATGCATACATCCCGTCAACACAAGCAGGCACACGCATGGATGAGTTCACAGGGAAGCAAACAGTGACATGATTGCACACACTTTTGAAGGGAGGGGAAGTAAAACACATGTATGCATACACCCCATCAACACATGCTGGCTCACCATCAACACATGCTGGCTCACCATCAACACATGCTGGCTCACCATCAACACATGCTGGCTCACCGTCAACACATGCTGGCTCACCATCAACACATGCTGGCTCACCAATCAACACATGCTGGCTTACCATCAACACATGCTGGCTCACCGTCAACACATGCTGGCTTACCGTCAACACATGCTGGCTCACCGTCAACACATGCTGGCTTACCATCAACACATGCTGGCTCACCATCAACACATGCTGGCTCACCGTCAACACATGCTGGCTTACCGTCAACACATGCTGGCTTACCGTCAACACATGCTGGCTTACCATCAACACATGCTGGCTCACCATCAACACATGCTGGCTTACCATCAACACATGCTGGCTCACCGTCAACACATGCTGGCTCACCATCAACACATGCTGGCTCACCGTCAACACATGCTGGCTGACCGTCAACACATGCTGGCTTACCGTCAACACATGCTGGCTTTCCGTCAACACATGCTGGCTCACCATCAACACATGCTGGCTTACCATCAACACATGATGGCTCACCGTCAACACATGCTGGCTCACCATCAACACATGCTGGCTCACCGTCAACACATGCTGGCTCACCGTCAACACATGCTGGCTTACCCTTAACACTTGCTGGCTCACCATCAACCCATGCTGGCTTACCATCAACACATGCTGGCTCACCATCAACACATGCTGGCTTACCATCAACACATGCTGGCTCACCATCAACACATGCTGGCTCACCGTCAACACATGCTGGCTCACCGTCAACACATGCTGGCTTACCATCAACACATGCTGAGTGCATCAGGCCTGCTGCCACGTGAACGACCTGATCGCGCAATAGGAACACATGCAGCAAGGTCGAATGGAATAACATCACTCGAGATTGGAGCAAGGAGTAGTTCAAGGCAGGGGACAAGAGAATGAATATGGATATGCCACCACTACGCCATTAGTACGGATTTTTTCCCAAAGCATTACATCACAACGCCATATTGCATTCTTGTTCACCGATTGCATACCTTGGTGTTTGCCATTGCCTTCACAAGCCGAGGGATCGACTCACTGAGGAGGTGGGGTGAGGGGTGAGGGGTGAGGGATGAGGCGAGAGGGGAGAAGAGAGAGGGGAAGAAACAAAGAAGAAAGCAGTAAGGAAGGAGAGGTGAGAGACATACCAGCTTGAATTGCACCAGCGAGATGAGAGATGCCTGACCACACTACTTACACACATTGAACGCAGAACGCATGAGTGCTGTTGAACAAAACAAGTGGCACACAAAAGGGTCTTGACAAATGAAGAGCAGGAATTGTCACCGTTGAGCACCTGGATTTTCTGGAGAGGCGGGAGAAGAGCGGCAGGGGGCCGTGGCCCAGCAGGCCCTTTCCCCATGACAGCAGCAGCCCATCGGCTGAGAGGAAGGGGGAAATGGGGATGTGGAAGGGGAAGGCGAAGGGGGGTGGTCAAGGAAAGGGAGGATGGGACAAGAAAGTGAGCTGTCGGCCGAGAGGAAGGGGGAATGCGGACGTCGAGGAGGAAGGGGAAGGGGGGTGGTCAAGGAAAGGGAGGATGGGACAAGAAAGTGAGCTGTGACCGAGCAGGCCCTTTCCACATGAGAGCAGCTGGCTGTCGGCTGCGGAATGGGAGATGGAAAGTTTAGGTGGAACGGGAAGGGGAAGGGGGGTGGTTACAAGGACAGGGCGGATGGGACAAGCAAGTGAGCCGTGGCCCAGAAGGCCCATTCCCCATGAGAGCAGCTGACCATCGGCTGAGAAATGGGCGGTGCAAAAAGGAGGTGGAAGGGGAAGGGGAAGGGGAAGGGGAAGGGGAAGGGGAAGGGGAAGGGGAGTGGCGACAGAAAGGGAGGATGGGACAAGCAAATGAGCCGTGGCCCAGCAGGCCCTTTCCCCATGAGAGCAGCTGACCGTTGGCTGAGAGGAAGGGGGAATGCGGAGGTGGAAGGAGAAGGGGAAGGGGGGTGGTAAAGGAAAGGGAGGATGGAGGAAGAAAGTGGGCTGTGACCGAGCAGGCCCTTTCCCCATGAAAGCAGCTGCCCATCGGATGAGAGGGCGGTGGAAAGGGGAGGGTGGGGGTTGGTACAGGGAAGGGACGTTGGTCAGAACGTGAGCCGTGGTTGAGCAAACCGTTTCCCCATGAGAGCAGCTGGATGACTTTCAGCCGAGAGGGAAGTCGCAGCGCAAAGAGGGAGCATGAGAGCACGGAAGAATTGGAGTATTGGAGCATTAGACCATGGGATCATTCGGGAAAGCATGATCCCGTGGGACCAGGGGAGCATGGCAGCATGAGCATATATGAGCCTACCGGTGACATCGAGGGTGTGTTGACTCCCAAGGGCCATGTGTTGAATGCTCACCCCCACCAGCGCCTCTGGCACCCGGGGAGCATGGCAGCATGGCAGCATGGGCGCATGGCAGCATGGGCGCATGGCAGCATGGGCGCATGGCAGCATGGGCGCATACGAGCCTACCGGTGACAGCGAGGGTGTGCTGACTCCCAAGGGCCATGTGTTGAATGCTCACCCCCACCAGCGCCTCTGGCACACGGGGTGAATGCACCTTGGATGAAGCTCCTGGGATTAGAAGGAGCAAGGGAGAGGGGAAGGGAAAAAGTGGTGTTGCCGGGATATGTAGAGAGAGGAGAATGTGTGGGATGCTCACTCCCACCAGCGCCTCTGGCACACGGGGCGCATGCACCTTAGATGGGGCGCATGCACCTTAGATGGGGCGCATGCACCTTAGATGGGGCGCATGCACCTTAGATGGGGCGCATGCACCTTAGATGGGGCGCCTGGGGAGAAGGGGAGTAGGAAGAGGGAGGAGCAGGGATGGGTCGAGGAAACGGTGTGGGATGCACACTTGTGTCAGCCTGGGGAGAAGGGGAGTGGAGGCATCAGGATTGATCTAGAGACAGATGGGTGGAATATCGGAGAAGAACGGTAAGGGTGAGCGAGGGAGAACAGGCAAGAGAAAGAGCGCAGTTGCAATCAGAGAGGACGACTCACGTGAGCCGAGTCCAAGCTGGCGGGCGGCATTGCCGCCCCACAGATACATCTGGCCTGCCTCTGATGGACAGGGAGGTGAGGATAAGGGAGAAGTACAAACAGACATGGGAGAAGAGGATAGCATGATAAATAACGGATTCAGAGCGAGAAAATGGACCAGAATGAATGGACCTCTCAAAGCGGAGTTGAATTATAAATCTGGTCGTTATCTATAGATGCTTGGTGAATCACCATCAGTGTGTGGATTAAGTTACCATCTATTGCTGCTGAGTGGAAAGCAGCAGCTGCAATGGCCACTACAGGCCGATCGAAGCCAACCACCTCTTTGGGCGACTGCAGAAAGGAATTGGGATTGTTGGGACAGGAAGGGATTGGGCACGGTTGAAAGAGATTGTTGGGTGAAGACAATGCACCCCTATGATGGGTTGAATGGACCATTCAAAATGTTTGTACGAACGGCTGAAATTGCTGAACGGATAGCACGGCAGGTGACTTGTGAGTCGACTCAAATGCCAACTCGTGCACGGAATGTTGGGTGAAGGCATTGAATCCATATGATGGGTTGGGTGAACCGTATCAACGTTAGTACGAACGACTGAGATGGCTGAACAGAGAGCAAGGCAGGTGGGTTTACGACAGAAACACATGCAAGAACGGGTCGACTCACAGCGACGTACGGTGGAGAGTTTGAGTCACCCAACCCCAGCTGCCCTTGGTCGTTGAGACCTGTGCTGTATACCCTGCCATCCGCTGGGGGGATGCATCATGCATCATGCATGTGCAGAGACGCATGGGGTAAGAGCATGTATTGTTGGACGTTGAGACCCATACGTACACCCTGCCATCCGCTGGGGGGATGCATCATGCATGTGCATGGGAGAGCAATGAGACCCACATCACCACATTCAGGTCATCATGGCCTCATGGGTCCATGGTTAGTTTCAAACTCACATGGACACCACGGGATAAGTCTATGCAAAGCCTGTCGTTGAGGTCTGTGCTAAACACCCAGCCATCTGCTGCTCCAACAGACATATACAAATTCACACGGATGCGTCTTACAGCAACGCAGCACCGGTAACTGACACGTTATCAGTACCTGTCAGCACGAGCGTGTGAGCTCCACCGCATGCCACGTGGCACACGTCCTTATCCTCCAATGCCGCGCAAACTCGTGGGACGTTCACAGATCCCCCATCCTCATTCCTATCCGCTTCCGCTCCGCCATTTCCGCTCTCCGCCCCGACTCTCCCCCGTCCCCACCACCCTCCGCCTTTCCCGTTCTCCCTGCTGCTCTCCCCCGCTTTGCTCCCCAGCCCCAGCCGTCCGTGATCCCCATTCCCCCACAGCGCAACCTTTCTTCGGGACGCCTCAAACGAGGACGTCCGATTTTCCCGTGAGGCATCGCTCGAAGCGCGCCGATTCGACTCTTGACGCGGATTTGACCCGTGATGGGTTTCCACGTGGCGAGTGCTTTGAGTAGGAGCAGCGTCCGCGGGACTGATAACATCCGCCACGGATGCAGGAAAGCCGACGCGCTTTCGCCCAAGTCGTGCTCGGCGCGCAAGGTGTAATGAGGAGCGCATAAAGCCCATGTCCACGGAAGAGGATGCTAAAAATGCAAAGAATCTAACAGCAAGAGGATGCTGAAAGCTGTTCAGATCTCAGCGCAATGTACAGATGATACGCGTATAGCGTCAAGGACGACAAGGGGATTTGCTCAGCTGCGGGTTCAAACGTAAAATCGTAATGGCATTTTCATTTCGAGCACAGTTCCCTGAGCATGACGTTGCGTCAGGAAGAAGCGAGGGAAGCTTCACCAGGAGGGTCTAGCTCTGAATTGGGTCTAACATTTGCAGAGGGGAACAAATGGGTCTAGCTCGGTTCAGTAAATCATAAATTCCGGATAGTACTTGATTACAACAAATGGCAATTCCGGCAGCATATGTTGCTTCCTCTCACGCACACATTTCCCCGCACATGGCGCCGTCGAGAATGCGCGTGAAGGGTCACGCTCGGCCTCTTGCGCGACATCAGGGTGCGCTCGTCCTTTTAAGTCGACTCAGAACTTTTCTTTCTTTCATGGCGGCCATTCTAGTATCGATCGGTTATCCAACGATCCGAAAGTCACTCTACGCGATCCTAGTCTCGCCGCACAATGTGATCGCGCCAGTGCGAGGTGCTTCCAAGGGCTTGCGGACGCGGGTTTCCAGCCGTTAGATTCATGCACTGTCTCCCCTTCGCCAGATGCATCACGCCTGAACGAATCTTATGACGGCTCGTCGCTCCCTCGTCCGTCACCGGGAGCCTCACCGGTCTCTGCGGTGGCGACAGACGCTGCAGCCGCGGCGACGGTGGTGCGATGGCGAGTGTTATGCCGCGCGTGGCCCGCTCACTGACAGCAGCTGCGAAGGTGCGCTTCGGCCAGCTTCAGGCATCATTGTCAGGTCGAGCCACCTGATGATTGATAAAGGTTGAGTTTTGAGCCGTTGATGAATGGTGTCAACCTTCAGGCCGCAACCTGATTATCCTGAGGTGTCATTGATCTCCGCAGGTGCTGCTTCTTGAAGGTTTTTGAGGGTGCTATGCTATGTGACGCCGCTTCATCTTATCGGACGTTACAGCGAATTGCAGCTGCACCGCTGAGTGAAGCTTCCTGGATTGCAGAGGGTGCAGTTTCACTGAAATTGATCAACTCTAATCCATTCTTGTCCATTCTTGAGGTCAGCTCTATCACTTTAGAACCAGCATCACCTCCTCACCGGATTCCCACTCCTCCACCACTCCTGCCTATCTTACCTCTCCGTTGACTCCTCTTTGCGTGCAGCATATGGCTGTCGTGCGCGTGGGGAGAGATGTTTCCCCACGGGGCGGAATGGTGGCGGAAGTGATAAAGCCAGAGAGAGTGGAAGGGCGGGAGATGGGGCAGGAGCAACCACGGGAGGAATGCTGGCGGAAGTGGCGCCTTCAGACGCGCCTCCGCCTCCTCCATGCCAGGCTGCAGTGCGTCTTCTCGTGCATCACCTGCGGCATCAGACGACGAAGATACTCTAGATGGGTGTGACTCCCTTGACGGCACTTTCTGATTGCCCGTCTCCTGCCCTTCCACTCTCTCCGGCTCGCTCCCTCAATCAGGCCTCCTCCTTGCCTCCAGCCCTCTCCCGTCTGCTCCCAGAAAGCCACCATTCCTACCGCACAACTTCCTCCTCCCGGCCCCTCACTTCCTGCATAACCACTCACTCCTCCATAATCACTCACTCCTCCATAATCACTCACTCCTTTATAATCACTCACTCCTCCATAATCACTCACTCCTCCATAATCACTCACTCCTCCATAATCACTCACTCCTCCTCCCTCAATCTGCCTTGTCCCCGACGCCCTTTCCCTCGACATCAGTGTCCTCAATATCCTCACGCACAGCACAGCCAGCCTCACCCTGCCTCATGCTCCCAACTGGTGATGCTGCTAGTGCGACGGCTCAAGGAGAGGCATCGAAACCAGCATGCTCTCGAGATGATGTCAGCATGCATGCACCCATGTATACATACATGCAGCTACGCACCATGCAGCAGATTCATGGATGACATCACCTCGAGAGCATGCTGGTTGCATGGCATGGCATGGTTGCTGGTAATCACCGCTACGTGGTTAGTCATCAACTTTGCACCTCCCGTATCGCGTCTCTCACTCATTCTTGTGAATCCCTTCCTCACTCTCCCCACTTCCCTCGTTCTCTCCCCCCCATTCCCACCTCTCTTCCCCCATCAGCTGCTGCAATGGCACATGGCTCGCCTCTCCCCACACTGCGCGCCACACAGTCCACGTCAGCATGAACGGGAGAGCCAATCAATGAACAGGGGCCAATCAATGAACAGGGGCCAATCAATGAACAGGGGCCAATCAATGAACAGGGGCCAATCAATGAACAGGGGCCAATCAATGAACAGGGGCCAATCAATGAACAGGGGCCAATCAATGAACAGGGGCCAATCAATGAACAGGGGCCAATCAATGAACAGGGGCCAATCAATGAACAGGGGCCAATCAATGAACAGGGGCCAATCAATGAACAGGGGCCAATCAATGAACAGGGGCCAATCAATGAACAGGGGCCAATCAATGAACAGGGGCCAATCAATGAACAGGGGCCAATCAATGAACAGGGGCCAATCAATGAACAGGGGCCAATCAATGAACAGGGGCCAATCAATGAACAGGGGCCAATCAATGAACAGGGGCCAATCAATGAACAGGGGCCAATCAATGAACAGGGGCCAATCAATGAACAGGGGCCAATCAATGAACAGGGGCCAATCAATGAACAGGGGCCAATCAATGAACAGGGGCCAATCAATGAACAGGGGCGAGGAGAGGGAGGACCCGGAGTGGGAGGCGTGTGAGCTGATGGACGGCCTGGCTCGCTGTGGCCATGCCATGCCCGCTGTGGAGACGCCTTCCTCGCCCTGCCATGCCCGCTCTGACAAGGTGCTCCGCTGTGCTCCGCATGCTGATTCAGTCATGCCTGGGATGCCCACACTGTGCTGCTGCTCTTGTGCGTGTTCGTTCATTTCATGACATGCCATTCTGATCCCATGCGCATTGCACCGTCATACTCCGCAAATCCCCCTTCTTTGGTCATGCTTTCTCTCCCCCTCTTCTCGATCCTCGTCAGGCATACAGTGGAGTGTCTGGTTGTACCAGCTGCCGCATCTGACCTCTGCTGCTCAGCGGAGTACCCATTTCCTCTCCCTCCTGACAATCCTCGTCAGGCATACAATCCTCCTGTACCATCTGACGCGCACGGGGCAGCACAGCAGGAGGAGCTGCAGTGGGTGTGTGGGGCAGGAGGAGCTCCAGCAGCAGGAGGAGCTGCAGAGGAGCTCCTTCAACGCGCGCCTGCTCGCCCTCCCCATGCTGCTCGCCCTCTCCATGCTGCTCGCCCTCTCCATGCTGCTCGCCCTCTCCATGCTGCTCGCCCTCTCCATGCTGCTCGCCCTCTCCATGCTGCTCGCCCTCTCCATGCTGCTCGCCCTCTCCATGCTGCTCGCCCTCTCCATGCTGCTCGCCCTCTCCATGCTGCTCGCCCTCTCCATGCTGCTCGTCCTCTCCACGCTGCTCGCCCTCTCCACGCTGCTCGCCCTCTCCACGCTGCCATCGCGTCTGGCCTCGGCTGATTCAGTGATGCGTCTGGCCAGAGGATGGATGATGGGATGGACGAGATGAGGGCGAAGGTGAGAGGAGGAGGGGGTGGGGGATCTGAGAGAGGATGCGGATTGAAGATGCGGAGAGTGTGATGAAGGGGCTGTGTAAAAGCTGGTCAACGCTGGTCAACGCTGGTCAATGCTAATGGATGTGTTTTATTGTAAAAGCTGTCCCCATGCGCATCACCACCATCGCCTGCTGTCTTCATCCCCTCCGTGCCCCGTCCCCATGCGCATCCCCTCCACGCAAACCGACTCCATCCTCCTCCATGTCTTCATTCACACCGGGCAGCTGTCCCGGGCAGAAAAATCGCCCTGCTGGACGATGGCCTCGTCTCCTGCTGCTTGTGCTGCGCTATGGATGGCCATGGGACGAGCGGGGGGGAGGTGGAGGGTATGTGGAGGAGGGTGGTCGAGACTCGACCCATGCATGTGGCGCGCATAGCAACGCATGTGGCATCTGGTGACATAGCCATGGCAGAAGAGGCGGTCTCCTCTCTGCATGCCTGCATCCGTCGCCTTGACCTGTAACGCTGCCTGTAACCCTCTTCTCAAGGGGTACACACGAGCTAACATGCGCATGGCCAACATTTCGTGTGGCACGGCCACCCTCTCCCTCCTCCTCTCCTGCCTCTCTCGCTCCCAACGCCTCTCCCATGCCACCGCCCTCCTCACTCAACTGGTCACCACTCCTGAGACCCCTGTAACCATTAATCCTCCTCCTCCTGCCACTACCAACCCACCTAGCTCCCCTCTTCATCTCAAATCCCTGCCTAAGTCTGTGCTTCGGCGCGCCTCTCCTGATGACGCCCAGCACGGCTCACACCCCTCCACCCCTCCACAGCAAGCGGCGCACGCTGCAGGGGCTGATGGAGGCACTCAAAGCAGAGGGGCACATGGAGGGCGTGCGCTGCCATTGCCCTTCACACCCCCGGCAGGCGATTCAGGCCGGCGAGGCCATGTGGGGCCGCTGTGAGGCCATGCGGGGCCGCTGTGAGGCCATGCGGGGCCGCTGTGAGGCCATATGGGGCCGCTGTGAGGCCATGCGGGGCCGCTGTGAGGCCATGCGGGGCCGCTGTGAGGCCATGCGGGGCCGCTGTGAGGCCATGCGGGGCCGCTGTGAGGCCATGCGGGGCCGCTGTGAGGCCATGCGGGGCCGCTGTGAGGCCATGGTACAAATGCTGCGACTCGCTGATATGCATGTAGGGGTGGGAGCAGTGGGCGATGGGGATGGTGGCAGTGGGAGGAGGAGGCGAGGGAGGTAGAGGAGGAGATGTGGGTAAAGGGGGTGAGGGCGGATCATGAGGTGAGGGGGCTGCTCAGGAAGCTGCGAGGCATGGCACATGTGCAGCAAGGGAGAGCAGCATGTGGGGATGATGTGCGTGTGGAGTAGTGCCATTCCTGAGCGGTGTGTTGCTTGGTGGGCGTAGTGGCGGTCCTGACCAGTGTGTTGCTTGGTGGGTGCCGGGCTTGTGTCGAGTAGAGCGGGAATTGCATGCTCGTTAATCAGCTCCCACAAGCTTAATAGCTCCAAACAATTCCCGTAGCAGCAATGCATTTGTCAGGATAAATTGTGAGTATATGTTCCCAACAATACCCACAGCACAGCAACATCAACGCTATCTTATACTTTTGATAGGCTCCATTGTTACCCATCTGCCCTTCTACACTGTCCAGAATTGTATCCAAAACATACCGTACCAAGGTACAATGGGTTGAAATCTCAAATGATTAGTCAGAGGATTGCATCTACACAGAATAAACAGAACTGATATTTGTATTCAACAAGCTACTAATGTAAACTACATGGCACATCATACAACAGATGTAGCCTGCAATGAAAAGCATAAGAATGCCTCCACTTAGCGGTGCATCATCTAAAATCCTCAAAAGTGGCCAGCCACTGCTTTACCTCAACATCATCCCTTAACATCATCCCTTCTCTGATCCTCCTCTTCATGCCCCCTTCTCTGCTCATTCTTCCCCCCTTCTCTGCTACTCTTCTTCCCCCCTTCTCTGCTCCTACTCTTCATTACCCCTTCTCTGCTCCTACTCTTCATAACCCCTTCTCTGCTCCTTCTCTTATTCCCCCCTTCTCTGCTCATTCTCTTCTTCCCCCCTTCTCTGCTCCTTCTCTTCATACCCCCTTTTCTGCTCTTGTCTTATTCCCCCCTTCTCTGCTCGTCTTATTCCCCCCTTCTTTGCTCTTGTCTTATTCCCCCCTTCTTTGCTCCTTCTCTTCTTCCCCCACTTCTGCTCCACTTCTTCCCCCTTCTCTGCTTCTTCTCTTCTTACCCCCTTCTTTGATCCTTCTCTTCTTCCCCCCTTCTTTGCTCCTTCTCTTCTTCCCCCCTTCTCTTCTCCTCTTCTTCCCCCTTATCTGCTCCTTCTCTTCTTCCCCCTTCTCTGCTCGTTCTCTTCTTCCCCCCTTCTCTGCTCCTCTTCTTCCCCCTTCTCTGCTCCATCTCTTCTTACCCACTTCTCTGCTCCTTTTCTTCCCCCTTCTCTGCTCCTTCTATTCTTCCCCTTTTCTCTGCTCCTTTTCTTCTTCCCCTTTCTCTGCTACATCTCTTCTCTAGCAGCTTCCTTAGCAGCTTCGTTAGCAGCCGTGAGCAGCTTTCTTAACGGTCGTTACCAACAACGGCCGTTAGCAGCTTCCTAAACAGCCCTTAGCCATTGGCAGCTTTCTTAGCAACTTTCTGAGCACCCCTTAGCGGCTTCCTTAGCAGCTTCCTTAGGAGCCGTGAGCAGCTTCCTTAACGGCCGTTAGCAGCTTCCTTAGCAGCCCTTAGCGGCTTCCTGAGTAGCTTCCTTAACAGCCATTGGCAGCTTCCTTAGCAGCTTCCTGAACACGCTTAGCGGCTTTCTTAACAGCCATTGGCAGCTTCCTAGAGAACTACCCCACTTCTTCACCCCCTCCTCAGCATCACGGTTTGAAGGAAGTTGACTGTTAGGGCGAGTAATGTAAGATTCTAAAGGCACCAAGAGGGAAAGGACCCTCCACACCCACGCCAGTGTGGAACAGTCCGTAACACCAAGTTCTCCTCGCCCACGCCAGTGAGGAAAAACTCGTGTTACCCAGGTCACCCCAAGGGAATCGCTACCTGGAGTGTGTGGTACCTTGCGAGCATGATTCTGCTGCAGTCAGAACCATGCAAGCTAAGGCCAGACTCCATCACGAATCCCCTTGAAGCTTCCCGGGCAACGTGTGCCACCCCGCTTGGCCTGAGCATGCACACTCAGTTGCCTTTCGTCTCCACACCATCCACCATCCCAGTCAACCCCTCGCCACCGCTCTGTCAGAGGCTGTAGCCACTTCGCCCCCTCGGTTCCTCCCTTCACAGAATCGCGGCTGATTCAGTGCAGCTGTTTCGGTTAGGTTGATACAGTGCGGCTGCTATAAGCTACAACTGCTGCGCCGTCGGTGTTGTCCCGCTACAACAGCTGCGTCGTCGGTGTTGCCCCGCTACAACTGCTGCGTCGTCGGTGTTGTCCCGCTACAACTGATGCGTCGTCGATGTTGTCCAGCTACCATTAATCTGCTGCCGTGAAGGGGTAAATCTGCTGCCGTGAAGGGATAAACTCTACTGCCGCGAAGGGATAAAATCTGCTGCCGTGAAGGGGTAAATCTACTGCCGTGAAGGAGTTAATCTGCTACGTCGTCGGTGTTGTCCCGCTACAACTGCTGCGTCGTCGGTGTTGTCCAGCTACAACTGCTGCGTCGTCGGAGTTGTCCCGCTACAACTGCTGTGTCGTCGGTGTTGTCCAGCTACAACTGCTGCGTCGTCGGTGTTGTCCAGCTACAACTGCTGCGTCTTCGTGTTGTCCAGCTACAACTGCTGCGTCGTTGGTGTTGTCCAGCTACAACTGCTGCGTCGTCGGTGTTGTCCAGCTACAACTGCTGCGTCTTCGTGTTGTCCAGCTACAACTGCTGCGTCGTCGGTGTTGTCCTGCTACAGTTGTTGTCCTGCCGTTAAAGACCTTAAAACTGCTGCTGCAGTTGAAGGCCTTGAAACTGCTGCTGCCGTGGAGACAAAGGAATTGATCCGCACGCCAAGGAGTTGACCCGCGCGCCAAAAGTTGACCCGCGCGCCAAGGAGTTGATCCGCGCGCCAAGGAGTTGATCCGCATGCCAAGGAGTTGATCCGCGCGCCAAGGAGTTGATCCGCGCGCCAAGGAGTTGACCCGCGCGCCAAGGAGTTGACCCGCGCGCCAATGAGTTGACCCGCGCGCCAAGGAATTGACCCGCGCGCCAAGGAATTGACCCGCGCGCCAAGGAATTGACCCGCGCGCCAAGGAGTTGATCCGCACGCCATCTGCATAGATCACAAGAATAGAGTTAAAGGCTGAAAATGGAGAGTAACGGAAGAAAATTATAAATGGAGCATAACGAAATTTTAAAATGGCTTCTGAAAACCGTTAACCAGTAACCTCAACAGTAACCTCACCTTAAAACTGCTGCTGCAGTTGAAGACCTTGAAACTGCTGCTGCCGTGGAGACAAAGGAGTTGACCCGCATGCCAAGGCGTTGACCCGCACGCCAAGGAGTTGATCCGTGTGTGAAGGAGTTGATCCGCGCGCCAAGGAGTTGATCCGCGCGCCAAGGAGTTGATCCGCGCGCCAAGGAGGTGATCTGCGCGCCAAGGAGTTGATCTGCGCGCCAAGGAGTTGACCCGCACCAAGGGGCTGATCCGCCTTTGATCTGCACAGATCACAAGAGAAGAGTTAGAGACTGAAAATGGAGAGTAACGGAGGCAAATTATAAATCGAGAATAAAGGAACTTTAAAATGGCTTCTGCAAAACGTTAAACAGTAACCTCAACAGTAACCTCACCTTGAAGCTGCTGCTGCAGTTGCAGGCCTTGAAACTGGTGCTGCAGTTGAAGGCCTTAAGGATTAACCCGCACGCCAAGGAGTTGACCCGCACGCCAAGGAGTTGACCCGCACGCCAAAAAGTTGACCGGCACGCCAAGGAGTTGACCGGCACGCCAAGGAGTTGACCCGCACGCCAAGGAGTTGACCCGCGCGCCAAGGAGTTGATCCGCGCGCCAAGGAGTTGATCCGCGCGCCAAGGAGTTGATCCGCACGCCAAGGAGTTGATCCGCACGCCAAGGAGTTGACCCGCGCGCCAAGGAGTTGACCCGCGCGCCAAGGAGTTGACCCGCGCGCCAAGGAGTTGACCCGCGCGCCAAGGAGTTGACCCGCGCGCCAAGGAGTTGACCCGCGCGCCAAGGAGTTGATCCGCGCGCCAAGGAGTTGATCCGCGCGCCAAGGAGTTGACCCGCGCGCCAAGGAGTTGATCCGCACTAAGGGGCTGATCGGCGCGCCAAGGGGCTGATCCGCCTTCAATCTGCTACAGATCACAAGAATATAGTTAGTGACTGAAAATGACATCATAAAGGAGACGTTTATAAATGGAGAATAACTGAATTTCCAAAATGGCTTCTGAAAAACGTTAAACAAGAACCTCACCTGCGTTTGAGCTGTTGATCCGCCTCTTGAAGTGTAGATACGCCTCTTAGGGTGATGATCCGCCTGTTGAAGGTCTTGAAAGTGTTTCTTCAAACCCTGGACAAGACGTAAGCACGAAGTCAGTAAAATATACAAACAAGAAATAAACGAAATGCAAAACAAGACGGCGGAAAAACGGTGAACGTCCATGATTCGCTGGCTGCAGTAGCAAAGGGAGGATCTATGCTACCCACCCACTCTATGCTACCCAAAACCCGAGGAGGATCATTTGCTAGATGCAGCCGAGACGAATCAGAGGGACGGTGGAATGACGCGATGTGAAAAACGAGTGAACACGGTGGAGGAACTGAAAGTGATGAAAAATGAAAACGACGAAGGGAAAGACACTCCCCAGTTGTTGCTGAAGGCGAAAACGGGGGGTTGAACGCAGGCAGAACGCAGGTTGAACGTTGAACGCAGACAGAACGCGGGTTGAACGTTGAACACGGGTAGAAGCTCCAGTGACGCTTTGCTGCAGCCCCCGTTCCCTTGTTGCTGGAACACGGGGGAGGAAACAAATGCAAAAGCACGAAGTTAGTAAAAATCCATGGAAGATTGAAATCAAAGAAAAACAAACAGGAAAGTGGGAAATTCAAAAAACGAAACAAACGACAAAGGAGAACAAAACGTGGCGGGAAACGACGCCCATGATACGTGGACTGCGACTTGCAGAGGGAGGAGACGCGCTATTCTACCCAACCCCGACAGCTATTCTACCCAAGCCCAAGGAGGATCATCTACAAGCCGCAGACGCACGTATCAGAGGGGCGGTGGAGCGGTAAGTGCGATGGAAACGGTGCGATGGAAACGGTGAAAAAAAAGCGACGAAACGAGGGGAAGAGAAGGGAAAGGGACTTCCCAGTTCGAGGATCGCGCCACCGTTGAAGATCACGGGTTGAAGATCGCGGGTTGAAGGCTTCAAAAGCCGAAGTCGGAACTCAAGGCCTTGATGCTCGTTGTTGCTAGCTGAAGGATGAAGCTGCAGGGGTTACAACAACAATGAATTAGAATCGTTTTAAAATAAAACGATCTGAAGAACGAAATTGTAAAGCTTGCCAACGAACGATTTGCTCACCTTTTGAGTTTCAAGAGCAGGCTGGGCGAGGGGCGAGGGGCGAGGAGCGAGGGACGGAATGGCGTTGTAAGTTGGCGTTGGTGGGGCCGAATGAAGGTGGCTGAACTTCAGAAGCCCGTTGAAGCTTGAAGCGTTGAAGCGTTGGAAATCCGTTTAACATGATGATCATGATGATCTTGAGAGAGCTCAAGTTGGAAATCCGTTTAACATGATGATCCGGCAGAAAGTACAACAAAGAGAAGTCAGAAATCCGTTTAACATGAACATATAAAGGAAATAGCAAAACAGGTGCGAAAAGACAATAGTTCAACGAAGAAACCCGTACCTCTGAAGATCGCCCGGTACGCTGGGCGAGAGGTGGTTGGTTGATGGAGGCGAGTTGAAAATTGGTTGGTGTTGATGGCGGATGGTGGCGGTGGCGGATCTTCAGCGATGTACAGCAGCATTGGTCGTGGGCCGTGATGATCTTGAATAAGCTTGCCTGTAAAAAGCAACAAAGTTAAGTCAGAAGATGATTTTATATATACATCATATGAACGAAGCCAAGACAAAGTGACATCATAACGAGGCTTACCTCTGGAGTTTGAGAGGTAGGCCGGGCGGGGGGCGGGGACGTGGATGGAAGCGATATGATGGATGGCGTCGGGGGCGAATGGTGATGGCGAACTCCAGAGTCCTCGAATTGAGAGATGTTGATACAGCTTGTACTTCTCTTCTTGCCAGGCTTGAAAACATGTCTTGGTGCTGGCTCAAGAATGATCCTGAAAAAAGTTACAACGAAAAGAAGTCAGGAAACGGTTTCCCAAGGAACAACGAAATACATTAAAAGTAAACCAGAGTGCAAGCGCTGAAAACCGATAACGAAAGTTAAGCGCAAGTGCTGGTGCTGAAATTTGAGTGCAAGTGCTATTCTTACTTTAGAAGATAGGCAGGTGGGCCGGGCGGAGGGCGGGGCGTGGATGGCGCGGCGGGTCGAAGGTGGAAGTTGGCGGGGTGGTGGTGGTAGCCCATCTCCCAGGTTGAGCACTGGGTGCGGTTGCTTGAAACGGTAGTAGAGCTTCGTGAGCAGCAATTGCTCGCTCAATCTTGTGTCCTTGCTTGATCAGAGTTGGTTGGACCACAAGGGAGTTGTGCCTGTAACAAGCAACAAAGTTAAGTCAGAATATGGTCCAATATAGACATCATAAAAACGAAGCCAAGACAAAGTGACATCAAAACGAGGCTTACCTCTGGAGTTTAAGAGGTAGGCCGGGCGGGGGGCGGGGCGAGGATGGAAGCGAGATGATGGATGGCGTCGGGGGCGAATGGTGATGGCGAACTCCAGAGTCCTCGAATTGAGAGATGTTGATACAGCTTGTACTTCTCTTGTTGCCAGGCTTGAAAACATGTCTTGGTGCTGGCTCAAGAATGATCCTGAAAAAGTTACAACGAAAAAAAAGTCAGAAAACGGTTTCCCAAGTAAATCAGATTCCAAGTGCTGAAAAACGATCACTGAGTTAAGCTCAAGTGCTTGTGCTGAAAATTAGAGTGCAACCGCTATTCTTACCTTGGGAGATAGGCAGGTAGGCCGGGCGGAGGGCGGGGCGTGGATGGAGCGGCGGGTTGAAGGTGGAAGTTGGTGGGGTGGTGGTGGTAGCACATCTCCCAGGTTGAGCAGCGGGTGGCGGTTGCTTGAAACGGTAGTAGAGCTTCGTGAGCAGCAATTGCTCGCTCAATCTTGTGTCCTTGCTTGTGCAGAGTTTGGTTGAACCACAAGGGCGTTGTGCCTGTAACAAGCAACAAAGTCAAGTCAGTATATGGTCCAATATAAGCATCACATAAAGGAGCCAAGACAAAGTGACATCATAACAAGGCTTACCTCTGGAGTTTGAGAGGTAGGCCGGGCGGGGGGCGGGGGCGTGGATGGAAGCGAGATGATGGGTGGCGTCGGGGGCGAATGGTGATGGCGAAAACACCAGAGTCCTCGAATTGAGAGTTGCTGATACAGCTTGTACTTCTCTTCTTGCCAGACTTGAAAACAGGTCTTGGAGCTGGCTCAAGAATGAACCTGAAAAAGTTACAACGAAAAAAAAGTCAGAAAACGGTTTCCCAAGGAACAGCAAAATACATTAAACGTAAATCAGAGTGCAAGTGCTGAAAAACGATCACGGCGCAAGTGCTCGTGCTGAAAATTATAGTGCAAGTGCTATTCTTACCTTAGGAGATAGGCAGGTAGGCCGGGCGGAGTGTGGGGCGTGGATGGCGCGGCGGGTTGAAGGTGAAAGTTGGCGGGGTGGTGGTGGTAGCCCATCTCCCAGGTTGAGCAGTGGGTGGCGGTTGCTTGAAACGGTAGTAAAGCTTCGTGAGCAGCAATTGCTAGCTCAATCTTGTGTCCTTGCTTGAGCAGAGTTCGGTTGGACCACAAGGGAGTCGGGGGCGAATGGTGATGGCGAAAACTCTAGAGGCATCCATATGGAAGGACTTGAACGAAAATTGTGAGCTAGACTTGAAAATGAGAAGTTTCTGTATTACATGGTTCTTGCCAAACAGACGGAGGTGGTTAACGAGAAAATTGATCTTCTGGATGAGGCAGAAGCTACGTCACGCCGACGGCGTCTAACCGAACTCTGGGGTTAGCCTCAATTTTAGCGGCTCGACGCGGCGATCGATTTCAGCCGCTCGCGGGTGATTTTGTGTCTATGCTCTGTGAGGAGATTCCCTCGGCAACCGTGGCTCAAGAGGTGGATGGAGAAGATGTGTGTACAGTGAGCGGCACATGCAGCCACTTGTGGTGGTCAACACCACCACTTGTGGTCACCAAAAGCGCGTTGCCTGACAAGGATTACACACGATGTCCGTTTGACTAACCCAAGGTTGCCTTGTGAAGGGGGCGCTTAAGTGATTCATGCATTTCGTGGAGGTTTCGTCAATTCGCATCGGGCAAAAAGGGCTTATAGCAAAATTTTGTAACTCACCGTTGACTGTTTGACTTCGGTCTCTTCTGTTTCTGTGGTTCGTATTGGTTGACGTGCTTGTAACGTGGGTGCAACTGCCCGGGAAAAAACCTTCGTGTGCAAGGTTTCTGGAATGTGCGAGGCAATTTCGCGTGCAGGGGTTGGGCATCTTGTGTACATCACCCTGAACGAAATGCGGGGGAAGAGAGGCTCGGCTGGGAAACTGTCGGCGGAGCTGAGGACGCGTCACAAGTAAAATATCGAGGAAGGATCAGGGTTGTTCACCGAACCTGTCAAACCGATCGCCATATCGGTGTGTCACGACTGCTTTGAAGTTTCAAGTGACACGGTCGTAAAAACATGGGGCAAAATTGCCCGATGTGGACGAAATTGCACGATCGATGTGTGACAGGGGCACATCGATCGCCTGACTTAGAAGGGAAAACTGTACGTTAACGAAAATAAACGAAAGTGTGTAACCACCTAAACACCGATTCTAGGCAGGATCGATGTTCTACTTGTGACGCGTCCTGATTTGTTGTCGTCACAACTGAACCCAAGGAAGGAAGCATCCCCAGGGAACTCTAGCGAATTGTGCGAAGCTGCCGTGGGACACTTGCTGACGACAACTGAGCGACCTAGATTTGTCGCTCGCTCAGTTCCGCGCCAAAATTTGGCACGGTGCGGAAGCAAGATGCTGTGGCAGGAGCAAGATTCTCCGCCGCACAGATACTGTAGGAATCTCCACATCAGCAGGACTTCGGCTGTGGATAAACGAGCGACCCAATGCTTATCGCCCTTCAGTGCACGGAAGTACACTTTGCCGTGCTGATGAGAGTCGCCCTCGCCACATCAGCAGATCGAAGCCACTTATACCATCACATATGTGTATGTACTGTGCCACCTTGGCTGAAGGGGAGGTTGGAGCCACGGATTGGACAGCATTACTGTACAACGCGAGAGCCACAGTGCGCGGCGGGTTTCAGCAGAACTGTTCCGAGGGATGAAGTCACACCACCAGTTGTCCGTCAGTAACAGAATCTAGAGTAGGAGTATACTGTAGTATCATTCAACTTCAAGAATCCAGGTTCCGCTGCTTAACAAATTACTCGTTGACCACACTCGTTTTTGGCAGCATTTCAGTCCACACCCCGAAGTGAAACTTCGACATTACGATACGTACCAGAAGGCATGTAGACCGCTTGAACTTTTCGAGTTCTGATTATTTCGAAAAGTGACCACGACGCGTTTTAGCGTTGTGTCAGCATACAGCGGGCGGCGCATGCCAGCAGTGGGCATGGGGCACCACCACCTGTTGCAGCACTCACTTTGGCATCACTCACGACACGATGTCGGGCGCACAAATCAGCCGAAGCGCGTTACAGCAGCACATCCCTCTGTGCGAAAATGCGGGAATATGAGGCTCGGACAGTGTAGCCGAGGCTGGTTTGATGACGTCACAAAACAGCACAGCGATGCCAAAGGAACCATCGCAATTGGGCAATAATTAGTCACAGGAAGCTGCTTTGGGACTGTGCTGACGACAACTGAGCGACCAAAAATCACTGCTCCGTTCCGCGCCAAAATCCAGCAGTGACACGCTGGCAGGAGCAAAAATTCCGTTCCGCGCCGATGATATCGATCGACCCCAGTGGGGTCACCCCACATCAGCATTGCAGACGCACTTTGGCTGACGCTAATGAGCGACCCTGGAATCGTAGCCAGTCAGTGTAAGTCGAAATCTCCAATAGTGACACGCTGCCATAAGCAGGGTGCCATGCTGTACAGCACCCGCCATATCAGCAAATATGAAGAATCGTCCTTATTCCACGCAAGGGCGATTCTGTCTGTATGCATACACTGTTTCCCATTCCTTCAGGAGCTCCAAAGTCGGTGTCTGGTAGGTGGCGGTTCATAGGGGACGAAGCGAAGTGTTACAAAATGATATCTCTTATCAATTTCCGAGTTTAGTCGAAGCACAAAATGAGCTGAATGTGATTATATTTGACTCTAGAAGGTAACCTACGCACATGTTCGCCTGCGGATTTCTCGCCAAGTCATTCGGGTTTCCCGCTTGGTTGCGCAACAGATCTCTGGTCCGTTCTGCGACATCTGAAGTTATGAACAGAACGTTGGAGAGGTGGTTTAAAGATCGCACAACCAGGTGAGAAACGGTCTGAAGCGGTGAACTGACAAAACTGCTCAAAAGTGCACAATACCGTGCTGGAACGCGGAATATCTAACAGATAGCAAGCAGTAGCACCACGCTTACGCGACACGATAGCTGACGTGCTTGGTGCGAGGAGGATTAGGGCGCGTGTCTTTTGGTTTTTATATGCAAAACTCGAATTTTTTGTTGAACTGTAGTCATTTGAACCTAGCTCGAGCTAGGCTCGAGTTTTCACCAACTGCAAACCGAGCCGCGGTTCCACCCCTCCCGAAAATCACGCGACAAACAAAAGTTCAACTATCGAAGTTGAACTTTTGCAGCCCAGCCGAGCCGCGACCTACGCTTGTAGGTTACCCGGTTTGGGCTCTTGACATCGCGCCACGTAAGGCCTCGCGCTGACGAGCACCCTCGTGCGCACGATGCTAGCTGCGAGCGTCGCAGACTTCGCATCGTCGCTGTCAGTGATGAGGTGGACACACGCTCGCACATTCGTGCCAACCTGTTTGTTGATGAGGGTTCAACTTGGGAGCTCAACATTTTCCGATGCTGGAAGTGTACGTGGACACACGACGTCCTGGCGAAAATTTTAGCGCAATTAACGAAGAGGATAACCAGCAAAAGTTCAACCAGAATTCCGAACGTCTACACCAAAAGACACGCGCCCTATCCTATCAGCAGCAAGGAGTCAGCAGAAGCAGTCAGCAGCAAGGACAAATGAAATACAGTAGTGTCATAGTAAGCAAGAGGGTGTCAATAGTAAGCAAGCGGAGGAATCAGTCAAGGATTCACGACAGCAAGGCGCTTGCCGAATCGCTCGTCGATGGTTACGCTTCTCCCGCATCGGCACTTTCGCGTTTTGTTCTTCCGCAGAATTTACTGATTTCTTTGGAATATCGTGTAACTAGTATCTTAAAAGAACGTATATGGCGGCGGCTGCGGTGCTGCCAGCACCCACGCAGTTCAAAGCAGCTCGAGCCGTGGTGGCGGTAATGGAAGCGTACCGCGACGCGCGCGTGCAGTTCGTCATGAAAGTCGGCGAACTCGCCGTCTCGCAACAGGTTCGCCTTAGTCTCAGTCTCTATCGCTCTCTAATCTTAGTGTTTCTCAGCATCCAGGCTTCGATTTACGAATTCATGGCGAATTCATGGCGAATTCAAAATCCATTTTTGCGATCCACCAGCTCGCCGATAAGGAACAATGTTTGCGAACCCCGTAGAATGTTATTCGTCGAACTTCGTATTTCAACATCCTGAGGGCCTCTATTGACGAGGTAGTTTAAACCGAATGCGTTCCTTCCGCGTTTCTTCCCCCGCAGAACGCGGAGGCGCTGCTGTCGCTCGGCGCGCTGCAGCTGCTGCTGCCGCTCGCGCAGGACAGCATGGCGTCCGTGCGATCCGCTGCGACGCTGTCGCTGGGTCGCCTGGCGAATGTGTCGCACGCGTGGTCGCACCACCTCGTGCAGCGCAACGTGCTGCCGTCGCTCTGCAAAGCGCTCACGTCCGTCCTCCTATTACTGAATTTATTCCTATGTGTTTTTAGAATTCGGGGATTTGCCCAGCCAGTTGATCTCTCTGCAAGCCTCTCACGTCAGTCCTCCTGCTTTTGTTAATTGTTTCTCCTGCCACTTGCCTCTCAAGAGTGCAGCGCAACATACTGGCTTTTTCATGCGAAGCACTCACGTCGTTTCATCTCTGCTGTGCCCGGTCGTCTTTCTCTCCCTCCAACCCCGCGTCTTCCCCTCTCCTCTCCCTCCACCTCTCGTCGTCCCCTTTCGTCTCCCTCTACCCCCCAGCGGCACCAATCGCCACCACAAGCGCGCAGCAGCATATCTAGTCAAGGCCGTGTCACGCCACGCTGGCGCTGAGCTGGCAGAGGCGGGCGTGCTGCCACTGCTGACGGAGTCCCTTCTGGATGCCATGCTGGCAGTGCGGGAGACTGCTGCATGCGCATTGGGCCACGTGGCGAAGCACAGCGGTGACATGGCGATGAGAGTGGTTGGGACGGGTGCAGTGCGGTTGCTGGTGACATGCCTCCAGGTGGGATTTGCAAATTTCAGAACGTGGCATCCTGGTTGGGAGCAACCCATGTTCCCTTTTGGTTTTTGAGTCGCCTCAATACTAGATGGCAGTTAATTCTTCTCCCTTCTCAAGCTCATGCACTCCCAAAACCTCTACTGCAAGCATCAATGTGTCACTCGGCATGTAAGGCATGCATTTATCCCCTCGTGTCTATCCTGGTTTCTCATCTCCCCATATCTCATACCTGATGGCAGGACGAGGCTGTAGCGCGGATAGCCCTCTCAGTGTTGAGTGACGTGGCACGCCACTCGCTGCTGCATGCTACAGCCGTGGCCGGTGCGGGCGGCATCTCTGCCGCCGTCTCTCTGTTGGGATCACCTGACGTCAAGACAAGGCGCCAGGTGTTGTCCCCACAACTGACATCTATTGTTTCGATGCACTCACTTCACCTCCTTAAATTCATGTTCTTGCGTCCCCGACACCCACTCCCAACCTTGGTGTGATCACCTTTGCCCCCATCTGCACCATGCTTGCTCCTTCCCTCCTGTGCTGCAGCTGCCCTCCCCTTCTCTCTGCCCGCTTCTGCACAACCACCTTGACTTCGCATCTCTACAGCACCTCTTTTTCACCCTTCTGCGCCCATCTTGACGACCCCATGTGCCTCCTTGCACAGCTGCTTGTCTTCTGCTTCCCCTGTTTCCCCATCCATCGGTTTGCACCCCTTACAGGTTTGCGTCACCGGTTTCATGGTCGTCACTGGCAGCAGCAGTTTCAGGGTCTTCACGGCAGCAGCAGACACCTCCCCTTCAACTGCAGCAGCAGCTTCAACTGCTTCAACGGCAGCAACAATTTCAACCCTTTCAATGGCAGCAGCACACACCGTTGAAGGGAGGGTGTGTGCTGCTGCTGTTGAAGAGTTGAAACTGCTGCTGCCGTTGAAGGGGTTGAATCTGCTGCTGCCGTTGAAGAGGAGGTGCCTGCTGCTGCCGTTCTTGCACACCTCTTTTCACCCTTCTGCGCCCATCTTGACGACCCCATATTCCTCCTTGCACACCTCCTTGTCTTTCTGCTTCCCCTGTTTTCCCACCCATCTGCACCCCTCTGCACCCCTTACAGGTCTGTGTCTGCCTCTCTACCATCGCCAGGCACTCTGAAACCCTCGCGCTGGTAAGCACTGCTCCAAAACATCCCAAACCGTCTAGAAAGACCGAAGGGTACATTTCCTCGCTTCACGGCATGGCCTCCTGCTGCCTACACACTCCACTGTTCCTTGCCTCCCCAATTTCTCCCCTCCGCCTGCTGCTCCGCCTGACCGACATGCTTATGCTTACTTGTCTATTACCCCTTCTCTCCCCTCTCCCTTCTCTCCCTACTACCCTTCAGCAAGTGTTGGACCAACCAGGAGCGTCTCGTTTGCTGCTCTGCCTGCACGACTCGTCGCCCTCCTTACGGGCATCAGCAGCAGCGGTGGTGAGGGAGGTGGCGAGGCAGGGACCGGCAGCAGCAGGCAGGCTGGTGGGCATGGGGGGCATTGGGCCGCTGCTGGATGCCGTGGGCACGTGGAGGGACGAGAGCGAGGGAGAGGGCATGACAAAAGGCTCCGCCAAGGTCTCAGGTGAGTGACTTCTGTACAATTTGTGTTCTCTTTGTGGTGGGCATGGGGGGCATGGGGGGCATGGGGGGCATGGGGGGCATCGGGCCGCTGCTGGATGCCGTGGGCACGTGGAGGGACGAGAGCGAGGGAGAGGGCATGACAAAAGGCTCCGCCAAGGTCTCAGGTGAGTGACTTCTGTACAATTTGTGTTCTCTTTGTGGTGGGCATGGGGGGCATGGGGGGCATCGGGCCGCTGCTGGATGCTGTGGGTGCATGGAGGGACGAGGGCGAGGGAGAGGGCATGACAAAAGGCTCCGCCAAGGTCTCAGGTGAGTGACTTGGGTTCCCTTTGTGTTCTGTTGTGGTGGGCATGGGGGGCATCGGGCCGCTGCTGGATGCTGTGGGCGCATGAAGGGACGAGGGCGAGGGGGGGGGAGGGGATCACAAAAGGCTCTGCCAAGGTCTCAGGTAAGTGATTTCTGTACCTTTGTGTTCTAATTGTGTGGGGCATGGTGGGCATGGGGGGCATCGGGGCGCTGCTGGATGCTGTGGGCACGTGGAGGGAGGAAGGGGAAGGGGAGGGAGCAGGGGAGGGTAAGGGGATGTCGAGAGGCCCCGGCAAAGTTTCAGGTTGGTGCTTATGCTTTTTCTGAATTCTTTCTTGTGGCCTCTTTTTGCTCTGTTTGTGGTTGTCCTGTTCCATTTCCTGGTGCAATGCTGCGACCGTCATGTTGCTTCTTTCCTTTGTCACACATTGCCTTCAGGCACTTTCTCTCTAAAGGAACTCACTCGCACACATCATTCCTCAGCCACACACTCGCTCACACTCACTCAGATATCCTCCTCGTTACTCAACTATCACCGTCTCCCCACCATCATTCCATACCATTCCCCTCCATCGCCCAGTGGTGGTGGCCCTCGGCTTCCTGGCAGCTTCCTCACCGGATGCAGCGCTGGCAGTGGTGGCATCGGACGGCATATCCCCGCTGCAGGATCTGATAGTGGAGGGCCATGCTGATGTCACTCTTAAAGGGGCGTGTGCATGGGCGCTCTCCCAGATGGCCTCTCACGGGTGAGAAAGGTCGGGTGGGGATGGGTTGCAATGGGTTAGCAGGGGTGCAGAGGGGTGAGGATCAGTGAGGAAAGGTGAGGATGGGTGGGGATGGGTGAGCGTGTGTCACTAAGGCCTGCAGCGCTGGCAGTGGTGGCAGTGGTGGCAGTGGTGGCAGTGGTGGCAGTGGTGGCAGTGGTGGCAGTGGTGGGCAGTGGTGGCAGTGGTGGCAGTGGTGGCAGTGGTGGCAGTGGTGGCAGTGGTGGCATCTGACGGCATATCCCCGCTGCAGGATCTGATAGTGGAGGGCCACACTGACATCACTCTCAAAGGGGCGTGCGCGTGGGTGCTCTCGCAAATGGCCTCCCATGGGTGAGGATGGGTGCAGAAGGGTGGGAATGGGTGAGCTTGGGTCAAGATGGGTGGCGATGGGTGAGCATCAGGGTTCAGGATGGGTATGGGGATGTTTCAGCAGGTGAATAAATTTGACATGATCACAACATCTACCGTGTGTTGACATTGCCCTTTTCCTTCCCTTGCATGGCCTACCCTTCCGCTCTGCTCCTTTGGCCCATGCCAGTACCAGTCATGCCAGTACAGTGGCAGACAGCGGGGTTTTGATCGACATGGTAACAGCAGCCACGGGTTGATGCTCTCGTGATCTCTTCCTCTCTCTTGCATTTTCTACCCTTCCACGCCAGTGCCAAGGCCGTGGCAGACAGTGGGGTGCTAACTGACATGAACGGCAGCCACAATCTGACAACATTACTTTCCTTCTCTTGCGCCACCTACCCTTGTGCTCTCTTCCTTCACTTTTGCCCGTGCCATACGCAGCCGTGCCAAGGCCGTGGCAGACAGTGGGGTGCTGAGCGACGTGGTGACAACAACTTAATGCCAACAACTTAACTGACATGGTGACAGCAGCCACAATCTGAAAACAACATCTTTGCTCTTCTCGGTCACTCTCTTTTGTTTACGTTCCTTCGGTTGAACCTTGCCAGTCCAAGCCACACCAAGGCAGTGGCAGTGGGGTGTTGATCTCTTCCAACCTCTTGCACTCTCCTTCTGCTCTGTCCCTTCCCTTGGCACATGCCAGTCCCAGCCATGCCAAAGCAGTTGCAGACAGTGGGGTGATCGACGTGGTAACTGTTGCCACGACAACTTAATGCCAACATCTCTCTCCTTCTCTTGCACTTCTCTTCTGCTCCACCCCTTCGTACACGCCAGTCCCAGCCATGCCAAGGCAGTAGCAGACAGTGGGGTGTTGATCGACATGGTCACAGCAGCCACCGTCCACCTCCCTGCTCCCGATCCTGCTGCCGAGCCTGGCGCTGCTGCTACGGCAGATGGTGCGGCTGTTGCATCCGCTGCTTCTGAAGGAAGAGGCTCGGCAGCGGAGGCTCGGGAGCGCTTGGTGCAGGCAGTGAAGGATGTGGTGGTTCGGGTGAATGACATCGAAGCCCTCGATGCGCTGCTGCAGGTAAATACATTGCCATCATTCGTATGCGCTGCCGTATGCACACCCCCTTATTGTCTTTCTCCTCATGCCTTCATCCTCCAATATTGCCCTCACTCACCCGTCACCCCACACTTCCCACTGCTTCCGAGCCTCCCATCCTCCACTTCCCGTCTCTGCCCTGTGTCCTTGCTCTTCTCCCTTCTCCCTTACTCCTCCCCCTCCCCTCTTCCCCCTTACCCTCTCCCCACTCCCCTCTCCCCCCTCCCCTCTCTGCCCTCCCCTCCTCCACTTCCCCCATACAGTGGACGAAGCTACCGGACTGCATACTGGAGTCTGTCCTGCATCGCATGTCTGTAGTGCTCGCTAAACACAACGCCTGCCGCCCGGCCTTCCTCGCGTCGAACGGCTTCACTCGTCTGCAGCGCCTGCTACAGCTGGCAGAGGCAAAGCGAGCCGCCGCTGCCGCCGCCGCCGCAAACGCTGCCGCCGCTGCCGCCGCCGCTGAGGGCGCTAATGCCGAGAGCCCAGGAGACCGGGTGGCGAAAGTGACCCGATTTGATCCTGCCTCCGTGCGTTGCATAGAGGGGGGCGTGGATTGGGATTTAGTGGAGGACCACGTGTCCTCTATCAACTCGCTCTTCCCGTTCGAAGTTTCCCGATTCTACTCAGCAGATTACCAGCAGCACCTCCTGCAGAAGCTCTCAGACAGTGTCAAGCCGGAATGGGCTGCGATAGCTACGGCCGCTGCTAGCCCCCGAGCCATGTCGATCAAGGCTCGGGAGGGCAGGTTCGTGCGGGGTGGAAGGAGACCGGTTGATGTGGAGGAGGTGGGGCGGGGAGGGTGGGAGGCTCCGGATTTGGGGCCACTGGTGGAGGAGGAGGGTGAGGGGGATGAGGACGGGGGAGGAGAGGAGGGTGGGGAGGAGCTGGAGGAGGAGATGGAGGAAGGAGGAATCGGTGGGGAGGGTGAGGGTGAGGGGGATGGGGGGTGGGGAGGTGATGGGGATGGAGGGGTGCAGCTGATGCAGGTGCGAGTGGGGAGGAGTGGAGTGGAGCGGATAGAAGGAGGGAGAGAGAAAGTTGGAGGTGGAACAAGAGAAACGGGAGGAGGAGTGGGGGGAGAAGGGACGACTGAAGGGGAGGGGAGAGGGATGGAGGATGATGGTTCAGATGTGCAGAAGCACCCTAGTTTGTTGACCAGTGATGATGGGTGTGGGGCTGGTGAGGAAAAGAGAGACAATGCAGCAGTTGAAGTAGTGAGAGGGACTCCTTGTGAGGTGGTGGATGGTGGTGGTGGAGTGGTGGAGCATGCGGGGGTGGAGGGTGGTGAAGGGGGGCTGAAGGATAGTGGTAGCGGGGAGGTGAAGGATGGAAATGGGGGAGCGGAGGATGGTAATGAGGGGACGACAGGTGGAAATGGGCGGACGACTGTTGGAAATGGGGAAACAAAGGATGGAAATGGGGGGGTGAAAAATGGAAGTGGGGGGCTGAAGGATAGTAATTAGGAAATGAAGGATGAAACTGGTGGAACAAAGGACAGTGAAGAAGGGATGAAGGATGGGAATAATGGCATGAAGGATGATAATGGGGGGATGAAGGATGGAATTGAGAATGGATGGAATTAGGGGAATGGAGGATAGTAATGAGGAATTGAATTGTAAAACTAGTGGAACGAAGGACACTGAACTAGGAATTAAGGATGGAAATAATTGGTCGAAGGACGGCAATAGGGGGATGAAGGATGAGAGTGAGGGGATCTAGGATGGGAATGACGCAGAGGTTAGATACTGAGAAGCAGAGAATGGAGAGAAGGCACAAGTAGTTACAATCTCATAGAAACAGAGTGGCTGGTTGGGTTGAACTAATGATTTGTATATACACCCTGTTTTTAACTGTTTGTTTGCACAGTCAATTCACTGTTAGCCTACAGTCAAGCCCAACCAGTACGAAATTCTGTTTCCCTGCCTTTATGAGGCGGTTATCGTCGGCTCTCTGCGCCAGTGATCCTGGCGGGATCTTCCCCGCCTGTATTTATTGCGCCCAGGCGGACTGGCGTGGGGACACCAGTGGGGGGTGTAGGCGTGGTGCCAATACGCCATCATAGCCTCGCTGTCTTGCACTCTCGATTTCCCTCGATCGAACGGTCGTCGTTGTCGCAAACAAAAGCTGCTGTATTTCGCGAATGCACCTTGCCGTTCTGCGAGCTCGCGAAGCTCGTGTAAACACAGCATATTCTTTCGCTAAGCGATTTTGTGCGCCACTTTCGCCATTCCTATCTTCTTCTGTCCCGTTCTCTCCCTTCGCACTACCCACCCCACCACTTACCTGCCAGATAAAATCTAGGGTCTGAAATCGTACGCCCCTTACCTAGGGTCTGACCTGGCAGGCATTTTTAGGAGGCGCCTGTTTCTGACGCAAGACTTTATCAGGACGTTATTTCTTGTAGTCGCGTGCTCTAGATCCGCGACTTTCGCTACAATGCGCGGGTTTACGGGTTTGGCGCTACGATATTTCCGAGTTTGATGCATTCGCTGGCCTTAGGGTTAGCGACCTTTTCTAGTATCCCGAAACTTGATTCTCAGTATCCACGTTGAAGCGTCAAAAAGGGATTTTTTCGCGTCTATTAGGGTTAGCGATGTCGACCGGCGAAGCGGAGGTTGCCGGAGAGGCGGTCGCATCACCAGCGCCTCCTCCGCTTGAATGGAAATTCGGTCAGGTTTTCGGCGAACGGGCAGCTGGAGAAGAAGTTCAGGATGGTGAGTTGGAGTAGTTACTAGACCAATATACCTTACAGTTAACGGTTTATAGGGTACATATTTAAGGGTGCAGATAAGCTCCATAGATTACGTTCTTAGCACATCTTCTGGCGATATTATACGTGTGTTAGGATTTCCGAATCGCGCTGTCATGTCGTAAACCAGAATGCATGATCCAGCAAACCGCTAATCGCATTGCTCGGCTGGCTCTGAGCTTGGAGCGTTATGACGTAAATGGCACGTTATGTCCGTCCGACCGTATGCTACACTATGTATGTTTGATTTAGGGATTAGTGGCGGAATGCGCAGTCCTGACAATGTTGACATTTCAGCGATTTTCGAGGCCAGTAAAGAATCATCCGACGCAGTCATTAGTTGGCGGAATGTGCGATTTTGACATCAACGGCTAGACTGAATGTCCAAAGGTCATAGATTGACGGTGCCGACCAGTTTTGACGATGAAACTCTATCTAGTTCGAGTACTCTAATCAACGCTATTCAAACTGCATGCGACAATTATTGAAGGACATGAAGCTGCAGTTTCAACTTCATACTCTTCCGGTCCTGGTCGCCAGACTTCCTGAATATATCAAGGTTGCTGAGATTGCGATGAACTCCTGCTTTTCCTGAGTCTACTAAGCTAATCTGCCTGCTGTGCTGTGCGGTTCCGTGCGGTTCTGTGGTGCGGTGCAGTGGACATTATATCGGCGATTGAGTTCGATCGTACCGGCGAGCACCTGGCGACGGGCGACAGAGGCGGGCGAGTCGTGCTGTTTGATCGCATTGACCTGCGCGATGTGAGTCGCTTTATTTCCTGCTCGCATTATGTCAGTAGCATGACGTCACTACTATTTCCATGATATGTCGCCTGCGTGCCGTTCTGCACGACGTCATGCACTACTATGCGTGGTCTGAATGTGCATTGATCCGCATGGCATCAGTCAAATCGATCTTAAATGATTACTAATCCAAGCGTTAACCTCACCATTCACCTTAAACCAGATAGCACTTGCTTCTCTCTGATCCGTTCGCATGCACTCTCCCATTGGAATCTCCAGTGGTGATGAGCTGAGTCTGTAAGTGAGTGTACGCGGAGACGGAAGGTAGACGCATTTAAAGTCGTCGTGTGCACTCTTCGCTTGCGTTTCGCTGGTGCCGCTAAAGCTCACTCCTGCCCACCCCATCTCACGCCTGTTCACACCTCCTCATGCCTGCTCATGCCTTCCTACCGCATTCCTGCCCTTCCCGTGCGCGCATCCCTGCCCTTTCCGTGCGCGCATCCCCTCCCTTTCCCGTCAGGCGCGGGGTCGGCGGGAGATGGAAGCGAGCGACTACCCCCCCGCCGCGCACCAGCAGATCGACTACCGCTACTCGACCGAGTTCCAGAGCCACGAGCCCGAGGTAGGAGATGTGTATGAGAGGACAGGGAAATGTGCAGGGGTAGGTAGGTTGGGATTGTAGGCCCGCTTTCAATAGCTTGTCTGTAGGATGGTTAGCATAACCAGCAGGTTGACTACCGCTACTCCACGGAGTTCCAGAGCCACGAGCAGGAGGTACGGATGCTTTGTGTATGAGAGGACGGGGAAATATGCACAGATAGGTAGGCTGAGACTAAGAGCCGCGCTCTTCTGGTAGCTTATCTTGTAGCATGGGTAGCCTAACCAGCAGATTGAGTACCGCTACTCGACTGAGTTTCAGAGCCACGAGCCCGAGGTACGGCTAGGCGCCATCTGCGGGAGTGGGAGGCACGGCAGACGTGTGCAGGAGGGGAGCAGGGGGATGGGTGTGGAGAATTGGATAGAATGGGACGCGCTTGGTAGCTGGTGGGATGGTAACCTAAACCTGCAGATTGAGAACCGCCAATTCACTCAGCTGCTGTGCTGCGAGCCCGAGCTATCCGCTAAGGGGGCATGTGCGGGAGTGGGATGGGGAGACGGGCACGGATGAAGGGTGTGAATGTAGAGTGTAGGCCGCGGTCTTGGTGGGTTGGTAGGCAGCGCGCCAGCATGTCAAGCACCGCTGCTGCTCCCTCTCCGCTTTCAACCACTCCCTTGTTTCCTCTCGTTTATTTCGCCCCACCATCCACTCCCAATTTTCCCCTCTCCTCCCATTTTTCCCCTCTCCCTCCAAACCCTTCCCCCCTCCTCCCTCTCCTTCACCCCATCCCACCTCTCCCTTTCCTCGCCAGTTCGACTTCCTGAAATCGCTGGAGATAGAGGAAAAAATCAACAAGACCATCAAGCTCTGGCGTGTCACCCAGCTTTTCTTCTCTCCCTCCCTCCCCTCTCTTCCCCCAACCTCCTCCTCTTCTCTTCTGCCCCCCTCTCCCCTCGTCCCCCCACTTCCCCTCCCTTCCTCCTCCCCCCTCCTCCCCCCTCACCTACGCCAGTTCGACTATCTCAAGTCGTTGGAGATAGAGGAGAAAATCAACAAGATCCGGTGGGTCAACTCCTCCCAGGGCGCGCTCTACGTGCTCTCCACCAACGACAAGACCATCAAGCTCTGGCGCGTCACGGAGCGCCGCGTCAAGGCCGTCTCGCAGTTCAACTGCCCGCCCCGCACAGCTGCAGACTACCTCGCTGCGGCCAACCCCCCAGCCGACCCCGCAGCAGCAGCGGATGCGGTCCCAGCGCCCCCGGTTTCAGTGCCTGGGGGGCCGCAGATCAATCCCCGGTACCTCCCGCGCCCCGGGTCGCTGTCTGCTGCGTCGGCTACGGCCAGAGCGGTGGCTGCGGGCGCTGGAGCGGTGCTGAACGGTGTGGGCGAGTGCATGGAGCTGGACTTTCCTCCTGGAGGGTTTCCTCAACTGCGCCTCCCTGCTGTGGTCAGTGCTGTGCTGTTTGCCCTGCTCTGTGCCCCGTGCCGTGCGTGTGTTGTCGTTTCTGCCAGCACTGCTTGTCGTCGATTCGGCTACTTTGTCCCATTCCCTATCTTCTCCGCATATTCTCGTTGCCTTCCCACGATGCCCTCCTTCCCACTTTGCCCCCACCCCACCTTGCCCTCCCTCCCACCTTGCCCTCCCTCCCACCTTGCCCTCCCCCCACCTTGTTCCCCCCGCCACCTTCCCCCCCTCCCACCTTGCCCTCCCTCCCACCCACCGTCCCCTCCCTCTCACCTTGCTCCCCCCTCCCCCCACCTTGCCCTCGATCGATCCCACCTTGCCCTTCCTCCCATCGTGCCTCTCCCCCCTTCCTTGCCTTTTCCCCTTTCCCCCATCCCAGGTGTCAACCAACGAGACCACGCTGGCGGCGCGGTGCCGCCGTGTCTTCTCATCACATTCTCATGCCCTGCTCTCTTGCCCGTCCCCTCCCGCCGTGCCCTTCCCTTCTCCCCCTGTCAACCCCACCTTCGCCCCCCATTCCCCTTCCTCCCCCCCCAGGTGTCAACCAACGAGACCACGCTGGTGGCGCGGTGCCGCCGTGTCTTCTCCAACGCGCACGCCTACCACATAAACTCCATCTCCTGCAACAGGTCAGTGTGTTGTTGTTGCTGCTGCAACATGTTAGCTATATTCTCTTGCAACGACTCAGTCAGCTGCTGCTACTGCTGCTTACAAGCGGAATCCCTATTGCCGCATAGCATTGCCTGTGTGGGCTATTACCCCTCGCAAGCGCTGCACTTTTTCTCGTTTCCCTTGCCTCCATCACATTCCCCTCCCCTCTTCACCCTCACAACCCCTCTCAATTCCCTTTCGTCTCTCCCCTACCCTCTCTCCCCTACCCTCTCTCCCCTGCCCTCCCCTGCCCTCTCTTTTTCCCCCCTGCAGCGATCGTGAGACGTTCATATCAGCGGACGACCTGAGGGTGAACCTGTGGAACCTCGAGAACAACTCGCAGAGCTTCAACGTGGTGGATATCAAACCCGCTAACATGGAGGACCTCACAGGTGAGGAATGTGGTGCAAGTGGTGCAGCTGGTACATGCTTATGAGTGTGCATGCAAGTAGATCCGTACGAGTGTGCGTGCACAGCTCTATGACGCATAGAGCTGTGCAACGTGGTGGATATCAAACCCGCCAACATGGAGGACCTCACAGGTGTGGAAGTGGTGAGGGTGATGCAGGTGGGTGATGTGGTGCAAGTGAATTGCTTTAAGGGTGCGTGTAAGTAGAAGTGAATGAGTGTGCGTGCACGGCTGTGCAACTCACAGAGCTTCCACGTGGTGGACATCAAGCCTGCTAATATGGAGGACCTCACAGGTGGGTAATTGCATGCAAGTAGATCCGTACGAGTGTGCGTGCACAGCTCTATGACGCATAGAGCTGTGCAACGTGGTGGATATCAAACCCGCCAACATGGAGGACCTCACAGGTGGGTGGTGGGGACGTGGCGAGTTGCTACAGGTTGGTGATGTGGTGCAAGTGGGATCCCGTTGGTCTGTTTGTGTCCGTTTACCTCTGCTGTGCTGCCCAACCCTTGTCTACTCCCCCTCTCCTCCTCTCCCGCACCTCCTCTCCACCCCCCACCCCTCCTCCCTCCTCTCTTCCTCCTCTACCCCCCGTCCCTCAACACCTCCCATCCCACCCCCCCCTTTGCCTCCACCTCACCCCCATCCCCACTCCTCTCCCGCCATCCCCCCTTCTTCCCCACTGTCAACCAGAGGTGATAACATGCGCGGAGTTCCACCTATCGCACTGCCACTCGCTCAATGAGCGACCGCTTCTCTCTTCCCCTCTTCCCCTTCCGCCCTCCCATCCCCTACCCATCCTGCCACCAGAGGTGATAACATGCGCGGAGTTCCACCCATCGCACTGCCACTCGCTCGCCTACTCCACCTCCAAGGGCACCATCCGCCTCATCGACATGCGCCAGTCCGCCCTCTGCGACCAACACTCCAAGCTGTGAGTGTGCATGCATTCCCTGTGTGGAGTGCTCTCTGCCACGCCCTTATTGCCACCATCCGCCTCATTGACATGCGCCAGTCCGCTCTCTGCGACCAACACTCCAAGCTGCGAGCCTTGCTGTCTCGCGCCCGTATTGATTGCAATGCATGCGCTGCTGGTAAGGTGTACTCTGCGCTATGCCCCTCATGCCACCATCCACCTCATTGGCACGCTCCAGTCCCCGCTCCAACCTGTCTGCTACGCTTTGTTTGGGACTCTTCCTCTCTTATTCTCTCTCTTCCGCCGCTTCTTCCCCTTTGTCTTCCTGCTTCCTCCCTCTCTTCCTCCCTCTCTTCCTTCCTCTCTTCCTCTCTCTCTCTTCCTCCCTTTCTTCCTCCCTTACTTCCTCCCTCTCTCCCTTTCTTCCTCCCTCTCTCCCTTTCGTCCTCCTCTTCTCACCCCCTCACAGCTTTGAGGAGCAGGAGCCTCCCGGCAACCGCTCTTTCTTTTCGGAGATCATTGCATCCATCAGCGATGTCAAGTTCTCGCATGATGGCCGCTACATCTTCAGCCGCGATTACATGACCGTCAAGGTATGCCAACGGCGTGAATGGGACATGGACAATGATGGTGTGCCACTGCATAAGTGCAGCACAAAAAAGGAAGAGGGAAGCACGGGTAAAGACAGTGTTTCACGAATATAGCATGCATTTTCTTTTTCCCTTTCCATATTCAATCAGTTCCACCCTTCACATCTGAACAGCTAATGAAGCGGTGTGAGCATCAAAGCTTCCCTCTTTTGCACCTCTGCCTTTGTTCCTCCTCCCTCCCCTCCCCCCCTCTCCCCTATTCCTCCCTTCCCCTCCCGCCCTCTTCCCCCCCTTTCCCCAATCCCCCCCCGGCAGCTGTGGGATATTCACATGGAAGCGCAACCATTGGGAACATTCAAAGTGCATGAGTTCCTGCGACCCAAGGTGACCACATCACCACACCACACCTCACCACACCACACCACACCACACCACACCACACCTTACCTGACCTCACCACACCACACCACACCACACCACGTGCCCCTCCTTGTTCAGTCATTGTGCTGTCCCCTTCTTCCTAATTTACCCTCCACTTGCCTTCTCGCTTTAACTTCTTTTCTCGTCCACTCCACATACCCGACCCCCCAACCCCCCCTCCCTCGGGCTCCCCCCATATCTCCCTCGTTTTTTGTAAGGTTAGCATAATCAGCCTTTCTTCCGTAGATGTCCGCTTTCCCTTCATTCCCAGCACTGCACCTTCATGTTTTTGTCCATTTCCGCTGCTGCACTATCATATGCCTCCTCACCCCGGACTCTCCTCCTCTTTCCCCCTCTCTCATGCTTCACCTGTACGAGAACAAATGCGTATGTGACAAGTTTGAATGCATAATCCAACTCGTCACCCCCATCATTTACCCCACCTGCCACACTCCCCTGTGCCCCCCCACCCAAACCATTTCTCGCTCTCTCTGCCACTTTATCAGCTGTGCGACCTGTATGAGAGCGACTGCACATTTGACAAGTTTGAGTGCATCTTCTCACTTCTCCCCTTCCCCTTCCTACGCTTCCCACTCCCCACACCCCCCCCGCTTCCCCACACCCCCCGCAACCCTTCCTCAATAACACATCAGCTGTGCGACCTGTACGAGAACGACTGCATATTTGACAAGTTTGAGTGCACGCCCAGTGGGGATGGGCTGCGATGCGCCTCCGGCTCCTACAGGTGAGGCTGTAGGCCTGCACAGGTGAGTACCGCGCTCGTACAGGAGCTGACAAGCAACACAAGCATACAACATACAAGATTCTTGTCTGCCATGCCATCCCCTTTGTTCCCCACCCTCTTTGGCGCCCCTAACATGCGTGTCTATCTCGCTCGCTCCCTCCCCCCACCCCTCATCCACCCACCCACCCATCCGCCCCCCTCTCCTCCTCCCCAACCTTGCAGCAATCTGTTCCGGGTGTTTGGAGTGGTGCCGGGGAGTGAGGAGGCCTCGCTTCTGGAGTCCTCCAAAACACCAAACAGGTGCGCTCCCCTTTCTCCCTCCCCCTCTATTCCACATATCTTCCCCCCACTTCTCTCTCCTGCACACCTGCCCCCCAACCCCCACACCCCCGTCCCCTGCACACTTCTCCCTTACCATCTGAACCTCCTATGCAGTTGTGTTGCTTTGCTGGAATTTTTCAGTTTGATACGAGCTTTACACAGTTTGCTACATCTCTACGCTGACCCCTACATCTGGGGCATTTATCAAACCCCCCTCCTCTCTCCGCACTCATGGTGATGTGTCATATGGCATGGGTGATGGCATGGGTGACGGTATGGGTGATGGCATGGGTGATGGCATGGCTGTTTGATGCGTGATCACATCCTTGCTAGCATCGGCACCTGGGCACTCACGTGTTTGGAGTTGGGTGGCACCGTATGGCATAACGTGCAATTGTGATCTTGTGACATGGCATGGAATGGCTCTGGGTCATTCTTATATGGTATGGCATGGCATGACATGGTACGGTATGGCATGGCATGACATGGTATGGTATGGGATGGCATGGCATGGCATGCTATGAGCAGGCGCATGGTGCAGACACCGGCCAAGGGAGGGGGAAGGGCAGGGGCACGCGGCCGGAGGGATGCAAGAAGAGGTGCGTAGAGGATGATATACTCCTTCACCACCTCATTTTTCTGGATTGATCAATTTATACACATGCTTCTTGTTTCTTTTTCAAGCCCTTCTGCCATCTTGTCTCCCTTGGCCCACCAAATTCCACGCACCCCTTTCCTCACCGTAGCTTCTTGTTGCTCACCTTGCCTTCTCAAGCCTTTTCTTGTTGTTCTTTTCTTCCGCGTGGTTCTGGCAGAAGCTGTGGATGCCATGGATCCGAACGGCATGCAGCATGACTTCTCCTCAAAGCTGTTGCACCTTGCATGGCATCCCAAGGCCAACCTCATTGCCTGTGCCGCCTCCAACTCCCTCTACATGTATTATGCTTGACCAACATGGCTCTCCGATCTCCCTGTGCATCAGGACTTGTTTTTCTTACTGGTTTTTCTTCTGAAATCGAACATAGCTAGATTGAGAACTTCACAATGAAAAGCTGATAAAGTGCCTAACCTTTAAACGTGTTTGCAATTGAAGTGTATGTTTCCGAAATAACTGGCTTGATTGAGATTCGAAGCGTTTCTACACACGGAAAAGCCGAACTGTAGTTGACTTCCAGATGCTACATGCGCCGCATTTGGCGCTGAGCTTCTGTCTGTCTCTTGCACGTCCATTCTTCCCCTGCCTTTTCCTGCAATTGGGGAAACCGACACTCTCGCATCGCGCAGCCATCCCGAACCCGCGATCCGGCGAATTTCACTCGACATGTGTTCGCGTGCTGCTGGTCTCGATAGAATTTCGCCCCCAACATCCATCCATAGCCCCTCCTCTACCTAGTCATGTTTCGAAAAGCAAAGCTGCTGCCGACTGCCCAGGCAAGGCGCATGACAGCTAGTGTGTTCTCCAGTTGCTTCTTCACCTCCGACCTGCAGCATCGGCGCCCATATACCAACCACCTCCATGCGCGATGCAAGTAACGAAATGTATAGAGTGGCTGATCTTCCAAATCTTCCTCGCATACGGATGGCCCGCTGAGATTTCTCAATATTTTCCTGTTAGTCCAATTCCGTCACTTCGCACTTACAGCGAGTTTCGCGCCGCCAAAGCATCCATGCCCAGCAGTCCAGCTCGATCTGGCGGTCAGGAACGGCTTGCTTTCCCGCTAGTGATTAGGAGCTCCTTTTCCCCTATTACCCAACTAGGCATGCTCAGAAAGATATCCTCTAGTTCATAGTGCCTGCGTTGATGTTGCCTTATCGTAGAGTGCCGCGCTTCGCCTCAGCAGCCACCAACGGGTGTTCTACGTGATGCTAGAGTGCGCATATGAAGTCTCGGAGTGTACCGCTAATGCCTCTCAGCTTCTAGCGGTGATGCGTCAAGTTTTGAGTCGACTCAACGTAACGCTAATGCCACGGAGCTTGGCGCTGATCCGGCGAGTGTCGCTATAGAGATTCGGGCTTCCTAAGTGCACCTTGTCACATGCGCTCGATCGTCCGTCACACCGTGCGCGCAGATGCCTGCGCCATGCGCGGTTGTTATCAGCCGTCGCGGCGCGCATTGCCGTGTGACGCGCGGATATCGCAGCCAATCGGCGCTCTTGCTGGCGATGCTGTTGCTGTCCTTTGCCGCGCTCTCCGCCGGATTCACTGATTTTGTTCGCCGACCCGGCCCCGCCCCGCCCCCCTTTTCCCCTCCCCCTCGTCCCCCTTCTCCTCCTCCCCGGCCCCCTCCCCCTCCCAGTCCTCCCCCGCCTCCTCCGCGCCCTCCGCCTTCTCCGCCTCCTTCTCCGCCCCCGAATCCTCCCCCTCCGTCTCCCCCTCCCAGACCTCCCCCCAGCCCTCCGCCCAAACCACCGCCTCCTCCGCCATCTCCCCCTCGGCCCCCGCCACCCCCGCGCCCTCCACCACAACCTCCGCCTTCTCCCCCTCCTTCCCCACCCCCGAAACCTCCCCCTTCCCCTCCTCCGTCTCCCAAACCCCCTTCTCAGTCCCCCAGATCCCCCCCTCCGCGCCTCCCAGAGTTTCCGCCGCCCTCTCTTCCCCCGTCTGATGGTCCCCCGACGCCCACGTTGAAGCCGGAGGGGGAGATTTACCGCGTGTGTGCCGTTGCAGGTAGGCCGGAGGCGGGATGTAAAAAGGGGAGACGTAATGTGACAGGTTTGGAACGAGTTGTGGCAGGGGGAGAGGGACTGGTGCAGAGTGGAAGGGGGATTCTGGAGGGATGTAGTAGGTGGAGATGTGCTGTAGATAGAGAGGGGGGAAAGGCTAATTTGCTTCTCAGATTCATAAGGGCCACGAATGGTATGTACTACTAGTAGTAAGAGGAAAGTCGGAGTGCGCAAGGGTGACTACTCATAGGATCCAGCCGAGACGGATCATGAGGCGCGTCTTTCAAAGGTTTGAGAATGCTCTCTTGTTTTGAATTCTCAATGCAGGCCGATCCCCATTCTCACCCTCTCCCAACCACAGGACCAGCAGTTGTAACGGTCTCAAGCACGCCTCTCGGGCAAACCTGGCGAGGCTGGGGCACGTCGCTAGGCTGGTTCGCGAACTACATAGGCCGGTTACCCGCCGCCGATCTCAACACACTCTTAGACCTGCTATTTCACCCGACGCGCGGCCTCGGTCTTAATATGGTTAGGCATTTAATCGGCGCGGGCTTTAATCCCTCACGCTCGCCTCAAATGACGTCTTTAGGACCGCCGTTCGACGCGCGCCCGATGCCAGGGTATAAACCGAAGGCGGCAGGACCATACGATTGGGCAGCTGACTGGCGGCAGCGGCGCGTGCTGATTGGTGCGCTGGCACGCGGAGTTGATTCGGTAGAAGCAGTAGCTTATTCGCCTCCGTGGTGGATGACTATTAGCGGGGATGTGTCAGGCGGCCACGCCAACACCAACAACTTACGACCGAGATATTACGAGGCGTTTGCGGATTATCTAGCCACGATAGTGGAGAAGTTTAGGAACGCGTGGAACGTTACTTTCGTGGCGATTAGTCCGACTAACGAGCCGCTAGAGGGATGGTGGGAGCAAGGGGGAATACAGGAGGGGTGTAACTTCGACGCCACTGGGTTACAAAAACTGATTCCGTTAGTTGTGCGAGCTCTCAATAAGCGAGACCTGGTAACCCGAGTGGCGGGATTCGACAGTCTAGTAGACTCCACGATTCGTTACAAGCGGTTTTGGAGTGCTGCTAAGCAGCAATCGCTACAGCCGTTGAGGCATCTTAGCGTTCACGGGTATGTATTCCCGAGAGGAAACTCGACAGGAATTTACAGCCCTAGAGTTTATGTCGAGCAAATGTTTGGACAAATGCGTGAGGTGGCTAGGGGCCTACAGAAGGAGGTTTGGGTTACCGAAGCTGGGCCTCTTTTCATGAAGGGGGGAGCGGACATTGATATTGCCGTGCACATGGCACGGACCATCATCCAATCAGTGAATATCATGGGCGCATCCGCTTGGATTTTCTGGCAAGCAGTGGGAAACACTCGTACATGGGCCTTTCTTATTATTCCTATGGTTGGGATCAAAAGTGCGGAGCTTCCACCTTTCTCGGTGGACTATTCGAAGAAGTATTTTGTAATGAAGCAGCTTGTACAGGGGGCGCCCAAGGGGAGCAAGCCGTTACAGGTTACCACTGCGCAGGGGTGTCATCATTGTGTGGCTGCATTCTACTCTGCCGCCCGGCGCCAGCTGGCGGTGTTTGTGGCCAATCAAGACGGGGACGATTATCCCATGTCATTGGCCATTGATTCTTTCGCAGCAGAGAATTCTGCTGCTCCTGTACAAGTCAAGATGTACAGGACAGCTTATAACGAGGATATGGAGCCCACGTTTGCCCAGGCATATGATTCAATGCCGAAGAGTATTAGAGTGGTGGCTCGCTCCCTGAGTTTCACATCTGTGCTGCTGTCAAACATTGTGCCCAGATAATTCTATGTGGCCACCTTCTGTTCATTCTATGTGTTGCAGTGAGTCGGCTATGAGTGCATTCATGGCTGTCTGGGAAGGGAGAGGGAGGAGAGCTGCGGTGAGGAGAGGGGAGGTGGGGAGAGGAGAGAAGCGGATATGAGTGGAGAGGAGAGGAGGGGAGAGGAGAGAGGAGAGGAGAGGAGAGGAGAGGAGAGGAGAGGAGAGGAGAGGAAGGGAGTTGGGGATAGAAGCGAAGATGCAAGGAGAAGAGAGGAAGAGAGGATAGAAGAGGAGATGTGGGGAGTGCCAGAGCTAGTACCATACGGAAACCCGTGCCCCATCAATATGTCAAATCATAGTACGGTACGGTACACTTATGCAGGATAACATGGTAGCCTATTGTCCTGGCATACCTTTCGCATTATCATTCATTTCTTTCATTGTTAAAGTTTACATTTCCAGTCTACGCCGGTAATACTGCAGAACAACACAACAGTCGAACTGACCTGCAGTGGGTGCGTAACTTCCATGACTCGCCTTATAACGGAGACGACACTGGGCCCCTCCTGAAATTTCGCCCCGCGATTTCTTTGGCTTTCGGCACCTCAGTCTACTTCGCGCCAATCCAGCGCGCGTTAGTTAGGTCTGGTTTGACATGCGGTGATTAATTAGGCTCGACGTCTCAATAGAGACGGTAATTACTAATTTCACCAACCAACTAATCCTGGCGACAGCGTATAACGGCAGCAGCCAATCGAGCCTGGTCCAATCCGATGGCGGACATTTCTCGTCAGCCTGACTCCGCAGCTCAGCCGTTGGATCCCGTCCTCGTGGAGAGAGCGCTCTTCTTCCGGCCAGAGGAGCGGGGGAAAGCGGAGATTGCGGAAGGCGCAAAAACCGCTGCGGAGCACCTGCAGCAACAGCAGGGGCAGCAAGGCGCGCAGAATTACCCTTCAGATGCGCGTGACGTGGCGCATAGGGACGGTGCATGGTCATTTCGTTTGACTCACAGCAGTGACGCGGGTAGAACAACCGAGGAGGCTGAGCGGGGAGGCACGGGAGCGGATTTAGGCGTGCAATTGAGATTAATCAACGTGAGGCCGACCAGGAGCAGAAGCACCCCCCGTACTAGCTGGGAGCGGCATGAGCGCTCAAACCTCGACTCGTCGTCTTTCCTGGACAGCGCGTCCCCGTTTGGAGCCGCTTCGGTAGCAGCAACGGAGCCTGGAGACTCGCTGGCCGTGTACCGACGAGCGGTGGCTAAACTGGTGGCGTTTGGGTTTAACGGCAAGGAGATTAACGACCATGCGCGCCGCCTCATCGCCATGGGTGAGGAATTAAAGCCCCTCACTCATGATTTTTAACGCGCTACAGCCTCTCACTCTCCAACCCACTCACTCTCTCCCTTCCAGTCACCCTCTCACTCCTCACCCCCTCCCACACCCTCCTCTCACTCACCCTCTCTTCCAGGTGCGGGCGGCGTAGTTCTCTTCTCCAACCCCCGCCAGCTCGCACACCGACATGCTCTCTCACTCTCTCACTCTCAACTTCCCACCCACTCCCTCACACCCTCCCACGCACACACTCAGTACCTCACACCCTCGCACCCACCGTCCAGGTGCGGGTGGTGTCGTTCTCTTCTCCCGAAACTTCTTAGACCCCCGCCAGCTCGCCTCTCTCTGCGCCGCACTCACTCACTCACTCACTCACTCACTCACTCACTCACTCACTCACTCTCCACCTCTCTGCACATCTCACCCTCTGCCTCGTCCAGGTGCAGGCGGCGTCGTTCTCTTCTCTCGAAACTTCTCAGACCCCCGCCAGCTGGCCTCCCTCTGCGCCGATCTCAAGCGGGCGGCGTTCCCTCGGCGTCTTCTCATCATGGTGGACCAGGAGGGCGGCAGAGTCACGCGCCTCGGCCCGCCCTTCACCTGCATCCCCGCCGCCCGCACCATCGGCTTTTCCCGAAACCCTAATCTTGCCCGGGCTGCTGGGCGCGTTTTAGGCCGCGAGTTAAGATCAGTGCATATAGATATCGACTTAGCTCCTGTGTTAGATGTGGATACTAACCCTGACAATCCAGTTATAGGAGCCCGGTCGTTTAGTCGGGATCCGGGTGTTGTTTCCCAAATGGGGTACGAGCTTATAAGGGGTATGCAGGGGGAGGGGGTCGCAGCATGTGTGAAGCACTACCCGGGGCACGGGGATACATTGGTGGATAGCCACCTGGCGCTTCCTTATTCGTCGCACGATCTGAGCCGTCTGGAATCTGTGGAGCTGGTGCCGTTTGCGCGGGCGGCAGTGGATGCTGACGTGGCAGCGGTGATGGTCGCGCACGTGGCAGTGCCTGCACTTACCACGTGGCAGCCTCCTCCTTCTATGGAATATCTCCCAGAGAGTGTGAAACGTGTCATCAGTCCACGGTGGGAGCTGTTTTCCCCCTACAGGAGGCGGAAGCAGTGGGACGAGGCGAGGAGAGAAGCAGAAGCAACCTTGGGATTGTCGCGATCCCTCTCTGAATCTGACCTGAGGGCTTCTAACAATGCTGGTAGTGGAAGGAGGAACAATGACAGCAGCAGAAGCAGCAGTAACAGTAGGGTTACCACCAGCACTGACACAGTAAAATCCCACACATCACCATCAACCACGCAACAGCAGGCACACCAGCAGCAGCCTACCCCTCCCACCAACCACCCTGGCCCTTCCCCCAACCCCTCCCCACTGACCGCCTTCGGCTCTTCTCTCCCTGCTACTCTTTCTCCCGGCGCCCTCTCTTACCTTCGCATGGAGATTGGTTTCGAAGGCGCCGTGTTATCGGATTGCCTCGAAATGGGGGCGATAGTGAAGCATGTGGGCGTGGGAGAGGCAGCAGTGCTGGCTGTAGCAGCAGGGGTGGATATAGTATTGGTTTGTCACACAGAGAGCAGGCAGGCAGAAGCTGTAGATGCCCTGGCGCACGCGCTACAGTCCGGGCGGCTCTCGGTGAAAAGATTTCGGGCAGCTTCCCGGGCAGTTGATGCGCTGGCGCGAACGTTTTGGCGGCCGCCCCCCCCGGAGGGGAGTGAGGTGGAGGAGAGGTATTGGGAGGAGGAACAGCGGGTGGTGGGGTGCAAGGAGCATAGAGAGGTAGTGGCTGAGATTGAACATGAGGCCTTGGCAAGGGGAGAAGGGGATGATTGGGAGGGGAATGAGAGGAAGGAGGGTGGTAGGAGATGTACCATATCGTAGCATTTGTAGCTTTTGCGAGGGTATATTATTGTAATGTTTTTTAGTTTATCTGAAGTTGCTGATCTGTGGTAGGTGGCTTTTGCAATGTGCTGATGGTGATGGTGCCAGCAGTGCTGGTGCTGGTAGTTTTGCAAGAACACACCAGGGGGAGAAGAATTTACAGGTTCATGGTCTTGTGGGGATTCCAATCTGCCTCCGAGGCTTTGAATTCAAGCGAAGAAGTGTGGAGCAGTGTCTAACAGCCAGCGATTGAAACATTTACACGTTAGTGGAAGAATGTACAGAATCATTGGTTACTCATGGTCTTGTGGGGATTCCTATCTGCCTCTGGGTGAAGAAGTGAGGGGCAGCGTCTAGCAGCCACTCTCTCTCAACTGCAGTCACGTCTCGCATGTACAGAAACGAGTCAGCTTGTGATGCAGTGCGGTACACTACCCACTGCGGCGCCACTCTGCAAGGAAGGTGCAGGGTTCAAAAAACGTTCATGGAGACAAAGGGAGGGGGAAGGGGGAGAGGAAGGGAGGATTGGATGGCGCTTGTGACGCAGTGCGGTACACCACCCACTGCGGCGCCACTCTGCAAAACAGGTGAATAATTCAATATACATGAGTGGGTAGGGATGCGGAAACAGAGGGGGAGACCACGGCACGGGAAGGCGAGTTGGCTGCTGCTGTTAGTACAGTTCTTAACAGTATGGCTAGGTGGAGGGAGGGGGAATGAAATTTGTCGGAGTGGTGGGGTGTGGGGAGTAAGTATAAGGGGGTTTGTCATACCTGAATAGGACGGAGGAAGGGTGAATCTTGAGATGCAGATTGCCCCTCACGGACTTGTATGTTGACCCGTCACCATCGGCCTGAAAGAGGAAGGGAAGGGATGAGAGGTGAGGGCGGGATGGGAAGCGGGATGGAAGGTGCATAAGACTAATGCATAACCATGTGCATAGACATAGACAAACCATGCACAGCCTCATGACTAGCACTCTTTGATTCATAACCACGTGCATAACGATGCCATAACCATGTGCATAACCATGTGCATAACCATGCACATAGCCATGTGCATCACCATACGCTGCACCGCCCGCTCATACGCTGCAGACCATACCATGAATATGTTTTTGAGTCGACTCAAAAGCTGGACACATAAATTGCAAAGCTTACCATGAGCTGAGCCGCATTCACGAAGAGAGACGCCGCTGCTGCCCGTTGTAGTAGCTGGTGGAATGGAGGAGAGGATAGTAGCAGGGAGAGTGGAGCAAAATATTGGTGGGGGGCGACAAGTCATAAGAGATGGCACCACTGCCCGCTGGAGCAGCTGGTGGAAGCAGGGGTGGTGCGGGGTTGGACGGAGTGTGGTGGGGATCAGGTTACCCATCAAGGTTCTCCATCAGGTTCGTCCCCATCAGGTTCGTCCCCATCAGGTTCGTCCCCATCAGGTTCGTCCCCATCAGGTTCGTCCCCATCAGGTTCGTCCCCATCAGGTTCGTCCCCATCAGGTTCCCCCCATCAGGTTCCTCCCCATCAGGTTCCTCCCCATCAGGTTCGTCCCCATCAGGTTCGTCCCCATCAGGTTCGTCCCCATCAAGGTTCTCCATCAGGTTCGTCCCCATCAGGTTCGTCCCCATCAGGTTCGTCCCCATCAGGTTCGTCCCCATCAGGTTCGTCCCCATCAGGTTCGTCCCCATCAGGTTCGTCCCCATCAGGTTCGTCCCCATCAGGTTCGTCCCCATCAGGTTCGTCCCCATCAGGTTCGTCCCCATCAGGTTCGTCCCCATCAGGTTCGTCCCCATCAGGTTCGTCCCCATCAGGTTCGTCCCCATCAGGTTCGTCCCCATCAGGTTCGTCCCCATCAGGTTCGTCCCCATCAGGTTCGTCCCCATCAGGTTCGTCCCCATCAGGTTCGTCCCCATCAGGTTCGTCCCCATCAGGTTCGTCCCCATCAGGTTCGTCCCCATCAGGTTCGTCCCCATCAGGTTCGTCCCCATCAGGTTCGTCCCCATCAGGTTCGTCCCCATCAGGTTCGTCCCCATCAGGTTCGTCCCCATCAGGTTCGTCCCCATCAGGTTCGTCCCCATCAGGTTCGTCCCCATCAGGTTCGTCCCCATCAGGTTCGTCCCCATCAGGTTCGTCCCCATCAGGTTCGTCCCCATCAGGTTCGTCCCCATCAGGTTCGTCCCCATCAGGTTCGTCCCCATCAGGTTCGTCCCCATCAGGTTCGTCCCCATCAGGTTCGTCCCCATCAGGTTCGTCCCCATCAGGTTCGTCCCCATCAGGTTCGTCCCCATCAGGTTCGTCCCCATCAGGTTCGTCCCCATCAGGTTCGTCCCCATCAGGTTCGTCCCCATCAGGTTCGTCCCCATCAGGTTCGTCCCCATCAGGTTCGTCCCCATCAGGTTCGTCCCCATCAGGTTCGTCCCCATCAGGTTCGTCCCCATCAGGTTCGTCCCCATCAGGTTCGTCCCCATCAGGTTCGTCCCCATCAGGTTCGTCCCCATCAGGTTCGTCCCCATCAGGTTCGTCCCCATCAGGTTCGTCCCCATCAGGTTCGTCCCCATCAGGTTCGTCCCCATCAGGTTCGTCCCCATCAGGTTCGTCCCCATCAGGTTCGTCCCCATCAGGTTCGTCCCCATCAGGTTCGTCCCCATCAGGTTCGTCCCCATCAGGTTCGTCCCCATCAGGTTCCCCCCATCAGGTTCCTCCCCATCAGGTTCCTCCCCATCAGGTTCCTCCCCATCAGGTTCCTCCCCATCAGGTTCGTCCCCATCAGGTTCGTCCCCATCAGGTTCGTCCCCATCAGGTTCGTCCCCATCAGGTTCGTCCCCATCAGGTTCGTCCCCATCAGGTTCGTCCCCATCAGGTTCGTCCCCATCAGGTTCGTCCCCATCAGGTTCGTCCCCATCAGGTTCGTCCCCATCAGGTTCGTCCCCATCAGGTTCGTCCCCATCAGGTTCGTCCCCATCAGGTTCGTCCCCATCAGGTTCGTCCCCATCAGGTTCGTCCCCATCAGGTTCGTCCCCATCAGGTTCGTCCCCATCAGGTTCGTCCCCATCAGGTTCGTCCCCATCAGGTTCGTCCCCATCAGGTTCGTCCCCATCAGGTTCGTCCCCATCAGGTTCGTCCCCATCAGGTTCGTCCCCATCAGGTTCGTCCCCATCAGGTTCGTCCCCATCAGGTTCGTCCCCATCAGGTTCGTCCCCATCAGGTTCGTCCCCATCAGGTTCGTCCCCATCAGGTTCGTCCCCATCAGGTTCGTCCCCATCAGGTTCGTCCCCATCAGGTTCGTCCCCATCAGGTTCGTCCCCATCAGGTTCGTCCCCATCAGGTTCGTCCCCATCAGGTTCGTCCCCATCAGGTTCGTCCCCATCAGGTTCGTCCCCATCAGGTTCGTCCCCATCAGGTTCGTCCCCATCAGGTTCGTCCCCATCAGGTTCGTCCCCATCAGGTTCGTCCCCATCAGGTTCGTCCCCATCAGGTTCGTCCCCATCAGGTTCGTCCCCATCAGGTTCGTCCCCATCAGGTTCGTCCCCATCAGGTTCGTCCCCATCAGGTTCGTCCCCATCAGGTTCGTCCCCATCAGGTTCGTCCCCATCAGGTTCGTCCCCATCAGGTTCGTCCCCATCAGGTTCGTCCCCATCAGGTTCGTCCCCATCAGGTTCGTCCCCATCAGGTTCGTCCCCATCAGGTTCGTCCCCATCAGGTTCGTCCCCATCAGGTTCGTCCCCATCAGGTTCGTCCCCATCAGGTTCCCCCCATCAGGTTCCTCCCCATCAGGTTCGTCCCCATCAGGTTCGTCCCCATCAGGTTCGTCCCCATCAGGTTCGTCCCCATCAGGTTCGTCCCCATCAGGTTCGTCCCCATCAGGTTCGTCCCCATCAGGTTCGTCCCCATCAGGTTCGTCCCCATCAGGTTCGTCCCCATCAGGTTCGTCCCCATCAGGTTCGTCCCCATCAGGTTCGTCCCCATCAGGTTCGTCCCCATCAGGTTCGTCCCCATCAGGTTCGTCCCCATCAGGTTCGTCCCCATCAGGTTCGTCCCCATCAGGTTCGTCCCCATCAGGTTCGTCCCCATCAGGTTCGTCCCCATCAGGTTCGTCCCCATCAGGTTCGTCCCCATCAGGTTCGTCCCCATCAGGTTCGTCCCCATCAGGTTCGTCCCCATCAGGTTCGTCCCCATCAGGTTCGTCCCCATCAGGTTCGTCCCCATCAGGTTCGTCCCCATCAGGTTCGTCCCCATCAGGTTCGTCCCCATCAGGTTCGTCCCCATCAGGTTCGTCCCCATCAGGTTCGTCCCCATCAGGTTCGTCCCCATCAGGTTCGTCCCCATCAGGTTCGTCCCCATCAGGTTCGTCCCCATCAGGTTCGTCCCCATCAGGTTCGTCCCCATCAGGTTCGTCCCCATCAGGTTCGTCCCCATCAGGTTCGTCCCCATCAGGTTCGTCCCCATCAGGTTCGTCCCCATCAGGTTCGTCCCCATCAGGTTCGTCCCCATCAGGTTCGTCCCCATCAGGTTCGTCCCCATCAGGTTCGTCCCCATCAGGTTCGTCCCCATCAGGTTCGTCCCCATCAGGTTCGTCCCCATCAGGTTCGTCCCCATCAGGTTCGTCCCCATCAGGTTCGTCCCCATCAGGTTCGTCCCCATCAGGTTCGTCCCCATCAGGTTCGTCCCCATCAGGTTCGTCCCCATCAGGTTCGTCCCCATCAGGTTCGTCCCCATCAGGTTCGTCCCCATCAGGTTCGTCCCCATCAGGTTCGTCCCCATCAGGTTCGTCCCCATCAGGTTCGTCCCCATCAGGTTCGTCCCCATCAGGTTCGTCCCCATCAGGTTCGTCCCCATCAGGTTCGTCCCCATCAGGTTCGTCCCCATCAGGTTCGTCCCCATCAGGTTCGTCCCCATCAGGTTCGTCCCCATCAGGTTCGTCCCCATCAGGTTCGTCCCCATCAGGTTCGTCCCCATCAGGTTCGTCCCCATCAGGTTCGTCCCCATCAGGTTCGTCCCCATCAGGTTCGTCCCCATCAGGTTCGTCCCCATCAGGTTCGTCCCCATCAGGTTCGTCCCCATCAGGTTCGTCCCCATCAGGTTCGTCCCCATCAGGTTCGTCCCCATCAGGTTCGTCCCCATCAGGTTCGTCCCCATCAGGTTCGTCCCCATCAGGTTCGTCCCCATCAGGTTCGTCCCCATCAGGTTCGTCCCCATCAGGTTCGTCCCCATCAGGTTCGTCCCCATCAGGTTCGTCCCCATCAGGTTCGTCCCCATCAGGTTCGTCCCCATCAGGTTCGTCCCCATCAGGTTCGTCCCCATCAGGTTCGTCCCCATCAGGTTCGTCCCCATCAGGTTCGTCCCCATCAGGTTCGTCCCCATCAGGTTCGTCCCCATCAGGTTCGTCCCCATCAGGTTCGTCCCCATCAGGTTCGTCCCCATCAGGTTCGTCCCCATCAGGTTCGTCCCCATCAGGTTCGTCCCCATCAGGTTCGTCCCCATCAGGTTCGTCCCCATCAGGTTCGTCCCCATCAGGTTCGTCCCCATCAGGTTCGTCCCCATCAGGTTCGTCCCCATCAGGTTCGTCCCCATCAGGTTCGTCCCCATCAGGTTCGTCCCCATCAGGTTCGTCCCCATCAGGTTCGTCCCCATCAGGTTCGTCCCCATCAGGTTCGTCCCCATCAGGTTCGTCCCCATCAGGTTCGTCCCCATCAGGTTCGTCCCCATCAGGTTCGTCCCCATCAGGTTCGTCCCCATCAGGTTCGTCCCCATCAGGTTCGTCCCCATCAGGTTCGTCCCCATCAGGTTCGTCCCCATCAGGTTCGTCCCCATCAGGTTCGTCCCCATCAGGTTCGTCCCCATCAGGTTCGTCCCCATCAGGTTCGTCCCCATCAGGTTCGTCCCCATCAGGTTCGTCCCCATCAGGTTCGTCCCCATCAGGTTCGTCCCCATCAGGTTCGTCCCCATCAGGTTCGTCCCCATCAGGTTCGTCCCCATCAGGTTCGTCCCCATCAGGTTCGTCCCCATCAGGTTCGTCCCCATCAGGTTCGTCCCCATCAGGTTCGTCCCCATCAGGTTCGTCCCCATCAGGTTCGTCCCCATCAGGTTCGTCCCCATCAGGTTCGTCCCCATCAGGTTCGTCCCCATCAGGTTCGTCCCCATCAGGTTCGTCCCCATCAGGTTCGTCCCCATCAGGTTCGTCCCCATCAGGTTCGTCCCCATCAGGTTCGTCCCCATCAGGTTCGTCCCCATCAGGTTCGTCCCCATCAGGTTCGTCCCCATCAGGTTCGTCCCCATCAGGTTCGTCCCCATCAGGTTCGTCCCCATCAGGTTCGTCCCCATCAGGTTCGTCCCCATCAGGTTCGTCCCCATCAGGTTCGTCCCCATCAGGTTCGTCCCCATCAGGTTCGTCCCCATCAGGTTCGTCCCCATCAGGTTCGTCCCCATCAGGTTCGTCCCCATCAGGTTCGTCCCCATCAGGTTCGTCCCCATCAGGTTCGTCCCCATCAGGTTCGTCCCCATCAGGTTCGTCCCCATCAGGTTCGTCCCCATCAGGTTCGTCCCCATCAGGTTCGTCCCCATCAGGTTCGTCCCCATCAGGTTCGTCCCCATCAGGTTCGTCCCCATCAGGTTCGTCCCCATCAGGTTCGTCCCCATCAGGTTCGTCCCCATCAGGTTCGTCCCCATCAGGTTCGTCCCCATCAGGTTCGTCCCCATCAGGTTCGTCCCCATCAGGTTCGTCCCCATCAGGTTCGTCCCCATCAGGTTCGTCCCCATCAGGTTCGTCCCCATCAGGTTCGTCCCCATCAGGTTCGTCCCCATCAGGTTCGTCCCCATCAGGTTCGTCCCCATCAGGTTCGTCCCCATCAGGTTCGTCCCCATCAGGTTCGTCCCCATCAGGTTCGTCCCCATCAGGTTCGTCCCCATCAGGTTCGTCCCCATCAGGTTCGTCCCCATCAGGTTCGTCCCCATCAGGTTCGTCCCCATCAGGTTCGTCCCCATCAGGTTCGTCCCCATCAGGTTCGTCCCCATCAGGTTCGTCCCCATCAGGTTCGTCCCCATCAGGTTCGTCCCCATCAGGTTCGTCCCCATCAGGTTCGTCCCCATCAGGTTCGTCCCCATCAGGTTCGTCCCCATCAGGTTCGTCCCCATCAGGTTCGTCCCCATCAGGTTCGTCCCCATCAGGTTCGTCCCCATCAGGTTCGTCCCCATCAGGTTCGTCCCCATCAGGTTCGTCCCCATCAGGTTCGTCCCCATCAGGTTCGTCCCCATCAGGTTCGTCCCCATCAGGTTCGTCCCCATCAGGTTCGTCCCCATCAGGTTCGTCCCCATCAGGTTCGTCCCCATCAGGTTCGTCCCCATCAGGTTCGTCCCCATCAGGTTCGTCCCCATCAGGTTCGTCCCCATCAGGTTCGTCCCCATCAGGTTCGTCCCCATCAGGTTCGTCCCCATCAGGTTCGTCCCCATCAGGTTCGTCCCCATCAGGTTCGTCCCCATCAGGTTCGTCCCCATCAGGTTCGTCCCCATCAGGTTCGTCCCCATCAGGTTCGTCCCCATCAGGTTCGTCCCCATCAGGTTCGTCCCCATCAGGTTCGTCCCCATCAGGTTCGTCCCCATCAGGTTCGTCCCCATCAGGTTCGTCCCCATCAGGTTCGTCCCCATCAGGTTCGTCCCCATCAGGTTCGTCCCCATCAGGTTCGTCCCCATCAGGTTCGTCCCCATCAGGTTCGTCCCCATCAGGTTCGTCCCCATCAGGTTCGTCCCCATCAGGTTCGTCCCCATCAGGTTCGTCCCCATCAGGTTCGTCCCCATCAGGTTCGTCCCCATCAGGTTCGTCCCCATCAGGTTCGTCCCCATCAGGTTCGTCCCCATCAGGTTCGTCCCCATCAGGTTCGTCCCCATCAGGTTCGTCCCCATCAGGTTCGTCCCCATCAGGTTCGTCCCCATCAGGTTCGTCCCCATCAGGTTCGTCCCCATCAGGTTCGTCCCCATCAGGTTCGTCCCCATCAGGTTCGTCCCCATCAGGTTCGTCCCCATCAGGTTCGTCCCCATCAGGTTCGTCCCCATCAGGTTCGTCCCCATCAGGTTCGTCCCCATCAGGTTCGTCCCCATCAGGTTCGTCCCCATCAGGTTCGTCCCCATCAGGTTCGTCCCCATCAGGTTCGTCCCCATCAGGTTCGTCCCCATCAGGTTCGTCCCCATCAGGTTCGTCCCCATCAGGTTCGTCCCCATCAGGTTCGTCCCCATCAGGTTCGTCCCCATCAGGTTCGTCCCCATCAGGTTCGTCCCCATCAGGTTCGTCCCCATCAGGTTCGTCCCCATCAGGTTCGTCCCCATCAGGTTCGTCCCCATCAGGTTCGTCCCCATCAGGTTCGTCCCCATCAGGTTCGTCCCCATCAGGTTCGTCCCCATCAGGTTCGTCCCCATCAGGTTCGTCCCCATCAGGTTCGTCCCCATCAGGTTCGTCCCCATCAGGTTCGTCCCCATCAGGTTCGTCCCCATCAGGTTCGTCCCCATCAGGTTCGTCCCCATCAGGTTCGTCCCCATCAGGTTCGTCCCCATCAGGTTCGTCCCCATCAGGTTCGTCCCCATCAGGTTCGTCCCCATCAGGTTCGTCCCCATCAGGTTCGTCCCCATCAGGTTCGTCCCCATCAGGTTCGTCCCCATCAGGTTCGTCCCCATCAGGTTCGTCCCCATCAGGTTCGTCCCCATCAGGTTCGTCCCCATCAGGTTCGTCCCCATCAGGTTCGTCCCCATCAGGTTCGTCCCCATCAGGTTCGTCCCCATCAGGTTCGTCCCCATCAGGTTCGTCCCCATCAGGTTCGTCCCCATCAGGTTCGTCCCCATCAGGTTCGTCCCCATCAGGTTCGTCCCCATCAGGTTCGTCCCCATCAGGTTCGTCCCCATCAGGTTCGTCCCCATCAGGTTCGTCCCCATCAGGTTCGTCCCCATCAGGTTCGTCCCCATCAGGTTCGTCCCCATCAGGTTCGTCCCCATCAGGTTCGTCCCCATCAGGTTCGTCCCCATCAGGTTCGTCCCCATCAGGTTCGTCCCCATCAGGTTCGTCCCCATCAGGTTCGTCCCCATCAGGTTCGTCCCCATCAGGTTCGTCCCCATCAGGTTCGTCCCCATCAGGTTCGTCCCCATCAGGTTCGTCCCCATCAGGTTCGTCCCCATCAGGTTCGTCCCCATCAGGTTCGTCCCCATCAGGTTCGTCCCCATCAGGTTCGTCCCCATCAGGTTCGTCCCCATCAGGTTCGTCCCCATCAGGTTCGTCCCCATCAGGTTCGTCCCCATCAGGTTCGTCCCCATCAGGTTCGTCCCCATCAGGTTCGTCCCCATCAGGTTCGTCCCCATCAGGTTCGTCCCCATCAGGTTCGTCCCCATCAGGTTCGTCCCCATCAGGTTCGTCCCCATCAGGTTCGTCCCCATCAGGTTCGTCCCCATCAGGTTCGTCCCCATCAGGTTCGTCCCCATCAGGTTCGTCCCCATCAGGTTCGTCCCCATCAGGTTCGTCCCCATCAGGTTCGTCCCCATCAGGTTCGTCCCCATCAGGTTCGTCCCCATCAGGTTCGTCCCCATCAGGTTCGTCCCCATCAGGTTCGTCCCCATCAGGTTCGTCCCCATCAGGTTCGTCCCCATCAGGTTCGTCCCCATCAGGTTCGTCCCCATCAGGTTCGTCCCCATCAGGTTCGTCCCCATCAGGTTCGTCCCCATCAGGTTCGTCCCCATCAGGTTCGTCCCCATCAGGTTCGTCCCCATCAGGTTCGTCCCCATCAGGTTCGTCCCCATCAGGTTCGTCCCCATCAGGTTCGTCCCCATCAGGTTCGTCCCCATCAGGTTCGTCCCCATCAGGTTCGTCCCCATCAGGTTCGTCCCCATCAGGTTCGTCCCCATCAGGTTCGTCCCCATCAGGTTCGTCCCCATCAGGTTCGTCCCCATCAGGTTCGTCCCCATCAGGTTCGTCCCCATCAGGTTCGTCCCCATCAGGTTCGTCCCCATCAGGTTCGTCCCCATCAGGTTCGTCCCCATCAGGTTCGTCCCCATCAGGTTCGTCCCCATCAGGTTCGTCCCCATCAGGTTCGTCCCCATCAGGTTCGTCCCCATCAGGTTCGTCCCCATCAGGTTCGTCCCCATCAGGTTCGTCCCCATCAGGTTCGTCCCCATCAGGTTCGTCCCCATCAGGTTCGTCCCCATCAGGTTCGTCCCCATCAGGTTCGTCCCCATCAGGTTCGTCCCCATCAGGTTCGTCCCCATCAGGTTCGTCCCCATCAGGTTCGTCCCCATCAGGTTCGTCCCCATCAGGTTCGTCCCCATCAGGTTCGTCCCCATCAGGTTCGTCCCCATCAGGTTCGTCCCCATCAGGTTCGTCCCCATCAGGTTCGTCCCCATCAGGTTCGTCCCCATCAGGTTCGTCCCCATCAGGTTCGTCCCCATCAGGTTCGTCCCCATCAGGTTCGTCCCCATCAGGTTCGTCCCCATCAGGTTCGTCCCCATCAGGTTCGTCCCCATCAGGTTCGTCCCCATCAGGTTCGTCCCCATCAGGTTCGTCCCCATCAGGTTCGTCCCCATCAGGTTCGTCCCCATCAGGTTCGTCCCCATCAGGTTCGTCCCCATCAGGTTCGTCCCCATCAGGTTCGTCCCCATCAGGTTCGTCCCCATCAGGTTCGTCCCCATCAGGTTCGTCCCCATCAGGTTCGTCCCCATCAGGTTCGTCCCCATCAGGTTCGTCCCCATCAGGTTCGTCCCCATCAGGTTCGTCCCCATCAGGTTCGTCCCCATCAGGTTCGTCCCCATCAGGTTCGTCCCCATCAGGTTCGTCCCCATCAGGTTCGTCCCCATCAGGTTCGTCCCCATCAGGTTCGTCCCCATCAGGTTCGTCCCCATCAGGTTCGTCCCCATCAGGTTCGTCCCCATCAGGTTCGTCCCCATCAGGTTCGTCCCCATCAGGTTCGTCCCCATCAGGTTCGTCCCCATCAGGTTCGTCCCCATCAGGTTCGTCCCCATCAGGTTCGTCCCCATCAGGTTCGTCCCCATCAGGTTCGTCCCCATCAGGTTCGTCCCCATCAGGTTCGTCCCCATCAGGTTCGTCCCCATCAGGTTCGTCCCCATCAGGTTCGTCCCCATCAGGTTCGTCCCCATCAGGTTCGTCCCCATCAGGTTCGTCCCCATCAGGTTCGTCCCCATCAGGTTCGTCCCCATCAGGTTCGTCCCCATCAGGTTCGTCCCCATCAGGTTCGTCCCCATCAGGTTCGTCCCCATCAGGTTCGTCCCCATCAGGTTCGTCCCCATCAGGTTCGTCCCCATCAGGTTCGTCCCCATCAGGTTCGTCCCCATCAGGTTCGTCCCCATCAGGTTCGTCCCCATCAGGTTCGTCCCCATCAGGTTCGTCCCCATCAGGTTCGTCCCCATCAGGTTCGTCCCCATCAGGTTCGTCCCCATCAGGTTCGTCCCCATCAGGTTCCCCCCCATCAGGTTCCCCATTTGGTTGCGGAAGGCGCGTCTAGCGTCTGTCTAGACGCAGCATCTAAGACGCTAGACGCTAGACAGTATAGATTAGACCCAGTATTAGACGGAAACCCGTGCAGGCCTAAAAAAAAGTTCGGGCAGACCAAAAAAAGTTATATGGGGCATGGGGAGGGTTGGGGACATGCATGTCACAATGAGGTGAAATTCTCCCCGTACCATGAATTTTTCCCCATTCGAAGACTTCACAAAAATTTTCACATCTCATCATTTATGATTGGGGGGGATTCAAATTTGCTTGGTGGGCTGGTTTATATGGTTGAAATGGGTGGGAAGGGGTTCTAATGGCGTGAAATTGATTTTCGCGTCGAAATGGCGAATTTCAATTTCGCGAGCGTGATTTTTTATTCCGGGCTGCCCGAAAATTTCCGCCCAAGCGTCTTGCATCTAGCGTCGAGACGCTGCGTCTAGACGCTAGACGCAAGACGCGTCTAGCGTCTTCCGCAACTCAGGGTGGGGTTGTGGGCGGATGTGGGTAGGTGTGCGTGGCAAGAAGAGAAGGGAATACAGGAATTTGCAGTGGAGAAGGGAATGAGCCATTAACCATTCACACACCCACCATGACGTCTCCCCTGCATGACAGCAGCTTGAGGCCCAGTCGCCTCAGGCCCTTCCGCAGCTGCCCCCTCACATCGTCAACTCGCAGCTGAGATATGTGATGGGGAGGGGTGAGAAGGGGTAAGGAGAGGTGAAGGAGGGGTGAGGCCCAGAGAGGAATAGACGAGGGAAGATGTCTGCAGTCGGTTGGCTCGGAATTGCACTGGGAAGTTTTGAAATATGTGAAAATTACAATGCAGAAACACGGCACAGAGCACAGAGCATAGCAAGTAGAGCACAGAAACCACGATTGCCAGTGCACCAATGCCATGCGACTTGGAGTCGACTTGGAACCACCATGGCATGCCATAGTAGGTCAGTCAGCGTACGTCCATGGCCTGGTGGTTGATGCCGTTGGCGTGGCACCACCGGGCCACCTGCCACTGCGGGTGAAGCCCACCATGGGCATGTGACACCATCGCATTCAGAATACCACAGCAGGCGAACGGAAACAGCATACCATGGCATGCATGTGCTCACGGTCAGCATACCATGGCCTGGTAGTTGATGCCGTTGGCGTGGCACCACTTGGGCGACCTGCCACTGCGAGTAAAGCCCTCGTACACGTTCAGGTAGGAGACAAAGTCGCCCTGGTGAGAAGGACACGGGGAGCACACAGGGAACACACAGAATGTAGAGGAGGTGGAGGCTGTGGGGAGTTCCCTTGGCGACCTGCCACTGCAAGTGAAGCCCTCGTACACGTTCATGCAGGAGACAAAGTCGCCCTGGTGGGGGCGAAGGGAGGGGACACAGAGCACACAGAGCATGCAGAGAATGCAGAGGGAAGGGGGAGGGGGTGTGGAGAATTCACTCAGGCAACCTGCCACTGCGACTGAAGCCCTCGCACACGTTCAGGTTGAGATGAAGTTGCCCTGACTTGCGACGGCGAATAAAGCCCATTCACAGTTCAGGGGAAAAACCAAAATGGCCACGGAAGTTAAGAGAAGGGAGAGAACGCAGAAGTGAGGCGAGAGGGTCAGCATATCTTTCAATTCAGCCCAAACCCAAACCATTGCCCTACCGCACCGCACCACACTACAGCCCTAACCCGCCCCGCCCCACCTCTGCTGCTGCAAATCTCTCCTTGAGTCGGTCTGACTCTCTCTGCCTGCCGCTGCTGCCCACCCACACTGACTGGGGGAAGGGGAGGCAGGGAAGGGGAGGCAGGGAAGGGGAGACAGGATCATGGGAAGAGGGCGAAAGTGGTTCAAATAGATGAGGGATGCCCCGAGGCGACTTAGATAGAGCAGCAGGGGAGAGGCAGGAGTATGACGGGAGGACGTAGGACGACTAAGGGAGGAGGACGGTGGTCAACAAGAGAGGAGGACGGAGAGGGAAGTGCAGGGAAGAGGGGATAAGAGAGGGGAACTGTAGAGGACACATGCTGCTTGCAAGCTGCAATATTCACCAAGCAAAACGAGTGAAATGCGGACAATCTCCCCCATGCCTTCCATACCCCCACATTCATGCAACATCTCCCAACAACTCCAACCTCCCATCTGCAAGCCAACACTCTCCTCCTCTCACCTGCACACACAATGACGCAGCAACTGTACACATCTCCTCAGAACAGCCATCCGCCTCCTCTCCCTCCCCATCCTCCTCGTCCTCCTCACCCTTCTTCCCCCCAGCTGCAGCGCCAGCAGCGCCAGCAGCAGTGGTGCCAGGCGCATTGGCTGAGACAAGAAGCATGAAGGCAACTAGAGGGTCCTGGGGGGATGGGATGAGGGGGGAATGAAGGAGCATCAGTTGTTAGTTAACCTGAACCAGCTGTAGACCAGCAGCAGCGCCAGCAGCAGTGGTGTCGGGTGCATTGGCAGCAGCATGAAGGCAACCAGAGGGGGAACGGGAAACAAAAGCAGGAAGGAACATTTTTAGTCGACTAAGAACATGCGCCATGCAGTAGTGTCATGTAGTGTCAGCAGTAGCGCCAGGAGCAGTGGTGCCAGGCGCGCATTGGCTGACACAAGCAGCATGAAGGCAACCAGAGGGTCCTGGGGGAATCGCAAGAACGCGGGAAGGAGGAGCGTTTGAAATTAGCACAGGTATGAGAGTCGCTCATATAATATGACCTGGTACAGGAGAATCGTTACAAGACCTGGTTACCAGCATGCGATTACCACATGCATCTTACCAGAGGAAACTCTGCCAGCTGGACTCCAACAGGCTTGGTCAGTCTGCCGTCCACATCCAGCGCCCGGACGGCAAAGAGCGTGTCTAGTGCGCGGATCATGGCGGGCGGCGCGGGCGGCGAGAGCCAATCAAATCGCATGATGTTGTCGATGCCGAGGGACTTGAGCTGCAGCACTGTTGCTGTGAGATCTGATCGCTGGATCTCCGGGAATGTGTGGGCGGCAAGATCTGTCATGTAGCTGTGCTCCGTGTATAGTCTGTCGGAGAGAAGTGAGAAGCAGTGAGGAGAAAACGGAAGAGACAAAGACAGAGAGAGCCACATCGGGAATGCAATAGCTCCTGGTAGCACTGAGATCTTTGTGAAATGCAGTGCACATGAAAGTACAGATTTCTGTCACTGAGATGTATGTACCGTGTGACTAGAGGGTGCGAGTAACTTCACCTGTAGCATTTCCCCGGCCTCACTCTCCCGGCCCTGCCTGCCCTCTGCTGCGCTGATGCTCGTGACACGGGCACTAGCAGCAACGCATCCACGTTGGACACCTGCGGGTATGGGGGATGAGGGGCGGGGGCAGGGGGCAGGGGGCAGAGAACAACACAGGGGAGGGGGGGAGGATGGGCTGGTGCCCTGCCTGCCCTCTGCTGCGCTGATGCTCGTGACACAGGCACTAGCAGCAACGCATCCATGTTGGACACCAGAGAGAAGCATCAATGGTAAATAGCAGGCAGAGGGGGCAACGTGGAAAGAATAAAAAAACAGAGAGAAGCAGAGGGGGCAGCAGAGATCAATGGTAAATAGCAGGCAGCAGCGGTTTGTCCAATAGAGAGGGTCAAACTACATTGAAAGCCAGATGGCGATGCAGTGCAGAAGAGAACCATAGGAGGAAGTGGAGAACAGTAGGCCAGAAGGCGCACTGACAGGGTCGAAGAATCGTTGCTTGACAAAGCCACAGTCGACCACGTAGACTATGCCCTGGGAGGGGGGGAAACAGAAAGAGGGAAGAGGGGCATGATACTTCCGAACTCCAGTCACTCGAGACAGCGACGGCGAGAGGGAGTGGCATGAGCAGAGGGTGCAATGAGAGTGAGCAATCACATGGAGTCCATGCACCTCGATGGTGAGGCAAGTCTCTGCAATGTTAGTTGCCACCAGCACCTTCCTCCTCCCCCGCAGGGTTGGTGCAAACGCTGCCTCCTGTCGTGATGATCGTGATGGTGGTGGTGGTGGTGGTGGTGGTGGTGGTGGTATTGGGTGTGGGGGGGAAGGAATGTGAAGAGACAGGAAAAAGGAAGGGAGGAGATTCAACCATGTTACCGGCTGACAGGCCAGCTTTGGCACACGTATTTGCATGGAGGGACTTGGGAATTTTGCTGCTCACTATATCACGAGTTGCACCAGCGGGAATTTGGGGAAGATGCTATATGTTTAGAGGGAAGATAGGGAAGAAGACTCGCAATGTCACCGGCTTTGGCACAAGTAAGTGTGTAGCTGTTGCTTTCGCAATGCACTTCGTTCACTATCCCACGAGTGCCACCATACACGGAGGGAAGGAAGGAAGGACTTACAACGTCACCTGCTGGCAGACCAGCGTAGAGTGGAAACGCCTGGAGGCCTGCAGGGGGAGGAGAAGGGATGAGAAAGAAAGCGAGGATAAGTATGAAAAGGTGAGACCGGGAAGGACAGAAACGCAAGTAGCAAGACACAGGAATGCTTTGCGTCGTGTCGTGGTATGCAAAAAAAACACCGCAACTGAACAAGTTCAATGCATGGTGTGGTATCACCTCCTAAAGCAGCATCAGCACTAGCACATCGTACTCTCACTTCATCAGAAAACGGACAGGAAGTAGAGATGCCACACCACTTTTGAGAGTTCTCAAGAGCCAGCACAAGCACGGTATGGTGACAGAGTACGGTGCGCAACACACACTCACTTCACCAGTGCAGCACACGGACAGGGAGTGCAAATGCCATACCTCTTAGTTTCTTGGAGGAGGGAGTGTAGCTGTTGCTCTGCTCCGCTATAAGCTGAACAAAGGTGTCCACCTTCTAAAGAGGCATCAGCGCTAGCACCGCATACTCTCAATTTACCAGTGCACTGCACAAGATCGAGGGGATGCAACTGTCGTACCCCTTAGCTTCTCAGACGACGGAGTGTAGCTGTTGCTCTGCTCCGCTATAAGCTGCACCAATGTATCCACCTCCTCTTGCCCCGTTAAGAACACAAGAATGTCTCCCGGGGGCTCCTGAAAAGAGAGGGCAGGCGAAGAAGGGAAGGTTACAACGCTCATGAATAATCGCATTTGAGGTTTGAGGTGCAGGTTTGAGGTGCAGGTTTGAGGTGCAGGTTTGAGGTGCAGGTTTGAGGTGCAGGTTTGAGGTGCAGGTTTGAGGTGCAGGTTTGAGGTGCAGGTTTGAGGTGCAGGTTTGAGGTGCAGGTTTGAGGTGCAGGTTTGAGGTGCAGGTTTGAGGTGCAGGTTTGAGGTGCAGGTTTGAGGTGCAGGTAATCTGGCAGTGAATGGCGAGCACGGTGTCGAGTGCTGTTTGCAGGTAGTCTGAGGTGGGTTCCTCCAGATACAGCAGTTGCACGGGGTGGCTGCGCCCAACAGAGCACACAGTGTTACACAGCATGCCCAAGTGGCTGTGGGGCAGAGCGGTGATGGGCTTACCTGGCAGTGAATAGCGAGAACGGTTACCCAAGATGTCTCACCTGGCAGTGAACGGCGAGCACGGTATCAAGTGCTGTCTGCAGGTAGTCCGACGCCGGCTCTTCAAGGTACAGCAGGTGCACGGGGTGATGAGAAGAGAAGAGAGGTGCCGAGGAAAAAGTGGCTCACCTGGCAGTGAATGGCGAGCACCGTATCGAGTGCAGTCTGCAGGTAGTCGGAGGTGGGTTCTTCTAGGTACAGCAGCTGCACGGGGTGACTGTGCCCCTCCACGGATATGATTGCTGGCTTGCGGAGAGGCAGAGAGATGCAGGGAGGTGGCCTCACCTGGCAGTGAATGGCGAGCACGGTATCAAGAGCTGTCTGCAGGTAGTCAGAGGTGGGCTCTTCAAGGTACAGCAGCTGCACGGGGTGGCTCCGCCCCTCCACTGATATGATTGCTGGCTTGCGGCTGGGAAGGGAGTCAGGGCCTCCTGGCATAACCTTGAGCTTCTCGTGGCTGGGGGAAGGTGAGACAGGGTAAAGAGGGAAACATGCAGGGATGCGTGGTCTGCAGGTAACCCGAGGTGGGTTCTTCAAGATACAGCAGTTGCACGGGGTGGCTGCGTCTCTCCACGGAGATGATCGCTGGCTTGCGGCTGGGAAGGGCTTGAAGCTGAGCACCTTCCGGCACAGACTTCGGCTTTTCGTGGCTGCGAAACGGTGAGACAGGTTACCGGAGGAAAGGGGTGACGTGTGGTGTGAAGGGTGTGAAGCAACCACACGGTCAGCAGTCAGGGGAGTGGAAGCGGGAGGGGAGTGAGTGAGGGACGGGGGAAGGCAACGAGGGGGGAAGGAGGAGAGGGCGTGAGAGAGAGGAGGTGAAGAAACGAACCAGAAGAAGACTTACCAACCGCTCAGCGTGGGCTTCTCAACAAGGTGAGTCGACTCAAAAGTCACAACGTGGGCAATGACTTTGACTTTTGAGTTGACTCAGAAGTCAACTAAGAACCAGAAGAGGATTGACCAGCCGCTCTGTCAGCATGGGCAACGCAATGCACCTGGTGTCAAAGAAGGCTGCCACGTCATCAGCTGCTAGCGTGGCAGATGAGATGACCAATCGGAGGTCAGGACGCCGCCGCATCACCTGGGGCAGGGATGGCGAAGCAGGGGAAGGACGGGGAGATGCACGGGGGGAAGCGCGGGGAGAGGCAAGGGGGGAGGCACGGGGGGAAGCGCGGGGAGAGGCAAGGGGGGAAGCGCGGGGAGAGGCAAGGGGGAAGCGGGGGGAGAGGAGGGACGGAGGGAAAGGGGAAGAGGGGCAACGGAAGAGAGTCAAGGGGCAGGGCAGGGGCTAATGCAGTGGAAGCAGAAACGTACAAACGCTGACCGGCTCTAATGACACGCAAGAACTAGCATATGTCAACAAGAAGAAAAACAACAACATGGGGCTTACACCAACCCCGCACGATCACAAGACAACAGCACACCTTATTTAGGAGGCCCAGGAGAATATTTGGAGCCAGGCTGCGCTCATGCGCTCATGAGCCATGAGCCTGTTTTTGAGTCGACTGAAGAGACGAACATGGGTGACAGCAACACACCTTCTTGAGAAGGCCCAGGAGAATATCGGTCGTCAGGCTGTGTGCCTCGCCTCGTTCACCATGATCACACTGCCGTGCCCTCCACTCCAGTCAATCACATGCAAGCCCATCACATGGGTGACAGCAACACACCTTCTTGAGGAGGCCCAGAAGGATATCCGTTGCCACGCTGCGCTCATGCGCCTCGTCCACCATAATCACACTGCAATGCACGCGATACAGTCACACACGATTATTAGAAGTGGCTTATAAGTCAACGCGAACCAGCTGCGCTCATGAGCCTAGTCCACCATGACCTTGTGTGACCATGCGTGACCATCATACGTGACCATGCATGCGTGACCATCATGCATGACCATCATGCGTGACCATGCGTGACCATGCGTGACCACATGGGTGACCATGCGTGACCATGCATGACAATGCGTGACCACATGGAGAGCAGCGGGTCTTAAATCATCTCCCTCAGCAGCACCCCACCAATAGGACACCCTTCACACCCTGCACACCCTGCACACCCTGCACACCCTGCACAGCCCTGCACGACGCGCCTTACCATGCCACACCATGCCTCACCACACAATTCCATACGAACCTGTATCTGGAGAGCAGCGGGTCTTCCATTATCTCCCTCAGCAGCACCCCATCTGTGAGGGAAGAACTTGATAGGAGTCACTCCCTGTGCAACCAATGCCACACGGCCCATCCCACACCACACCACACCACACTACACCACACCACACCACACCACACCACACCACACCACACCACACCACAAGAAACCACACCACACCACACCATGCCACACCACAGTTCCACCCTCAGTCCCTCCCTCAGTTCCTCCCTCAGTTCCTCCCTCAGTCCCTCCCTCAGTTCCTCCCTCAGTTCCTCCCTCAGTCCCTCCCTCAGTTCCTCCCTCAGTTCCTCCCTCAGTTCCTCCCTCAGTTCCTCCCTCAGTCCCTCCCTCAGTTCCTCCCTCAGTTCCTCCCTCAGACCTTCCCTCAGTTCCTTCCTCAGTTTCTCCCTCAGTCCCTCCCTCAGTTCCTCCCTCAGTTCCTCCCTCAGTTCCTCCCTCAGTTCCTCCCTCAGTTCCTCCCTCAGTCCCTCCCTCAGTTCCTCCCTCAGTTCCTCCCTCAGTCCCTACCGCAGTCCCTCCCTCAGTCCCTCCCTTAGTTCCTCTCTCAGTTCCTTCCTCCCTCAGTTCCTCCCTCAGTTCAACCCTCAGTTCCTCCCTCAGTTCCTCCCTCAGTTCCTCCCTCAGTCCCTCCCTCAGTTCCTCCCTCAGTCCCTCCCTCAGTTCCTCCCTCAGTTCCTCCCTCAGTCCCTCCCTCAGTTCCTCCCTCAGTTCCTCCCTCAGTTCCTTCCTCCCTCAGTTCCTCCCTCAGTCCCTCCCTCAGTTCCTCCCTCAGTTCCTCCCTCAGTTCCTCCCTCAGTACCTTCCCTCAGTTCCTCCCTCAGTTCTTCCCTCAGTTCCTCCCTCAGTTCCTCCCTCAGTTCCTCCCTCAGTTCCTCCCTCAGTCCCTCCCTCAGTTCCTCCCTCAGTTCCTCCCTCAGTTCCTCCCTCAGTTCCTTCCTCCCTCAGTTCCTCCCTCAGTTCCTCCCTCAGTTCCTCCCTCAGTTCCTCCCTCAGTTCCTCCCTCGATTCCTCACTCCTCAGTTCCTCACTCCTCAGTTCCTCACTCCTCAGTTCCTCCCTCACTTCCTCCCTCAGTTCCTCCCTCAGTCCCTCCCTCAGTTCCTCCCTCAGTTCCTCCCTCAGTTCCTTCCTCCCTCAGTTCCTCCCTCAGTTCCTCCCTCAGTACCTTCCCTCAGTTCCTCCCTCAGTTCCTCCCTCAGTTCCTCCCTCAGTTCCTCCCTCAGTTCCTTCCTCCCTCAGTTCCTCCCTCAGTCCCTCCCTCAGTTTCTCCCTAGTTCCTCCCTCAGTTCCTCCCTCAGTTCCTCCCTCAGTTCCTCCCTCAGTTCCTCCCTCAGTTCCTCCCTCAGTCCCTCCCTCAGTTCCTCCCTCAGTTCCTTCCTCCCTCAGTTCCTCCCTCAGTTCCTCCCTCAGTTCCTCCCTCAGTTCCTCCCTCGATTCCTCCCTCAGTTCCTTCTTCCCTCAGTTCCTCCCTCAGTTCCTCCCTCAGTTCCTCCCTCGGACCCTCCCTCAGTTCCTCCCTCAGTCCCTCCCTCAGTCCCTCCCTCAGTCCCTCCCTCAGTTCCTCCCTCAGTTCCTCCCTCAGTTCCTCCCTCGATTCCTCCCTCAGTTCCTTCTTCCCTCAGTTCCTCCCTCAGTTCCTCCCTCAGTTCCTCCCTCGGACCCTCCCTCAGTTCCTCCCTCAGTCCCTCCCTCAGTCCCTCCCTCAGTCCCTCCCTCAGTTCCTCCCTCAGTTCCTCCCTCAGTTCCTCCCTCAGTTCCTCCCTCAGTTCCTCCCTCAGTCCCTCCCTCAGTTCCTCCCTCAGTTCCTCCCTCAGTCCCTCCCTCAGTTCCTCCCTCAGTTCCTCCCTCAGTTCCTCCCTCAGTTCCTCCCTCAGACCTTCCCTCAGTTCCTTCCTCAGTTTCTCCCTCAGTCCCTCCCTCAGTTCCTCCCTCAGTTCCTCCCTCAGTCCCTCCCTCAGTTCCTCCCTCAGTTCCTCCCTCAGTCCCTACCGCAGTCCCTCCCTCAGTCCCTCCCTTAGTTCCTCTCTCAGTTCCTTCCTCCCTCAGTTCCTCCCTCAGTTCAACCCTCAGTTCCTCCCTCAGTTCCTCCCTCAGTTCCTCCCTCAGTCCCTCCCTCAGTTCCTACATCAGTTCCTCCCTCAGTTCCTCCCTCAGTTCCTCCCTCAGTTCCTCCCTCAGTTCCTCCCTCAGTTCCTCCCTCAGTTCCTCCCTCAGTTCCTTCCTCCCTCAGTTCCTCCCTCAGTTCCTCCCTCAGTTCCTCCCTCAGTTCCTCCCTCAGTCCCTCCCTCAGTTCCTCCCTCAGTCCCTCCCTCAGTTCCTCCCTCAGTTCCTCCCTCAGTCCCTCCCTCAGTTCCTCCCTCAGTTCCTCCCTCAGTTCCTTCCTCCCTCAGTTCCTCCCTCAGTTCCTCCCTCAGTTCCTCCCTCAGTTCCTCCCTCAGTTCCTCCCTCAGTCCCTCCCTCAGTTCCTCCCTCAGTTCCTCCCTCAGTTCCTCCCTCAGTTCCTCCCTCAGTTCCTCCCTCAGTTCCTCCCTCAGTTCCTCCCTCAGTTCCTCCCTCAGTTCCTCCCTCAGTTCCTTCCTCCCTCAGTTCCTCCCTCAGTTCCTCCCTCAGTTCCTTCCTCCCTCAGTTCCTCCCTCAGTTCCTCCCTCAGTCCCTCCCTCAGTTCCTCCCTCAGTTCCTCCCTCAGTTCCTCCCTCAGTTCCTCCCTCAGTCCCTCCCTCAGTTCCTCCCTCAGTTCCTCCCTCAGTTCCATGGTGTGGTGTGGTGTGGTGTTGTGTGGTGTGGTGTGGTGTGGTTCCTCCCTCACCATGCCACACCATGCCATGCCACACCATGCCACACCATGCCACACCATGCCACACCATGCCACACCGTGCCATGCGACACACACCTGTATCTGGAGAGCAGCGGGTCTTCCATCATCTCCCTCAGCAGCACCCCATCTGTGAGGAACTTGATCTGCGTCACACCCTGCGCGACCAATGAGAAGAAGGAACACGTGTCACATGTAAAAAGTCGCCCGCAGACACAAAGCGGATACTCACTATCTAAAGGTCAACAGGGAAGGACGAACGACATGGTTAGCAGGGCAGAGGGTGACAGACAGGCGGGGATAAGGCCAATGGGGGGCATTGCGCGTTTGACTAGAAAGGCCACGGTACAAAAATGCTGCGTGTGTGACATATGTCACGGATAAGTTGAGTCTACGCCAGTCAGTTACCTGCGTGGTGACATTCTCAAAGCGAATGCTGTACCCCACTCTCTCCCCGAGAGCCACACCCATCTCCTCCGCCACCCTGCTTGCTACCATCTGACATGAGCGGAAGAGGAGTGGGTGAGAGAGAGCGAGATGGAGGAGCAGACGGGAGAGGGGAAGGGTTAACCTCTAGGTGGAGGGTGAGTGTGAGGGAGGAAGTGTGAGGGAGGGAGGTGATGAGGAGGCATAGAAAGGCCAGTGGTGGAGTGAATGGGAATCGAACAATGGTTCATGCTCTTTCAGATGTGGTTGCAGATGGGCCTAATCATGAGTCATGCTTGGACCATGCAATCTCTAAGGCGTATCCAACAACCTGGCACTTCCACATGACACTCACCTGAGCCGCCACCCACCTGAGCCGCCACTCACCTGAGCCGCCACTCACCTGAGCCGCCACTCTCCTGGGTTGGGTACACGCCACCACTCTGCCTCCTGCCGCCCACCCTGCTGCCACCAGGTACTGCCAGTGCACCAATGGTAGTGGGGGGGTAGTGGGGGTGGTGGAATAGAGGGAGACGGTTTTGGAAAAGGGGAAGCTTCTCACAAGCCTTTTCAGACTAGACTGCCGCCCACCCTGCTGCCACCAGGTACTGTCAGTGCATCAATGGGGGAATTTTGTGAAGACGCGGAGGCTTAGGAGGTTGGGGAAAAGGGGAACGGGAAGAGATTGGGACAACGGAGCAACGTATCCGCGGTAGATGGATCGGCAGGCAGGCAGGCACGTCTTTTGAGGCGCCTCAAAAGTCGTATCTGCTGTAGATGGAGCGGCAGGCAAGTTAGGCAATGTCATGATACTGCTGTCCATGGTCTTTGAATTCGGTGAAGGTGGTACAGTGGGACGCCTGTGCAACGCGGAACACAGAAGCACGACGAATGAGCATTTAGCTCATGAAGTTTCACCTCATTGAATCCAGAGTTCACCTCTTTCATATGCCTTTACTGCGTGAACATTCACCTGCGGGATTTGAGTGGTCTTGCCGCTGCCAGTCTCCCCAACCACCACAGTGACAGCAAGGGCCTCCACCAGATATAGGATCGCCTCTCTGTGCTTGAATGCCTCTTGACTTACTCAAAGCTCATCTGCTTTCACCAAATTTGCTTCAATGAACAATCACCTGAGGGATCTGAGCGGTCTTTCCACTGCCAGTCCCCCCCAACCACCACAGTGACAGCAAGGGCCTCCACCAGATGTAGGATCGCCTTCCTGTGCTTGAATGCCTAATCAATGGACTTAAAGTTCATCTGCTTTCACCTCGTGTGCTTCACATTCACCTTATGTGCGCTCACCTGCGGTATCTGAGTGGTCTTGCCACTGCCTGTCTCCCCAACCACAACAGAGACAGCATGAGTCTCCACCAGGTATAAGATCGCCTCTCTATGCTTGAACACCGGTAGCTTCTCACGCCCACTCTGCACAAAAGGACTGGAAGAGGGACGAGTAGGCAGAGCAGACTGGTAAATCCCAACAACCACAGTGGCAGCGTGAGTCTCCACCAGGTATAGAATCGCCTCCCTGTGCTTGAACACTGGTAGCCTTTCCCGCCCGCTCTGCACAAATGGACTGATAGAGGGGACCAGGGAGGGAGAGAGCGGCAAGGGAAGGGAAGGGAAGGGAAGGGAACGTAAGTCCCTAAGCACCACAGTGACAGCATGGGTCTCCAGCAGTAATGGCGAGAGGGTCTGATAGAGGGCAGTGGCGAGGAATCGGAGGGAAACGAGTGGAGAAACGGGGGGGAGGGGGGGAAGGGGGGGAGAGAGGGAGAGAGGAAGGAGGGGGGGGAAGAGGGGGGGGGGGGGGGGGGGGAGGGGGAGAGGGGGGGGGGGGGGAGGGGGGGGGGGAGAGGGGGGGGGGGGGGGGGGGGGGGGAGTGGGGGGGGGGGGGGGGGGGGAGGATGCTGGGAAGAGGAGCCAGTAAAACAGAAAAAACAATAGCCTCCATTCTCCCTCTCATCCTCCCGAAATTAAAACACTAGGGATATTTCACGCCAAGCTGTTCTAACGGAACAATATACAGCGAGAGGGAAGGAGCGACAGGGTGCGGGCTGTCGCACCTTGCTAACGACGCTATCGACACGTCAGCATCCGCGCCGTCCGCGTCCACCGCTAACGACGCCCGAGACGCGAGCGATTCTCCCAGCCGCGCCGCTACCGGCCGCCAGAACTGCGGCTGGCGCTGCGACTGCGGCGGGAGATACTGGCGCGCAGCGGCCATGGCGGAAGGGGGAGCGATAGCCGCGTGAAACCCGCTATAATGATCGTGCCAGGTCGCACTGATTAAAAATCAGTTCAGTCATTACGGACGAGTTCTGATCGTGCTATACCGCATCGCGGCAGCCGCTACTTGAGCATGGCGCACATGCTACTCGCTGCTCTTCGATACATCATTCCTCTTTACAGGAATGTGAACTGTCTGGAAGAGTTAGTACCATATGTGAAACACTGTAAGGACTTCTAATTTGCAAAATAACATATATTTCACACAACTCACCACTGTACATTACTGTACTAAAATATTTTCACATCGAACAATAGTGTCCGTTCCAGTAATCAGCCTGAACTGCAAACAGCTGTCACTCTCACCTTGCAACACCATCCCCCACACCCCCCCCCCCAAGAGCAGCTGTCAGTGTCAGACAGTCATTAACAAGGTTACTGCTGGGACTATCATTCTTCCTTGGTTTCCCCTCAACTTCTCCTGTCGCACCCGCAACCACACCCGCTCCCCGCTCTCAGCAGCTGTCAGTATCGTAGTCTTCAATAGGGTTACCGTTGCGACCGTCCCCCTTCTCTTGACTCTGAACTCGGAACAGCTGTCACTCGCACTTCGGAGCACCCCCCCCCCCCAAACTTCCCCCAACTCCCCGCTCTCAGCAGCTGTCAGTGTCGTAGTCATCAATAGGGTTACCACCACTGCGACCATCTCCCTTCTCTGCATTCCTCTCCCCGCCTCCTGGTGCAGTGGCAGCAACATCCCCACTTGTGCTCCCACTGCCCCCGTTACCACCAGCAGCAGTGCCAACAGGAGCACCACCAGCAGCAGCACCAGCAGCACCACCAGCCCCTGCTGGAACCAGAAGCACCACCATTTTGTGCAGCAGTATCACCTACACCACCACTATTACCATTCCCTTCCCCTTCCGTACCAGTCCTTCCTGCCCTACCATCCCCCTCTCTTGCCCCTCCACTCGCCTCACCTTTCTCTCCCTTCCCTGCACCACTCCCACCACTCCCTTCCCCTCCTACTCCTCCTCCACTCCCTCCTCCCCCCTCCCCCCTTTCTCTCTCCGCCATCCGCCCCAGCTCCCGCTCATAAATCCCCCTCCACTGCCTTAGCACCCGCAGGCACTCCCCTCCCCCCGCCCCCCCACTCCCCAGGGAGATTGGCAGCGGCGGAAGCGAGGAGGGGAGGAGGTGCGGAGGAGCGGAGACTGAAATTTGTGGGTCCAGCACACGCGGCACAACAGGCCATGATGCAATGGATGCTGCGAGCGCCTGGGATGGGATGGGATGTGGGGGAGGGGGGGTTCAGAGGTGAGGAGACAGAGATTTGCGGGTCCAGCACACGCGGCACGACAGGCCACGATGCAATCGATGCTGCGAGCGCCTGGGTGGGATGGGAGAGGGTGGGAGATACAAGAGGGAGGAGGTGAGGCGGGCTGTAGGAGACTGTCTGGATGTGGGGAGGGAAGCAGTGTGCAATCTCACCTGCCCTTGCTCCACGCCAGCAATGGCATCATCAAAGCACGCCAGCATGCCTTCTCTCGCAACCCTGTCCACCTTTTGAGGTGCCTGGAGACTATCCATTTCCCTCTCGCGAAATCTCACCTGCCCTTGCTCCACGCCAGCAATGGCGTCATCGAAGCACGCCAGCATGCCTTCCCGCGCCACTCTATCCACCTCGCCTCCAGGGGCCCTCTGGAAAGGCGGGAGGGACACTCACCTGCTCGTGCACCATCCGTGCAATACAATCTCACCTGCCCTTGCTCCACGCCAGCAATGGCGTCGTCAAAGCACGCCAGCATGCCTTCTCGTGCCACTCTATCCACTTCCCCCTCCGGAGGCTGCTCCTCCTGCTCCTCTAGAAACGCCCTCACATCCACCATGTCCCCCGCCACCCACTGCGCCACCAGCTCCTCCCCCGATAAGTTCCCCCCATCCGCTCCGCCCATGTCTCCCCCACCAGCAAGTGGGGGAATCAGCAGCCTCCGCCTCTTGGGCTTCTGCTCCAGCTCCCCCTCCCCCTCCGCCGTCCCCGCCCCCGCCCCCGCCCCCGCCCCCGCCCCCGCCCCCACCCCCACCCCCGCCTCTCCTCCTGTTCCCCCCCCTGCTCCGTCTCTTCCTTGTTGCATTCCCCCATGTCCCGTTCCCCCTCCCCGCCCCCTCCCCCCATCCCTCCCCCCTTGCCCTTGATCTCTGGCGGGCACGATTCGTCTGCGCCGCCCGCCGCCGTCCTCCACGTCCCTGCCTGCCGCTCCTTGGCGCCACGGCCGCCGCCCGTGGTACATGAGGTGGGGGGAGATGCTCATGAGGCGCCGGTTACTGTAGCACTGCTCCACCCACCGCTACAGTCACACACACACACACGTGGACAGGCACAGCCATGGATAGAGAGGGAAAGGGGAGTGGGAGAGGAGAAAGTATAAGCCTTGCAGGATGAATAAATGGAAAGATAAGCACACGGAATGTTTAGCCCGTCAATCGCCGTCCGCCGCCTCAATTCATCGTGAAAGTCAGATACCTTGTACACGATCGTGCCGTCATCAGCAGTCACGGATCGCACTTTCGGCGTGCCGGGAAACGCGGCGACGAGCAGCGTGCACTCCGGCGTCCAGTCCGGCCGGTACCGCGCGCCCATCTCCATCGCCTTGCCGCGCAGCTCGGCGCGCTCCGGATTAGCGACTCCGCTAATCGCGAACACGACGCCCTCGAGAATCCGCGAGAATTGCATCTCTCGGCCCTTGTCTTCCTCGTCTTGCCACTCCTCCTCCTCCTCCGAGTCTCCCTCGTCGTAGCTCTCGTCGCTCGTTTCGTCGTCGCTAGGCGGTTCTTCTTTTTTCGGAAGCCTGCTTCCGGAAGACGCGCCGGAAAAGCCGGCGCCGCTGGATGCAGCTCCTACGACTTCTCGGCCCATGAGGCGAGCAGATGCCTACATATTAGTGAATACGAGATTCACATATGCTAGTGAAGCCTATGCTGTCAGTGTCATGCCAGTTTTGTTCGTGCTCGAACTAAACCGATTCGTCACTTTCTTGGAGCCAGTGGGATGTGTTTTGGCGGGAAAGGAAAATGGAGGGAGATGCCGCATGCAGGGGGGCATAGGAAGAAGGAAGAAGCACTCAAAATACGTGTAATGCGCTTGTCATTTTCGGGATAGGTTAGTGAACAATGTATAGATTCCATGGCGAACTTATAACGGTGTCTAGAGAAAGGTGATAAGGAGTATAAGCAGATGACATCGAGGTAAAAAACACCGTCCAGTCGGGTCAATCGGTTTATGACGGGGATTTTGGCCGTCGATGCGAGCAAGCTCCACCTCAAGCACCCACGTGAGTTTCCCGCCAGCCGCGAAGCCCAAAGGCGGCAGCTCGCTGGGTGGATCCGCAAGTTGACTCGCGCTTGGCAGTCATTTCTCTGACAGGCTGACAAGCGATGTCACTTTCTGGGGCTGAGTTGTCTTATCCGAACAGAGCCATCACTGTAGCAGTGTGCATCGAGGTTGGCGGGCGGGGCGAGCCTGCGACCATTTTCACGATCTCGCTAACCAACCACCACCAACAGACGTTTCGCCAGATATATACAGCCCTCCTCGCTAACGAGCCTTGGGTATGCCGGCGACGAAGGGTTTGTCGAAAGATTGTGGTAACTCTTCGTGGCCAATCCTTCGAGAGCTCCAATTTATCCCTCGTCCTCACACTGCAGCAAGTGTTTCAATACCAGCCGAGTTTCCACGACTTCCTGTTCCGATTTAAGCACGGCATAACTGAAGCCAGCTTTCTACATTTATGGCTGCATCCCCGGCTGATGCCGCTTGCTTGTGAGGCCATTATTCTTCTCATTTCACCTCATCCTTGAATAGTCTCCCCTCGCCGTTTAGAAATCTACTTGATCCATCAGCCCGCCGCACCCTGGGTTGGCCTTTTTGATCAACACTTCGGTTCCTCTTTAGTCCTCCCTTGCGCGTCAGGTACAGAAGCATCCCTACCTCGCAATCACTCATCATGTCGTCGACACGGATGGCCACGTCATCATCGATGGCATTAGTAGGCTCCTTACTCTCCATCATCAACGAGATCTCCGCGCTCGGCGATCGCCTGCGCAGCCACAAGCGCTCGTGTCAGATCCTCATCCGTCGGATCAAGCTGCTCGCGCCGCTCTTCGAGGAGATTAGGGACGTCAAAAGCCCGCTGCCGCCGGCGGCGGTCGTGGCGTTTCAGAGCATGCGGTCCGCGCTTACCGCCGCGAAGACCATCCTCGTTGACTGCAGCAGCGGAAGCCGCATCTGGATGGTCAGTGCGCCTTACCGTGCGCCTTAACTCCCCCGCTTCCACCTCCCCATCTTCCCCTTATTCACCTGAATGGTCACCGCGCCTTATCTGTCGTAGCTCCTCGCGTCCCTTTCCCCCGCAGCGTCCCTCATATAACCCGACAATCAATGTTGTGCCGTTGCTCCTCGCTCCTTATCCATTGCTGCTGCGTCCATCTTGGCTCCTCGCATCCCGTCAGCGTCCTGCGTCCTCGCTTTCCGACCGCATCATCTCCTCCCTCCCCGCGCTCTCCGCTCCCCCCGCTCACCCCGCTCACCCCGCTCACCCCGCTCTCCCGCATTTCACTCGCCCCTACGCCACGCGCCGCTTTGAAATCTCGCGTTTGAAATTTTCTCCATTATGGCCGTTTCTGTCACTTCTCGCTCCTCAGCACTCCGCGTTGCGTCCCCGGCCCTGTGCGCGTTGCGCAAACGATGAACCGTGGTGCAGTGGCGGGGCATTGGCGGAACGGATGCACGCGCGCTCGACATAGAACTGAGCAAGGCTTCCCCATTCGTGTCCCCCTCCCGCGCCCCTTCCCCCTCTCTCCTTCCCCCCCTCCGCCATCTTCCCCCTGCCCATGCCTCCTTCCCCGCCATTCCCCGCGTCCGCGTGCGCGCAGGTGATGGAGCGCGAGGGGATGGCGGAGCGCATGCGCGCGGTGAACCTCGAGCTGAGCGGCGCTTCCCCCCTCATGTCACCCCGCACCTCGCTCCCCCCTTCCCCCCGCCCTTTCCGCGCAGGTGATGGAGCGCGAGGCGATGGCGGAGCGCATGCGCGCAGTGAACCTCGAGCTGAGCGGCGCGCTGGCGGACCTGCCGATGAACGTGATGGCCATCTCCGAGGAGATCCAGGAGCAGGTGTGGAGGGAGGTGGAAAGGGGGGGAAAGGGGGGGAAAGGGGGGGGAAGGGGGAAAAGTGGGAACATGTGGGGGGAAGGGGGATCGCATGGAGTGGGGATCGCCGACGTGCGCCACATCCTCTCCTCCTTCTTGGCCTCCCCCATCTCCCCCGCGCGCTCCTCGCATCCTCTCCCCCCCCCCCCCCTCCATCCCAGACCCAGCTGGTGCAGGTGCAGTTGAAGCGCAGTCGAGCACTGGACGATGCGCAGGAGGAGCAGCTATACGCTGACGTGCGCCATATTCTCTCCTCCTCTCTCCCTCTCCTCACCTGTCTTCTCTGCCATCCCCCCTTTGCTTTTTTCCCCACCAGACCCAGTTGGTACAAGTTCAACTGAAGCGCAGCCGCGCGTTGGACGACGCGCAGGAGGAGCAGCTCTATGCCGACGTGCGCCACATCCTCTCGGACCCACGCCTGGGCGGCCCTCCCCTCAACAGCTCCTCCCGTAACCCTGCCGCCGCCTCTGCCTCTGCTACTGCTGCTGCTGCTGCTGCCGCCCCTGGGTGAAGCTGACTGTTCCGCCCCGATGATTGACCTGCCGGCAGTCCCGCAGTCGCCGCACCCCTCTGCTCCTCCTCCCTCCCCGGCCGTTCTCTCGTCCTTCCCCTCCTTCTCTCCCACGCACACGGATGTTAATAAGGGTGGTGCTGCTGCTGCTGTTACGATCACGGTGTTGCATTCTGGTGGGGCAGGAGGCGAAGGAGAGGAGGCAGGAGGGTCTGCAGCTGGAGTAGCTGGAGGAGCAGCTGGGCAGTTGCCGAAATTACCCTCGCTAAGTTCCGTGGAAGCAGGGTTACTAGACCCGGTTCTGGGCAAGCTAGGGCTGATCTCCCTGCCTGCTGTTCTCGAGGAGATAGCCTCGCTAAAACGAGCGCGGGATCAGCTTATAGAGGAGACAGACGCAGCAGCAGCAACCGGCAAAGGGGGCGGGGGTGGAGAGTCCGCAATGGAACGTCTGAGGCTGAGGCTAAATGAGGAGCTAAGGCGGGGGGCAGAGATGAGTGTAGCGGGAGACGAGGAGGAAGGGTCGAGTGGGGGGAATGGGGGAGGGAAAGAGGAGGACTCTTCAACTGGTTCCCGGCAATCTTCTGTTTCTTCTAAGTCCCTGGTTTCGCCAAAAAGTGCTGTTTCTTCTAGAGGTGGAGATGGGAGGTCGGGAGATGGCATGTGTTCACGAGCAGATGCAGAACGGAGGGTTGCTTGGGAGAGTAAAAAAGCTGAGAAACTCAGGGAGGTGGACAAGATTGTACTGTTATTGGAGCGGCTTAAAGTGAGTCTAAGCGGAGGGATGGAGGACAGGGAGGAGGGGAACGGTGGAGTGAGGAAGTCGGGGAGTGGGGATGGGTCGGGAGGCGAGGAGGGGAATCCGGAGGATGGGGTGGATCGGGGCGGCATTGGCGTGGGCACTGGGTCGGCACTGCGGTCGAAATCCGGCCGGCTGGTGGTGCCTCCGGATGACTTTCGTTGTCCTATCTCGCTGGAGATCATGAGGGATCCCGTGATCGTCTCTACAGGCCAGGTCAGAGCATGTTCAGAACACGTCCCTTACATGTCCCTTACATTTGGATTCACATGTCCCTTACACGCCCTTATCCTCCTCCTGATGCCATGACCATACCTGAGGCGCCTCAATTACCGTGATTGTTGCACTGTGCCATGACTCACTCGTACCATCCCATATCCACGTTTTTATCTTGCACACCTCTCTTTTGCCCCCCCTTACCCCCTCCTCCCCTTGTACTCCCTCCATGGACTCCTAACCACTACCCCCCCATCTGCTCCCGCAGACATATGACAGGGCATACATAGAGCAGTGGCTCAAGGAGGGCCACAAGACGTGCCCTAAAACCCAGCAGATCCTCTCCCAGCCGGCCTCGCTCATCCCCAACTTCTCTCCTCCCTCAACCCGTTTCCTTCCCCCAGACGTACGACCGAGCCTATATCGAGCAGTGGCTCAAGGAGGGTCACAAGACGTGCCCCAAGACGCAGCAGATCCTCTCCCAGCCCGCCTCGCTCATCCCCAACTTCTCCCTGCGAAGCCTCATCCAGCAATGGTGCGAGGCTAACAACGTTGAGCTGCCAAAGCGATCACAGAAGTCAGGCCACAGGCACCGCCATCACAGCAGCAAGCATGGGAGCAGCAGCACCAGCAGCAGCAGCAGTGGTGGTGGTGGTAGCAGCAGCGGGGGTAGGGGTGCGGGTGGGAGCAGTGGGGGTGGTGGGTCCAGTGGTGGAGCGGGTGGGAGTGGTGGGACCGGGGAGGGAGGCTCGGCGGAGATTTCGCTTTCGGATCGGCATCAGGTGATGCAGATTCGGGACCGGCTTCGGTCGCCGGACCTGGAGGTTCGGAAGAGCGCTGCGGTTGACGTGAGACTGCTGGCGAAACGAAGCGTGGAGAACCGAGTGGCAATCGCCGAAGGGGGTATCATTCCCCTCCTGGTCGAATTACTCACAGACCCCCTCCCAGCTGATGCCAAAATGCAGGAGCATACGGTTACCGCGTTACTAAACCTGTCGATCAACGACCCGAACAAGAGCCTGATTGTCTCGGCTGGAGCCATCCCGGCCATAGTCCGGGTGCTGGAGAAGGGAGGCAGCATGGAGGCTCGGGAAAACGCGGCAGCGGCGCTGTTCTCGCTCTCGGTCATGGATGAGAACAAGATTTCGATCGGGCAGGCGGGAGCGATACCAGCACTGGTGGACCTGCTTCAACACGGGTCGACTCGAGGGAAAAAAGACGCTGCTACGGCGATTTTCAACCTGTCGATCTACCAGGGGAACAAGGCCAGGGCTGTGCGTGCAGGGTTGGTTCCCCCGCTTGTGGACCTTCTCGTGCACCGTCGATCGGGCATGATGGACGAGGCCCTCGCGATCCTGGCCGTCCTTTCGACGTCCCCAGAGGGGCGGACAGCGATAGGAGAGGCGACTGCAGTGCCAATTCTGGTGGAGCTGATGAAAGATGGGTCGCCGAGGAACAAGGAGAATGCGGCTTCGGTGCTGCTGTCGCTGTGTCTGAATGGTAGGGAGCACACGGAGCTTGCGGTGCAGTGCGGTGCTGTGCCTCCGCTGCAGCTGCTGCTGAGGAGTGGGACGCCCAGGGCTAAGCGGAAGGCGTCTCAACTGCTGCAGCACCTGCAGGACCAGGAGCTCATGGCTAAGAGGAGTTAAAAATGGGGAGGGGGTTAGATGTGTGGGGTTTCATTCAGCTTCATGGCATCAAGTTGTGCCTGGGTGTGCAGCACTGGTAGGAGGAAGGCGTCTCAGCTGCTGCAGCACCTGCAGGACCAAGAGCTCATGGCTAAGAGGAGCTAAGGGGGAGGTTACGGTATCAGTTTGATGGCATGTGTGTCGCACTGGTGAGAGGAGGGCGTCACAGCTGCTGCAACGCATGCAGGACCAGGAGCTCACGGCTAAGAGGAGCTAGGGCTGGTCTTTGCTGCTGCCGCTGCCACCGCTGCTGCTGAAGTAGCATCTTATTTCCTGCCCATCTCCCATCCCGTCATGCACTTCATGTCGAGAGGGGTAGCATGCGGTGTATGAAGCCGCTGCAGCTGCAGGGCCAGCACCTCTTGACTTTTTAGTGACTCAAGAGAGAGGGGTAGCATGCGGTGGGCAACTGAATGTATTGTAGCTGCTGCAGCTGCAGGACCAGCACCTCTTTGAATAGAGCAATTGCGTGTGTTTCTTGCTGCTGCTGCTGCCATCATGGTTCATGAGTCATCATGACACGCCCTGTCAAGGGTACCCGAATGGTGGTTGGGAGGAGTCGGTGTGCTGAAATGTTTGTGCCTTGGGAATTTTACGGCAAGTTTGTGCTACCTCTGTAGTGAGGCGTCAACTGCTGTGTGTGTATGGCACGTTTTGTATCTTGTAACGAATCAGGTGAAACCTGATGGTGGTTTTGCACTCAGTAGGTCTTGGTTGCACTCTTGAAATGCCTGCAAAGTTTAGCACTCAGTAAGTCCAAGCGCACTAGAAAACCCAAGGCTACACAAACAGAAAGCGTAACACCTGTAAAGACAAGCTAATGCATGTGTCAACACAGCAGCGCCCACACCGCCACTGCCACTGCCACACTCCACCATAAAGCCCCACCCCCACTCCCACCTATCCCGGCACCCTTAGCAGTCGGCAAGAAGGCTGGCATCTGGCACTGTTGGCCGTCCACAAGCACAGCCAATGGGAAGACAGATGAGCTGACAGCAACAGTGTCCCCGCCCGTGGCATTATATCCGGCTGTGTTGGGCGTGCGGTTGAAGCGCAGGGTCCACTGCACGTTGCCTCCGTCGCCCAGCAGCCACTGGTTCACACTGGGCTCTCCTGAAATCATTAGGTTGTCGGCTGCGGAGGGAGAAGAAGTAAGGACAGGTAGGTGGGGAGGGGAAGATAAACTTGAGACGATGGCTGAATCGGAGAGCAAGCCGGACAAATTGGTGGAGAAGTTGGAGCAGACTTGCTGTTGTCAGCATCAGATGTGTCAGCATCAGATGTATCCAGTATCAATCTAGAAGCATTTGATATCCAGCCATACCGTATGGTGGGGAGTCGAATCGAGCCACCACTGAGGAAGCTTCCTGGAGGTTGTCCGCAAAGCCCTGGGGAAACGCCAAGACTGCCGTCCAGTTCTTGATGGTGGGCGGCGCACTATTCCAGAGCGTCACGCGCATGGTCCAGCCTGTTTCGTCCGCATCTGATACAGTCACATGTGCTTGAATGCCACAGCCGGTGCCACAGCTCTGGTGGGGGGAGCGCAGGGGTGATGGATGGAAGGAGGAGGGCAAGAGATTGAGCCCCCACCACGGAATTTCCAGCTCACGAACTCAATCCACCCCTTCATTCCGCCCCAGCACCACCAGCACCACCAGCCCCACCAGCCCCACCAGCCCCACCAGCAGCACCAGCCCCACCAGCAGCACCAGCCCCACCAGCAGCACCAGCCCCACCAGCAGCACCAGCCCCACCAGCAGCAGCAGCCCCAGCAGGTCACAATCAGTGCCCCCCCCCCCTCATTCTGCCCCGGCACCACCAGCCTCAACAGCTCCTCACTCTCCTCTTCTCTCCTGTACTCTACCTCATATACCATCATAATAATTTCCATCCACTCACCCCCTCGCTCTGCCCCGGCACCACCAGCCCCGCCAGATCCTCGCCCAATAGCACGGTCGCAGCGGGGTCCGTGCTTGCTGACGTGGCGGCGTCGCATTGGCCGCCGCCCTGGCTGGTGTTGGAGGAGGAGCAGCCGCAGGCGCATGAGGGGCTTGGGGCGAGTGACGAGTTGAAGAAGGCTGGGGGAGATTGGGGGGGAGGGAGGGTGGGTATGGGGGGTGTGGGGTGTGGGGGAGAGTGGGGAACGAAGGCTGGCGTTAGAGGAGGAGCACTCGCAGGCGCAGGAAGGGCTTGGGGCGAGTGATGAGTTGAAGAAGGCTGCAAGGGATTGGGGGGGAGAAGGGTTAAAGTAAAGGAGGCGTGGGGGGGAATTGGGCGGAAACATGGGGGACAAAAATGCGATGAAGCAAGAGGGGAAGATGGAGGGGTGGGCATGGTTGCAGGAAGAGCAGGGAAAGAAGTGGAGGTGAGATGGGATGGTGGTAGCGGGAGGGGGATTTGCATGCTGTTTCGTGTCGATGTTACTGAGGAGATTGAGTTATCATATGCTGACACAAAGCAGGTTGTTGAGATTTGTTTGAACTTCTTAACAAACCGTTTTGTGTCAAGATTACTAAAGGATTTGCGTTACCAGATGCTGAAACGGAGCAGGTTGGAAGAGGCCCGCTTCCCGCCACTGTGCCACATGTCACGAAGTAAGAGGCTGGGGTAGGGGAAAGCAGGCATGGGGACAGAGGGCAGTGATGCACACATAAAGTGGTCGGAATCAGGGAAAGGCAAAGTCAGGAAGTACGAGCAAGGGATGGAAAGATTCGTAGGGTTGAATGCGAGATAGAAGAATACTGGAAGTTGACAAAAAATTACAAGTCCAGCATATAGCAATGTAAAGTCTCGCAGTCCCTCCGCCACTCTCTATAAGTTTCAAGTCTGCCTGTTGCCCACCTTTGGCGTTCATGGTCTGTTTGCCGCCCACCACCGTCTCAAGCGCCGCAGGGGAGAGGGCGGTGGGGGGATCACATGCGAATCCCTGCGACTGGTTGGACACTTGTGCTGTGAAGTTGGCAGGAAAGGTGAGCAGCGAAGGGTCCCAGTACTGCTGTGCCTTGGCCTGGGGCGGATTGGGAGGGGAGTTGGGGGAGAGAAAATCAGAGGACCAAGGTAAGCAGAAGCTTCAGGGTCACATGCGATCCCTGAGACTGTATTAAAGCCCAGTTGGTAGGAAGGTGAGAAGTGAATGGTCCCAAGGTCTCATGATTATGGAAGGAGGAAACGACAGGACAGGACCATATCATGTAAGAAAGTGGGCTCAACATTAGCAGCGGGATGCAATGCAACACAAAAGACAGGACGAGGTATTAACATCAGGATGCGGGGCGGAGCCTAGACGGGATGAGATGCTAACCAGAAGCATGGTGAAAGTTGTGGAGGAGGAGGAGTTGTCATAGGCTGCTGCGGACAGTGATCCGTTCAGGCTGGGGTGGAGGGGGAAGGGGAAACAGGCGACGGAGAGAAGGGAAAGGAAGTGGAGAATGAAGGGAAGAAGGGGGGAAGCGGAAGTGGGAGAAGAAGGGAAGGGAACAGGGTAAGGTAGGAAGGAAGGAGAACCGGAGTGAGAAGTGACTTGAGTCAAACATGGCTGGCTGGAGGGAAGAGCTCCCCTGCACGTACACACTGAAGTGGCATATCATCTAGGAGATGGTTTTGTTTTCGTTTCAATAACACATGTGAGTGGCAAATGCGATGGAGGGAGAGTGAGGCTTACGGGGAGCCATCGACGATGGTTGGGATGGGATCACAGGAGTAGGGGTTGGTGATGGAGGGGTTGTCTATGCACGCCGGGCACGAGGTGCAGTCTGGTGGTAATCAGACGGGAAAAGAAAATCAGTAAACATGGGGGAATGTTGAGGCGCTTCAAAAGGGGTTGAAAGGCACGCTGGTCATGGTGCAATCTGGGTAAGGTAAGAGGAAAAGAGGAAATGCGTAAGCATTCACCAGTCATGGGGAGCAGGCACCTCAACAGCGTGTGGCAGTATGGCAGTGCGTTACCCTCATCACAGTCTCCTACGCCTCATCACCTGTTCCCAGTCTCCTACGACCTTGTTGTTCTATTCACTCTCATCTCACCTTATATCGTGTTAATGATTTCATCTGCAACAGAGGCTTACCTCCTTGCCTTAGTGTCTGGCATCCATCGCACTCCAGGATCATCCTGGTCAGAGTGAGAAGAAGTAGAGGGGATGGTGAGAAGAAGCAGAAGTGTTTGAGCTGAAGAGTTACACAGAGAAGAAGCAACGTGAATGGCAGGGTCTATGAACGCACTCAGGAGCAGGTAAACAGTATGCGATGACCAAACTCAAGCCAGAAACTCTGAATCCAATTATCGAACTCTGAACCCCCAACACTGCCTGTGACTGAGCCCCACACACTCACTCGCCCATCTGCCACGCCCACTGCAGGGACCACCCTGGGTCGCTGCTGACTGCAGTGTAGCGCTGTGTGTTGCTCACTCGCACTGCCACTGTGTACTGAGATGCATTCGCACTCAACACATCCCACTGAATCTGCAGCCCTTGACTGGATATGGGTAGCGTTGGTAGTGGCAGTGGTGCCACTGGGTTGAGAGGGAGAAAGAGTGGAGGAGAATGATATGGAGAGGAGGACGGGAGAGATGTTTCAAACCCATAGCATGAAGCGAACGGGAGAAGAGTAGCTTAGAAGAGGTAAAGAACAGAATCAAATTCAGAGAAGCGACTGCAAGAAGTTGGCGGGAGTATGAGACGATAGGAGAGGGCATGAGATGAGGAATGGAGGAAGGGCAGACACACCTTGAGTCTCCTGAGAAGGTCCAGTGGAGGGGCAACAAACTCGGAGCGTGTCATTTCGACCTGTGGGAATAAGAGTAAGGGGGGGGGGACGCGGGAGTGGGGAAAGGACAAAAGCGGGCAGCAGGGAGACGATTTTTTAGATGTCTCAAGACGCAGAGGGTTTCATTTCAACCCAGTACAAAAGAAGGATATCCCTACCCGAGAGCATGGGCTCGTCGCTGCCAATAACCCCAATCGCGTCCAGAGAGACGGTCCTGGGCAGTGCAGCAGCTGCTTTAGAACAAAGAGGGTTAAACAGCAGTGTTAGCCGTCCTTACCTGAGAGCATGGGCTCATCGCTGCAGGTAAAACCAGTCGCATCTAAAGAGATGGTCCTGGGTAACGCAGCGGCTGCTGACGTGGCAGCAACCTCCGTGCCCGCCAGCTGTACCACGTGCTGGTACTGCCGCTTGTCGCCTCCTGATTGGACAGCTGTGAGCAGGAAGGCGGCCCCTGGCGGACTGGAAAGCTCCAAACCGTTGCCTGGAGGAAGCAGCAGGAACCAAGCAGAGGTAAGAAACACGCAGAATTAGCAACGAGAAGCACGGAGAAGGTGATGTAAGGGAGACAGGGAAGGCATGATAAGGAAACCAGACGTTTAAGTACCGAGATGAGACCAGTCCAGATTGGGCAATAGGTTTGAGATGATAAGGCGAGAAGTACCAAAAACAGGGATATGAGAGCAGTAGAGGAACTGTCAACACATCTACCATTCGCATGTGTACTTTTGTACTCGTTATGAGCTCACCTGCTACCGGCAACTGCACGCCCGCGGGAACAACCGCCCCGTCCACCTCCCCAATCGCCTCCTGATTCACATACCCAAACGAGAGCGCCCATTTCCTGAGTGGCCTGGGGCCCACATTAGAGAGAGTGACCTTGGAGGTGAAGCGGAAGGCAGGCGCTCCGGCGAATGGGATGGGCGTGAGAGAGAGAATGCGATAGTCGATGATAATTCCAGGGCATTTCGCTGAGCTGGTGAGCAGTGATTGGCCGAGAGGGGCTGGGGCGGGAGCGGGGGCAGGGGAGGGGGAGGGGGAAGGGGCGGGAGCAGGGGTGGAGGCGGGGGAAGGGGCGGGGGCGGGGAGGGGGGAGAGGAGGGATTCCGGGGCAGGGGCGGGGGCAAAGGGGAGTTCGGGGGAAGGGGCGGGCGCAAGAGTCGGGGCTTCGAGGGGAGGTGGGGGAGGGGGTTGGCGGCGGCGACGGGGGCGAGGGGAAGAGCGAGGAGGGGGGGAGGGTGGGAGGGAGAGAGGGGGGGATGCGATAGGTTCTGATATAAGGGGAGGGAGGGCCGGTTCAGAGGCAGAGGGTGAGGGAGAGAGCGAAGAAAAAGCAGCTTCAGGGGTTGCAGGAGGGGGTGCGGATGCTGAAGTGGGACCTCTGCGGGAAGGGGGGAGCTTGGGGAAAGGAGGATCAGTGGTTTCTGCAGGAGCAGAATCTAAAGCTGATGTGGCAGATGGATTTGATGTGGTGGATCGAGAGGCTGCAGAGGAGGACCGGGAGGAGGAGGAAAGGGAGGAGGAGGAAAGGGAGGAGGAGGACCGGGACGAGGAGGAAAGGGAGGAGGAGGACCGGGACGAGGAGGAGGAGGAGGAGGGTCGAAAGGTGGGGGGAGTGGAGGAAGAGGGCCGGGAGGAGGAGGAGGAGGGTCGAGGGGAGGGGGGAGAGGAGGAAGAAGGCCGGGAGGTGGGAGGGGGAAGGGAGGAGGAGGAAGGAGATGAGGATGCAGCAGCAGCAGCAGCAGCAGCAGCAGAAGCAGTAGTGGGAGAAGATGCAGACGCATCTTCCACGAGGCGGAACCGTGAAGCCATGCCCATGCCGTGCCAGAAGCCAGCCTCGCGTGCGGCAGCCATTGCACTGCGGTCCTGCGACCCCACTGCTGCACCGTGCCTGTGGGCTGGCTCTGAAGCAGCGGTAGCTGTGGCAACGGCAAGCAAGATGCACAGCACAGCGGCGCATGGCCGCACAAGGACTGCTCCTCCACTGTTCCGCACGAGGATGAGAAGCGCTCCACCATTTCGCACGAGCTTCTCCCGTAGCGGCATCAAAGGGCGGTGTCGCAGGGACAAGTGTCTCTGTACCCGATAGTAGCCTCCTCGTGAGTGTAGATCAGCAGTGAAAAGGCCTTCCATAGTGGGTTGTTCTCTACAATTCACCCAGCTGAGTCAGAACGGCTCAGAACAGGCACAGACCGTGGCTTCTGAGGCGCCTCAAGAATGGCTGCAGTTTCTGGAGAGCACCTGCTGTGAGGGGCACTCCACGAGTCAAAGAGAGAACCTTAGGGTGCGTTAGGAGAGGAAAGCGAGAGTCTGAGATGCGGGGATCGGGGAGGAGAAGGGTGGAAGTGCAGGAGTGACTGGTTGATCAGTGGTGGAGAAGAGGTGGCTGCTGCAGGAGACAGACACTGCGTGTTAAATGCTGGAGAGGGAGGATATTCGGATGGCTGACGACAATGGAACGAGTCACTCGCGGGAGGGAAGGTAATGTCGGCTAAACCCACAGGAATGCGACTGCTGCTTCGACGAAAGTGCGCCTGGATGATGCTGTTGGGAATGGAGTAAGCGGGACCACAGCCTTTGACGGTCGGAAGGACCCCTACCTTGCCGTCGACGGCTGGTTGAGCGGTGCAGTGACGTGGCTTCGTCTGAGCTGGATCCAACGTCCAGGATCCACCGACAAACAGCCGCCATGAGATTCGTGTCCCCACTGCGATAGAGGAAGAACGAACCATCCAATCGGAACGCCCGATGCTGAAATCCTTCGAATCGCCAAAACGAGAAGTTCAATCCAAACGGGTTCTTCATATTTCCAAACGCTAAAGCTCTGAGGCTTTGAGCCGCCTCGACGACACCTCGAGGATGCCGAATCGAGAGATGGCGGTCGGTGGTTGTTCGGGCTACTGCCATGTGAACAAGTCGGGAAGAAGCCAGCATGACCTGTAAAGTGTTCACGGCCGAAGGTAATTGAGAATAGGAGTAACTGAGAGTGGAATCAGCCGAGAATCCTCAGAACACGGAGCTGGAATATGCGGAGCGGATGATGCGGTGCTGACACCAGAAACACGAATGTCCTTGGAAAGGGCATTTATCTTAGCGGTAACACTCTTGGAGCTCGATTGCACGCGAGGTAAGCTACGTGTCAAAATCGTAACAGAGATGTCTTCTCATCGCCACCATGGTAACCAGGATTGCCGAGATGGTCAGCATTATTGCCTGGATGGTAATGAACAGTGCATCCGGAAATCCTGGCTGGTAACTTCACGTTCCAACCAAACTGTACACCATACAAGAAACTGAAAAGAAACTGACTACACGTTCCACGTCAGATTTGACTCAGCAAAAAGAAACTGACTGTCCGCGTACACACCCACAGAATGCGCAATTCTCTTTATAATAGCGGCATTTACAACCGCGACAGTCAAACCTCGATATGCAAAATTGTAACAAACATAAAACATTTATCATAGAATTAAACGCCACAAAAAAACACACACACTGTCAAACCGCAAAGCTATCCTAGTAATATTTTTTTTAGTTATTTTAATCTACCAGAAATATACTTCAGAAATGGGAGAAGACCAAGTAGCAATGTTTTTAATATGAGTTGAACAATATTAGTTTTTGCAAATGACAGATAGTAAAAATTGCATAAGATTTAAATCTTTTTATTGATAAAATACACCATGCATTCAAGGCTCGATATAAACTGTATGAATAGATGATTTCATCCTAGTTTTTTAATAATCAGGCTAAATCTGTTTTTCCTGAGTGTCCATAAGATGCTTGCTATAATAGTGAGGGAAAATATGCCATTCGTAACCTTCATGGGACTCGATAACACAGTTGGTAAAAAAATAAAGGGTACGGTCACTGCAAAGGGTGTTTTCACGCGACTGATAAAGAGTTTCACGGAATCAGTCACAATCAACTGGTAAAAAAAAACGCGAATGGTCACAGATGAAATTCCCGCCAAAACAAAATGAAACCCAAAAAGAATCTGGGTGCATTTTCGGATTAATCAACCCTAACACGTAACTAGCCAGGTGTTTAGGGTTGATCCGTTCCCGAACCGCATCCGATTCCGATTGGGTTTTAGTTTTTTTTACAAGTTCGCAGATTGGTTGGGGGCGAGCGGGAATTTTGTTGAGTTTCAAGTTTTTTTGGCGGGAGTTACATGTGTGACCATTCGCGTGATTTTTTACCTGTTGTTAATGACTGAATCCGTGACCCCACTTACCAAACCCGTCAGGAAACCCGATACAGTGACCGTACGCGTTTTTTTTGTACCATTTACGTTATCAAGTCCCAAGTTCGTTACTTGTGACATATTTTCCCTAATAGTGATAGTTGAATATATCGAATGCGTGCATGTACGTTTTGCGTTCGTAAGCGTTCGTATACTAAAGAGAATTGCGCATTCTGTGGGTGTGTACGTGGACAGTCAGTTTCTTTTTGCTGAGTCACACCTGACTTGTACGGTGTACAGTTTGGTTGGAACGCGAAGTTTCCAGCCAGGATTTCCGGATGCACTGTTCATTACCATTCAGGCAATAATGCTGACCATCCCGGCAATCCTGGTTACCATGTTGGCGATGAGAAGAAATCTCTGTTACGATTTTGACACGTAGCTTACGTCGCGTGCGATCGAGCTCCATGATTGTTACCGCTAAGATAAATGCCCCCTTGGAAATTCCGTCAGAACAACGTCCTCACTACTGAACGCTCTGATTTAAACTCTAGGCCTATTGTTTGTAGTCTCATAATGCATTTGCGTTTGTAGATGGATTGCAATTGAGAAACCGGGGATTTGTCAACAGAGCCAGCTTGACCGAATCAAACCAGGTCCTAGTCGCAGCTGGACCCAGCTGTCTTGTAACCAGGTTCGCATGTCAACTGATTCGTCAACGAGACAGCACGACAGCGAAATTCTGCCCTCCGTCGCTTTTGCAACCGTGCTCGGTCACATATGATTCTGTCAGACCAACGCAGAATCAGGCCAACTAATTGCGATGATTTGGCCCACAAGCACACAAACCGCCTACCAGGCTGGCTATGCGCGGCGACTCTTTTAGTCTGCGTTTCGTCCTGATAGCTTCTCGTGTAGTTTCACGCCCGCCCGTTGTTCGGTACGCTGTCTATAATCAAGACGTAATGCGACATTTCGTATCGGTAGTTTCACAGCTGTCCTAACCAGAACTTTGACTCGTGGCTCTCTCTTCCTGACTCATTAATCTCGGATTTGCACTCACCTCTGTCCAAAGGGAAAGTAGGTTCCCGTAGACGTGTCCCAAGCGAACTCCTTCTTCTTGCACATATTCGCGTATTGCTTACCTTAGTCGCCGACGCGACCATCAGGCGACGTTCGCCGTCGCCTTTCGCCAATGGAAGAGCCGTCGTGGACTCGAACGCTAGCTCCGAACCGCACGATAGCGGAGGAAGCGAAGGCCATCCTTCATGAGGTGTGTTGCTTTCCCGGTGCGCCGACTTTTGAGGCGCCTCAAAGGTGCGTTGCGTTCCCCATGCGCCGCATGCGATCGCCGCACTGCCCTGCTGCTGCGGGGGAAGCGGTGTAGGAAAAAAATGGAAGGGACAGGGAAAAGCAAGATAGAAGCCGTTTACGGTTTTCCGAAACCTTACTTGTGCACTCTTAACACACTCTCCCCCCCTTCCCCCCATAGGCTCCCTCTCTTCCTCCATTTCTCCTTTTTCCCCACCAACCCACTTCCTCTCCCCGTCCCCCAATTCTCCCCTCCCGCTCAACTCTTCCCGCTTCCTCCTCTCCGCTCCTCTCGCCCTGAACCCCCCCCCCCCTCCCCCTCCTTTCCCCCCCCTCCTTTGCTACCTGGCCAGCTGAGTGCAGTGGTGGCGGTCGGTCCATGTGGGCAGATGGACACGTGCAGACGCATCTGCCTCAACCCCAACACGCACTACCCTCCCCTCTCCCATGTCCCCTTTTCTCACCACCCACCTCGCTCCTCCCGCAACCCCCCGTTCCTCGCACCCTCCCGTTCCTCGCACCCTCCCGTTCCTCGCACCCTCCCGTTCCTCGCACCCTCCCGTTCCTCGCACCCTCCCGTTCCTCGCACCCTCCCGTTCCTCGCACCCTCCCGTTCCTCGCACCCTCCCGTTCCTCGCACCCTCCCGTTCCTCGCACCCTCCCGTTCCTCGCACCCTCCCGTTCCTCGCACCCTCCCGTTCCTCGCACCCTCCCGTTCCTTTCTCCCCGCCCCCCCTCCCCCTGCTACCTGGGCAGCTGAACGCAGTGATGGCGGTCGGGCCGCGCTGGCAGCTGGACGCCTTTCTGGGCGGCACTGCCCGCCTCTGTGCCGTCCAGAAGGCCCTGCGCGCGCGGCTCAACAACATAGAAGGGGTGGTTGGAGGGCGGGGGGGGATAGCGGGTGATGGCATGGGGGGAAGGAGGGCGGAGTGCTACGAAGGCGGGGAGAGCAGCAGAGACGACATGGGAGTGTGGGGTGCCAGAGGGTATGGCAGCAGCAGTGGTGCTTCTGCTGGAAATGGTGATTATCATATGGGCGGAAGGGACGAAGCTGGAGGAGGAGCAATGGAAGAAGCAGAATTTGCAGGTGTGATGAAAAAGAAGCTGGGGCGAAGGGCCAGTCAGCCTCCGACCATATTTGGATCAGCTCTAGCGGCAGCAGCGGCAGTAGACGGCAGCAGTGGTCTAGAAGGGTTTAGAGGTCGGCAAGGGGGTCTGATTCCCAGCGAGAATTTCAGGCTAGGACAATCTGGGTTTGGGCGGTTGCATCCTGGGAGTGAAGGGGAGGTGATGAAGGTACTGGGCGATGTGGACATGCTTATAGAGCGATGCATGGAGATGCTTATAGCGGAGTTTAAGGATAGCCTGGTGAAGCACAGCAGGGCGTTTTAAGTGCCCATGGCAAAGGCTGTTTTGGACCTCAGTGCCCGATCTGGCTCACCTCTCCCGCGCTCGGTGTCTGCTGGTGATGGTGCTCCTGGTTCTGAGGCTGCTGCTGCTGCTGCTTCTGCCGCTGCTGCTGCTGCTGCTGGTGCTGGTGCTGGTGGTGACGGTGGTGATGGCGGAATAAGCCTGGGGCATCATAGCATAAGCAACTCGCGATACAGCAAGAGCCTATCTGCTATTGATGACAGCAGCGGCAGTGGGGGTGGGGCCAGTAGCAGCAGAACGGTCAACCCCATGTACAGTGCACAGTACAGTGCACTTGTGAAGCGATTCAAGAAGCTGTCGTCTCGGCCGCCCATCACTCTGGATCCCTTTGGGAGACTGGCAGCAGCTGCTGCAGCAGCAGAAGTGAATGCATTTGCAGAAGACGCGGCATTTGCAGACGAAACAGGAGAAGTGAGTGGAGGGAATGGGGAAAGAGTAGGGGAAGGAGGGAGAGGAGGCAGAGGAGGAGGAGGAGGAACCGGAGGTGCGGCATCATCACGGACTGGCAGCAAAGGGAAAGATGCAGGGAGTCGCATGGAAGGAGACATGACAGAAGAGGAAGGGAGTGTGCATAAGCGCACCATGTCAGACGATCTGTTTGCACGTGATCCCTTGCATGCAGCCTTCGGCGTGTGCCACCAAAGCCCCCACGTTTCCCCCAACTCCAGCCCTTCTGCTTGTGCTGCTGCTGTGGCTGCTGGAAGGGATGGGACAGCAGGTGGAGAAGCAGGAAGGGCAGGAAAAGGGCCAGCGCATCGTTTTCATGCTCCACATGTAGAGATACCAACCAACCCTGAGCTGGTATCCCCAAAGCAGACCCATCCGCATCCCCTCTTTGCGGAGTTAGAAGCTGTGGAAGTAGAAGATACGTTTGCAGCAGAAACCCATGCGAGGATAGGTGCAAATGCTAGCGGAATCCATGGTGCTTGTGCTCAAAACGAGGCTGCCACAAATGGGGATGAGGATGAAGATGGGGGGGGCCCTTCCAATTTCACGTTCTCTCCTCTCTCGGACACATCAGGCTCGGGAAGCTCTGCCTCAATCTCCCGGAGCACTCGGGCCGCTGCAGAAGATATCCCGAACCTGCTGCCGTCTCCGGTCCAGATGTCCGGACCTGCGTCGATTGTGAGTGCCGTGTCTGCGATCCACGCGCGGAAGAACCGAAGCTCTCAATTGGCTCGGTCCGAATCAGATGCAGCAGGAGGTGCACGGCGGTTGTCCCGCCGGGAGAGGGAGCAGCAGAAGAAGCAACAGGAGAGGGACCGGCAGCAGGTTCAGGAGGAAGAGGATTTATATCCGCTCCCGGACCTGCCGAGTCAGGCTCGGCAGAGCCGAGCCAGCAGGCACGGTCGGTCTCAGTCTGCTGCAGCGAATTTCACAATAGTAGTACCACGGAGAAGCATGAGAGGGGCGCTAAGTGGGGAATCTGGAACAAATGTGACTGTAACAGGATCTCCTGCTGGTGGGACGGGGGCAGGGGCGGCAGGGGCAGGTGCAGGGGGGTTGAGAGCAGGAACCGGAGGGGCCGCGGAGCCTCTCCCCCGTTAGGGGGAGCCAGAGGGCGGAAGGGGGACTCTGGTCCGCTGGCAAGACCAAGGGGAGCTGGGGGAGGGGGAGCAGGAGGGGCGGTGGGTAGGAGTGAGAGAGGAGGGGGGTTGGAGGACGACGGGCAGCAGCAGTTGCTGCCGTGGTTGCCTGTGAAAGCTGTGCCGATATTGGAAAGAATTGCTCAGCAGCTAGCAGAGGGGGGCAAAGCAAAGGAGTGCATGGTCGAGTACTGGTATGGCCTCTCTTCCTCGCCTCTCTCCCAGCTTATGCCTTCTAACCTGCCCTACGTATGGACCACTCCATTTCCGTTTTGGTAATCAGTAGCAGCACATTCGTTCGTTCCTTTCCTGTCTGCCATACCTCGCTCCCTCCACCTTCAGCTATGGACAATATACTCCCTCCCTCTGCCCTCCCGTATGTGCTTAACCTACCTCCCTCCCGCTACTCACCCTTTACTGTACACAATCTACCTCACCAGCACATTGCGGGCAGGAGCCCTCGAAGCAGCCATAGCAGCCCTGGAGATGGGGGAAGTGCGCGCCCCTGCCCTCTCCTCCCTGCCCTGGAGTTCCCAAGAGGCCTTTCTCAAGGCCTGGGTGCGAGATGCCTACCTGCTGGTGAGTGTGATGGTGACTCTCAGCTGTAGGTTAGGTTAGGTTAGTGAAACATGACTACTGCCACACAAACTATTCATGTAAGGAGCAACTCTCCAAATCTGGGTGCGAGATGCCTATGCGCTCATGAGTGAGCGACTGTGGGTCAAGCTGTCTGTCTGTGGCATGTCATGTGAAGCTCTGTCAACACCTTTGAGTAGTCTGGCTCCTCACACTCAACCTTGCCCACTCCCTCCCATCCCATACCCCTTACAAGCAGATGGACGTGCTGCTAGTAGCGGAGCGCTTTCTCTGCGACAGTGTGTTCCTCTTCTCCCACAACCTCTCCACCCGCTCCTTCCGCCGCATCGTGCCGCGAGCAGCAGCGCTGAAGCAGGCGCTGCACCTGCTGTGTGGCAATGCTGCTGCCATCTGCTCGTCTGATGAGCAGCCGGAGAAGCTGTTCAGTCTGCTGGACATGATTCAGACCACCCAGGACCTTGGGTCGCAGGTGAGTGAGTGAATGAGTGAGTGCGTGAGTGAGTGAGTGAGTGAGTGAGTGAGTGAGTGAGCGAGTGAGTGAGTGGATGGATACCTAGCACCGTGGTTACCAAGTCATGATCTCAAAGGATGGTGGAAAGGAAGAACAACAGCTTTCCTGTTTCTGGTTGATGATGCATCCAGAACATTCTCACTCTCCTGCTGTACTTACCTCTCTCTCCATCCGTCAATTCGAATGGAAAACTTGCGTGTGACAGCAGTTTTTGTATCACCAAGGTGCCTCAAAAACAATCCCTCCTGCCTTGCTTGACCCTCCCCTCTCCACTCACTCACTCACCCATGCAGATGGAAGATGTGCTGATGGCAGCAGGTATGGAAAAGGCTCATGAGCAATGGAAGAAGCTGCCAAAACTGCTGACATCAGCAGCAATTGCATCGATCGACAAGCTCAAGGAGAGGTTGAACGACGTGGGTGCAGCGCAGCAGCAGGCTATGGCTGTTGCAGCATCACCACGGTCTGCACAGAAGATATTCAGGTTTGTGGAGTGCATTGGAACGGGGTGGAATCCGAATAGTTAGGGCTGAGGAGGTGTTGAAGAAGCTGAATAATGTACATGCAGATTGAGTTACCGTGTAGCTGCTGGCTCTCCTCATTGTGCCTTGAGGGGTGAAGGTGGAAGAGAGAGTTAAAGAGGGGGGAAACAGTGTGAGCTCCACCGCACCAACTCTTGGTCCTTGTACCCATGATGAGCATCTCGTTGAGAAGCTACGAGCTGCATTCCGTCTGGCCTATGGCAGGTTGTGGAAGGCACCAGCGGAGGAGAGGCCGAGAGAAGAGACGGATGTGTCAGTGCATGCCATCACCAGCTACACTGTCAACTACGTCAACCAGCTGCTGCGCAAGTGAGATATGACTTTGTTACTACTGGGAGAAGGGATGAACATGTGATCAAAACATGAATGATACCAACCTAGAAGTGATTGTGTTGCTACATACATGCACCAACCAACCATGCTATCACACATAGATCAAAGACGCACACGTTTTTCCCGTTCCCTACCAGCCTCCCTCTGCCATCCACCTTCTCCTCGACCCCTCACTCTCACCTCTCTCCCACAGAGACGGCTCCAAGTATGCGCGCATGCTGGAGAGCGTGTACAGGCGAAGAGGAGGGGAGACAGGCACACGAAGAGTATTGAACGAGGAGATCAGTGACCTGCTGGCAGCTCTGCACCGCAACATGGAAGTGCGGGCAGAGGTCATTGCAGAGCGCACCGTTGCTGCTCTCTTCATGCTCAACAACACTGCCTATGTCTCCAACTCTCTGTGAGTGCAACACTGTTCTTTGCATGGAACCGGTCACTCGACCATTGATCCGCTGGTTATGAGTTGTCGATAGAGCAATGGGTCGGGTATTGATAGACTCAACTGCCCGAAGCTAAAAACATTCTCACAAGTGTTGTGACCTCTACCTTGCTCTCTGCTCTCTGTTCACTGTGCAGTGCAAGCACGAGCATGAAGGAGGCTATGAAACAGTCTGAGCGGCTTAAGGAGTGTGAGCAAGCCTTTATAGACGCTATCACTGCCAAGGTAAGCCTCCTCATTCGAGTAGAGCGCATATTCGTACAGCTCTGCTATTGAATTCCGTACATTCCTGGCAATGCACAAGCGGCCATATAGTAGTTATGCTGGCACTTGCCAGTCATGCCACACCCATACCATACGCTCCACCACAAATATCTCCATGCACTACCTTCTTTATGCTTTCAGATATGTTCTCACCTTCTATGCATGGAGGCGAGTTTCCAGCTCAATGCACAGGAGCTCAGGATCAGGTCAGTGCATTGGATCTTGTCGCCTTTCAAGTCTTTTTGCGACTCACATCCCACCTCGCACTTGCTCACCTACCTTGCTCTGGCCTCGCATGGTACCCCTTAGGTTGAAGCGATTCAATGCAGCCTTTGAGGAGCTGGCATTGCTGCAGGGCAGCTGGAACATAGTGCACATCAGCACACGCAGGAACATTCGACAACTGCTGGCTACGACGCTGCATGACAAATACAAGGACTTTCTCATTCCACACAGGTGCCTGCTCTCCCCATCCGTGTGCTTATGAGTCCCACATGTGCGATCCACAGGCATTTTACCCATGCATGCATGTGCAACAATGATGAGTGTGTACGCTCCCTCAATGAACATGTCTGCATACCTCCAGTTCGCTGTTGGATGGTTTCATCAAATTTCTGTGTGCATCTCTCCTCATTTTTCTCGAGCTATTTCTGAGTCTGTCAGAATCCCTCTTCTTTCACTTGGTCTCTCCATGTCTTACTTCCATCATACAGGGACATCTTGACAAACATTCCCTCATATCGCTGGTCTCCAGATCGCCTTCTCCGTGCTGTACAAAAGAACTTCTTCATTGGTCCCAGTATCATGCGGTCGAGCTCCCATGACGTGTAAATAACCATTGTGGTTGAGCTGATATTGAGGTACTGGAGATGTCTTACTCGTGATACATTACAACTCCTCCACTGCCATTTCGCGCGATCATTGGTAAATAGTCTGCCATTAGAAGTTAGCACATTAGTTGGTACAGGTCACTAGAGGGTGTGCATGATGCTTTATTTAAGACACAACCTTCCTCTTACAGTGCTGATACCAGCCAGCTCGCATGGGCCACATACGGTAGATGGGACATTTGCTTGGAGACTCAACTACTGTAATCTCCCGGCAAGAAGACCCCCCCCCCCCGCGTACAAGCCCCTGGGTCCTTTATCCGGACCAGGGGTCTTTTATTGTCATTCCTGTAGAGGACCCGTCTTTTGACCCTATTAAATATAAGACCCCCCCTCTCTTTTTGCAATACGCTATGATGACTGTTGTTTAAACGGTGAACTGGTTAGCGAGTCACAAAAAAAACCACCAGCTTCTCTTTGTCGAGCAAATCTGTGGTCAAGTCAGTCAAAACGCCACATCAATCTCGCGTTTTTTATGTCCGTCACTCAAGAAACATTGACGTAACTGTCATGATTGGGCATGTCAGAGCGTGTGGATGGGAATCAGCGAGAAAGAGATTCGAGAATTCGAGAACAGAACTCCGCGTTGTGAAGGAATTCGAAAATCGGTACATTTTGTTTAAATTTCTTCAACACCGTAATACAAAATCCCATTTTTTGTCATTATTAGATGTCCGGGGATCTTATGCACTATGTGCCATCAAATAAGACCCCACAAGTCATTTTTAGAACATTTATGATAAGACCCCCGGGTCTTCTAACCGGGAGATCACGGTAATTTGGCCTGATGTGCTCACTGCTGCTGTAACTTGAACGTAAGAAAAAAACTTTGGACATGAGAGCGAGTATCCCTTCTCCATACGAGTCTTCGCAATGGATATGGCTTTCCAATCAGAGCCTCCTTCACTTGCTTGATTGCTCATAACCTCCACGCTTCCAAGTGATTGAGTAAAAGGCACATTGGATCGTGCCTCTAAATAGAGCGGGTCATTATGCAAGAATATCCTTCCTGCAAATACAAATTGTTGTTAGTACATCACGGCCTGCCTAACAAGGTGCGTGTTAGTAGGTTGAAGTGGGCTTTGACAAATGTGTTAGAACGGCTGTTGAAGGATCGGTATCATGGCGCATGGACCTGGAGCACATTGCCATGCTGATTGGCCATTAAACTTTTATGGGTTTCTATGACACGGCTCCACTCCTCTTTTTCCCTGCTTGCTGCTGCGACCCCTTCTCATGCTGCCGCTGCTCCTGCTGCTGCTGCTGCCTGTGGATGGCCCGCAACCCAGAGAAGATGAGCACACGGACCAGTAGTGATACAATCCTGGAGCCAAAGGCCCAAATGATCTCGAACAGCCACATGAAGATGTTGTTGGATGGGAAAATCCCTCTCGACAGGGAACACAGCGTCCGTGCGACAATGCCATGTGTCGTGACCACTAAAAACTCCCCAGAACGAACAGTGGCTACGGTGCATTGAGCTATGGAGTCTGGAGTTTCGACGTTGTTGCGGTCATAGAAGCATGCGATTTTCATGGATCTGGTTAAATGCTTGCCAGTGAACTCGGCTGTTTGGGGTAAAAGGCAAATAAGAACAGGGAGGAGGGCGGAAACGATTGTGAGCTGTCAAGGTGACTAAGAAAGAGCAAAGGAGAGAAGCTAAGGCAAATTGGCTCACCATCATCCAGTAGTGCAGTGTCTGTGAAGTTTGGACATATCAGTGACACTTGAATGTTGTATGGGAGAACCTCAAGCCGCAAAGCCTCAGCGAATCCTCTGACCGCATACTTAGTGGCTGTATATATAGAAGCTCCATACCAGAAGCTCTGAAAAACAAGCGGGAAACGAGTGTTGAACAGCATCGCTATGTTGAAAACGAGCAAATTCCAAAACTAACTCAGCTGAAAGAAATGCATCGGTGATGGATAGTCATAACGTAAGCGCAGATGCTTAATATAAATGATCCGAAATGCTCACCAGGGCTGCTAGAGAGCACGTGAAGACAATTGCACCAGGCTCCTCCCCAGCCTCGGCCCGAGCCTTCATGCTTGGAAGTACAGCCTGCACTGGGTAGACACTTCCCAGAAAGTTGGTGTGAACCTGAGACTGGACGTCTTCAGCCGATATGTCTTCCACAAATCCGGTCCGCACAATCCCAGCATTGCACTGCAGGACGTCAATAGGACACTCCTCATCTATTGATGTGATCGCTGCCTTGATAGCCGCCTGGTCAGTCGCATCCACGGACTGGAAGGGTAAGGAAAATGCAGGGAATGGGCAAGTAAGGAACCGATGGAAGATGTTAAAGAGGCTTAACAAGTGAAGAGGCTTAACTTTGACAGACAGGTGTATACGTCAATATAAGACGAACCTTGATCGATACCCACGGATTAGGGGAGATGAGCGTTGCCCGGGTGTTGCTTGAAGGGGTTGTTGCATTGTCAAGGCAAGCTTCCACCTCATTCCGTGCCTGAACCAGCTTCTTGTGATTACGAGCTATCAATGTCACATTAGCACCCTGTGGTAATCACGCAAGACGATTAACCGGACTACGTCAGAGGAAGAGAAACCGCGAATTATCCTCCCAGGGAAAAAATGGACAGATATACGGCTCTGCATGAAAACAGAGGAAACAACAATAGCTATCCTAAACACGAAGTACCTCGCGAAAGAAGCGTTTAGCGCACGCTAGCCCGATTCCACTTGAACCTCCGGTAATTACCACATGCTTTCCTTTGAGAGACCTCATCCCAAATCCTTTATTGACGAACGTTTCAGGAGGCTCTCAGTATCGTTCCTAATCAGAAGCTAGGCGACCGTCAAGAGAAAGCGTCAATTAGAGAAAAATCAGGCAACGCCGGTGGGGACTAGCAGCCAGTCAATACATTCGTACGAAGATGAATAGCAGCTGATTGTCAAAGGCGGAGTGACACTCTTCGAAGCAACACGATACTATGAGAGATCGGTCCAGCTCTAAGCGTCGACTGACAGCTATCATACGCGACAGGAGATCAAATGGGGTATTTAATCCGAAGCTCCTTGTGCGTGGATCAGCAAAAAGGTAAGAAATAATGCCGTCATTAGGATTCAGTGCGTGGACTCTGCACAACTGGAAGTTTAGGCTAAGAAGTCAGATAGTTGAGGCATAAAAGCAGGTTCCCAGCCTAAGGTAGCGACTCGGATTTGGGGTGGGGGGAAACTAGGGGAAAATATGTCAATGGTAACTTACATGGGGCACTTTAACGCGTACTTTAACGATTTCAACGCGTTTGGTAACTCGCTTAACGCGTTTGGTAACTCGCTTAACACGTTTGGTAACTCGCTTAACACATTTGGTAACTCTACACTAGCAGCCCATCACGCGAATGGTAACTACATGAAATTCCCGCCGAAATCTTCCTGAAAATAAGGAATTTATCGAGTTTGAGAGCTTTCTTGAACGCGTCCCGCCACGAAAATTAAGGACCCCGTTTGTTCTATTACCACGGACCGAAAAGTTCAGAATTTATTTATAATCATGTAGCTCGTACAAAAATGGATAACATCATATTTTGATAGCATGATTGCGAACTTGCAAAACGATAAAAAAAATATTCCCGAAAGGACATAGGGAATTTTACTTTTTTTTTAATACTGCAACGTTGGAAGATTTTTTCATGTGGAAAAAATAAACCTTTTCAAAATTACATCTTTCATTTTTTTAAATAAAGATCCATAAACGCCTGGTCGCAAGAAGTTTAAGGTTGTTGCTCTCAAATTTATTTGCCATCTGAAAGGGATATAGATTTGTTTGCCCCGGCTGCACGATAGAATAAAGTACAAACAGTTTGCGGAAAGTGCGCCAGAAACATTTATGTAAGAAAAGCTGTTTCAACAAAACTTACGTTTCTGTACTTTGCTTGAAAATAGGAAAGTGTGTCAGGATTTCGGAAAGTGTGTCAGAATTTCGGAACTTTGTGTCAGAATTTCGGAGAGTGTGTCAGAATTTTCTGCTTCAGGATTTGTCAATTTATTCTGACGCGAGCGGGAAAAACCAGAATCAGGCTCAATTTCGGTGGGAATTTCATGTAGTTACCATTCGCGTGATGGGCTGCTAGTGTAGAGTTACCAAATGTGTTAAACGAGTTACCAAACGTGTTAAGCAGGTTACCAAACGCGTTAAGCGAGTTACCAAACGCGTTAAAATCGTTACCGTACGCGTTTTAGTGCCCCATGTAAGTTACCATTGACATATTTTCCTAAGTTTATTGACCATGCGAGTTGAGTGTAGCACATAACTGTACAAGTCAGTGAAAATGTCATTTTTATCATTACCATGTGAGACTTTTCTCACATGGACGCAAGAATGGTCATTAGTATACTCCCAGCTTGTAACTAGAAAACAGAATCAGGCGCTCTAACGTTCAAGAGCAAAATGTGAAGAAAAAGGGTAACTCGGGTACCGTCCCCTATTTTGGAATGAGACGGCGCCGTCTGCGTGTGGTCTCTCGCTCTAGAAACTCTTTCTCCAAGGCAGTCAAACCACGCCGTCGGGCACCTGGCTCAACCACAAAGCGATAGCCTCCACCACGACCACGTCGGCCAGCCTCCCCAAGCTCTTCCACAAGGTAAGTCCACCCATTTGGAGGCCTACGGCGCTCCAAGGCATTGGCTTTAACTGGCCCGTCAGCCATCTGGAGCAAAAAGTCACACACAGTTTTCAACAACAGAGGAGGATGAGAGAAATAAATTGCAAAAGCCCAGCATTTGTACAGAATGGTGCAGCTGGGGAACATTAACAATGAGAACAGCCATTTGCTCTGTGTAAGTGGGTGGACACATGCAAATGTGCATGTGTGTGCACATAAGCATGAGACAGTTGAGTACCTGTTTCTTGTTGAACTCCATTCTCTTGACGAACTCATCCAGTTTCCACATCTCCTCCTTCTCAGACTCCTGTAGCAGCAGCTTCATTCTCTCCGGCCCCTCTGGAAGCGAGTCCACGGCTTCACTTGGGTAGATCTTCACATGGCGCTCTCCCACTGCCTTGTCGTACGAGCTGAAACAAACAGGGGGGAGCCGTTGACGACGGCAAGCAAGAGGGGGAAGGGGGAGAGACAGGGGGCCGCACGTGGGGCGTGTTGGGACAGGGGGACAGGATGGAGGACGAATGGTGCTTGGGAATGGAGACAAAACGGAAAGTGAACAATCAAGTATGAAGATAGTAAGGCACGCGTTCACGCCCGTAAAATCAAAAGTAGTTAGAAGAAAAGCCGAAGACACGAACCCATGCTGCTTCTCGAACTCCTTTGCGATGGAGTCATCAAGAGGCTTGCCTTGCTCCTCCTCCATCTTCTTCTCCAGATCCTTGAGCCACAGGATCGCATGCACTCGCTGCTGTCGCACGCGATACTCGCGAGCCAGCCGTGCGACGCTCCAATGACCCGGGTCCTTCTGATGCAGCAGCCACATGTTCTCCTTACTCTCCTCTGACAATCGCGCAGCCGTCGAATCAGGAGGAATTTCGGTCAGGTTGAAGATCCACGGCTCCGATCTAACACGAAAACCATCGTCCCCGTCTGACCGTCCATCTGATGAACCTGCGGCTCGTTCCGCGCCCGATCGGCTTCCGTCGTCACCTGCGCCAGACAAGACCACCGAATCGGCTTCCTGATCGTTCGAGCCAGCGATTTCTGCTTCTGCTGATGGATCTTGCTGGTTGCGATGAGGAGAAGCGACAGTAGCGAAGCAATGGCTAAGATCGGCGCAATGCTGCGACGACTGAGCGATAAAACCTCCGGCTTGAGAAATCGCTGCAGCCCCTGCTGTTGTCCTTGCTGCTGCGGAAGAGTCTAGAAGCAGAGCCGAGGGCACTAACGCCCTGAAGAGTCGTAGCTTTGACATCGAGGAACTGCCTTGCGATCGTCCGAGAGATGGTTACCAGAACGTGCAAATAGCCCCCGCATAGCCCGCTAGAAACTCCGGAAAGCGGGAATAGTGCTTCGTCCTGCGGCGAACATCTGTTCCTCCTGCCTAGCGTCCTGCTTGTTGTTCTGCTCGGTGTAGGCTTGGGGAAAAGGAAGAAACTAGTGGTCCCTGCTGACACATATAGCAAAGACCTTCATACAACTGCTCTCGAAGTTTTCTTGAATTCGTGCACTCGTGTAGTCTCTGTGTGTACCCTAAACTGCTTTCTAAATAAAATTGGTCCTGGGGGTGTGAAAACTACATGTTACAAAAAACAACAATCTACAAGGCTACATATAAAGAGACACTAAGGGCAGCACGTTGATGATTATTCAATACGGTGTAATTTACGATATTATGGTGATTACGGTTGACAACTTTCGCTGATACCAGCTCCATTTTCAGATGTTTGGGTGGTAGAGATGGTAGATAAGGTAATTCCATTTGTTCGCATATGGAATTTTGCCAAGGCAAACAGGAAGAAACGGCAACGGCAGGACGAAGGAAGAGCATCTGCAGGGTGAAGTGGAGGGAAGGAGCAAGCACCATGCTGCAGGGGACAGCAGGTGATCAGAAGGGGTTGAAAGTGTGCATGAGAGGGGTGGGAACGCATGAGCAAAGACATGGTTGGCATGAGATGAGATGAGTACTTTGAAACAACAGGTGCCAGGAACAAGGAAATCACCTGACACCTTGTCTTGAAGTCAGGTGATCCCAACAAAGAGACAGCAGCGGTGATGAAGCCAGCATCGGCCACGGCTGTAGCATGCAGCAGCGAGTGGCGTATCACTCAACACTGAGAGGGCTATCCACGCTCGTCCCACCGTAAAGGATGAGGAGATAAGAGATAGGGGAGTTAAGCAATGGGGAGATATATGAGGAAATGACATGAGATAGGTGGGCAAACGGCAGAACACAGGACGTGTGGAGAGGTAATGAGAAAATGCCATCCTCGCTGCGAGCATGGGCCTATTGCAAAAATGAGTTACTATGCTGTAGTGAACTGCACCTGAAGGCATGTCAGCAGCAAATTGCACTGCACCTATCTCAACCAATCGCCATGTCACCGCTGGACCAATGCGCACGCAGCAGTCTCCCACACCGCCAGCATGGCACCCAGAAGGCACTCCGTCAGCAGCGGCAGCACGCCCGCCTCTGCCAGCTCAGCGCCAGCGTGGCGTGACACGGCCTTGACTAGATATGCTGCTGCGCGCTTGTGGTGGCGATTGGTGCCGCTGGGGGTAGAGGGAGAGAAGAGGAGGGGAAGACGAGGGATTGGAGGGTGAGGAGGGAGACGACGAGGGGGTGAGGGGAGAAAAAGAGGGAACGAAGACAGCGGTGGGACTGATGTGCATACAAACCGCACTGCACTGCAGAGCTAAAAAGGGATCAAAAGCTGGCGAGTCGCGGATATAGAAGCAGATAAGGCATCGTAAGATATGACTCCAGCACTTTAAGACAGGACTGACGTGAGCGCCTTGCAGAGCGACGGCAGCACGTTGCGCTGCACGGGGGGATGCGACCACGTGTGCGACACATTCGTCAGGCGACCCAGCGACAGCGTCGCAGCGGATCGCACGGACGCCATGCTGTCCTGCGCGAGCGGCAGCAGCAGCTGCAGCGCGCCGAGCGACAGCAGAGCCTCCGCGTTCTGCGGGGGAAGAAACGCGGGCGGACAGCGCATTCAGAGTCAATAGAGCCAGCGGGCGAATCGCAAAGAAGGAACCTCACCCAGCAGCGCCATGAATTCGCCATGAATTTGCCATGAATTCGCCTCGAATTCGCTATAAATTCGCCATGAACTCGCCATGAACTCGCTATGAATTCGCCATGCATTCGCCATAAATTCGCCATGAATTCGACATGAATGTGCCATCAATTCGCTATGAATTCGCCGCCATGAATTCGTTATGAATTCGCCGCCATGAAGACGCCATGAATTCGCGGGCGGACAGCGCATTCGGAGTCAATGAATTCGCCATCGACATGAATGTGCCATGAAATCGCCATGAATTCGCCATGAATTCGCCATGAATTCGCAGATCGAAGCTCGGATGCTGAGAGACACTGAGATTAGAGCGCGAAAGAGACTGAGACTAAGGCACCTGAGGAGAAACCGCGAGTTCGCCGACTTTCATGACGAACTCCACGCGCGCGTCGCGGTACGCTTCCATTACCGCCACCACGGCTCGAGCCGCTTTGAACTGCGTGGGTGCTGGCAGCACCGCAGCCGCCGCCATAGCTAAATGCGATACGCACGTCCTTTTGAGAGTATGATTACGAGATACGCCTTCGCTGTCCGTGAATGTCGCGGGAGGACGAGAAGCGTGAGTGCCGATGCGGGAGAGGCATAACCACCGTGGACTTACTCCGGTTGCTTACGATGGGCATTGTTTCCTTAGTTGACGATGCAGCGTGATCTGTTTGTTCTGCTCTCATCGTGCGGGGAAGGGGTACATTCTGTTGGTGTAATGTCCGCATTCAGTTCTGTGTGCATTGACTAAAGTCGAGATGTACAATGTGTTATCCATATTAAGTGCGACTGCTTTGAACTGCTGCTTGCCTAGCAACCTGACGGGTTACAGAATCGAGTGGGACCCGCCCAGGCTTGGGAAACAGTGTGCAGAGCAGGTGCGTGGGGGTGGACGTGTCTTCAATCTGCTGATGTGGCGAGGCGACTCTCATCGATACGTGCACACAGCATAGCACCTTGCCCCTGGCAGCGTGACACTATTGGATGATTTCGGGCGATAATTTTTGGGTCGCTCGCCCGTTTGTCGTCTGCAGGAGTGTATGATGATGTGGCGATTCTTATCAGGCGATGATTTTTGGGTCGCTCGCTCGTTGGTCGTCTGCAGGAGTGCATGATGATGTGGCGATTCTTATCCCAGCAACTCACCACCTTGGTTCTGCCAGCGTGTCACTGCAAGCTGATATGATTTTGGCGCGGAACTGAGCGGCGATTTTCGTTCGGGTCGCACAGTCGTCGTCAGCTGAAGTCCCAAGGCAGCTTCCTACGATTTGCTATACTTCCGTGAGGATGGTTCCCTTGCGAGGTTGGCTTATGACGTCAACAATTCAGCTCCAGCGACACTTTCCACTTTCCCGCATTTTCGTCCACTGCGCACGCAAACCTCCAAGCAACGCGCTTCGGATGTGTGGTTTGTGTCCAATCGGGAAGGAAATCGAGAGAAAAAAGAATCGAAACTCAAAAAAGTTTTCCTTCTAAGAATCGCATAAGGGCGTGTAAAATCCCCGCGCAATTCTGAAAATGGGGTCTGGCCGGGTTTCCGACGACCAGATGGTCGTCATATTTTTCGCGAACAACGACGAGGTGGCCGAATCACGGTCGACTCTTTTACAGCCACCATGTACAGTTTTGGCGATTTTACAACTTTGGTGGCCGCTTTGAAGGCCGGTTCGAGAAAATTTGTAAAATTTGCAGTTACTACAGTACTTGAGAATGTACGACGGGGTCGCACAGTTGACGACGATGATTTTCATTTGACGAGATCACAAATTCTGTCGTTAGACATAACTGTACGACGTCGCAGGCGACTGTCGCACAATGTGTCGACTGCCTGGCCGTTTTGGAGTCGACTCGGTGTCGTTTTCCTGTCGACATTCTAAACAGCCATCAAATTCGTAAAATTTTTGCGAATTACGACTGTCGCCACTTGAGAAACGAACGTCGCAAACTAATTACTTTCGCAGAAACTTCCCGACGGATTGTGGCCGAATTTTTGGAGTTCCCGATTTTACACGCCCTAACAACGTTCAAGTTTCAGAGGATTGACTTTAAGTGCGGAGAAATATCCATGCGAGTACGATCAAAATGTTAAGCAACGAAAAGACTTTCTCCGGGTTTTGAAAATATGACATCCCATGCGATCTGCCTACCCTAGAAATAAATTCGACAGCCAACAAGTGGTGGTGACCACCATTTGTTGACTGCAATGTGCCGCACTGTACTGTAGTGGTTTCCGGACTGTTGTGCCGTGGACACTCGTCTGCTCCATCCTCCCCTTGGTTGCTCAGAGAGCCTGCCAAGCGGCTCAAATTATCCCGCGAAGTAAAGTTGCTCTCAGCGGCAAAGCGTCTAGGGTTTCAACCAGAGCCTTACGAACCGCGACCAGAAAGTAGGGTCGGTTGGATCCCGACCCGATGCTGCGGCGTGGTGTACGTTCTCCCTCATCCAGAACAAATCAAGTCTCCTGAACCACATCGTTTACTTGGCTGCAACTACATAAATCAGTCAGGTAGCATTCTAAGCTCTAGTATCAAAATTTCGATCAAGTACTTTTAAAGGGACACCACTGGAGTTATGCCACCACCGTTCGCCCGTCGACCTACAACTGCTTCCATCCACGCTCCCGCCCCCCGCCCAACCTACGATTCAAATCCCAGCGGTAAGCAAAGCGATTTTACGTCAGTTTGTCTTGACTTTTTACGCCATCTTACTTTCTGGATATCTATGTTGGACCATTTCCTGACTTACATTTGTTGCCTTTTGACAGGCACAACGCCCTTGACGTCCTGCCAAACAATGCTGCACAAGACTCATGGCAAGGACACGTGTTGGAGCGAGCAGTCTCTGCTGCTCACAAAGCTCTTCTGCGACATCAAGCAGTCACCGAAATCAGTCAAGCTTGGAGATCGGGCACCACCACCATCCGCCCCCAACACCAACATTCAACTCGCTTCCATCCTCAACCCGCCCCCCGCCCTGCCTACCTCTCGATCTCCAAGAGGTAAGCGTTGTTATATCAGTTTTTCTTGACGTTTACGCCATCACGTTTCCTGGATGTCTATGTTGGTACATTTGCTAACTTATCTTTGTTGCTCTTTGACAGGCACAATGCCCTTAACATCCAACCGAACTCTTCAGCTGAAAACTCATGGCAAGGACACGAGCTGGAGCGAGCAACCTCTGCTGCTTACAAGGCTCCGCTGCGTCATCAATTAGTCAACGAAAGTCCATCAGTCAACCTTGGAGTCAATCAACCGCCATCTACTGGAGGCCGTGCCATGCAATGGAGGCCTGCGTTTCGCCGGCGACCCGCGTTTCGCCTGCGACCCGCGTTTCGCCTCTAATTGGGAAGTATCTTTCCCCTTCTCTTCCCCTCGTCGTGTTTTTTCGTTGTTTCAACACCCATCCGCCGTTTCCATTCATTTCGCACTCCACCGCCCCTCTGATACGTGTGGTTGCGGCTTGTAGATGTATAGCTCCTCCTCGGGTTGGGTAGAATAGCTCGGGTTGGGTAGAATAGCTTACAGTTACTGCCTCCGCCCTCTGCAGCCGCAGTCCACACGTATCATGGGCGTCGTTACCCCACCACGTTTTGTTTTCCACGTGCGTTTTCGCATTTTCGCATTCGTTTTTATTTCGTTCTCTTTTGCTTTCGTTTCTGCTATTTCCGTTTACTAACTTCGTGCCTTTGTCAGTGTTTTCCCCGCTTTTCAGGAAAACTGGGAGCTTCACTCTCCTGCGGGGCTGCAGCGGAGTTTCAAGGGGAGTTTCAACCACTGACGATCTGCAACGGTGGCCTGCTTTTCGCGAGCTTCAACGGTGGCCTGCTTTTCGCGAGCTTCAACGGTGGCCTCCTTTTCGCGAGCTTCAACGTTTCGCCTTCAGCATCAACCAACTGGGAAGTCTCGTTCTTTGTTTCCCCTTCGTTTTTCGTTTTTTCGTTGCTCAACTCGTCGTTTTCAATTCCATCCATCATTTCGCCATCGTTTCGTTGTGCATCTCGTTTTCGTTTCGCCACCGTCCCTCTGATACGTATGGCTGCAGCCTAGCAAGATGATCCTCCGCGGGTTTGGGTTGGGTTTGGATAGATTAGCATAGTACGGTCACAGCTCTCCTCCCTCTTGCTGGCTGCAGCCCATACGTGTCATGGACGCTCATTTCACCATTCGTTTTTCTTCGTTTTCCTTTGTTTTTTTATATGAGTTTGCTGTTTACTAACTTTGGCCTTTGCCTGTGTTCCCTCCCCTCGCTTTTCAGGAATACTGAGAGCGGGGCTTCACTCTTCAGCGCCGCGCGGCGGATCAACCCTTGAAACAGCAGTAGCAGTATCAACTCTTCACGGCTGCAGCAGTTTCAACACTTCACGGCTGCAGCAGTTTCAACACTTGACGGCTGCAGCAGTTTCAACTCTTCACAGCAGATCTGCACCCTGGAGCAGCAGATCTGCACCTTGGAGCAGCAAACCTGCACCTTGGAGCAGTAGATCTGCACCGTTAAGCTCAAACACTGGTGAGTGTCCCGTATTCCGTTTTCCAGAAGCCATTAAATATTCCATTTTATAATTGTTTCTAAATTACACTTTTGATCTGTGCAGATTAAACTCCTTGGCGCGCGGATCAACTCCTTGGCGCGCGGATCAACTCCTTGGCGCGCGGATGAACTTCTTGGCGTGCGGATGAACTCCTTGGCGTGCGGATGAACTCCTTGGCGTGCGGATGAACTCCTTGGCGCGCGGATCAACTCCTTGGCCCGCGGATGAACTCCTTGGCGCGCGGATGAACTCCTTGGCGCGCGGATCAACTAGACAGCAGCAGAGACATTAGCAGCAGAACTTCAACGGCAGCAGCAGATTACTTCATCAGCGGCAGCAGCAGATTACTTCATCAACGGCAGCAGCAGATTCCTTCATCAACGGCAGCAGCAAATTCCTTCATCAACGGCAGCAGCAGATTCCTTCATCAACGGCAGCAGCAGATTCCTTCATCAACGGCAGCAGCAGATTCCTTCATCAACGGCAGCAGCAGATTCCTTCATCAACGGCAGCTGCAGATTCCTTCATCAACGGCAGCAGCAGATTCCTTCATCAACGGCAGCAACAGATTCCTTCATCAACGGCAGCAGCAGATTCCTTCATCAACGGCAGCAGCAGATTCTTTCATTATCAACGACAGCGGCAGATTCCTTCATCAATGGCAGCAGCAGATCACCCCTTCAGCAGATCAACGACAGCAGCAGATTCCTTCATCAACGGCAGCAGCAGTTCCTTCATCAACGGCAGCAGCAGATTCCTTCATCAACGGCAGCAGCAGATTCCTCCTTCATCAACGGCAGCAGCAGATTCCTTCATCAACGGCAACAGCAGATTCCTCCTTCATCAACGGCAGCAGCAGATTCCTCCTTCATCAACGGCAGCAGCAGATTCCTTCATCAACGGCAGCAGCAGATTCCTTCATCAACGGCAGCAGTAGATTCCTTCATCAACGGCAGCAGCAGATTCCTTCATCAACGGCAGCACCAGATTCCTTCATCAACGGCAGCACCAGATTCCTTCATCAACGGCAACACCAGATTCCTTCATCAACGGCAGCACCAGATTCCTTCATCAACGGCAGCACCAGATTCCTTCATTCTCAACGGCAGCAGATTCCTTCATTCTCAACGGCACCAGCAGTTTCATTCTCAACGGCACCAGCAGTTTCATTCTCAACGGCAGCAGCAGTTTCATTCTCAACGGCGGCAGCAGTTTCATTCTCAACGGCGCAGCAGATCACCCCTTCAACAGATCATCCCCTTCAGCAGATCACCCCTTCAGCAGATCACCCCTTCAGCAGGTCACCCCTTCAGCAGATCACCCCTTCAGCAGATCACCCTTCACGAAGCAGACGCAGCAGGACAACGGTAGCAGGACAACGGTATCAGGACAACGGTAGCAGGACAACAACGGCGACGCAGCAGGACAACGACGACGACACAGTGGATGTAGCAGACGCAGCAGACGGTGGTTGCAAATGAGCGAATCAGTCAAAACAGTAGCCGGACTGAACCAGCCGCAAATTCGTGAAGGGAGGAGACGAGGGGGGAGAAGCGATTAAATCTTAGCAAAGCGGTGGCGAGGGGTTGACTGGGATGGTGGGTGGCGTGGAGAAACAATTGGCAACTGAGTGCGCATGCTCAGGCCAAGGGGCAGTGGCACACGGTGCTTGGGAAGCTTCAAAGGAATTGTGATGGAGGCTGGCCTTGACTTGCATGATTCTGACTGCAGCAGAATCATGCTTGCAAGGAACCACACACTCCAGGTAGCGTTCCTTTGGGGTGACTCGGGTACTTGGTGTCACGGGCTTTTCCACACTGGAGTGGGTGTGGAGGGTCCTTTCCCCTTGGTGCCGTTTGAATCTTACGCCACGCGCCAAGCAGCCGTTTCTCAAAGTCGTGATGCTGAGGAGGAGGGGGTGAAGGAGTGGAGAAGCTGCTGTTAAGGAAGGAGGGAAGCTGCTAAGGGCTGTTAACGAAGCTGCTAAGGAAGCCGCTAAAGAAGCTGATAAAGGCTTCTAAGGAAGCTGCAGAGGAAGCTGCAAAGGGCCGCTGTTAAGGAAAGTGCCAAAGGGGAGAAGCGGTGAAGCAGCAGAGAAGCTGTAAGGAAGATACTTGGGAAGCCGCCAAGGGGTACTAAGGAAATTGATAGAGCTGCTAAGGAAGCTATTAAGGAAGCCGCTAAGGGGTGCTAAGGAAGCTGCAAAGAAAGCTGCTTAGGGCCGCTGCCAAGGAAAGTTCCTAAGGGGAAAAGGTGGAGGAAGCAGAGAAAGGGTGAAGCAGTAGAGAAGCTGCTAAGGAAACTAGCAGTTCTCCCTCTTTCCATCACCCCGCCCCATTCTCCCAATTTCCATCACCCCGCCCCATTCTCCCGCTTTCCATCACCCCGTCCCATTCTCCCTCTTTCCATCACCCCGCCCCATTCTCCCTCTTTCCATCACCCCGCCCCATTCTCCCTCTTTCCATCACCCCGCCCCATTCTCTCGCTTTCCATCACCCCGCCCCATTCTCCCGCTTTCCATCACCTCGCCCCATTCTCCCGCTTTCCATCACCCCGCCCCATTCTCCCGCTTTCCATCACCCCGCCCCATTCTCCCTCTTTCCATCACCCCGCCTCATTCTCCCGCTTTCCATCACCCCGGCCCATTCTCCCTCTTTCCATCACCCCGCCCCATTCTCCCGCTTTCCATCACCGCGCCCCATTCTCTCGCTTTCCATCACCCCGCCCCATTCTCCCTCTTTCCATCACTCCGCCCCATTCTCCCGCTTTCCATCACCCCGCCCCATTCTCCCGCTTTCCATCACCCCGTCCCATTCTCCCGCTTTCCATCACCCCGCCCCATTCTCCCGCTTTCCATCACCCCGCCCCATTCTTCCTCTTTCCATCACCCCGCCCCATTCTCCCTCTTTCCATCACCCCGCCCCATTCTCCCGCTTTCCATCACCCCGCCCCATTCTCTCGCTTTCCATCACCCCACCCCATTCTCCCGCTTTCCATCACCCCACCCCCCCATACTCCCGCTTTCCATCACCCCGCCCCATTCTCCTCCCCTTCCATCCCCCGCCCATTCTCCCGCTTTCCATCACCCCGCCCCATTCTCCCTCTTTCCATCACCCGCCCCATTCTCCCGCTTTCCATCACCCTGCCCCATTCTCCCGCTTTCCATCACCCCGCCCCATTTTCCCGCTTTCCATCACCCGCCCCATTCTCCCGCTTTCCATCACACCGCCCCATTTTCTTGCTTTCCATCACCCCGCCCCATTCTCCCGCTTTCCATCACCCGCCCCATTCTCCCGCTTTCCATCACCCGCCCCATTCTCCCGCTTTCCATCACCCGCCCCATTCTCCCTCTTTCCATCACCCCGCCCCATTCTCCCGCTTTCCATCACCCCGCCCCATTCTCCCTCTTTCCATCACCCCGCCCCATTCTCCCGCTTTCCATCACCCCGCCCCATTCTCCCGCTTTCCAT